CAACCCCAACCCCCAACCCCAACCCCAACCCCAACCCCAACCCCAACCCCAACCCCAACCCCAACCCCAACCCCAACCCCAACCCCAACCCCAACCCCATATTTTTTGGAATAAATAAATTAAATGGTCTCTTTAAAAATAAATACTTTTATTTATGTTTCTTAAAATTGTATTAAAATCAACAAAAATTGTGATAAGCTAATTATTTAAAATCGTATCATTATTTTCTAAGATTTTAATAATGAAAAAATATATTACTGCATAACCAAAAGCAACAACAATAACATTTTATCATGCATTTATCTTTCTTTTTAATTATTCTATATAAATATAAATTCAATCAAAAAAAATAATTATATTTTTTTAGATTATTTTTTAATTACAAAAAAATATACTATTTTTATTTAGATTCAATCATATAATTAATTTTCAGTTTAATTTTTTCATTTTTTTTGAAAATTAGAACTGTTTAAAGACAGACAGACAGACAGACAGACACTAAATTAAAGATACTGTTTTATTCAAATAAAGATAATTTTTACTTTGATATATTATTTTAATAGATTTTATAGATAAAATATAAGATTTTTCTTAATATTAGGACTTGTAGTAAGTAATTCAGCAAATTATTTCTTTTGAAAATAGTTCGATATAAATTTTTTTGATAATTTATCAAAAAATTATAAAATTAGTTTTATAAAAGCAGTAGTTATTTATTATTTGGCATTCATAATAACTGGACAATTAAGATAAACTTAAAGCTATAAAAATGAATTAAGAAAAAAATAATTAGGATGATTTTGAAATTTTAAGTGATACAGATTAGCAAGAACAAGTAAAAAAGGATAGTCTTTAGCACTAAAATTCCAATCATTCATAGCAATCTTCTAAATCCTCTGTTAAAAATGAATAAAATACTAGAGATAGATAGATTTCTAAAGAGGAATTTGATTAATATTTAAAAGAAAAGAGAAAGAACAGCTAATTAATGGAAAGGGCTTAAACTGCTAAGCAACCTTCTTCTACATAAGCACCTTAATAAGTAGCAGCTAATCAAAGCACATAAAAAAAACCGCAAAGTGGAGTTGCTCCAAAATAGGAGTAAAAAAAGATAAATAGAGATGTTTAATCAGCAGTTCTCCTTAATTAGCCTCAAAAACAGAAACCAAGTGAACTACCTCAAATACAAAGAAAATATTTTTTACCAGCATATTCAGCCACAACTAATAATAAAGAAGCTGAAGGAAAAGGGTCAATGTTCTTTAACTCTACTATTGAAGCAAACTCTACTAAAAATAAATTAAACAGAAACTGGTCTGCAACAAGCAAATTCACATTGAAATAGTTCTCACTTTTAAAACAAAATCCTACAAAAGTTGCTCCTCCTTTAATAATTCATTTAGAGCCCGAAGATGAAAATTATGATGATTTACGTGATAAATTATGGGATTAGGTAAATATTAGGTCATTATTTTACTTAAAAGTCTAAAAGAAAATTTAAATGTTTCAAAATGGTACTTTCACTTTTGAAATTAATTATTTAATAAGTTTCAATTACTACAATTTCTTTAAAATGTTATTTTTTTTTTTTTGCATACAAAAACAGGTTTATTTTACTAAAAATTAAATAAATGAACTCAATCAAGACAACAATAACTTGAGAGCAAAAGTTTGGAACATTGAAAAAGAAAATAGAAAAATGATTAAATAAATTGAAAATTGGAATCTCTACAAGGGTGTTATCTTTGATGAAGAAAATAAACCATTTGTAGATAGTGCTACTTCAGAAAAAGTATTCACTGATTAAAATTTCTAAGCAATATCTATGAAGAAAGAAATCAAGCAATTACAAGAGGAAATAAATGAGTAAGAAGGAATTATCAAGGAATTGCGTCAAAAATTAAAAGCAACTAAAGAAGATCAAGTAGCAATGAAAGACTAGTTGCATGAATCTCTAAAAGAAACATTAATAGCTTACTAAATAAACAAAGTCCAAAAATAAAACAAAACACAAGAAATGTCTAAATTAAAACTAGAAAATATAGAGTACAGAAAACAGCTTCTTTAACAAAGTAAAAATTCAAAATTTTATTTTTAATGGAGCAAATAATTAATTATTAACCAATCAAAAGAATATGTTTAGAGTAAAATGATAATTTTATAAAAATTTTATTAAATGATTTCAATTAATTTTGGGATAATAATTGATTGATTCTTAAATCAATTCAATAAAAATATGATAAAATGAATAAACAAAATATTTCAGAATATTTTTAATAATAATAATTTATTTATCTGTCTCTTAAAAATTATAAAAATAAAAAAATCTTTTAATAACATCAACCCAAAAACATTTTAAAAAATAACAAGAGTGTTAATAGAATTTTTATATCTAAATTAATTCTTTTTGAGATTATAAAACTAAAAAAATAATTTATTTATTTATCTATTTTTAATACAAATATAAATTTTGATTTTGAGTTTTTAAAAGATGAAGAAGTTAATTAATTAACTATTTAAAATTTAAATAATCAATTAGGTATTTCAGAAATAATAGAAAAAAATAGAGTATTAAAATTTATGATAGAAGTTTAGCAACAGACATATGAGAAGTCATTGGAAGAATTAAAATAATATCAATAAAAGATTGAGAAGAAAGAAATAGAAGAAGAACAGTTAGAAAACGAACTCAAAGAGAGGATCCCTAGTGGGGAGTTGAAAGAATTACCTTAAAAAAATCAAAGAAAACAATAAACTAGAATAAGCTCTGTGGCAATATCAAAAAATATTGATGAATAATTAGAAGAAAAAGATATGATAATAGAAGAGCAACAAAAAGATATCTAGAAAATAAATTATGATATGTAAGAAATAACACGTAATTCTATTCTTGAGAAGCAAGATCTTATGAAGGAAATAAATGATTATAAAGAATGGATTAGAGAATTGGAAGAAAAGTATTTGGTTTTATAATCTAGACACTCAAAACGTCTAATCAGAAATAATTAATAAAATACAAATAATTACTCTATAGGTTTAACATAATATGGATCTAATTCCTATTTTTCTAATTCAATTTAAGACATTCCAGACTATATAGTCAAGGAGAATATGGTAGCTAAAAATACGAATCCCTTAGCATTTAAATGATACTTTTATTAACTTATAAAATATTGTATATATTTATTTATCTATATGACATTTATTGCTCATTACAATTAAAATTAACTTAATTTGTTTCATAATTAAACAAGTAAATTAATTACATTTTTAAGACAATTCAATTTTAAATATTTAATCTTATTTATTTCTACCTATTTTAAATTTGATAATATTTTAAAATCTGAATACTAAAATTTCTTATCAAATTACTTTTTTTAAAGCTAAAATTGAAAATGAGGAACTCATTTGTTTTTAATTTTTCCTTTAAATTACTAAAAACTAAAAAAATTCAAAAAATAGGAAAAAAATTTGTGAAATAAATTTATATTTAAATAATTATAAATTTTACCATAAATGTAAGCTATATTTTTGTTTATTTTTTAGATGATTGATATTCAACTCTTCTATTTTTAAATTATTTTATTTATAATTTCTTTATTTAAAGAAACCTATATTTAATTCTTAATTTAAATTTATAAATTTCTAGGTCTTTTGTTAATTTTTTTTGGAATTACATTTTTTAAATTAAATTTATGTTTTATGTTAAAATTATATTAATTTAATTAAATTAAATGATAATCAGAATATTTTAAATGCTTTTTATATTTGTAGTTATTCTAATCTTATTAAATATAAATACTAATCACATTAAATTCTTTTAGCTAATAAAAACATATTAAAATATGATAGTTTAGAAGGTTTAATTAAAAAATTGATAATACAGATTAATCATATATACTTGCCTTAAGAATAAATTAAGAAACAGCTTTATTGAATATTTTTAAAAGCAAATAATACATTAAAATGTAAATACATTTTATAGATCAATAAAATTAATATTTATTTTATATAGATTAATAAATAAATTAATTAATTTTGAACAGAAAAATTTCAGTACTTTTTTAAAACTTTGCTCTCTGCTCTTTTATAAAGCTTATCAAAAGTAGTTGAGTAGTTAGATGTCTAAAATGTTGGATTATTGTCAACTTAAGAGTTAGTATTTGAGTTAGTTAGATTTTTGATCGCAATAGAGTCTAATTTTATGTTATTGCTAAAGTTCCTTTTGTGTGTATTGAAGAAGTTATTTCCAAATGACTGTTTAGTCGCATCGTTTGAATTTTAATCAGAAAAAGTTATGAAATTTTAGTAGTTAAATTTGTTTTATTGCTAAAACAAAACTTTAGATTTCCTTAATTTTTCATCCATTTTTTTCATAATATTTGAGAAATACTTTGTTTCTGTTTTTCTATAAATATTTTATTCGCTGTTGTTGATCTTTATATTTTTATAATTTTTGTTTAGCTCAGAGTAATTTAAGCTAGATTAATCATCAAGTAAGTTTTTTTTGCATGCATACGAATAAAAAGAATCATTTTTTTGCTAAAAGCTATTACAACTGGTTGAATTTGTGATTCTAAATTCACTCTTTGAAGTTTTTCCTTGAGTGAAAGTATCACCTTGATTTGAGTTGTCCTTAATTTCTCTTTTTGGACTTTATCTAAATTTTCTTTAAATACTCATTATTTTCTTTTAAGTATCTTTTTTAATTTATTTGTAGTTCGTTTAGTCTTTAGTTGTACTGTTATCGCTTACAACAATTACAGCTGTTCTCTTTTTTCTTTATAGTGATCTATCTAATCTTTCATCCAAATCTTCTACATACTTAATTTTATCATAAAATTCTGAATTAGGTTTTTCTATAACTTTAACTCTATATTTATCATCTAAAAAGGTAGTTATGTGTTTAAATTCTTTACTTTTTTCTTCCATCCTTTCAAATTTATATTTATATTGAGAATCTAAATCAAACTACATAGTATTATTTTGCTTTTTTTATTATTGCTATGCTAATTAATTAAAAAATAATAATTTTTATTGTTACTCAATAATTCTGAAAAAAATACCTTCATAAAGCTTCTTCATTTCATTCAAGTGTTTAAGGGAAGGACCTTTTAACTCTTCTTGGTAAAAGTCCTTAATTTTATCATATATTAAATCTCTGACTGTATAATCGTCTTTCATCAGTCTAATTTTAGTTTTGATGTTTTGTTACCTAACAGCTTGATCAGTTAAGTTTTATGAATTGTAAGATTTGTTCAAATCATTCTATTAAGTCATAGAATTTTGATCATTAGTTTTTATTTAATCACTTAATAAATTCTAAAACGAGCTCTTAACTTTTTTTAAGCTATGTGTTGGAGAATTCTCAGTTTTAGAAATAATATTATCATTGCTCTAATTTAAAATAATTTAATTTTTTTTATTTTTTATTAAAAATAGCTTACTTTTTATTGAACTTTATATTGAGACAGATCTGGATTCATAATATCTTGGAACAAATTATAAAAATTGAACTTTTATTCCTATATATATTTTAGTTAAAAAATTAAAATTCATATTTAAAAACTATTATTTAGAAAAATTAAATAATCCATTTTTAAGATTCAATTATTGAAAACAATTAATAAATTATGAAATAATATCTTATAAAAAATACTTTTTTGATTTGAGAAAAATATTTTAAAGCAAACAAAAGTTAATAATTTAAATATTACGTAAATTTGACAAATAAAATCAAAAATACATTTTTTTAAAAGCAAATTCAATAATTTTTACTGTAAAATAAAATATTAAAAAAGACTTATTAAAAGTAGACACGATTAAAAATATATATCGATTAGTCCAAATAAATTAATGATAAAATAAAAACTTTTAAAATTATATTTTGCTCAAAATTAAATTCATTTAAATTAATTATTAAATTGAGTTTAATTTATTAATTAAATGAAGATCCCAAAATAAATAAAAAATAAATAAATTAATAAAATAAATGAATATTTTTTAAGTTTTAATACCTGCAAGTGATTTATTTGAGAGCCATATTTCGCAAGCATGCATTTCATAGATTAAAGTGCATACAATATTTTAGTTTTATATTAGCGGGTTTGATCAATTTCTATGTCCCATTTTATGGGTAGAGGATGTTCAGTATTCAAGTTAGCACAGACAGTCAATTCTGGATATTTCCAAATCTTTAGTAATAACATAAAAATTATATTGGACAAAATCAAATAAATGGTTTTTATTTAAAGATAAATTTACTTTTATATAGCAATCTAATGAAGATGTTAGTACATATTTTTTTCCAAGATCTATAAACTGCAAACAATGTATTGAATCTTTGTGAGCAGAAACACTTTAAACTAAATTTTATGTTTAATTAAAATAGGGGTTTGCATAAGATTAAGTCTAGTCTTCTTTTACAATATTTTTTGCTTAAAAAATGCTTCTAATTTATGATTTTCTGACTTTTGCACTATTATTTCTTGGACTTTAAGTATTGTTGTTATTATTTATCTGCTGTACAGAGTTAGTAAAATTATCTATCTAAACAGACCCCAAAAATATTGTATTTGAAAGGTAATTGACATTATCAGTGCTCTGTTGGGTATCTTTAATGATAGAATTTTTAAAAAGTTTGAATTAACGTATTTTATCAATAACTTTTGTGAAATCTTCTTTGCTTGACCTAAAAGCATTGTAATTTGATTTTGTATTGCAATGAGGACTCTTTTTAATGTTTTTATTTTAGAAAAGAGAGCAAATATCATATATTTAAACTTATCCGTTGTGCAAAGCTACTAAGAGATACATTTTCCCCATATCAAACATCATTTTAGATGGAATTGTAGTTATTTCTTTTTTTTAATTTAAAATAACACTAGTGTTATTCTGCTATTATTATTATGATTTTTATGTATTTTGCTAAGAACTTTCTGTCTTTGCAGTAAGCTGTTAAGATAATTTTAAGCTATTAAGTTAATTAATTTAATTTTAATTAGTAGCAGTTATTTAGTTGGGGCTAAGCAGAGACATCAACTATTATTTTGAGCTATTGGATTAATCTTACTTCTTTGGAGAAATGCTAAACTTTGCATTGTTTAGAGATTTTTAATCATCTCTCTTTTTTTCATTGTTAGTCCCAGTTAGTATATGATGTAAATCTTCACTAGTTTATTGATTTTTTATAAAATCTATTTCATCTTCATCATCATCACCCATTCTTATTTTAGCAATCAATTTTAAATCAATAGTATCATCATGCATTTTAAACTAAATAAAATGAATATTTCCTAGAGTAGTACCAACAATAAATATCTATTTTTATTTAATAAAAAATATATTTTTTAAATTTAATTTGATTTTTATTGAAAATAATTTAGAAATTTATTAATAACAAAAACCAATTAATCAATAAGTATTTCATATATATTTGCTATTTTATTTGTTTAAAAATATTTTTTATATTTAATTAAATTTATTAATTTTCTTAAATATTGATTATTGCTTAATTAGTGAGATTATATTTCCCGTTTAATTTTGAGGAAATTTTCACTCATAAAATGTTATTGAATATTAAAAAATATTACTGAATAGCCACTGATAAACTCTAAACAGGTAGGCTCCTCGTTAGGAGATAGGTAAAATATAGACATCAATCTTCCAAACTCATAGTTTATCAAATAGAGCTCATTATTGGAAAAAGTTACTACCATTAAATTATGATAGACAGATATTTCTAGGTTTTAAATTTCTTTTCCAATGTAAATTTCTCTTATTTTCTCAAATGTGCCATTTTACTATTCCTTCTAAATATAAATATTACCATCGAAGCTAGCGCTAGTAAGCAACCTATTTAAGTAATCCATTTTAATTACAGATACTTCATCATTATGACCTTGTATTTTACCAATGTTCTCCCCATCTCTTGAGCTAAAAATTTTAATTATGCCTATTTAATTAATATTTTTTTTTTAAATATCAAATCAGTCAAATATTTAGTCAATCTACCTTTCTGGTTACCAATTAAAAATTTCTTGTTTTATTAAAAAACTCTAAATGTTGTAATTTCATCTTCCTGTGAAGAAATAATCCCTGAAATAATTTTTTTTATTCTTCCAGTATCAATGTCAATATATTTAACATCTTTCCTGCTACATATACTCATTTCTTTTCTATTTGGATCATATTCAATTGCTATAGGATGTGAGCCTTCTTTAACCTTTTAGCTATTCAGCTCATCCTCAAAAAACAAGCAAGTAACTCTTGAACTAATCAAGCATATCCTGTCTTTTAGAATGTGTATAAATTTAATGGAATTTCTCAAGTCAATATTCATATTTTGAATACACTTCATATTTCTTATATCCCAAACCTTTTATTTAATACAAATTTATTTTTTAATTTTTAAGTAAACTCAATCTTATTGCTTTTTTTTGTGAAAAAAAAGACCTTGATTGCTTAATAAAAAATATATTTAATTAAACAATTGATATTTAGTCAAGGCATACTTTCAAAAAAATATAGATTTAAAGATTTTAATAAACCATCAATTAATTACTTTGATGTTAAAACGATCATCAGCAGTTACTACCATTGGAGTATTTTCTATACATTAAATAGAAGTGACTAGTGTTTGATGTCCTTAAAGTTTTCCAAGAGAGTTGTAATCATTGTATGTACTATGTAACGAGTAAATATTGATAATATTGTCATATCCTGCTGTGAGAATGATTTGATATGTCTTAAAAAAAACTACTTAGTTAAGATGAGTATGATCTACTTCTATTTTAAACAGCTATTTTAAATTGAGAAAATCCCAAATTGCTATTTAATTATCACAAGTTGCTACTGCTACCAATTTTAGATAAGGTATTTCTAGCACTTAGAGAATTCCTTTGCTAAATGTTTCAGATTTCAGTGTGTTGCTTATCTATCAATTTAAATTTATTTTTTTCAATTCAAAATTACTCTTTTTAAAATAAATTTTACCAGTTCTTTCTCTAAATCCCAAACATAAAGTTGGTTCTTTTTATCAGTAGTAATCCATCTATCTATGCATTCAACATACCTATTATATTATCCATATTAAAATATGAATAAATCTTATAACTTACCAAATTTTAGTCTATTCTTCTGTGAGAAACTGACCTATCTAAAAAACCTTTTCGAAAGCAAAGTTATCACTGGCTTCCCAAAATACAAGATAACCATCTCTAAAGCTAGCTCCAATTCTTTATTACTTTTGAGACCAGTAAAAGTCAATACAAACTTAATTTTTTAACTTAAATGATTAAATTATTTAATGCTAAATATATATTTTGTGTTTATATTAATTTACTTATTAAATTTTAGGGTAGAGTTCCCTCGTAACATTGCAATTATAATCGTAAAAAAGAAAATGGTCAGAGTAGCTATCAAGAGTAATAACTTTTTAAAGTGTCTCAGCATAATGAGAAACAATGATCATATTTTTATTATGATGAACTGCATCAATACAATTCTTTTCTTTAGTTAATCTCCTAAGCAAATGATTATCGTCCTTATATATAATAGGAGGATTTATATCTATATCTCTTACTACTCTTTACTGTTTGCTTAATTAAAATTTTCTTTCTTCAGGAAGCTTTTTACTGGGAATTTTTCTATCATCAACATTCCCTATATTAATATTATCATTAAAAATAATGTATATTATTCTTTGTATGTATGACATATGATTAACTTAATTTATTTTCTAATGTAAGTTAATTTTTATGTATTTTTAAACAAGCATTTTAATCTATTATGAGAATTTAAACTGGAATGATTTTCCAGCATGCAATAAACAATTAAGATATTACTATCATTTTTTATGATGTATTATCATTATAAAGGATGAAGACATATTTATAATTCAAGTAATTTATAAATTACCTTCAGAAAATGCAGGGTCATTCTCACATATGTAATTTGTAATGTTTTGAAATTTGATCACTTGCTATAAATTTTCATTCTCAACTATTCCCTAGTAAAAATCAATGAGGGCAATAGCAACATAAAGAGTTTAATTTGAGTTATACTCCATATGAGTTAACATTTAAAATAAAAAATCAATTATATCTATCCCTTTCTTATTTTGGTAGGAGTGAAATATCTACTCAATTTATGTAAGATTCCTACTTAGATGATTATTAATGTAGTCAACATTAAATATCTAAAGCATTTACTACCCATCATTTCCCTTATAATTTATTATTTTTTGTACCAAGCTTTCTATCTAATCCTAGTCTAAATCTTTTTCAAAAGCTTAAATCATTTAGTAACTTGCTTACCTTTAATCAGGTATATGCTAATTTCTTTTAGAAGAGCTTATTTTAAGCTAGTATTTATTGATAATATCTAAATCAATAATGACTTGCAAATTAACTAATTAATTAATAAATCAATCAATAAATTAATGATTTGGACTTTATTATTAGTAACGCTTTAACAAAAATAATTAACGATACACTCGCTCATTATTTATTATAATAAATTATTTCAAGTATTTTTTGTATTATGCTTTCATTAAAGATTTTCATTTAATTTTTTATATGTTCTATTTAACCAAGCATAATCTCCTTATAATCATATTTGTTTTCAATTACTATGCAAAAATCATTTAAATAAGAAAATTTTTAATTTAATCATATTAAAAAACACAAACAAAGTAATGTGTAAATGTGATGAAGCAATGTAAAATATCGAAAAAATACATTTTTATATTTCTATCCTAAAATTTTGATAAATATTACTGAAGATAAACTAAGAAATGTTAAGTTTTTTTTACTTACATTTTTATTACCAAATCCAATTCCTTTTTATAAAAATTATATTTAATTTTTAAATATTCTGCCAAATAAGGTAATCAATCAATCATAGAAATAAAAAGGTACTAAAATATATTAAAATTGGTTAAATTAGAAATTTTTAATGCATATAAATATAATAAGTTATTTTTTATAATAAGACATAAATAAAATATAAAACTTAATAAAATATTTTTTATTTTGAAAAATTATTAGATAAAAAATTAAATAAATATTTAAATTGTTAAATATAATAATTTAATCGATGAATAATTGTTATATAATATAACTCATTTAGTAATTAATATATACAAGATTTATAATAATAAAGTAAAATGAGTAGAAAACATTTATCTAATTTACATTTTTTAAGACATTTATTTATTTTGTTGAAAATTAATTTAAAATTCAATAATCATTTTTAAAAAAATGGATTTTGCTTTGATCTCTGATTTGTTAAGTATAATAAGAAGAATTGTCATTTTATTTTTAAGGTTGAAGCTAGTTTTAGGAATAATTTGAGTCATTATTTTGTGGGGAATATATTATGTATTAAGAAGAGTTAATGATCTGATGGTTGTGTTAAAATACCTTAATATCATTCATGTTATGACGAGGAGTATTTTCAGATTCTGAAGATGAAGATGAAATATCTTCATTAATACAAGCTTATTTATACATTTCCTAAAAGTTAAGAGGCTCTTAATTTTATTTCTTATCTTAATCTTTACCTTAGCTCTGTAAAGTATCACTTTAAAAAGATTTTCTGTTAGAAGATATTGAAAACCTTATTTTATTTTAGATATAATTTTACAAAGATGGAAGTTTTAAAAAATTTTATTTTTTTAGATTGATTTCTTAGTCCATATTAGTTATGCCATTTTCACCACTTTATACATTTTTTATTTCATCTAAACCACTTTCTACTTTACACATTGGAGCTAACTGAGAAAAACACGATAGACGTTTACACATATAGTAACTTTAATTTTTCTATGATTTGTTGTTGCTATCATTAATATTTTCAACCACAGATGTTTCAGGTATTGTATTTTTTTAGTTTGGTTATGTGGTTGAGTGATTTTCTAAATTACTTTCAACAGGACCATTAGATATTTACTCATATTTTTATATCAGTTTCTATATTTTAGTAGTAACTGCTTTATTTGTTTTCCTTTTTTTGATGAGCTAAGCTTATCTTCTTTATTTTGACTCAATTATTTTCACTTTTTACTGCTAGAATTTTCTAAATAAGTGGTGGCTTTTAGGATTATTTAGGATGTTTTTCATAAAGAGAGAACAGTTATACTTAGATTGATCATTGTTATCAATACAAGTATTGCTATTTTTTTATTTTGGAGTATTTTATAATTTGCTTTTGTTATAGTGAGTGCTATTTCTTAATGAAAGTTTCATAGTTTTGATGCTTTTTTATTTGAATTTAAAGTACTCTAAAATTACTGATAAGTTATTATGTGGTAAGTAAAAGTCGAAATTCTTTTAAATTTCAAATTCTTCTTAGTTGCTTAAGCCTTAAATTTCATAATCTTTTTAAGCATATGTTTGAACAATTTAATAAATTAAATCATTTAATTTTTGTTTATTGTTTAATTCCAAATTCACAGTATGAGTATTATTTAACTAGATATGGTTGCTATGATTGTTTTATATTTTTAATTTAGATCCTTGCATAAACGAATTATCAATTTTGGATGATTCTTCTTAGTTGTTGTGTTGGTAAAAATATAGTTGACTGTTATTATTCATATGATTTATGCTGTTATTCACTGGCAATAAATTATTTTGTTTATTCGAACTATTGCTCATTATTAAAGGACTTTGTACATTATTTTTTGAATTTTAAATATTATTTTTATCTTTGTTAGAGGCTTTTGAAGTTGTAACTGAATTTATAACTTATTTAGGGGAAGGAGGCGTATTTTATGGAATAATTAAAGCAGGCGGTCTTACAAATTATCTTTAAGCTTTTGCAATTTACTCTGTATTTTCAAGCTCAGAAGCAATAAATAAATTAGAATTTACCCCACTTTTAAATTCCTTTGTTAAATTTCTATTACCTTAATTGTTAAATGATTGCTATTTAGTAAAGGTTTATGAAAACTGTTTTGTAAAATTTTTAAGTTGCTCTTCTATGCTACCCATATGAGCTGGTCCTATAGATAAAGATGCAGGTCTTACATCTGGGGAGCAATAGATGTTATTTTTTTACTCTTTTTCATTGACTTATTAATTTTAAATATTTACAAGTTGTATTGCCTCATTCGACTGAATTCTCTATATATTTTGACTGAGTTCAGAAACTTCATCAATAAGTTCGTTATATTCATTGAATTGCTCAATGTATCCATCAATTAGTTCGTTATTTTCTAAATTGAAGCAGTCATATTTTTGAAATACATATTGCTATAGAAGTAGGCTTGGAAATTTTTATATCCTTCTTTTCACATCCTTCCGATCACAAAACTCCGACAAGCTAAGTTTATTAATAGCTGCTATCTATTTTAAAAATTAATTTTCAACTTTATTATTTTAAAGAAATTTTCATAATTAATTATAAAATAAAAACGAAATAAATTGATTATTTATTTTTATAAATGCAATTGAATTCTTTTAATAAGTATATCTCTTTCTTTTCTTTATTCGTTATAAATGCTTCAATTCTAATATCTTTTAGTTTAAGATTATCATATTTTTTTTGATATTAAAAAATTAAAATTAAATAATATTTTATCTCATCCCATTCAAATTTAGTAAATTTAGTGAAAGAATATCTTAATTTATGTGGAATAATAATTCAATTAAAATTGGCTAATGGTGGATTTTTTAAATTTTAATTATATTTATTTTTTGATTATTTTTGACAATTTATTTTCTAGAAATAATTAAATGAAGTAATAATTTTTTTTTTATTTAAAATTATTTTATTGTTTTTATGATGATATGATGCAATTAAGAAAATTAAAGAAAATTAGAATATATTTATTAAAATTATTTATAAAATTTTGTTAAAATAATTTTAATTCAAAAAAAATTTTTTTAATTTCTGAATTAGAATTAACTGGGAAGCAATAAAATTAAAACATAATGCTCAATTACTTGATTAACTACAAGATGAATAAAAGGACATTATTAAAAGGTGTGATTTAAAGATCTGCAAGAAAAGCACTGAGATTTTAAAATACTTTATTCTTTTGAATAAAGCAACTTATCTTAAATACAACAAAATATTTCATAATCAACTGGATAAGTTTAAATTAATGCAAGGAATTTTTTTCTTCTAAGCCTAATTACTGTTGAATATTCTAAAGCTTTAATATTATAAGAATGTGCCTATCCTGAAAAGAATGCATATTCTCCAAAATAATCTCCTCGTTACATATGCTTGACTATTTTTTCAGCATTTTCGTCTACATAAATAATAAATTTTCCAGACTCTACAAAAAATAAATCACATTCATGTTCATTAATTTCACACATTACTTATTCATCGACTCTGTAGGACTACTCTTCCATAATTTTTATCATACTTACTAAAAATTCTTCTGAAAAATTATCACTAAAATTCTTGAATTACTAAAGAATGAATTTATGAGTTTCAAATAACAACTTATCTCTTAATTATGGATTTAACTAATCAATTATTTGATGCTCTTTTTCTTGTTCTCTATTGCTTTGCATATACCACAAATATTCTAAATACTCTCTCACTTCATACTATAATTCTCTCTCAATATTTTTTTTGCTCATAAAATTACTTATAGTATAGAGATCTTCTTTAATCTTTTTATTTTGCTTATTAATTGCAGAAAATATTTCTCCTATTGCATTAATACTATAAGCAAAAACACCACATGAAATCAACATTGAAGCAATGCAAATCAATCTTTCTGCATTATTTACCTTTTATTTATAAAATTTAATTAATAAAAGTTCTAAATCCATCTCTCAAAAAAATTTAATTTCTCTCAAACAAAATTTTCTTATTTTTAAGATTTTTAGCTAAATAAAATTATTTCATATAAATTAAGTTAATAATTATTAAATTTTTGCTTGTTTGTTTTTAATGAAAGTATTTTAATTTAATAAAATCCTATCTTCAAATTATTTTTAAATTATTTTATTTTTCACTCCCAATTATAGTTTTATAATTGTAGAAAAATCTTTTTAATTTAATTTTATATGAAATTTTTAGATTTAATTTTTTTACCTTAAAATAAATTTTTCTACTTTTAAAAAGTGCATCTTGATTGAGAATTAAGATAAATGAAAATAATTTATTAAATTAGATGAATAGATAAAATTTATAAGTATTACTGGAGAATAATCACCATAGCCGACAGTGATCATTGTAACAGTGGCAAAATAATATGCTGTTACATATTAGCCAAACCAATCAGTAGGATAGTATATATCAGTTTAAATCCATGACTTAACTTGAATGTTAATTTCATAATGAGCAACCAAGACCCACATGCATGCAAAGATATGCGAAACTGTTAATATCAGGAATAAAAGTTGGAACAATGAGGAGACTTGCATTACTTTAGGTGTCAAATGAAATCTCTCTTCAATTTTTTTGAAAATTACCTTAATAGATTTGATTTTTAGGATAAAAAGCAAGTGCAGCACATTCCAATTTTAGTGTGAAGCAATTAAAATATCATAAACTAGAAATATAGAAGCAAATACATCAATAACGATCCCATTCTTTAAATAATTGAATACAACCTGAGATCTTTTTGTGATAGGAAGTCCTTTTTCAAAATATCCAAAATTCCAAGCAAGAATAAAATCAGCTATTAAAACTGATATAGAAAATATTACAAAGTGGCTATTGAATAGCGTACAGAGAGATTATTTAAATGTAAGCTCTAAAGGAATCATAAATAAGAAAGCTATTATAACAAACAATATTATTATATCCCATACAAACTTAAATTTTCCAGAGGGTGAAAAGACAGGAATGCATTAAAACCACTAATCACACCACCAAAGACTTTACTAAGAAAAGATCTACTTAAATTTATGGTTTTAAAAGTTTGTTTCTACAGTTTAGGTATCTTATTATTCTTGTGTGTCGCCTGAATCTCTATTTTATTTTTTATTCCAGTCAAAACAAAATATCCTACTTTTCTATTTGATCTTTTATGAGTTATTCTACTAAGAATTAGGAAGAGAGCCTTCAGAAATGACTGTTGCTTTATCATTTATTAAGTTAAAATGATCATAGTTTAATTTTTTAAATCTAGATGAGCTTGTATTACTGAACCATTTACTTGCAAAAAACTTCCATTTAATTGTATTATAAATTGACATTGCCCTTGGTTTCTTTTTTCTTTTACTTTCCATCATTTAATCTACAAAAGTTTTTTAAGAAGGTGCCAAATTAGTTTATGAGATATATGGAATCTATTGTAATATATTCTTTGTTATTTAAGCCTCTGCAGGTGTTATTTCTCTACCACTCAATAAGTTTGACTAAAAATTATTGTAGCTTGAGAATGCATTTTTTTATAAGTTAGATTCTATGTTTTCATGATTTTGAAGGACTAAATCATTTTTATTTTATGGTAAAGCTCTTGAAGTCTATAATACTATATCTTGTTGCTTATAATTTTTGGAAGCGACTAAAGATTAAACAGTTTATGAACTCAACTAATTGTGGTTAGGTGCTTCCTTGCTTGATTCAAAATGATGGGCATTAATTTATTTTTGCAATGAAGTAATCATTGATTTATTATTATAAAATGTAAATATTAAAATTTAATAAACAATTAATTATTCTTTACTTACTTTATTATTAATTAATTGCGTTTATTATTATTTTAATAAAATCCACAAAATTAAAGCCAAGCATATTTCTATAAAAAAAACACAGATTTTTTATCTTATTTTCTGAAGTAAGTAAAAAATACAAAATTTTTAAAAAATAAATATTTCAAGTTCTTCAGTTTTTTTATTTATTTATTTATGTATTCCAAACAAAATCGATTTCTATACATTTGGTAAGTATTTAAAAATTACAAGTTTAAACAGTTTAAAATTATGGTTTAAGAAAAAAACTCTATTTTAGAACAAAATTGAATAAAAAATTCACAAGCAAATATCAAACTCTTTATGATTATCAAATATTTTTTCAGACTCTATTTGCTTATTTTTACAATTTTTTATATTCAATGAAGTAAGTTTTTTGTGTCATTTAATAAAATTAATTAATTTTTCATCAAAAATTGATCAAAAAGTCATTGGCGAATTAAAAAAAAAAAAAATTAAAATAGAAATTTTATCCTTTTGTTTGTTTAAAAAAATAAATGCAATTTAATTGGTAAATTTTTGAAATACCTATCAAATAAGATAAGATAAATCAAATCTATAATATATTGTACGATATAAAAATATATCAAGTATTTTACTTGTTATTAAAATATAGTATAAATAGTTTATTAAATAAATAGCAAATTAACCTAAATTAAATTATTTACTTTGTATCATTTTTCTTTACTTAAAGTTTTTAATAAAATATGTAAGTTTTTTGTTTCAAGATATTTAATAAAATTAATTAATTTTTAATCGAAAATTAATCAAAAAGTCATTAGCGAATTAAAAAATCAAAAAAATTACAACAGTAATTTTATCCTTTTGTTTATTTAAAAAAATACATGTGACTTTATTTGTTTTATTTTAATTAATATTTGTGAAATACCAACTTTATAAGATAAAATAAATAAAATCTTTCTAATTAATAATGAATACTTAAAAAATATATCAAATAACTTGCTTATTATTAAAATATAGTATAAATAATTTATAAAATAAGTAGTAAATTAATCAGAATTAAATTATTTACTTTGTATCATTTTTTTTTAATTAAAACTCTAAATAAAATATCTTTAGAAACAAATAAGAGAAACTAGATAGAAATTGATCTGAATACTAAATTTTATAATTTTCATATAATTAATTACAATTTGGCATTATAATTTATTCAAAAGATATTATTAAGTTTAATTTCAAACCTTAGAAATTTGATTATCTAATCCAATAAGAAATTTTTAATTATTAATACATATTTAAAATTCGTTTTGAAATTCAAATTTTTATTTTCAAGGATAAAAACAATTTTTAATTTAAGTCAAAAGTATTCGTATTTTATTAAGTTTTTCATAAAAATAAAGAGTAATTTGCTTGCATATATGCATAAGTACATTTTACTTATTTTATTTTCATATTAATTAATAATTTACCTTATTAGATTTTATTTAATATAATATTTTATATTAAAATGTATTTAAAATGAGAAATAAATTAAATTTAAATGAAATTGAAAAACTTTGAGGTGCTAAGTATGCTAAAGGCTAAATTTTATTAAAATTCTTATAAAAAAAATTTTTTAATAACTTTATAGTCAATAGTATTTATACTTTTAAAACAAAACACAAAAATAAGGATAAAAATGTATTTGTAATATGTATGTAGTATTTATTCACTTATTATATATCATACTTCAAATAATTAATACTATTCAAGAATTTCAACAGTGTTTGGATCTTGTTAATCTTTGTTGTTTTTCTATTTATTAGCAACATGTTGTAAAACTTTTTAGGCGTCATATATTTTGCATTCTTTCACATCTCCAACTGAAAGATATTTTCCATCATCTGAAAGTGAAAAAGTAACATTTTTACCAAGAAAGCCAATTTTGCAAATTAAATTATAACCATTTTCTATGCTCCAAAAATTTAATGCTTTTTGAACTTCGTTAGTTATTAAATAATTAAAATTATTTGTAAAACTCATGTAATCCATACTATCATCTTCATTTACTTTTAAATAAAATTAATTAATCAATCATATATATTAAAATAATTTTAAAAAATAAATAACTTACATTAAATCTTTTTGACAACTTCAAAGTTTTTTTTGATATCCATAATTTCAAAAGATGAATCAGTGTAACTGAGTATTAGAATATCGTTGTTATTTTTACTCAATAGGCGAGTTTAACAAATTTTATTTTCAGAATTTTAAAATTCTTTTAATAAAGCAAAATTATTTTCATTACTGAAAACTTTAGATTAACCATTTTTGTATCTAATGAAGAAATATTTTTAATTATGTTAAAATTCAGCAATAGTATCTTATTTTTAGTAAGGCTCTGTGAATTTAAGTGCTTCATCAATATCAGCTTTATCAAACACATTTTTGTTTTTCGATTATTAGATTTATCTATTATAAACCTAAAAAACGAACAATAAAATTTACCAGCTCACTTATTTTTCATCACATTTAATTTAATGAACAGGTTAAAAATTCTTTTCTATATCATTTATTTGAATAGTAGAACGGTTAATAGATATTCCTAGGAGCTTTAGATTTTCTGTAAAAGCGATAAACGGTGTTTCATCCTTGTGTATATTTATAGTATAAACGTGCTCAAATCCATTTTCAACATTCCAAATTTTACAAACATTATTTATGCATATGGTAGCTAAATATTTTGAACCAGGAGAGAAAATTGTTCTGTAAATGACTGTATTTTATGTTTTATTTTAGGCTATTTCTTCAAACCTTTAGGATATATCCCAAACCTAAAATGTACCTAGAGAACCTCCTGTTGTAAGATATTTGCTGTCTTGGCTAAAATTAACACATGATAATCTTTCCTTACTTATAGTATTAATAAGTCCAAACTATTTTTCTACATCCCAAATTTGACAATATCTTTCAAAACAGACATTGGCAAAGTATTTGTTGTTTTTTGAAAAAGCGAGAGAAGTTATTTAACCTTCAAAAGAATCTAATTCTATTACTTTTAGTAATTTAAAATCTTACTCAACCATCCAAATTTTTGTGTTACCATCTGTAGAGCCCGTAACAAAATACTTATTATCTGGAGAGAAAGCAATAGACGAAATGAAATTATCATGTGCATTTATTTCTTTGATAAATTTAAATTAATTCTTTACATCATAAATTTTGAAATAGTTATCAAAAATAGTGCTTATTAAATATTTGTTATCAGGAGAAAATGCTACTCTCGCAGGTCCAAGCAAAACTTCAATACGTTTGTGTGCAGCTTTAAAAATAATAAATTTATATAAATTTAAATAATATGTAAAATCATTTATTCAATAATTAATTAATAAATTGAATTGAATTGAATTGAGAGTTTATGAATAAATTACTTTATAACATTTACTGGCGGAGTTGACTTGTAAATTTTTATATTTATTTGAAGTTCTACTTAACATCAAAAACAGTAAGAGTTTAATCTAAACCAGAATTACTTACTACAGCTAAATACATTTAGTCATATGAAAATGATAAGCCAAATATATCTTCAGGTAAAGTTATCTAATTAATAGATTCATATCCTTTTTTAACATCATAAATTCTTAGCTTTTTATCCTGACACCCTGTAACAAACAAACTGCCATCCATAGAAAAAGCTGCGCACATATTGAAATCAACGAGATCTTCATCATAAGTGTAAGCCTTGATGATTTTTACTAGCTAATAGTTATTCTGTCTATCCCAAACTATACAAGAAGTGTCTTTGGAAACGCTAATAACATATTTATCATCTGGAGAGTACAAAATATTGTTAAGCATCTTTACATGACCTTGAAAATGTTCAACTTACTTGTTTTCTGTGCTTAAATTAATATTATAAAAGGTAAAGTCTGAAGAGCAAGCTCCAAAATAGTTAGAGTCATTAGAGAAAGTGAATGAATTCATATGTATTGAAATTAAAAAAGTATCTTCTTTTATTTCTTAATCAATTTTATACAACTATAACGTTTGTGAAGTTTTGAGAATAGCTAAATATTTTCCATTAGGAGATAATACAGCCATATTTCCATCTTCTGCTTTTTTTTGAGTTTCAGTCTCTTTAAATAACTTGTATTCATCATTTTATTTTGTCCACAACTGAATTTTATTTTCAAAAATCAAAGCTATTAAATTACCATCTTCGTTTGCTGAAGAGCATTTGTACTTTTCACACTTTGTTTGTTAGATCAGTTTGAAATTTTTAGTTTCATAGACATTCATTTGCTCGTTTTTCAAAGCAATAACTGACAATGAAGTTAATAAAAGGTTGTCACCATCAACTTTGATCTCTTTAAATCCATTTTATAGATTTCCATATTATGTAGTTTTATTATCCAATTAAACAAGGAAAATACCTTTTTTGAATTGGATATCAACAATTTTGGTAGTAAATTAAAATGAATTCAAAATTTCAAAAGTTGTTTTATCAATTTCAAATATTGTTTTAGCACAAGAAACAAAGAATTAATTTTGATATTAGTACACTTTTTTAAGTGAGTAGCAAGATATTTTCTTAGATTAAACTAATTTTTTATTTTTAAAATCAAATCTATTTATAAATCCATTCTAATTCACAGTAATTATTTCATTTTCATGGTACATTAAATCATTGGATATGTATACATCACTCAGGTCAAACAATTTTTTGAAGGATTTAAGCATAGCATTATTAGTATAGGAAGACTCAAAGCTACCGAGGTTCTGATTATCTAAGTAAGCCTCATCCAAATTACAATAATCAAAATTCATTTTCAAGCTTTTATGCCCAGGAATGTAAGCCTTCGAGAAAGAGCATTTTGAAAAACTGAGCTCTTCATAAGCGAATTTTCCATTCAATAAGACTGAAAGCATATTAGAGGCACCGATATCTATTTTACTTTTCTCTTTTTGGTTGGTTATAGTTGATTTTCTCAAATATTGTATATATCTACTTGTTTAACTGATTTATTAGCTACTATATGTTGCAATAAACTATTGTGACTCAATATCTTGCTTGATTAATTTGTAAAGCTTCAAAAGAATTTATTGCTCTGACTAATTTTCTTCAGGAGTCATAATAATCTTTTGATTGATTGCAAATTTAGCAAGCTCTTCAATACTAAGACTATGCACTTTATCTCCATGTACATCAAAATCGTACTTCATCGCTCTAGCAGCAAAGTATTCAAAAAGCGATTTGTGCTTAAATTCAATAGTATTATTAAATAATTTTTAGCCTTCTGGATTTTCATTGCTTTTTACTTTTGTTGCTATTTTAGAATTCACATAATTAGTTATTTTAATTAATAATTTTTGCTAATTCTCATTTTTAAGTGAGCTCTTAAGACTTTATTGTAGATTGAAAGAGACCTCCTCTTTATTGAGCTATAAGAAATTAGCTCTTTTACCTTTATTAAGGAACATTTACATTGCTATTGTCTAAAAATATACAAAGAAAGATGTAACGATTTCAGTTTTAAGCTTTTTATCTGATAAGCTTTACTGAATTTAAGTCATGAAATCAATAGCCTCTCTGCTAAATTGCTCATTAAAGAAAATTTCTTAAATTTATATTTAGTCAGAAATATTCTTTATTAAATCATTTAACTCTTTTTCTTCTTTGTTAACAACTAATCTTGTGAACAAATATAAATTAATTGGTAGGAATAGCAAAGTCTCTAGCTATTAGTTGCTCAAACATTTGCCCATCATGCCGATGAATTATTCTTCACTAAGACTTGTTTAAGAACTTGAGCTTTGCTTAGTATAAAATTTCTTGCAATATTAATCGATATCTTTCCTTTCAAATTCTTTGAGCTTCGCTATGCAATAAGATGTTTCATCTCTTACGTTATGCTTATCATCCAAACTGAAATAATGGCGAGCATCATTTTCTGATAGCTTCTCCATTCTAGATGAAACTATAACTAAAGTATTCTGCCATTCGTTAAGTTTGAGTTTTGAGTAAATTCTAAAAAAGTCTCCAGAAAACTCATCATATCCATCAAGCAAAATAAGCTTATTTTTAGATAGCTTTTTAATTTAATCTATTTAGTGCTATTCTAATTTTTAACTGAGCAAATACTCATCCAAAGATGGATTCTCAGGATTTAAGCTATTACATTTGATTAAAAAGGTGATATAATTAATTTATTTCCCATCCTTCTACTTATTTGAGTTCTTTTCTTTCATAACCAAAGTCTCCAACCTTTTGAAGAGCATAGATTTACCAACACCACCTTCTGCAAGAATACCTAAAATCTTACAATTAGTCTATGCCTGATTATTTTACTTCTATGGCTGATCTAATTAATGTGGCATAAGGAATGATTGAATGATTGAATCAATTGCATTTATCTTGATATTCTAATTTTACTGAATATTGTCTGCAAAAATATTGTTTCCGCTCATAAATGCAATATTTTAATCAATGTAAAGATCTTAAACTTCTAGTAAGATATCATCTTTTTATGCTATATCTTTTTCTAGTCTTTGTCTTGCCTCTATTTCCCACTTTTCAATAATTTTAAGAGATAACTTTTCGAAAAAATCAGATTAATCTTTAATAGTGTCTTCGATTTATTCCAGTTCTTTCTTACTGATTTTATTATTCTCAAATTCCTCTAATCTGGATTTTTAATAGGTGATTACACTTTATGCCATGTTGGTTGGATTACTTTTTACTTCTTCATTCAATACACTAACAAATTTATTATTAGATTGATATATTAACTTGATTGAGTCATTCTTTTCTGACACATAAGTAAATACAAGATGAGTAAACAGAGTATTTTTTTCTTCAGAAGAATCTGATTAAAAAGCGTCATATAACTTAAGTAAAATTTAATTTGACACAAACCTATAAGTCACATCCTTTACACTAAACTTGAAGAATAGAAGGAAACTCTCTGAAGTGGATTATTTTTTTGCTGATTACTGCTTTATCATTTTGTAGAACTATTAAAACTTATCATTCACATTGAATTATTAGTTCAAATCTTCTACAAATTTGAAATCAAGAATATTTTTTTCTAAGATATAGTTGATCTAAATTAGTAGATAAAGCACCAAATGACTTGAAGTCTAATTGTCAGAACAATTTATAAACTCCTCGATATAAAAAACAAGATCATCTATAGCTTTAACGAATTCAATATTTTCTAAATGCTTTGCCCTTTTTGCCAAAATAGCTGCAAAATATTTAATCATAGTATCTTTAGTAAATGACCTGACTTTTTCTTGAGCTCTATCAACAATCTACCATATTTGCTCAAGCTATTCTGATCTTTTGAATGCAATATCATATAATAATTATGATATTTCTTATCCATCTTTATCATTTATTTTCATAGATTTATCAACAAGCACTTTCTTTTAAAACTTTCCTTAATTTTCTATGTTCAATTTTACAAATTGAGAAATAAGTTCAAGTTGAGATGCATTTTTTTCTGATATATCTATATCCTAATCACTTAAGTCGTACAAAAACTAATAAATGAACTCTAAATCTGAGCAAGGAAACAACTTTGAGTTTTACTAAAGATTGCTCAAGAAGACATCTATTTTGCTTATTATTTGATTTTGATCATCTCTATCTATAGCTAAGCTACCACCCATGGTGTATTACAAACACAAATTAAAAAATTCTATCATAAAGATTCTGTACATATTTACATTAACTACTATATTTTCTTTGGTCCTATTAATACACTTATCGAAAATGTCGCTTATTTCTGTAGTATATTCTTACTTTTCTATTATTTTATTTACATACTTTACGTTGTTCACTCTATCTTAGTAAAATTTGTTAAATTTATGGTCTATCTAATTATTCTAATTGACTTATTCATCAATTAATTAAAATTGTAGCTCATTTTATCCATCTGATCTGCTACAGCAAGCTCCTCCTCCTAGTATTCTCTCTTGGTTTGAAGAATTTTATGATTTAAATATTTTTTAAAACTGAATCTAAGTCATTTTGGAATCACTTTTCTTTAATAAGTTAGCTATTTTCTATCTTTGGATTTAAGAAAGCCCGATAAGAAGTTGTTTTTCATTTTTTTAGTGAAAATACATTGACTATGTTTAACTCTTGTTTATGATTGATTACATATTTTCTGAGCAACTCTTTGATATTACCTACTTTTTATCTTTAACTAAGTACAAATTGGTAGCTTCTACAGTGATTAGATGTTCTTCTTGATAGCCTTTATCCTTTCTGCTTGGTGATATCTTTTCTTTCATTACTTTTTTTTTAACTACTTACTTTATCGTTTTTCAAAATATTTATTATTATTATTATTAATTATTTCAATTTGTTTAACTTTTTTGTTGTTTAAAAAGAGTAGAAATTAATTATTTACAAAATTTACTCTATTCTTTAATACAATTAAATCTTATTTAATTAATTAATTTAATCAACAAAAAGAAAGGAGGAAAAAGTAAATTTTTTTGTTACTACACTTAACGTATTCAACTAAAATATTACATATCTTATATTGAGTTGACTTTGAGGTGGTAAATTGTAAATAATAAATTTTATGATATCTTAAAATTACTAAAACAAATTAGTTTCTTATGATAAAAAATAATAATTTAAATTAGTAAGTAATTTTGAATAAAAATAATAATTCAAAATGATATTATGCTAGAAAATAGTTTTAAAAAAAGCTCAACTCAACTCAAATTTAAAAATAGTTTTAATTATCGTGAAAAAATTTTAACATAATCCATGTAAATAAGTTGTCCATTTAATTTTTATCAACCCAGTAAGGATATTATCTTTATAAAAAAGGATATTTTTAATTAACTTTTCTTAAAAATATTCGAAAAACTAAAGGAAGGACACTTACTTAATTACCTTAAAAACTAATTATCGAAACTTAAAAATTAAAAATATCAAAGGATACCATAAAAATCTTACTCAAAGCATCTAATCAAAAAGTTATAATTACCAAATTTATCCTTTTTTTAATATTCACTTATTTTTTCATAAATAACTAATAACGCATATTAATTTACTATTAAATTTATTTTTATGAATGAACTAATGTAAATAAAAATGGCTACAAGTATTTTAAAATGCTTTTTTGAATAACTTTTTCCTCTAAAGATTGTTTTAAAATTTAATGAATGAATGAAGAACGAAATGCTTGATTACAAAAATAAATTATTAAAATATTCTGTGTTTTATAGAAGAATTATAATTCATATTATTATTATTTACCGACTAGTAAAATAAAAAAACGAATTACTGTTCAATTTTTTTGCAAGATTAGGTAATAACTTAAATAATAAATTTGCTGAACATAATTTTTATGCTAATAGGAGGATATGGCATTGAAATTACATAGTATAAATTTGATTATAAAATGTTTTATTATATAAATTATTACTATTTTTTGAGATATTTTTTTTTAATAGCAATTAATAAATTAAAATATCACATTTAAATATCTTAACTTAATTTTTCTTTCTTACTTTTTTTAAAGGATAATTAGTTAGTTAGAATGATGATTTTTTATCTTAGATACAAAAAAAATTAAAACAAATGATAAATCTTATTTATTCATAAGTTTTTTGTTTTAATAGCTTGCTATGTTTATTTTGATAAAAATAAAATGAGAAAATAAATAAATTTTTTAAATAGAGTTTTAATTAATTTTTAAGATTTTATTTATGCATTTAAATTCTATAAAATTTTATTTTATTTATATTGATTTTAATTCATTTTTTTCATTTATTTAATCGAAATTAAATTTTGTTATTTGTAAAACAAAAGAATTTGAGTTGATAACCTCAATTTATAGCAAGTATTTAAATATAAAATATTCATTAAATATTTTCATCACTTTCATAAAAGTAGATCAATATATTCTTTCACTTTAATTTATAAATAAGAGAACTAATACAAATTTTATCAACCTATAATAAACAAATTATTTACACTGACCAAAAAAATTCCATAAATATTTAAATATTTTAAATTTTATTTTATTTAGTTTTTCTTTAAAGATTGGCATTTAAATAAAATAAAAAATATTTTATAAATTTATTCAAAGATTTAGTTTTTTATTTTTTTCTGATACTTTGAGGCATTATACAAACAAGCTTGCTTGACGTAGTAACTTTATAAATAAATAGATAAAAATTAAAAGAATTTATCGTTATATTAAATTTTTTTATTTAAAACGTTTTCATAAAATATCTTTCATTATATATATAGGTCTCGACCACCTAAAAATTTATATTCATTTAACTTTTTGATATTTTAAAAATTTTTTTTTTCAAATTTTTTATGACTTTTTTTATTTTTTTAATCTATAGTTACTTAATTTAATTTATATATATTATACATTAATGATCTAATATTCACAACAAAATTTTTATTAGATAAATTTTTTAATTATTTTGGATGAAAAAAAAATAAGCACTCAAATAATTTTTAAATGAGAGTCATGTCATGTGTTTTGTAGTTTACTTTATAAATCATTTCAAAAAAGAATTTAATCAATTTTATATCTTTTTTGTTTTTTAGCTTCCTAGAAATTTTATAGTTTTTTATTTTATTATTCAATATAAGTTTTAGAGAGTTTCCAGTCTTCTTAAATATTGTTTAAGTTGAAAGAATTTATTTTATTAGGATTTTCAACTTCAAAATCACCTTGGAAATATTTATCCTTTTGAGCTATTTTTCTGGATGAGTTAATTTTATTTTTTTTAACTGAATAAGGAGACTCAATTTCATCTTGATCTGAGCATTTTATTTAGCTTATTTCATTATTTTGAGTTTTTTATGTTTAAATTTAATCATTTTTGGATGGATTATTTTAGTATTTTTAAGTTTAACAAAACAATTATTTCCTTTCAAAATAATTTCGATAGGATGAAATATGCTTCATATTTTAATCTTATGCAATTAAATTAGATAAAAAGCTTTTTTATTCATTGGGAATGATAGAATCTTATCTCTAAGTTGAAATGAGGTATTTATATTCATTAGTAAAGCTGCTTTTCCTTATTTCCTAACCATTTTCTTCTTCGTTTCTAAATTTTAGGGAACTTTATTATTATATTTATTTATTTGCTTAACTGTTATAATTTATTCTTGGAGTGTTTTATGTGTCTTAAATAACATTATCAATTTAATTTTAATTTTTTTAAGCAAACTAAAATTATTCTAAAATTTTTTATAATTTAGTGTTCGGTAATGAATTTTTTATAATCTAATTATTTGAAATTATTTATTAATTTTACGAATGAAGTCTTTTGCTATTTCTTTTCCTAAAAATTAGTTATTAAAATTTTTTTTCGAAAATTCTAAGAAGTTAGAAGTTTCTTTAGCAACTAGGATTATTGAAAGGGTATTAATTCATATAATTTTCTTTATTATTAGAATCATTGAAAATACTACTAGATTCAAGCTATGACTTTATATTTTAGTTCAAGTTTTTATATTAGAATTTTAACTATTTAAGATATCTTGATTTAAACTTAAGATATTCAATTATATAAGAAAGATTGTTATGTGGAAGGTAAGTTTCATAATCTTTTTAAATGTCATATTTGCTACCTTCTTCATCTATTTCTTTTTTTTCTTTTAAGCTTTTTTACTGTTCAATTAATTACTGCACTTTCCAGACTAAATCACTAGTTTAGCCTTATTAATCATCTGACTTTATTGCTGGTAAATGAACTCTATCTTTTGAGTTTTTAGTATCAAAGCTATTTCTTAATGTGTGATAATTATTTAAAATAGCATTTGATTTATTTAAATTGTCATTTAATTTATTTTTTGGAGAAAGATTTTCTAGTTATTATTAATCATAAACTATACTTGAACGAGGTTAAATTAAACACTAAATTTTTAAATTTGGTTAAATTTACAGGATACTGCTTCTTTTTCTTTTTTAATTGTTTTAATCATTGATGTTGTTATTATTACTTCCTTGAAGATTTGAAAGCTAATTATCATCTGTAGAATTTATTTTTGATTTTAGATTCTTTATGGAAACTTTTGTTTGCTCTTCATCAAAATTAGATGAACTTAATTTATTTTTTTTGAAAGAAATTTATGAGATATAGCTTGCTTGATATCCTGTATGCTTATTTTCAGGTTCAATAGATGCTAAATCTTATTATGAAAAAATCATAAAAGCAGATTAGTTCATTTAATCTTAATCATCATTTTCCTAAAATTCATTATCATCATCTTCCTTATATGTATATTTTTATATATAGATATCTATATCTTAATGAAAATCCTCAACAAATTGTGATTATATAGCTTATATTTACCTTAAAAATAAAAATTAAGGTTGTCTATTAAATTTTCTTTGTTGTGTAGGATGCGATCTTATTTACATAACTTATTGATTGCTTATATTTGCAATTCTAATCTTTAAAAATAAATAAATAAATATATTTTAAATTTTGTTATTTCTACAATTAAAAATGATTTTACTTTTATCAAGTAAAATTATTTTCAAAGTCTTTAAAATGTTAATTGTTAAATTATAAAAATATAAATAAAATCATGCATGTTTTTTTTTTTACTTTATTAAATTGAGGAAAAAGCTTGTAACAATTAGTTGTAAGATGATGTCCTAAGCAATAATAACATTTAGAGTGTATTATGCTATAATTCTATGTAAATAAGAGGGTATCTTTAATATTGCAAAATGCTTCAAGATCTGAAGGTTTATTTTGAAACAGCTCAAATATATTAGACCTCTTTATTTTAAAAACTTAAGTAAATTCTGATGCTTTGTAGTTCAAATTAGTTGTCTGACCAGTAAAAAAAGAAAAATCACCAAAAAAATCTCCCTTTTTTAGATTCTTTAATACTTTTTTAGCACCTTCATCAATAAAGACTTATACTTGACCTGATTCTATAAAATATAAGCTATGATCATCTTAAATTGATTCAGAAACAATTATTTCATCAGGCCGATATGAACATTCTTCAATTAACTAAATAATATCAATTACGAATTGCTATGAGAAATTATTTTTAAAGATTTAGCACTCTAATACAATAACCTTGAACGTCTCTAAAAGTAGCTGCTCTTTCAGCTTTGGACTCAATTAATTAATTAAATTTTTTTCCTACTCCTTATCTCTCGAGTATTGCATATCCCAGTAATATTCTAAATATTATTTTATTTGTATTTATAGCTCAATATTTACATTTTTTTTGTCCATATATTAACTAATAGTGTACATGTTATTCTTTTTATCTAAGCTTTTTTTGGTCAAAGTATTGAAAATCATACCTACTGCATTAATACTATATGCAAATACACCACAAGAAAAGAGCATAGTAAATATGCTAATTATCATTTCTGTTGTATTTTGCTAATTAAAAAAATATTTTATAAATTTTAAGAATTTGTTTTTAGCCTTCAATATTAGGCTGATTAAAAAGTAAATAAGTATTTTTGAAAATTTAATAAAAACTAATTTCAAAACTATCAAATTAAAAAAAATAAATTTATTACTGGCGTATAATCTCCATAGCCAACTGTTATCATTGTTACTGTGGAAAAATAATAAGCATGAATATAACTACTTTACCAATCATCTAACTCTATTTTTTTATTGCTAACCCACATATTCTAACTACCATTCTAGATTTCGTATTGCGCTACTTGTATCCACAAGCAACCAATAATATGAGCTACGATTAGAATTAAAAGTAGAAGTTAGGCCAAAGAGGAGATTTAAATAATTAAGGGACTTAGATTAAATCTTTCTTCAACTCTCATAAAAAACTATTTGATGTTTTTGAAGCGTAAGAAGAATAATAAATGAATGTAATTAACATAATCACTCTACCAATAAAAATCAATTAAAACAAATAAAGAAGATGCTAAGTCAATATAAAATTGAGACCTGAAATACTTAATAAAAACCTCCAATCTATTCATATTTGGCTATCCTTTATCAAAAAAACCAAAATTTAATTAAAGAATAAAATCAATAATAAGAGCTATATTGCAAAGTAGTAATAATTTAAATGGAAAAAGATCTTTTAATGGTTTGTAGAATGTTATTTCAATTGGAATCATAAATAAATACAAAAGAATGACTATTATCATTATATTATCCCAAATAAATTTAAAATTTCCTGACGGACTAATCACTGGGATTGCATTTATATTAGCGAGCATGTTTTAAGTAAAACTAGAGTTATTTAAAACGCTTAAATATTTTTTAAAGCAAACCTACAATTTAAAAGGTATTTTATCTGCTTTACTTTAATTTTTACTAAAATAGTTAAAACTTAAATGACTTTAACTATGATAAAATGTAGTTTTATCAGAAAAAAGTTGAAGTTGATCTATATTAGTAAATCTAGATATATTTAGCTTTTAAGAGATCTTCTATGCAAATTATTTTATTTTTAATAGCTAAAGTAGTTTCTATGAATATTTATTTTTTTAATTTATATTCTACCTTTAGTTATTAGCCTTTTCCATTATATCTAATTTTACTTGAGACCCATTTTTCATCATTTTCATTTAATTATAGTATATACTATGCTTCTTACTTTTAATTCTACTATTTAACAAATATGAAATATTAGAAGGAGATCTATTTAACTGTGTTTAATAACTTAGGTTTGGGCTTAAACTTACAGATTATTCCCTTTATACAATCTATTCATTTTATATCTTTTATTCATTTTATGTTTTATTTAAAATAAAAGAATCTTCCATTTCTATCTAATTTTTAGTTTTATTTTTAATTATTCTTTTTCTTGTTATTTAATAACCAATTAAATTAAGTATTATTTTTATATTTATTTAAAAAAAAATACAAATTATTTAGTATATTTATTAAGTAAGTTTTTTTGATTTGTTCTACTAGATTATACTTTTACCAAACAAAGCATCAACATAATGTATTAATAAAATTTTTATTAATATATAGAGTCATATGTATATTAGATATTTCTAGAATTAATATTACTATATTCATATTTTTTTCAAAATTTAATAAAAAAGTAAATTAATAATTGTTCTTAGAAAATTAAATTAGATAAAAATATAAATAGATAGATAGTTAGTTAGTTATGATTTTAGTATTACTAAATTTTAAATTTCGTAAATTAAAATAATTTCTCTGATATTAAAAAAATATTCAAGTAGATAATATTTTGATAAAGTTATTTAAATCCAAATCCAAATACAACACTCAATTTAATTTAAGATCATAAATATTTGGTTACAAAATATTATTTTCTTCATCAACAAATTAAATTTTTTTTCTAATATCAGGTTTGATCGAAATTTATTTCAATGCTATTTTTTCTTTTCAATCTTTTGTTTAGTTAAAAGATGTTTACAATATATAAATATAAATTTCCAACAAAAAAATCAATAGCTGAAAGGCTATTTATTTTTTTCAATTTTTTTCAATTTCTTTCTTTCTTAAATATGCTTTTCTTATTAAATCACAAAAGAATTAATTAAAAAAACTCTTTAATTTGACAGTAAAATTTTAATGCACTTTTAATCTTTTACATTTCCTATAATTTTTTTAAATAATAAATTGATAAAGAAATTAACAGCTAAAAAATTTTGATATAATTACTAGCCATACTCAAAGACATAATTAATAATATTGAAACAAAATTTTTTTATTATAGATTTTAAATGAATTAAAAAATAATTTTGGTAAAATATAAAAAACACAAAAACTTTCTTTTTGTATAAATTAACATTTCTTTAAATTTTATTTTCCATTTTCAAAAATGTTATTTTTCAATATGTAATTAACTTAGTTTTTTTTTGAAAGGAGCTATCCTTTGGTTATTTTATTATGTGATAGGAGGAAGAGTATACTCATCCTCTGAGAAAATATTCTAAATTATTTAATTAACTTAATTAGAGTTATCTCTATCATCACTTTAAAAATATTTTTCTTTTTGAGCTATTTATTGAGTCGAGTGAATTTCTTATTTTTTTTACTGGCTAGGTGATTCTATTTCACTTTATACACCGCTTTAACTCTAAAATTTCTCGCTTAAAGCAATTTAAAATATTGTTGTATCAGAATTTACTTATTTATTTTATAAATTATTCTAGCTTTTTTAAGCCAAAGAAGATAGTTGCTTTCTTTCTATGAAACTCCTTTTAAAATGAGAAGCTTAGATATTCTCTTCTTATTAATATGAATTGGTTTATATACTTTAAGATTCACTTTATAAGAAAAGACTTTTCTTTTAAGAAGAAAGAAGTTACTTATTATCTATCGAGAAGCTATTTTATCTAATCCCTGCTCTGTGATCACCATCATTTTTAATATTATGAATTTCGATTTAGTTATTTATTTAAAGTTTGATATTAGGCAATAATTATTCTAAGCTTATTGTATCATCTTGGTTTTAAGAAACATATTAATATTTTTCCAAAACCTTTTATAGCTTAGTGTTGGGTAATGAGCTTCTTACATTTTAATTAACAGTAACTACTAGTTAACTTATTGAGTTACGGTTATTTTTTTATTTTTTTTTTAGATTTTATTATTTAACTTTTCTTTCGAATACCCTCAAAATTTAAAAATTTCTTTAGCAGCCTGGTATATTGAATGGGTATTAATTAATATAATTTTCTTTTTAATTATCAAAAGAAATAAATTATAAACTATTTTTATTTATTTAATTCACATTTCTATATTAATACTTTAACTATTTCAGAAATCTAGATTTAAATTTAAGATATTCAATAATTAAAGAAAGGTTGTTATGAGGAAGGTAAATTTCAAAATTTTTTTAGACATCAAACAAATTACCTTCTTCACTTTACTCATTCTTTTCTTTTAAATTGTTTTGCTATTCAAAAATTTGCTGCAATTTTAAAATCAATTCACTACTTTTATTTGAATCTGCTAAAATTTTAGTTTATGGCGAAATTTATTCTTTTAAGGTTTTATCATACATTTAATTATTTTTCTATAGCTGAAGTCTCTAAGAAGGAACTCTAATAGGACTTTCATATTATTTGTTCTAAGGAGTAAGGGCTTCTATTTACTGATATTCGCTCACTTATGGAAGACGTTACTAAAGTGCATTTACACCTTTAAAACTAGTTTAAATCTATTAAACTTTGATCAATCTCCTTTTAACTATAGGGGATTCCATAATTTGTTAATCTTTAGAGTTTATTTTTTTTAAGTTAAGATGATTTTAATCAGAAATCTCATCTATAATGTTTTGCTTGGACTTTAATTTAGCAGCAGGAGATTTTTAAAGCTAGCTTTCATCTTCAAAGTTAGATGAGCTTTGCTTATTTCTTTTGAATGATATTTAAGAAGAATTACGAGAATACCTTCTTGACCTTTATTTTTCAAATTCTAACGATGGTAAATCTTATTAAGAATTAATGTTGAAAGATGATTAATTGTTGGATTCTTCATCCAAGTTTCCCGAAAGTTCTTCTTCTATATCTTCGTCTCCTTCCTTCCAAATATATTTCTAATAATAATAATCTATATCTTGTTGATAATCTGATATAAATTATTGTAAATTATTTTATGAGTAATCTAAAAATAAATTTTCAGCATATTTACGCAGCTTTCTCTCACCACTAAGATTTTACCGTATTTACATGTCTGATTAATTACTAATATTTGCAATTCTAATCTAAAAATATAATTTAATGTTAAAATAATTACTATTCTATTATTAAAAAATTTTAAATCCTCGTTTCATTTTTAAGTAAAATAATTTTTTAATAGTTTTTTTTTTATCTTAAAAATGTAAAATAATTTTTATTTTAATCCATTTTATTTAATTTATAAGTCAATTTATTTATATTCAATTTAATTAATTAATTAATTATGTGATTTTTTATTTTTTTACATTATTTTTAAAAAATTTTTTCTTTCTTATATTCAAAAAAAATTTTTTTTTACAATAATTATGGTTGAATTTTCAAATTTATATTCAGTAAATTAATTGATGTTTAATTAATATTTGAATTTTGTTTAAATCAAATAAATTTAAAATAAAAAGGTAATAAAATAATAATAATATATATACCTTGTTAAATTGAGGAAATAATTTTGAGCAATTTGTTGTAAGGTGAGAGTCTGAGCAATAATAGCATTTAGAATTTATTATGCTGTAGTTCTGTGTAAATAATAGTGTATCTTTAATATTACAAAAAGCTTCGAGATCTTAAGGTTTATTCTGAAACAACTCAAATATATTAGATCTCTTTATTTTAAAAACTTAAGTAAATTCTGTGGCTTTGTAGTTCAAATTAGTTTGTTGACCTGTAAAAAATGAGTAATCTCCAAAGAAATCTCCCTTTTTTAGATTTTTTAACACTTTTTTAGCATCTTCATCAACAAATACTTGCACTTGACCTGACTCAATAAAATATAAGCTGTGATCATCCTAAATGGATTCAGAGAGAATAATTTCATCAGGTCGATATGAGCATTCTTGAATCAATTGTATAATATCCATTATGAATTGTTATGAGAAATTATCTTTGAAGATCTAACATTCTATGATAATCATTTTAAAAGTTTCTAAAAGAAGTCGCTCCTTAAGCTTTGGGCTCAATTAATTGATAAGATTCTGTTCTTATTATTCATCTCTAGAGTACTGCATATTCCAATAATATTCTAAATATTCTTTGATTTACATTTACAGATCAAAGTCAATATTCTTTTTAGCCATATAAGAACTTATAGTGTACATGTTGTTTTTTATAGCCAAGCTCTTTTAGTTTAGAGTATTAAAAATTGTACCTATTGCATTAATACTATATGCAAATACACCACATGATAAAAGCATAGTAATAATACTAATAACCATTTCTGTAGGATTTGACTAGTATTATAAAATAAAATAAATTTTGTTTTTGTAACATCATTAATTTAAAGTTTATCCAAAAATTGATAAAAGAAATAAATATTTTAACAACTAAACAAATTCTATTAAATTTTTTAATTCATATTTAAGTTTATTTACTGGTGTATAATCTCCGTAGCCAACGGTTATCATTGTCACTGTGGAAAAATAGTAAGCATGAATATAATTGCTAACCCAATCATTTTATTTAAGTCGGCTATTACCAATCCACGTATTTTTAAAATCATTTTTTATTTCGTATTGCAATACTTCTATCCACACACAGCTAATAATATGGGAAACGATTAAGATTAACAGTAAAAGTTAGACTAAGGAGGAAACCTATATTATTAAAGGACTCATATTAAACCTCTCTTCCACTCTTTTAAAAAATTTTTTGATGCTTTTTAGCCGTAGGAAGAATAATAAATGAATATAATTAACGTTATTATTATACCAATAGAAGTCAATTAAAACAAACAGAGAAGATGCTATATCGATATAAAACTAAGACCTAAAATATTTAATCATAACTTGCATTCGATTCATGTTTGGTTATCCTTTATCGAAAAAGCCAAAATTCCATTGAAGAGTGAAATCAATAATAAGAGCAATGTTACAAACTAGCAATAAATTATAAGGAAAAAGCTCCTTTAATGGTTAATAGAATGTTACTTCAATAGGAATCATAAATAAATATAAAAGGATGACTATTATCATTATAATATCCCAAATAAATTTAAAATTTCCTGAAGGGCTAATCACAGGGATAGAATTTATGATTGTTACTAATTTCTATAACAAAGTAGAACTATCTAAAATTCTTGAGCAGTTTTTGTTAAAATTTTTTAAAATGCGTAAATTTTAATAAAGTTGACTCTTTATTTCAATTAAACCCTTATTATTCATTTTATTTTAGGTTTAGTAAAATATTGTCTTATCGTTAATTAAGTTGAGTAGATCACTCTACATATATCTATTTAATTTAGACATTATTTTTTAAACAAACATTTTAATTTTTAATGCTTAAAAAATTTTTTAAGATGGTTCTAGCTTCTCTTTTTGCTGATATCTGTATTTTGAATTAACATTAATTCTATTTGCATTAAGTTAGTTGACTAAAGTTGGTTAAATTGATTAACCTATGAATGGCTTTGTTTATGGCGAATTATTTAACTAGTTATTACTTTAAAAATACCTACTATTTCTCCTGCCATGAAAGAATTACTAAGAACTTGAAATGTTATGAGGTATATCATTTGAAAGTGTTAAGGTATTATGATGATGAGGAGTTAAATAATTTTGTAGATCATTCAATCTACAATTCTCTTAATCCTACTTAATCCCTTTATTTGTTTAGTTTAAAATAGAAGAGTCATTCATTACAAATATTATTTCTTTGTAGTCAGTCTTCTAGTCTAATTAATAATCAATTGATAAAAACTTGTACCTTATTTATATAATTTATTTATAACTATATATTTTGCAAATAAAAATAATCTTTTGTTAAAATTTTATCAAATATCACATTTAATATATTTTCTTTTAACTTCAATTAATAAATAAACATTAATATATTTCTTTTTTATTACTTATAATCAATCATAAAATTTCTACTTTTAAAACTTCTATAAACAAATAATTTGTAAAAGTCTATACAATCTCTTTTTTACTGTTTTTTAGTAATAAAAAATAATACAATATTGTTATTACAATATTTCATCCAGATTTTGGTCATTGTTGTTTTATTTTTATATAATTTCTAGCAGCATGTTTTATGGTATATAATCTATTAATTAAGATTTGTTAAAAATAATTAAATTTGAGTCACTAAAATTTTATTTTTTCATTGTAAAATAAAAAAATATCATCCTCCATCATCTTCAATGACTGAAATGGTCTCATTATTTGTATGGGCTTTATAATTACAGAATAAATATTTAAGATAAATTAAATCATTTTAAATTCAAATAATATTTTATTAGTTTTACACTATACTATTCTAAACTGTTCAATTCAATTAATAATATTTTTGAAAATATATTTCTCAAGTTCAATAATTTTAGTATGGCTTGATTGTATGATAGGAAATACAAAGTAATTTGTTTCGAATATTGAAAGAAATTTAAAATTATATTAAATTAATTTACAAATGATGACAAAAAATTTCTTAGATTCAAATAAAAAATATTTTTTTCTCTAACATAATATTTAAAAAATATTAATTTATTTATTTAAATATTTTAGAAAAGACTTTAAAATTTATATACTTTTATTTACTTAACTTCATAATAATGAACAATTAATTAATTTATTTTCAAAAATAATTATTTTTGAATTATTTAAATAGTTGTTCAATGAATTAAAAATTATTTTAGTGGAATTACGTTTTATAAACAATAAATTGAATACTTAACAATTCTAATTAATTTTAATAAGCTTTTTATTATCATCATTTATTTATTCTTTAAAAACGCATCTTTTAGATGTTAATTTTTGATATATTAAAATAATAAAATACTTATAATTTATATAGTTTTAAAGATTATGGAAATTTTATAAATGTAAAATAGTAGTGAATAGGATCTAGCTGAGCAAAGCAATTTTAAATTTTCATGGAAAGATTTATTTTAGTATTTTGGACCAGGGTTACTGATTTCGATAGCATATTTAGATCCTGGCAATTTGGCAGGAGATATGGAAGCAGGATTAGTTGGTAAATATAGTCTCCTTTGGGTCCTATTTTTATCAACAGCACTAGGATATTTATTTTAAGTCAAATCAATGAAATTAGGATTGGTAACAGGAAAAGATTTAGCTAAATTATGTAGAATCCATTTAAATAGCAAAGAAAGAACTCTCTTGTGGATTATGGCAGAGATAGCTATCATGGGAAGTGATATATAAGAAGTTTTAGGTACAGCAATTGGATTAAAAATCTTATTTGGTTTAGAACTCTGGATTGGTGTCTTGTTGACTATTTTTACAACTTTCCTTATACTTTTAGTTAAAATTTGTGGAATGAGAAGCTTAGAGGCTGTGTTTGCTTTGCTTATAGGTACGATGGCAATTTGTTTTTTTATTAATCTTGGATATATCTAACCTAATCCATTAGATATACTCAAGGGTATGGTTGTTCCTACTATACCCTCTGGAGCTTACCTAGCAAGCATTGGTCTTCTTGGAGCAGTAATCATGCCTCACAATATTTACTTGCATTCTGCTCTAATGAATGAAAAAAATATAGATAAAAACGATAAAAAACTTGTCTCCAAATCGATATTTTATTTCAAGATTGAAACAGCATTGAGCTTACTGCTTTCCTTCTTAATAAGTGGTTCAGTTATTTGCACCTTTGCATATTACAGCAATCAAAATTAAGTTGAATCTGGAGATATAAAACTCAGCAATGCAGGAGATGTTTTAGCTGGATCTTTTGGTTAATTTGCTAAATATATATGGGGTATCGGCTTACTAGCTTCAGGTTAATCTTCAACTCTTACAGGTAAATTTTTAATTTCTAAAAAGATATTCTAATTGTAAGCTAAAAATTTAAAAAAAGAAAAATCTTAATATCCATAAACAAATAAGACTTAAATATTATTTTTATCATAATAAAACTAATCCAAAATAATATAATATAAATGTTAGCTATTTCTGGTTAATTAATTTTTATAAAACTCACTATTGTTAGCTTATTGAATATAGTAAAATTTGCTACCTTAAATTTAATATTTTATGAAAACAATAAAAAATTAAATGATATTTTATATAACTGAGATTTAAGCCAATTTGTTTTTTTTCAAAATTAATAAATAAAACAATTTATTTTAGATGAAATTTAAAAATTTTTATGAGTTAAATATTATTAAAAATAAAGTTTTGAATTTTTAATAAAACATTTAAAAAGCTAATGTGAATATTTAAAAAAATAATTAATCAAGATTCTTCTTTATCAGTGCACATAAATATTAATACCTATTTGTAGTAAATAATTACTAAATTTTCATTTTAAATTAGGATGAATGTTATTTTAATGTATGTGAAGATTAAAAAATTCTTTTAAAGTTTATTTGTTTTCTAATTATTATTTTTTAAAAGGAACTTTAGCAGGATAGTACGTTATGAGTGGCTTTATTAAAATGAAAATGGGTGATTTTAGTAGAGCTTTACTTACAAGATCTATAGCTATAATTCCTTCAGTAGTAATAGCCTTTGTAAATGAGAACGAAGATTTCAATATTTATTTAAATTTACTGTAAGCTATCTAACTTCCTTTTGCAATTATTCCTTTATTGAAATTCTCTAGTAATCAATATATTATGGGATAAGATGCAATTTAATAAAATGAATTAATATTTTTATCAGTTGCTTCAAGTTTAATAGTTATCTCAAATTACTACTGCTTAATGCCATAAAAAATAGATTTTTCTAGTAAGCTCACTTATTTTATGATATTTATATGCTTATTATACTTTGTATTTTTAATATACGTTCTAGTTTCTAAAATAGCAGTAAAACCTAAAAAATACTCAGATGAAATTAGTATAAATAGAAAAAGCCCTTAAAACATAGATATTGAAGACATAGAAAATAACCATATCAACTCATAGGATTAAAACTCTGAAATAAGCTAAAGAAATCAAGTTTTAGGAGATAAAGAATAAAAATGAAGTATTTGATATTTTAAAAAAGAAAAACAATTTTATCTAATTAAAAAAATATTTAGTAAAATCAATTAAATAAGCAATTATAAAATTAATCAATCTATTATAAAAATAACTAAGTAAGCAAGTATTTAAGTTAGTTAATAAGTAAATAAGAAAAACAATAATATTATTAATATATTTATTTGTTTCAAAATTTAGTTTTTTTATTTGTTTATTAATTTATTTATCTACATTGTTTTTTAGTTACCTTTATTTCAATATCAATATCGATTATTATTCTTGATTATCAAAATCAACTTCATTTTATATATTTTTACATCATTCAAATTTGAATATTTTATTTATAATTTTAATATTTTAGTTTGGTGCTTTCCTAATTGATGATTGACAGCATATTTTATATTTTTTATGATTAATTGAAGAAAAAGAATAAAAATGAAGTATTTGATATTTTAAAAAAGAAGAACAATTTTATCTAATTAAAAATATATTTAGTAAAGTCTATTTAAGTAAGCAATTATAAAATTAATCAATCAATTATATAAATATGTAAGTAAGTAAGTATTTAAGTTAGTTAATAAGTAAATAAGTAAGTAAGTAAGTAAGTAAGAAAAACAATAATATTATAAATATATTTATTTGTTTCAAAATTTAGTTTTTTTATTTGTTTATTAATTTATTTTTTTATGATTGTTTGTTAGTTACCTTTATTTCAAAATTAATATCGATTATTATTCTTGGTTATTAAAATAAACTTATTTTTATATTTTTTACATCATTAAAATTTGAATATTTTATTTATAATTTTAATATTTTAGTTTAGTGCTTTCCTTTATGATTAATTAGATAATATTAATGGATTTAATTTTTATCTTATATTTTTATAATTTTAATTCAAATATATTTTATCTTAAAGTCATTTTAATCCCATTTATGGTATTTCTTTACTTCGTTCAAATCAATATTCATGTTAAATATGGGATTAATACAGTCATCTTTGCTATGACCAATATACCATTAATCAATGTTATCAAATAGAAGGGATTTATGCCCTATGTCAATATTGTTTAAGCTAGGCTTTTAAAGTGTTTTAGAGCTAGCTTTATCAATACTTTCATGGGAATGACCTTGATTTTATTGAATATTAAATATTTCTTAGTTTAAGAAATAGCTAGGCCTTTTACTGCCAAACTGACCGTTTTATGATTCTTACCTTGATTAAAACATAGAATTACCTGCTAATTATTATTCTTAACTACTATCCGTAAAACCTCTTTAAATACTATTATGAATTAAATGTTTCGAATTTAACATTAATTGACTATTTGTTTCAATATATGAGCTAGGACACTCATTTTCTGGTATTTCTGATAGTTTTTTTTTTCCCATGGTCCTTTAGAATTATAATAAATTACTTTATTATTTGGTTTCATATTATTTGTTTTCTATTTGTTCATCTAATACAAATTCAAATTTTTTAGAATTTTCTTTTTTGGAATCATCAGAAAAAGGAGATTATTACTAATTCTTTTCACAATCGCTATGAAAATCAATTTAATTATTTGATTGGTCCTCACAATTTTTTTCTGCTTATCCTTCTTAGTTATTGGTTTTGAATGAATATTATTTAGATTCTGCGAGAACACAATTTAGTTCAGAACCTTCAATATGTTCATCATTTATAATCTGTTAATTTTTATCATTATTGTATTATTAAGAGAAATATGACTCCTAACTTTTTTCTAATTTTGTATCATTTTATTATTATGCAAATTAAGACTATTTTCTCTTATATCCATAACTCTATTTTCTTTTAGTCGACATACAATCTTTAATATCTTCTTCATCTTACTCAGTTTGATTTTAGAAAGAATTGAGTAATTTATTAAATTTCGATTAATTACCTATCATTCTAGTATTTTTTTTATTCTATTTTCTCTCAACTTTATTCATCTTTTTGCTTATAACTATTTTGTTAAGCTTTTTTCTTCGTTCAATTTAGGTCATATTAGCTATCAAAATAACTCTCTCACAATTATTGTGAGGGAAGTATTGATAGAAAGATTTTTTACTTTCAAATTCTAGATCTATTTAGCTTTTTTTCACCTTTTGATTATTTTCAACTAAATCATTTTGCATATTTTTTTTAGTGTTTCTTCTTTGTTGTTTTAGCTATAATTCCTCTTAATCTTTTAACCGCTAATCTTTCATTTATTGCTATGATTTCTCTTAGGAATTGTCTTTTTTTTCAGAAAACAAATAATTGAATAAACTCTCAACCTTTTTGACATTGTACTTAATTTAGCTGGATGTTAATGACTATTTTCTAGTTTCATTTATTTTAAATATCTAAGTACCTATTCTATCTGGTTCTGAATTATTATTAAATTTAAGGTTCTCTAAAATAGAATTAATTGCATTTATTTGATTAAACTTCTAATCCTCGCTTAGTTACTAATTTAACTAGATATCTAAAATCTATTTACCAAGCTTTTCTGATATCATTTGATATTAGATACTCACATTTTGATTTAGTATGCCATCATCTATATACCTCATCTCATTATTTAATGCGTCGTACTCATTTTTATTGCTACCGTGCATGGATTTAGAGTGAGTGCTGTTCCTTGCAATTGATTTTGTTTTGTAGCTATTCTTGTTTTCATTTAGGAGTTATTCAGAAAGATCATTGATTCCTAATCCCATAAACTAATTTTAGCTGCCTGAAGAACCAATCGATAGTTGATATAAGGTATTCATTTTGCTCTAATATTTTGAATGAAATGAACTGGATTTTTAATAACTTAAATTTCCTTTATCCTCAAAATTTTTGAAACTTTTACCTAGCTGAGTGTTAGTATTTTGTAAGTATGCATCACTACCATATAGCAGATGTTCTCCAATTTTAACTTTATTATAATCAGATTCTTCCAAAACATTTTCACTTGAAGGGTTTTTTTGTGAAATCTTTCCACTAGAGCCCCCACTTTTAAACTAATTAGTGTTGAATTTTTGGGAGTAAATGAAATTGTGGTTTTAATCGTTAACCTATAATACATTTTAGCTGTTGTCTGATATTTCATCTTGGCTTTTTTAATCATTATATATACCATTTTACAGTTTTTGTGAGTTTCTTTTATTGATTGAGGTAACTGATACTCTTTCAGATTTTTCAGAAGCCATAGATTTATTCATTCGGTTATTGCTTGGTTCGCAATCAGAGCTAGATTATCTAGAAGATTCTGAAGACATGCTTTCAATTCCATACTCTTATTCATACTAATCCAAAAGCCTTTCTCCTTCCTTTTCATCGAAATCACAGAATTTAGCTATCCTTTTCTGTACAAAATTCAATTTCAATAATGTTTTGAATTTCAACTTTTTTCTTAAGTAAGTTCGCAAAGAATCTTAAGGAGGTGAAAATTAAAGTTTCCTGATCAAAAACTACTTATTTGCAATAAAGTGGATTAAAGGACACTCTCCCATCAGATGGCTCTGTTATTTATTATTGTTAATTTTGTAATAAATAAATAAATTAATTTTTTTTATAATTAAATTGAATACTTCACTTTAACAAGCGAAACATTAAATATTAAGTTAAGAATAGTTATTATAATTTAATATGCTGTCTTTTATAGCACAAAACATTTCATAATCCTCTGGAGATTCTTTTGTGAGCAACTCGATAAAATCTTGTCTTTTTAAAAAAAATAGATCTTTAGCCACTTTAAAAAATAAAAATATCATATTACCTTTTGATCATCAGTAACGTAGTAAATTCTTTTGAGCAAATGGAATACCTCCTAGGTTACCCAGTGAAAAAACTAACTCCTCCAAAGTGATCTCCTTTTTTCAAACTTTGTAAAACCTTTGTTTTACTTTAAAATGCTTTATTTTAACTAGATGCAGAAGACGTACTATTATTTTCTAAAGACTCAATAGAATCTATTATTATGTCTACCTCCCCTTTTTAGATAAAGTAAATCGAGCAATCGTCTTGCTAATCCTCAAAACATATTACCTCTTTAGGAGCACAGCGGTACTCGTGGATCAGCTTCACTGTTCTCATTATCATAAAATCTGTAAAGTTACTGCTAAAAATGGGTGATTCTTTTAAAATAAATTTGTTAGCTTCCAAGAGTAACTCATCTCTAAGTAAATCAGAGAGCTAAGAAATTATTTTTTCTTCTTTTTCAATATTAGAATTCTTCATTTCTCTCCAATAAAAATCTAAGTACTACCTTATCTTATATTATAAATCTTAATTCACATTTTTTTGATCCATATAATTGTTAATTGTAAACAAATTATCTTTAATTTCCTTTTCTCTGCTATTAAAATCCATTAAAATCATACCTATGGAATTCAAACTATAACCAAATACACCACAAGCTATCAGCATAGTAAATATGCACAAAATCATCTCAGTATCATTTGTCTATCATTAAAAAATAAAATTATACTAAAATTATAAATTTTATTTAATTAAAAAATTTAACATTAATGCAATTAAAATATCAATTAACTTAATTAATTAATATGACGATTAAAAATATAGCTTTAATATCATAAAAGTATCATTTTAAAATGATTTTAAAGTAAAGAAAATATGTAAATTATAAAAATGGTTTATTAATTAATTTACAGGTAGAGTATCTCCATAACCTACTGTTATCATAGTGACCATAACAAAGTAATAAGCTCTTATATATTAAGCGTACCAAGGAGATTAGTCTAAATTATAAAAAACAAGCCATGAACTTGAAGTGGTGTAGGTAGTTTAAACAAATGCTGCAAAAAGCCAGACCTAACTAAATAAATGCGCAACAAATAAAATAGTAAAAAGTAGTTTAATAAGAGAAACAATATTCATTGCTCTTGGACTGAGGTGAAATCTTTCTTCTATTTTTCTTATAATATCGCTCATATGGCGGACCTTTAAAAGAATAAAAAGAACTATAGAGTCTGTTAATTTATATCCTTATTATGAAGGGTCTTGAATACTTCCCATTCTTTCATAATTTAAAAAGTGAATGAATAGAGGAACTACACTCAAAATATCATAAACGTAATACTTTTTAATATAATTTAAAAATATCAGATTTCGCTAAGTAATTAATGAGCCCTTATCATAGTAACAAGTATTCATATTTATGAAAATATCAACTAAAAGAAATGCTGGAATAAACCAACCAAGCATCAAAGGTATTATATCTTTAAATCTCATTTTAAAAACAAAGTTTATTGGCACAAAATAAAGGCAAAAAATGATAACAAATAGTTGGATTAGGTCCCACAAAAATTTATATGTATTGGAAGGGGAAAACACAGGTATGCATGAGCAGAGACAATTTACTTTTTAACTGATCCAACTATGGCTAAATAAATTATTAAAATAATACAAAATAGTATTCTTAGTTGCATTTATCAAATTTTCATGCTTTTAAATGCCTTTGCTAGTATCATTTATAAAACTTTTGTCGTTAATCAGATTGTAGGCTAATTCATTTAGCACTTTCTATCTTCTTGATTATAAAGAATTCACCCATTTTAAAGCAATATCCTTCAGCTTCATAATTAATGGAAAGTTAGTTTAATCTGCAACTTTATCTTTTCCTTCATAAATTTAAGTATAATTGTAATAAAGCTTCTTAAAAATTTCTTAGCCTTGATATGGGTTAGGTTTTTTGTGGATTGAGACTTGGGAAGAACTTGTCACCCTTGAGTTTTAAATTTTTAAATTTGAAGTAAAAGTCACTGATTTAGATCCATATCTGTTTTCATATTAATTAAAATTTTAGCTGTCGCTTGTTTTATCTAAATTATTCTAATCTTTTTTTAGATGAAGCAAGTCAGATTCTTAATCATGAATTTCATTTAGCATACTTTGCTCATTTTATTGAGCCATACAAAAACTTTACTGATTTGAGTCATGATTAAGTATTTCTTTTGTAATAGATTAGTTGACTGCATTAGCAAATTCTTCTTTCTAGCCTTTGTATCCCGACATAATAATTTAGGTTCTCTTCTTGCCTCTTGCTTATCTAACTGGACTAGGATTATGCGTTTAAGCTGCTTCATTTTTAACTCTCTCTTCATCTTATTGAGTTTCCATGAGTTATTTATTAATTTTATAGGTTTTAATCTATATTTTTATTAATTCTACTTAATTTAATTAGATAAGTATTGACCAAGCTTGAGTTTTATATATAAAAAAAAGATGTTTTTGTTAATTATATAAAGAGAGAGAGACAGAGAAAGAAAGAATGAGATATATAGAGAAATTGATCGATAATAAAAAACTTTATTCTACTAAATTTATTGCTCGAATAAATAAATGTATGGAATATACCATACATTTTTTTAAATTGGCTGATTTAAAAAATAAATTATCAATAATTAATTACTTATTGTTCTTCATAAAAATATATTCATTAGTAGAAAATCAAAAAAATATTTATATCATTTAAATAGTGAAAGCAATAATATATAATTTACAAATATATAAAAAATAAATTCAATTTCAATAATGAAAAACTAAAATTTGAAAATAAAATTGAGTTTTCTCAAAAAACCCAAGTTTGTTAATTAGAAATTATTATTAAAAAGTAAAGAATATTTTTTGAAAGTAAATAATTTTTATATAAATAAAAAAACAAAACATTTTATTTAAATAACTAAAATAGAAGTTATTATATTTTATTTTAATAATTTATCATTTTTATTATAATAAAATTATGATTACTAAAATTCATGTAAATATTTAAATGATAAATCTTGTTAAAGATTGATTTCTTTAAAATAAAATAAATTTATTGTTTATATTACTATTTATATGTTCAAATACAACAAATTAAAATTTATATATTTTATTAGGATATCATTTCATTAAAGTTTTATTTTAATGAAAAAATAAAGCTCTACTAAATTAAAAAGAATATGTTTATTTTTAAAATAAAATATTATTGAAACAATATTTGGTTTTATGTATGTTTTTACTTTTATTTTAAAATCTTTTTTTTTTTCTTAGATAAACAGATTTCATTATCTAACCATAACATCAAAAATATAATCCAAATTATTTTTGTTTCTATAATTAAAGTGAATAAAGCTCTAGGATTTTTAATCTAAAATAGTATTTTTTAAAAATTTTTAATGAATTATTAAAAAATTAGAAATTTTTACAGCAAACACTACTTAATAAATATAAATTAAGATATTTTTTAATTTTCTTTATTAAATATTTATATAAATTACACTACATAGCTAACTAGCTTTATCATTTATATATCTATCTAATAAAAAAATAATATATGTAGCTTATTTTTAGTAAAAAAAGGCAATTTTAAAATTCTAATTTTACAATAAATGATAATTTAAATATACTTTTCTTATTTTGAAATAAGTATTTATAGCTATTAATGCATCGCTCATATCTAATTTCATTAATAAAGGTTTTTTATATTTAGATAAAAATAATTATTTATGAATAAAATATTTAGCAAATTTTGCTTTTAATTCTTTTAAAAAATAATTAAAATTAACTATTTCTGAATAAAATGTTAATATTTTTAATAGAATGACATCGTCCTTTACCTTTTACTTGTATTTTATTTTAAGTTAAATTTTTTTATAAACCAATCCTTAAATATCAAAAATATATTTTATAAATTTGGTATTAGCGAAAAAATATATCAGTGATAATTAATAACAGGAATTTGATTTTATTAAATTTAATGAATTATTAATTTTTGATAAAGTGTGCTGAATAAAATAAAAACGAAATAAAAATGAAATCTTAAAATAATCAAATTACATATTTTAATTATGAATAAAGCAAAATGGTTTAGAAAATATTTGTAATTAATAGGTTGTAAAGCAAGTTTATTTGTTCTGGAATTAATTAGATTTTTTCAGTTCCATTCTAATTTCAAACAAAATATAGCTAAAAAAAAATAATTAATTTTTGATCTAAGTTTATTTAATAACACAAAAAAAAAATATCTACATACAAGATATCATCATTTAAAAAAAACAACATTCACAAAAAGCTCCTCAAAAATGAACAATATGGATAAAGAACAAAGAAAAAAGCTTGAAAAGCAAATGTAATTAGCTTTAATTACAAGCATACAACAATAATTCCATCTCTTTTTGCAAATTGATTACTCAATCTATACCTATTTTTAATATTTTTGTTTTTAAATAGTTAATTAGGTCACATCAAAAAAGAAGATATTCCTATTGGTAAAGTACCTGTTGATCATAAATTTAGTACTAAATGCAAGGACTATTACAATGCTTACGATCTTTGCCTCAAAGAATCCTATGGTGACTGGGTCAATTGTAAATACTTTAGAAAATCTATGGAAAAGTGTGAAAGAGAGTACCATATCTTCCCCTTGTCATAAAATTGAAGGAAGGCACATAAATACATAAAAAATTATGATACATTTATAAATAGCTTACATGATTTTTAGATGAAGGAAGCATCTAAAATAATTTCAAAATAAAATAAAAGATAGGAATTAATTAAATAAATAAATCAGAATTAATATTAGATTAACTTTATATACATGTAAATATATTCACTATTAAAACTCAACTTAGTAAAATTTACAATCGACTTTCCTTATTTTTTTATTTATTTATTCAATTGTAATTGTGTTTTGATTTGATTTGCTTTCTTATCTTTCTTAACATTTGATTTTCTTCTACTATTAAAACAACTATTAATTAAAAAAACAAATTGCTATCAAAAAAATTCTAAATTATTAATGAAAAAAAAAATTTAATAGTAATAATAAACAATAGTAAATAAAGAATGACTCTTAAGCCTACATATAAACAATATAGATTTATAAATGAGCAAGGTTATAATTGATTTTATTTTTTTGTTTTTTATTTATTTTTTCATTCATTTTAGTTATTATTGTTGTTATTATTATTATTATCGAGATTATCGAAGAATTACAATGGACTAAGGCTTGAAGAAAATGATAAATTGCTAAAATGAAAATCTTAATACATTATATTTAGAAATTTTTGTTTGTTTTTAATTTTAAATTCATGTTCTTCCTTCCAAATAGCAAATCTGAATTTTTAAGTAAACGTAATTATCAATACTTGTTTTATAAACCAATCTACTTTAATTTATTTATAAATATTATCCATATTTTTTTATAATTCTCCTTAGGCAACATCTTTTTTATTAGAATGCTTCTTTACACTTATAGCTGCTTAACCCCAACGAGGTGAAATATAACCTGTGTCAGCTAACTATATATACCCAATACCGTTTTTTAAATCTTCTGTGAGCCTCATATAAAAAGTTATCTTACCTTAAGGTATATTTGGGTCTCCTGTTAATTTTATGAAGAACACAAAATAACCTATCTAAAAAGCTTCCAGTCTTTCAATACCATGAGAATCATAATCACCTAAGTACACTCCTTTATAGCATATTTTGTTGTGATATTTATAAAAAATCTTTCTCCAATCACTAATATTAGCAATTTATTAATTATGTTAATTAATATCGATGATAGTAGGTAAAAAATATTCTTCTATTTGGTTCATTTAATAAAATTATTATTTAGTTAAGTTTTCATCTACAGGTTGCATCGAACACTATTCTTTATATTCCTATATTTTCATTTCATAATCTGTAACAGGTGGTATCCCAATAAAGTAGATAAGCTTTCTTTCCTTAACAAGATGCTCCCAAATATTGGTATCAGTAAACATAAATTAGATTGGTTTGGCTTAATAAAAATTCTCTATTTCAATCAAATCTAAAAAATCAATGATTTTCATAAAGAGATAGTAATCTAATTGCTAAAAAAGAGTTTATCCCCTATCATTTTCTAATTATGTTTGTTCTAAATTTTGCATGCTTTAAAAACAAAAAGAAAATAGTAATCAATTAATTTTAAATTCAATATCAGATTTTAGTCAATAATAACTTTCCTTATAATCTAACAATATTCTTCAATTTTTAATTAATATCTAATAATGTACTATTATTATATATATTATACAATACTATTAATAAATTCATTCATCAGTCATTCAGTCAGTCAGTAATAGCTTTATTAATTCATCTATCTTAAACAAACACATGACATCTATTCTTTTTTTTTTTAAGCAAACCTTGAATTATCTCCCATTTAATAAAGATATTTCAAAATAAATTAAAACTCTTCTTATTCATTGTAAAATCGAATTTTCTTACCTTATTTTAATAAATTATTCATAAAAAACTTCATTTATACGTGAAAAGTAGATAAAACAAATTATTTATTGTTTAATTTATATAAAAAAATAAAAAAAAAATATGTTTGGATTTTATTCAAATTACTTTCTACTTATTTAGTATATCAATATATCTACCTACATACATACACATTTTTAATATTAACAATAAATAAAACTAATTAAATTACAAATATATTTTAATGTATTTAATTAATTTCAATAAATCTTAGAAATTATTTTTCAATTAAATTGAAAATTTTTGATTGTTTTTTTTTAAGTTAAATTAATTGATATGAAAAGTATTTGCTTTAAGGATAATTAATTAATTTCTGTAGTGATTAAGAATTAATTTCTAAATTTTTTCTTAGAAAAAAAGAATGAATTAATTATTCATTCTAACATTATATAATTGATAAGGGGAAATATAACTCACTCACCATCAAGCTAAAGAAATATATTTCGTAATCCTTAAGTAAATTTTTTTTTTTCAATCAGCAAATCAAAAATAATGATTTTCTGAATTTATTTTATATTAAATTAGAAAGCTTACAATAAATATTTTAAATTTGCTTAAATAAGTATTTAGCCTTTAGCCTTTTTTATTTTTTTTATAATTAATAATTTATAAAAAGATTTGTTTAATATACTAATTAATTTTTTATATTCAATAAATCCCGCTTGAATAATATTAACTATTTTTGTACCTTAAATTTTTTATTTAAGAGAGTATTTATGAATAGTCTGAACTTTTTAAATAATTTATCCCTAATCCTTAAAATAATTCAGATATGATGATGTCATTATCTACTTCTATTTCATTATTTTGGTTGTTTTAGTCAGAATTGAAGTTTTCTGTTTGCTAGATTTCTTTCCCTTCCTTGCTTTAATGTTTTTTTAAATTTGGTTTATGGTCTTAAATGCTTCTTGTATTTTTACGAGTTGAAATAGTCTATGAACGTATTTAATTAGGGTTTAAAGTACTATTACCAAGACTAAAACGATTTGTTTCTATTGTTTCTTTTAAGTTAATAATATTTTGATCATTCAGATTTTAAGCTGAATATAATGTATCTGAGTTATAGCTTTGTGAATTTTTAAAATGATAGAAATATACTTTTTACTGGTTTTTCTCAAAATCATTTATAATTTTTTACCAAAATGTAACAGCTTAAGGCAATTTATTTTTTTTTAAGTTAGAATTTGAATTGCTTGTAAGCAATAGTACTATTTATTTTTCAACAATATTATATTAACTATTTGCACTTTTTAAATTCTTTTATTTTAATTGATTAGGAATATTTTGGATTTTAGATTGCATTTTACTCAGAGTATAGGAAAATATTTCAACCCAATCTATTAAGTATTTGCATTAAAGCTAAAATATCTGCTACACTTGCAAGTTTCTAAATTCCCTGAAGCATAAATGCAAATATAATTTATTTTTAGAGTTAAATTCACAGCTATTGAATTAGATCTGAGAATCATAAATGATAAATTAAACGACATCGTCTTCATTTAGTGTATTAATAATCTAATTAATCTAATATTAATATCTTTCGAATTGAAAAATATTTGATTAAGGATCAACTTCTATTACTATCCACATATTTATCTTCGTTTTGTTATATTTTTCTAATTCATATTTTAAAAATGGATCTTTTTCAACATTTGTTTTTTCTTAAATCTAGTTTATCAATTAAAGAGAGTCATATTTTGCTATTTCCAAAATAAATTCATTATTTTCTAAAAAATCTGATAAATTTTATAAACCAGTTTCATAATTTCTGAAGTATAGATTAATTTTTTACTTAATTAAGAAGATCTACTATAAAACCTATTCGCAAATCAGACTTTGTTCAAATTTGAAAACATTTTTATTGAAGCATTAATCAATTTAATTATTAATCATTAAATTGGCTGTGATTTCTAATTCTAAATGATTGCAGTAGTTTAAAGCAATAACTTTATTTTTAATAAAAAGAATCTTTGCCTTTACTAACTCAGCTTAAATAAGTTTAAATTATACTTCGATATCATTTTAAAAATTTTGGTATATTTGAATTGCATAATTTATATTTTTAAGGGAACTGATTTCTAAATTTAGATCTTAAAAACTTTTCTTTTCCAAGTTATAATTACACTCTTCGTTTTAAGCTATAGCTAACATTTTTAAATCGAAGGCAAGATCTAAATATAATTATTTATTTTCTTTATTTAAATTTCCCTCACCTAAATTATCCAAAACTTATCCATAAGAAACAAAATCAAGTTATTATAGGATAATTGTAAGAGCTGATTGAAAAGAGTCAGCTGCTTCACTATATTTTTGTATTTTAAGATATTGATTTCCTATCTGTTCATAGCAAATTATTTGTTAAGAAAAATTTTTAACTTAAATAAAAATATCCAAAGCTTGGTAAAATTGGAGGATTGAAATATCATTGTTTCCCATTAGACTATTCATTTTTGCAAGCTTTAAAAGATTAAATATGCCTTTAATCGAATGTACAATAATTTACATTTCAACAAATGTTAAATCTACATCATCCAGCCCTATTAATTAATCTTCTTCATCCATATGTTCTCTACAATTTTTGGAAGGTTAAAGAGAAGAATGAAAAGATGAGTTCAATATTTGCATTTCTTCAGTTTTATTAGTTTCTTATTTGAGTTAATTTAAATTTTTAATAATATTGTCTTCATTTTGCTATTAAGTGAATTTCGCTAGGAGTTACAGTTGAGAGATATTTTCTTTGGAATTTTATAATTGAGTAAAAATTTAACTTTATTTAAATATTGACTTATTTAATTTTTGATTATTTTATTGATATTTGTTAAGAGCAGAGGATTGATTGATGTTATTGTTATTCTTTCCTAGAGAAAGAGAAGGGTATTCATCTTTTGCATAGTATTTTTTCATTTAGCTCTGACTTAGATTATTATTATTATCATTATTGATATAGTTGTTTGTAGCTTTCTGAGAATTGGCTTTATTTTTTTAGTTTTCATTTTGAATAATTGTATTGTTTTTTATTGCTTAAATTAATTTTTGCAAAGGAATTTCTTATGTTTTATAGAGAACGATAGTAAAATGTAATAAGTTAAATAAAAGCCACACAAATACCAAACCAAGCTCAATTTTTAAGATCATAGAATTTAATGGTAAAAACTGCAAAGTTACTTCTTCCAAGATGTGAGTTCTATCTTTTTAAACTCTCCCTATTAGCATAGGTTTATTATAAATAATTTCTTTAGTAAAAGAGCTCTAAATACTCATAACCATAACAGGGTAAAGAATCGATAAACTATGTATAAGTTAAATAAAATATATATTTTTAAAGAAAGAATTTATTAATTAAATAATTAATTAAATAACATACTATGTTTCATTTTATCTCTTGAATTTAAAAAAGAAATTGGTAGTGTTAACTCTTGATACAATATTGTAACTTCCATTTTAAGCAAATTAAGAAATATAATTAACTGAGTTGTTAAAATTAATTTTATCTTAAGGGTCAAATGATACTGATGAGTTGTACTCTATATCTATCCAAGATTTCAAAACTTAACTAGATGGATCCCAATACCTGTGATGATAAACCTGTTTTACAAATAAAAATTAATTAATTACAGTTTTTCATTGAAATCATTTTATGTTAAACAAAATTTTGTAAAATGTATTTATTGAATTTATGAAATATTCAATGTTTTTTTTAAATAAGCTTTACATTATTTCTAAAAGATAGAATTTAAAACCTAATATTACACAAGTAACTAGGATGAATAAACTTAATAAATTAAATAAATAAATAAAGTTACAGTCTGATTTGTGAAATAAATTAGAATTGTGTAAGCCTCCTGAGAGTCGCTTTCATCATAAATATCTTATGGAGCAAATATTTTAGATTTGATATTTTTCAAATCCAAATTTTAATTAAACATCGAAATAAAAGAGCCATCCTTAGCATTCAATCTTTAAGTAGCTGTAAATCCAACCACAAAAGTTGACTGCAGTAGAAAAGGAGCAGAATAAACCAACCCTTTTTAAAATGTAAAATTTTTTTTTCAAAATTTTGAAATAAAAGTACTAATTACTGTTATTAATATAGGCATTTTTATACCATGGCCTGCATCTCGCATCATAATTTTCTAAATTTTTTAATCCATTGCATGTTTCTTTTGCTGAATTGGCATAATTTGCTAATCTTTAATATTTTTTATTTAAAAAATATATTTATAATAATTAATTGCAAAATATTTTATTTATAAATTTAAATTAATTATTATTGATTTCAAAGTCATTCTTTTATCTAATAATACCAAATTAAATAAAACTTTAACACATAAAAGATTAATTTATTTTTTTTATAAATTAAGGCTATTTGTAAGCTAAATTAAATTCAAGTAAATTGAATACATGAAGGCCACATAAATTTATCTAAATTATTTTTTTATTTAATCTCTTTATCAAAGTTAAAAATCTGCCAAATTAATAATAAATCTCTACCTTGAAGGAGCAACTGTAATCATAGAATCAGGAAAGGTATTTGAGTAAAATGAAACACCTACTAAGTCATCTTTTTTGCTTAGGTAAAAGAGCTTAGACAAGAACATAAAATTTGTGCTCTTTTGTAATTAATTTAACAATCTTCAATTAATTCATTCAAAAATAAATAAATATATTATTACCAATGAAAGCTGAAGTTTCTACTGACTGCTAAGCTTATCAAATTAATATATGTTAACATCAAACCACTATTCTAGGTAAAGAAAACTCTTTTGTTGCTCAGTATACATGTATTTTGGACATTCTCTTTTGTCATATGATCTCATAGAGCATTGTATAGGATTAAATTTTCCATTTGCTTTATTTAATTAAATTTGATAAAATAAGTAAAAAAGTTATTTCTACTAATTAAAAGATTGTACTTGTTATTTTTTTACTTTGGTATTTAATATAAGCTGAATTCAATATGTTAAAACTTTGCGAAATCTAAACAAAATTGTTTTAATAAGCTAAAAATACGATAATAAATCTTACTCCATTAAATTGATTTTCAATAATAAGCTTATTTGAGTATACAAAATTATGAATTCTTTACTGTTCTGCTTAAGAGATTAGATCTGTAGATATATCCTTCCTTTTTTAATGTTAATTTTTAAACATAAAAGGCTGTTAAAAGAATATTTACCACTGAGCCAACACGTATTGCATATAAAAAAATTAAAACATCATAATGCAGACAATAGCTGAGCCAATAGTAATAAGAATTAAAAAAGCAAATTTAATTGAAAGAGGTATTTTAATCTTTAATATTGATCTTATCATTTATGCTTTTAAAATGTTCTAAAAATAACATTAATTAATTTAATTAATTACTACTTATAAGCTTCTATTAATGAATTTTTAATTAATTTATGTGTTCAGCTTGGCGATTATATTGCAATTAATTTTTTCTTTCTAAATCTCTCATAATTAACAAACATTTTTAAATTTGTTTTTGAAAGTTACTGATTCTTCCTTGAAATGTCTGTCTCAAAATAAATAAAATGGTTGCTAATTAATTATAGCAAATAAAGGATATTAATATAACTTAGTATAAATTTATCTTAATATTCAAATTAAAAAAACACTGCTCAAATAGAAATTAATATTAAATTATTATTTCATCAATAGAATACTCCATATTTTTACTAAATCCAATAATAAATACGCAAATAATTTTTATAAATATCTATGTTTACTTTATAATAACTTAAGCAAGCTGCAAATAATAGTAAACTAAAAATTAAAAAAATTTTATTTGGTGAATAAGAAGCTTAACAATGAGCCCTCATCCTGATTTAAAAAAAACTAAAAAATTTTTTAGATTACTTTTTGGCATAATTATTTAAGTATCAAAAAATATAGTTAGTTACTCAATCCTTTTTATTATTTTTTTTAATTTATAAAAGCAGTTTAAAAATTTTTTCACTTCAAAAATAATGATTTAATCATACATGATTAATAGATGAAATCAAATGATAATTTAAATAGGAAAAATTGTTTTAAAAAGGATTTTTTTGTCTAAAAATCTTTAAATGTGATTTTATCAACTTTCAAATATTTTAATATTTGTTTCTTGTTATATAAAATTATAGGTTACTGTTTTTCTTTAATAATTAATTATGATTATAAAGTCTCTTTACTTTCAAAATAAAGTGTAAAATATGGATTAATTATCTTCCATAAAACACTCATTTAAATGTTTCTCCACATATAATACACTTTAAATTTTTTTCTTATTCAAAAAGCAGTTAAAATTTATATTGCCTTATATTTCTTAAAAACAAAGTATATAATTTTTATAAAAATGAGTAATAAGTAGAAATAAGTAATTAGAAAAGATTTTTGTTAAATATATAAATATATTTGTTTAATATCATAAAGTTTTTAATTACAATCAAATTTTATTCAATTTATAGTACCAAAAAGAATTAATTTAATTGAAATAAATTTTTATTTATTTACTTATTTTTTGTACATGAGTTTTTAATAATAAATACATTCTCCTAATAATTACTACAAAAGATTACTAACTTTTCACCACTGAATATAAATTCTGTATTTTTATTTGTAAAGTAAAACCAGCTTCCAAAAAATTCACCTGAAAATCATACTTTACTTTTTTATTTTTTTTTCATAAAAATGTAAGAACATCTTTTTACAATAATTAACCTGTTTTTTTTGCAATTTTAATTTACAAAATTATTTCTTTTTTTTATAATTTAAATAACTCAATAAATATTTTACATATATTATAAATTATGCAGAGAAATACTTTTATTACATTTATAAATAATTTGTATTGAATTTTAAATCAAAAATATTTGATGGTGAAATATAAACTATTAATCATAAATTATTTAAATTGCAAAAATCCTTTTTTAGAATGACTCAGTATATATTTATCTTATGGATATAAAGATTCAAAAAAAATTATATTTGTGTTACAGAAATTTTTTTTTATTTAAAAGCTAGAATAATAATTAATGATACTAAATATTGTACAAATGAAATAGATATGCTTAAGTGAAATAAACAATTAATAATCATGAAGTTTTAAATCAAAGGAAAACCTTTTTTTTTTAAATAACTCAAATAAATACATACTTTGCTTTGAATTTTATGATTCGAAAAAAGTTGATGTATCAAAAATTCTGCTAACAAAAATTTTCTGTTTATTTAAAAACCATGATTTTAATTAATGGTAAATAACATTTAATTTATAAATCTTTAATTTTAGATATTTATGAAAGCAAAAATCAGATAAATTGAAAATATTGTTATTTAATTTTCTAGCCAAAATTATATTTTATTCATATTTATGCCATCTTTTATAAATCAAAATGTTGTTTTTCAAACATTTTTTTTACATTTTTTAAATATTTTCTTAGTATAAATTTTATACTGAGTATTTTATTTCTTTCTTGAAGTAAGGGTTTATTTATTTATACTAATTTTATCTTTAACTATTCTTATTTGATTAAAAATCTGTATTTGAAATCAAAATTTGCATAAATTAGATAAAATTTACAATTAATTTTTAAAACAAAATGTATTTTTTAAAGTCTCATTTTTGTTTGATACAGTTTAATAAATAAATAAAGAAATGAATTTATAATATTTTTAATTTATTTTATTTTGTTTATGAATAAATAAAACTATCAAATTAAATAGATTTCATTAACATTATCAGCTGATTATCTTTATGAGGTTAAGGTGCGTAAAAGATTTTCGATAGAATACATTTCGATATAACGTTCTGATTATTGTAATTAAAATTTTGCTTAATAAGTAGCTATATTGTTAAGATCTTATTAATCTTTTGATTATTTTGTACAATCATTTTAATGGTAGTTTTCATTAGTGCAATTTTTATTATTTTATAAATCTATTAAATTAAGATTAAGAATTTGAGAAATGTTTTACAGAATTTATTTATTTTCAATCAAAATTAAAAAATTTTAAAAGAATTCATTGCAATTATTGCTCATGTGTACTCCAAAATTAATAGCAATTCTTTTTTATTTGCTTTAAAATATTTGTTTAGCATAAATGAGATTTTCATCCTGGTTTCTATTTAGAAAATTACAAATAGTTTCAGCCCATAAAGGTTTTTATTAATCTCCATCTTAATTTTCATTGTTTTCACATTATGAATTCATATTATTTGGGAAAGTTTCTTTTTAAATTTCTTTATATATAAAATCTATACAGTAAAGTAATATATTCATAGAGAAAGGTATCCTGTGGCAAATTATTTAAGTGTACTGCCCATATGTATAAATAGAAAAAGTATCTTTATCATTTTTTAAAAATTATTCGCCCACTTATTATATGATACTTAATTAACGTTAAATATTATCTATTGAAAATAGATTATTGGTATTAACTAAAAACAGTAAATCATAGGAATTTTCATTATATTTCTAAAGTTCTTTGTTCATTTCCAAATAAAATTACTATTCTAGGCTATCTTAATTATTTAAATTGAATTGATATTTTTATTCCTCTTTAAGTTATGTTTGTATTTGATTAAGTTTAATTTTTAAATGCTTAGTTTATAATTCAGAAATTAAATTTTATATCAGTAATAAAACCTATTTTTAAATAGAGGATTCTAAGTATTTATTTTATTCTAGATATTCTATCAAGATCTTAATAGACTACAATTAGCTCTATTCTCTATCTTGAATTGATAATTTTATCTGGAGAAATTATAATTTTCTGCTAAGTGACAAAGTAGAATGCTTTATTTTATTTCTTATTAATTTTCTTTAGGTATTTTTTTCACTATTTTCAAAAGAACCATTGTGGTTTTCACTAAAAAACATAGGTATTTTCTTAAATGAGAAATGAAAACTCATGTTAGTATCTTATACTTAGCATTTGTTCAAATTTATTTCGTTTAATAGTAATTCAACCATGATTTAAGCCTACTAATTTTTTTCTTACAAAAAATATATTTCAGCAATTAAAGTTCTGCATATTTAAATTTGAAGTTCAGAATAGCTATTATAAGCTAAATTTTAAATTGATATAGAAATATTTAGTAAATTTAATGCTTATTGCAAGATGGACGAGTTTTTATAATCTTATTTCCTTTCATATGAGTAAATTAAAGCAACAGCTTGCAATCTCAGCCTTTTAGATAGTTTATACATCAATTTTACACCATTATTTAATTAAATTAATTCCCCTTAATTGATTTTATTCACAAATTCGCTAAGTGAATTTATATTCATTTCATATAGAGTGTATTAAACTGAAGATTAAAAAAACGAAGCTGCATCTTCAAATTGGGATTCTTTTAATTACAAAAGACCTAAATTCATGTAACAAGAACCTGTGGCATTTAAATTATTAATATTTTTAACCCTTTAATTTAGAACTGAATAATGGATAATAGAAGACTGATAATTGCCCATTTTTTGATTAAATTAAGCTAGTTTAATAACATTTTCTAATCCTTTAAAAGTGTCAATTATAACTTACATTTCTTTGAAAATACCTTAAATATCATCTAGTTCCATAACTGTTGATTTGTTGAGCTATGTTGACTCTAAAATAGAAGCATTAGAGCTTTGAGCAGCATTTTAATGGTTATTTTAAGATATCTTAAAACTCTAAATATTATTTTGGGAAATACTGGCTGCATTTTTTAATATATTGGATTTGGTTGAAATCTCTTAAAGAATTCTTTTACTTTTAATCGATTATTACTATATAGTAGATAAGGGGAATTATTGCCGGTCAATCAATATAAAGAACCATAAAACCAAAAATTTAACTTACGTTAAATTTTTGGTTTTATGGTTCTTTATATTGATTGACCGGCAATAATTCCCCTTATCTACTATATATTACTTATTTAAAATTAAGCGGCTATGTTAAAGTACATTTTTAGAGATTTTTAAAATTTTTTACTCTTTCTCTGTTTTTAAGTAGACATTTGAAGAAACTTACTCAGATGTATCAAAAGCAATAGAACCGATATTTTTTGATAAAAAAGCTGTGCCAATCTAATTATTGATCAAATTTAAGTCAGTTTAATTTAATTTTTGCATTCCATTAAAATTTATTATATTATTTGAAATGGGAGCTTGCTAAGGGATAGAATTGTTGACTATAGATGCATTTATTTCTTGCTTTGGATTTTAAAAAATTTATGGCTAAGAAATTTACACATTTAGATCTTTACGACGAAGAAAAACAATTAATTAATTTAGAGGAACATCATGGCTATTGTAAAGAAATACAAAATATCTAATGAGAAAAGTAATAACTATAATAGATGTTATAACTGTTTCAACAATACTCAGAGTTTTATAATATTTATTAAAATTAAAGTTTGCTTCCTCTATAAGATCTCTAATATCTTTATGAACTCTACCAAGAAAGAGGTTACTTAAAGCGAAAGAAGTGCTGACTCTTTGCATAGTTAGAGTTTAAGCAATTTTTAAAGGATAGACTAAGCCAAAACTTTATTAATAATTGTTAAATTTAAGCATAAAAATAATATTTCCAAATAAAAAATAAAAAAAATGCTTATTTACTATTTCTTATTGTCTCGAGAAAAGCTAATATAAAATGGATCTATGTTTTGCTTTTAGTAGATTGAATAGTTTCCATTCTATGAATATTAAATAATATCAGTTAAATTATTGATAAAGTAATCCCGTTCATACAAAAAATATGTAGATGTTTAGTTGTATTCAATCTAATCCCAAGACTTAAGTTATTAGCTATTTCTATTCCAGTATCGGTGATTAAATATCTATTATTTATTTTCAAGTTTTGATTTAAAAATTATTTATTTGAAATATTATTTTTTTCTAATTGTGTAAATAATTATTTATTTACTGTCGCATTTATCTTATGAAACATAACTGAATATCCTTCATAGTCGCTAGTAACGTCATCATTATCTTACCGAGCAAGAATCTTCTCTCTAAAATTTTCTATGCTGATGTTTAATCCCTAAACACAGCTTTGACTATTACTGTTCGTAGCCTTGATGAAAGCTGAAGCAACTACTCCAATAAACTATGATGACTATAACAGTAAAGGAACATTAATGTTTATATCTAATATTTTTTAACAAACAAAATAAATTAAAAAAAATAATTTAATTTTTAATTTTTTAAAAAAAGCTGATCAGCTTAAAGCTAAATATTTGCTTTTAGCTTTTAAATACAAACAAATTAGCTTTCAAAAAAAAACATTTTTTCATATAATTTTTGTTATTACGATCATTTTTAAGAGCTTCTAAGTACCAATCGCGACATCTAGGATCAAAAGCCTCTAGAAATTATCCTGGCATGCAAGTTTCATAAGCTGCATTCTCATAGTTTGAAGCCCTATTTATATTGATAGTTAAATATGATTATCAATTGATTTAATTATCTACCTAGAAGGTGCTGTAGACATTAGAGAATCTGAATAAGTTTTACTTTAGAAGGTTGTTTCAAATAAATCATTCCCATAAATTTTATAAATTATTTTGAAAATAAAATTTTCAACTACTGACTATTATTTAAAAAAAAAAAAGGAGTTATTTACAAAATAATTTGAAGTGAGTTAATTTATGAATTTACTTTATGCAAAGTGTCCTGCTATTGAGCAGAAAGATTGTTATAATCCTAAATATTTCTATGAAACCACTAATCTAAAAATAATGGATTTTTTTAAAATAGTGTGTAAGCAGCATTTTAACAGAGTTATTAATGATAGCTTCTCATAGAGCAAAATACTGGACTGTATTTAGGATGTACTAAATAAAATGTACAAAAAAAAGAAAATAAAACTAGGATTTTATTATTATTATTATTAATGAGAATTGATTTACTTATTATTATATCTTAATCAACTTTTAATTTGATAGACTTGCTTAGTCTCATAATAAAAGCTATCTATTTGATAATAAAAGTATATTAATTAGTTTAGATTTAATTTAATTTGATATAATTAGATTGATTGATTGATGCTCACAAACAAACCTTATTTAGTAGTGTTAACTAAAAAAACAAAAATAACCAAAACTTTCAAACTAAGATAATAGTTATGCGCTTACATTATTTAACTAGCTTTCGGCAATGACTTTATTAGGATACACAAAATTATGAAGTCTTTACTTTTCCATTTATTCAATCCATTAATTAGTGAAGACTTTCCTTTATTTTATTTTAAGTTTTAGAAAAATATATTTTTAGAAGGCTAATAATGATAGTGATGATTATCTCAATTTTAGATGATGAATGGCAATGATAAAATTAATAAAATGTAAATAATTATAAAATTAAGCGCTAAATATATTACCAACTTTCAAAGGTATCTATAAAATAAAAATACTGCAGAACTATCATCCCTACAAATCCAACTATAATAGGGATAGAAATTGTAGAGACGAACTTCAGCGACAGTGGATACTACATTTATTTTATTAATTATTTTTGTAATCTAAATTAATCAAAAAATCAATTAATAATATAAAGGTCCTTAATTAAGAGATTGACTGATTGATTGAGTTGATTAAGAAATATCTTAAAATCTGTGATAAAAATCTTAAAAAAAGCATTTATTTTTAATTCATACTAATCGTTTAATTAGATTTTTTTAGATAAATAGTTAGATAGTTAATTAGTTAGTGGGATAATTAAAAAACTTAGATAAAATTTAATTTATGTACAAATATTACTTACTGATTTTAAAGTAAGTTATAACGAATCCTGCAAAAAAGTTTTTCTATTGTTTTTAATCTTACTTTAAATTAGATAGACATGTATTCATTATTTGGAAAATATTTACTTTGTTGAGTTATTAATTACTTTTTATTTTTTTAATTAATTCTGATCAAGATTACATAAATATGATTGATAATATAAATATTACCAAGTCATTTAAAAAAACCAAGTACAATGTAAATTAAATTAATATTTTCTTGTAAAGTATAAGATTTTTTTTCAAATTTTTGTTATAAAATTAGTTCATTTATTTTCCATTTCTATAAAAGAAGTTTATTTTTATTATAATTAAGGTATTCCAAATAAAAATAAAATCTATGTACGCAAATTAATTCAAACCTAAAAGAATTATCAGCTAAGATTTCACTTAAATATTTATATTTTAATCTTCTTATTTTTTTATTTAACAAAAAAATATTAAGATTGACATCGACCCTAGCTATAAAATTCACATAGATCACTTTTTTAAAATTCAAATTATTCTATTTATTATTTACCACATATATATTAATTTAGTTTAACCTTAATACCTAATATTATTAAATAAATAAATAAAATATTTAGCGAATCGATTATTCCAATTTGGTAAAATAATACTGTTTATTTTTTTTTGAAAATTGAGAATTTTGTTTTTATTTTTATTATATTTTTTAATTTAATCATGAAAAATATATTTTTATTTAACATTTTACTTTAAAACAAAAAAAACATAAAAAGTAAATACAGGTATTGAGGATGGATGATGAAAATCAAAAAATAAATAGATTTTTTATATAAATTTGTTCTACAAATTTTTATTAAAAACTCCCCTCCTAAATAGTTAGTTAGTTACATAGATTTTTCTTTATTCCCCAAAATATTTACTGTTTTAAAAAGTAATTAATCATTATAAGCAAATACTTTTAAAAATCGAACACATAAATTTGTAAAAGCTAAATTAAAATATTTAAATAAATAAAAAGAAAATAAAATCACGCTCAAATTTTTCAAATTCATATCACTTTAAATTATTTCATATCTTATGAAATAAAATTGAAATGACTATTTATTAATATATATGACAAAAATAGAAGAGTATTTAGTTTCTAAAAATAAAGGTTTATTCTATAATATCAATTATTTTCTACCATTTAAGTACATCAATCATAAGCAAATATACTTTTTTATAAATAAAAAAGAAATTCACAAATTAATTCATCCAGTGAAAAAGCTAATTTGGGTAATTCAAACATTATTAAATCTAAAAAAGGTAATATCAAAATTAAATTGTAATACATGCCACAAAAATATTCAATAAATACATAAGTAAATAAATAAAATATAAAAGAATACGTCATTTATTTATATTTATTTAATCATTTCTATTTTTGTAACTAATAATTAAAATGGGTTTACTTTATTAAATTTTTATTAATCAGTTGGTTACCATTTAATATTTTCAAAGCAGTTTATCTGAAATTAATTTTTACTTATAGAGCAATCTGTGCTGTAAAAAAATATTCTATAAGTATTACATTTATTTTAATCAAAATATGCAATCCTTTTTAGCTTTAATATTTGAATTCTAAAAAATAAAAGTTATTTTTGTAAATTAATTTTATTATTTAACTTATTAAATTCAGTTTGTTTGGTTAATAAAACACATATTGCTTTATTTAATAAACAAAAATAAAAATTATCCTTTTATTTTTAAATTTAGTTGTAGCATTTATTCATAAATCTATTTACAAAGAAAAATTGTGTTTTTTTTGAGATGAATAGCAAGTAACACTTAATTTTTCTTATTTTATACCAAATGAAAAATTAAAATAATTGTTATTTTTAACTAATTTGTAGACATAAGTCAATTTTATCATAAAAGATCTTGTCTAGTTTATAAAAACTTTAAAAAATAAATATAATTGTAGTCTAATACCTTAGTTAAGTTAATGATACATCTAAAATTCTTCTAGTTTTTAAACAATTTTTGTATCCTATTTAAAATATGCCTATAATAAAAAAATAGATTACACCAACTTATAATTTTATCAAAAGATTATTCATTTCTACGTTTAGATTATACTGATAATACTAATTTTAGATTATAATTAGTAAATAACATTAAACATTATCTTTCTTTTAAATAACTTTTTTACTTTTGTATTAAAACGTTTTTGAGATGAAACCTCAATATTAATTGAAATATTAAGAGCTAACCTTGTTATTACTTTTAAAAAATAAATATGTTTTCATTATGATAATATAGCTAAATATAATTGAATTAAGACTCTATTTCTTACTGTTAAGAATACGCTTAAATAAAAAATAAAAGCTTCTAACCAAAAGTGAATATAACCTAAATTTTTCTGATTTCTTAATATAAGTAACTTAAAAAATTAATATTTTATTTGATTTTAATAATGCTTTTTTCAATAAAACCACAACTTTAATATCATTTTCATGGTTATGTATTGATAATATTAAACTCAAAATTAAATAATTTATCTATAAATTAATTCTAGTCAATCTATCTTATTTTTTTTTCAATTTTATATATTTCATTAAAATTTTAAAATGAAATTTTATATTAACTCTGAAAATCTCATTTTTATTTTTTTGCAATCAAATGAAGAAACTGTTTTATAAAAAATTTGGTCATTAAATTTTCAAATTAACATTTTATCTGTAAAATAGTAATTTCTGAATTGCTTTTTTTAATGAAATGAGTTTATAAAACCTATTTAAAATTTTAGATAAAGAAATTATTTGATTTTTTAGAAATTTAATAAACTAAACTTTTATCTTAATTTGTAGAAAATTTATGAATTATTTATTTATTTTTGATTTAATTATTTTATTTTTAATTTAATTATTTTATTTTACATCTAATAATTCATAAGCAAATTATTAAACTATGAAAACATAAATATACTCAAAAATTTTTTGGTAAATTGACATGCTGTCTTATAACAGGAGGCCTTTTAGATGAATTTTAACTTAAAGCCCTCAAATTTTTTTATTTTGATTAATTAGGGAAATTTTAATTATTAGAACCTGTATTATTAGATGGATACTGAGTTTGCATCATCGCTTTATTTTGATATTTTATTTGGTTAGTATTACTCCACCCAGGAGAAGTACTTTCATATAAATTATTATTTTAATTAAATTAAGGAGTGTTTCTTGCAAAATTAGAGTACTGAGGTTGTTCGAAAGCATAGTTTTCTTACCTTTCAATAAAACTGCTATCTCCTGCATTATAGCTACTATTTTGAGTATTTCTATAACCTGTTGAAGGCAGTCTCGCATTTGCCTGAGTAAAACTGTTATCATTTTTTTAAGAAGAGCTCGTTCTTGTATAGAGTAATTATTATCTCAATTAGTTTGGGAATGGTTAAGATTCAGGAGATTATTCATAATTGTAAGAATTGTGTTTCTATCCTTTCAAATTGTTGTAGTACATTGTGTTGTTGAATTGATTATTGCTACTTCCCATTTTTTATTGATAGAGAGTTGAGAATTGCTATTAAGTATTTATAAATGAGTTATAATGTTATGTATTTTATGGAGGAGGTGAAAATTCTTCGATTGCATTCATAGAAGTCTTTGCTGATACTCTAGATCCCAGCTGGCTTTTCTTTAATTTAGCAGAGGCTGATTTGAAATTTTATGTCATAAGATAAGCACTATTGTTCTATTAGTTTTAAGCAGTAGAAGAAGCTATCATATCAAGTGTTTGATTCAAGTGCATTCTTGTAGGTTCTCCATAAAGAGCATTTGGATTTAATCTTGTATGCAGTTCATTATTTTCCAGTTCTAAAGATTTGAGTCTTTAACTTAAATTTTTTTTCTCTTTCCTTAATTAGTGAATTTCATTAACTATTTCTTAGCGGGTAATGGTTTAAAATCCAAAATCACTAGTAAATGTTTTCGTATTTGTTTTTTGAAAGCCATTAGTCTCATCTGCTATTATATTATTTGTTTCAGATTCCTCTAAGACTTTCTTGTAGTCAAATTTACTTTTGAGTTCTTTTTCATTTTCTATGTCTTTTGATAAAATGTTTTCCATTATTTCTATTTTTTCTCTCAAATCGCTATTTTCCATTTATAACTATTTTATTAATTTATTAAGTATGAATGATTTTAATTTTATCAATTAAAATACAAAATTTAAGTTCAAAATATTTTATTAAAAATGAACTTTTTTCACTTCAAATTTATTTTTAGTAAAAAATAAAATTAATTTATGTATTTGTTTGTATTAATAATAAAATAATTAATTTGATGTTTTAACTAATTTAAAAATTAAAATAAGGAAAATAATAATTAATTACTATATTTAGTTCGTTCTCAGTCTATTCATTGTTTTTTGTTAATTTTTCGATCATTTCTCTCATATTTATATTTGATTAAAGTAGATCTCTGACCATGTTTGCACTTTCCACTAATCTCCTAATAATCATCTGAGCATATTAATATTTTATATTTAGAAATACTAAGAGAAAAAGCATGATAATCGAAAAAAATTACATCTGAACTCATAAGACCACCATCAATACTTAGCTCACTACTCATCTTATTTAAAGACTTCTTAACACTAGATTGCAACTGTGACTAATTTGCAGAATTTTCCTCAGGTTTTACTTTTTTTGGTGTTTCATCAGATCTTTCTTTTTTTGGAGTTTCGTCTTGTCTTTTTGTTTCCTTTTCTTTTGATGATGTTTTTATTTGATTATGCTCCTCTTCTTTTAAACTTTCTTCTTATATTTATTGTATTGATGTTTACTTATTCCTTTGCATTTTCAAAATATCAGTTCCATATTTATTGATATTTTCAGTAGAAAATTTGCTCAAAAATGCAATATGTTCATTCGCTCTCGCTAAATCTTTAGTAAGCTCTTCGATTTTTGCCTTTGAAAAAATCATATTAAAAAAGTAAAATTTCAGTTATTGTTACTTTGAGTTCTGCTATTAGTCTGTTTTTTGGATCTTCGTTTTTAACTGGTTCATTTGAAATTTAACTTGCCTTAGTTGCATAATTAAGAGTGGACATATTTTCTTCATAATAGCAGTCACATGGAGAAAGACAGGCAATCTAAATAAAAATTATATGATGTTAAATAATAAACTAAATACTAATATTACCATAAGACAGTAGCTGTTTCCTCCAATTGATTGTTTCAACAATGAAGTTAATTTAGAATCTCTATATGGCACATGAAATTGTTTGACAGAATTATTATTACCTTGCTGAGTTTCCTCTTAAGACTGCATCGATTAATCAGCAAGAGCAGAAATAACTTGTCTTAATGTAAATAAACTTTTATTGATCTCTATGCATTCTTTAAAATTTTAGCCTTCTGTTCCAGTTTAGCTCTGTCTTTCACTACCAGCTAAATCAACTAAATGAAGCTTAGCAGAAATCAAATTATCTGGGTCAAGCCTACTTATAGAGTCAACTTTGATTGTTAATATACAATGAGATCTGCTACTCTAAGCATTAAGTTTATGGCTTGCCATAATCTGTTTGTAAAATGAAAAATAAATTTTTATTTAAAATATTTATATTTCATCATTGAAAAAATAAATAGCTTTTTAATATTTAGCTAAATAAATTATTTTAAGCATTAAAGAAAGATATTTTGATGTAATTTACCTTGTTTTTAATACCTTTACTAAGCATATCATATGCTTCTTACAAGTTAGAACACTCAAATACCAACAAATTCTCTACTTAAAACTAATCTTTTTTGTTCCATCTCAACTTTAGGCCAGGACCATCATTTTTTTTTAACTAATCTGTATTAAGCAAGTCATAGATTTTTTCATTGTAGATTTGTAGATAAGAAAGATAAACTTTGTAGATTCTTTCGTTCTTGTTATGAGCAATTTATATTTTTTCAAATAGCTTATGAACTGTTCTAGGAATAATACCTTGTTAGTCTAGATTCTAAATAGAAATAAATCAAACATATTTCATCTATTAGCATATTTATTTAATTATTTAATTTACTTCATAGTTTATTATAGGTTTTAATACTTATTTTTTATTGCTGTCTGTTGCCATTTCATAATCAAATCCTTCCATGCTAAATGTTTTACCACTACCAGTTTATCCATATGCAAATATAGTACTATGATAACCCTAAAAAAAATATATATAGAATTTGTACTATTTTCAGTAAAAAGATCTATTTGATAATTTACTTCAATGACCTTTTGTATTAGCTAGTCGATAGAATTCTTTTCATATAAATCATTTTAGCTACATTATTCATCTAATACTTAATCAAATTTGAAGGATTTGGTTGTCCTATCATCCAATTATATTCTATTTTTAGAAAAATAATTTTATTCAGAATAACCTTCAGTTTATTTATAGGCTCTTCATTTTAAATTTGTATTTCTTGATGCGTTTATAAAATTATATTTAAGAATAATCCTTTAAAATATTAAATACTATATAGATTTTGAGCTATGCTTAACTTGTAACTTTGTGCAAGTGAGATTCTTCTATTTCTCAGACTCTAAAAGGGGTCTGACCCTTATAGCCACTCCTATCCTAGTTGGCATAACTTGAATCTAATGCTTTAAACTAAGCTAATAGTCTACCCTTTATCAGTTTTAAAATTCCTTTTGTTATTATAAACTAACAAATAGATAGATAGATAGTCTGATATAATTATAAATTTAAAGCTTTAAAAATAAACAAATACTTTACAATTCTTTTTCTTATTTACCTAAAAATTTAGGTGTTAAAAATTGAATGATTTTAAAATCACGATTTCTTTAGCTCATTTAATCATCGATTACTACAATAAATAATAAACATTCTTTATTCTGTGTTTAACAATCAAAGTATTTATTACCGACTATATTTATATATCAATTAACCATTGATTATAAAATAAAATTTTCTTAACAAATTGTGAGGCCTTATTTATTTATTCATTCTTCGTGATTCAATAAACTTTATTATTTTAACTATTCTAATAAAACTAATTATTATTACAAGCCAAATATATCAATTTAATAATTTAAACATGAAAACCTTTTTGGCATTCCTAATATCAATCTAATTCAATTTAATTAATACATTTTTAAAAATAATTATTATATTAGTACTAATTTCTAAATTTATAAAATTAAATAGTATTTTAGATATAATATTTACTCTATCATGCATTTAAATTAAAATAACTTTTAATTAATTCTTTTTTCAAACTATTTTTATATGATTTTAGAGATATGTTTTTTTATTACAATAATATACAAAAAAAACACTTCAAATATTAATCGAAACTTAAATATAAATTTTTTTTATTTGAGGTGAATTTTTAACATAAAGTATATTTTAAAATACCAAATCAAAATAAATATATTTTTATAGGATTATTTTATATAAATTATGGAAAATAGTTTATTTTAATATAAAGAATTATAAAGTATGAAGAGATATTTTATTTCTATCATCTCATAGTTGGTGGTGATTATTTGGAAATTTTTATAAAAGTTATTCAGTTTATTAATATTTTTTAACTTCTCAATTGATCACTTTTAATTTGTAAATAAGTTAAAAATTATTAATTTACATTTTGCTAAAAATCTCTTGAATTTGATTAAATCATATAAATTTGGTAGTATTAAGGATAATAATATTTAAATATTAAAAAGTTATAGATTTTAACCCATAAATTTATTGGATAAATTTTAATATTTACTTATTTATTTTGTGAATATTCACATTTTTCATAACTTTTAAATTTCTGAATAAAATCAACTTTTTTTTCAAATATCTTTCCTTAATTTACTGTTTTAAATTATAGAAAATGTTTCTATAATTTCAATTTACTAATTATCATTAATTTTAAAATAATTAATTGATTTAATTTTTTATAAAAAATTCAAAAAATATGTAATATATATTAATAAAGGAAAAAATAAATAAATAATTAAAGAAAATGAAAAAATATTAGTTGAAATAATGAAAACCTATTAAAAATTAAATATTGATGAGATCTATAAAGATAAAATTTAATAAGTAATTTTAGAATAACCCATTCAATAAAAAGTAATATACTGTAAATGCTCGTTAATTAAGGCATTTTTTTCTTAATTTTTTTTTCTTTTTCGATTATGGTGTGGCACTTTTTTTGGGCAAAAAAGATACTTAGGGAATGCCTTAATTAATGAGCATTTACAGTAAAAAGTTTATTAAAAAAATTAAGAAATCTAATTATAATAATAAATTTAAAAATATATCAAATAATAAAATAATAGAAATTAAAATCCAAAAAATACTAAATTAAATAAGATAAAATATATTATAAGTAAATTATTGCAATAGCAAACAAAAGTAATCTTAAAATTTAATAATAAACTGGTATAAAATTTTTAAATAAAGTAGAAAAAATTTAACCTTCAAAAGATTATGCAAGGACAGAGTAAAGAAAGTAAACAGAAAAATAATATTCTGAATAATTTAATTAGATACAATTATCTTTAATCTAAAGGATGAATTAATAATAAAAATAAAATAATTATATTCACAAAATTTATAATGAAATTATTTATTTAGTAATAATTTCTTTCTCCATATTTATTTTGATTTTTGTGTAATAAATATTTATTGAAATGACCATGTTTTTCCTTAATTAAATTTTTCAATTTCTTTAAAATAAATTAACTTTTTTATTTAAAAAAAGTATTATTTTTTAATATGAAATATTATTTTTTTCAAAAATCAAATAAATTTTATTAAATAAATAATATTTAAATTGATAAAATTTAACTAATCCGTAAATAAATTATTCAACTATTTAAAATTTTTCTTTTCTTTTTTTTTATTTGATTTGATATTAAAAAATTTTATTAATAATATTGAATTCTTTAGAAATAAAATTTTCTATTTAGTTTAAATTGAAAAAAATCTTAAATATTTCAAAAAATATTATTGTTACTGGTTCAAAAAAATAAAGAAAATAATAAAAAATGAATGATACTAATTTGAATTTTGATTATTAGAGCAATAAAAATTTTAGTAGAAAATATAAGTATAGTTTTGTTTAACGATACAGCAATTAATTAATCAATCCAATTCTACTTATAAATTTATAATTTCTAAAAAGTATTTGAAAACAAAGTGTCTGTCTTAAGAGGTTTAAATTCAAAAATGCGAGCTCACAACAAATAAATGTATGCATGTATATATGCACTAATAGTTGTTTGAAATAAAAAATATGAAGGATACTATCAAACGAATTTCTTTATGTTATCATTTGTATGCTAATTTAATTAATAAATAATGTTTGTTAATTAAAGATTAATACAATATTTTATATGAATTTTCAAGTCAATTAATAAAAAAATAAGCAAAATAATTAATTAATTGAAAGTAATCGTTGATTTCTATTTATACTCATTTAATTTAAAATAGCATTAAAAAATATTAAGGAGAACAAACATAGTTTAAAGAAGTCTACTTATTAAAATTGATTGATTCGATTTTCTTTAAATCAAACGCATGAGTGAATTTGTTTAAAGCGTATTTCTATCGAGCTGTCCCACAGATAACTCTGATATGCTAAATAGATTTGTAATTCATTTTATCACAAGCTATTTTTGATTAGATTGCTTTAATTAAAATATTCAAAAGAGGAAATAAATATTTATAGTTATTGGTCTATATTCTTTAAAATGATAATAATTTAATTTTTATTTTGTAGATAACAGGATCAAATATGAAATAAAATTTTGCTAACTCTTAATCTAAATCCACAGTTAATATTGATGAATTGTAAAGAAATAATTTAGAATTACAACAAAAGATTACGTTGTTAGAAAGGGAAAGATTAGAAATGATAGATAGAGAAAATAACTTAAAAAAAATTAATGAGTAAATAATGGAAGCGTTCAATACAATGGGGCCAGACACATCTGTAAATAAAAATTTATGTGATTTCAAATTATATCCAAATTTATGCTAATTTTAAATTACAGAACAAGATGAACAAAGAAATATAAATATTAGAAGACAAACACTAAAAAGAAATGCAAAGCACTAAAGAAAAGATCGAGTTTTTGTAAGCATAGCTTGAATAAGAAGTAATTTAAACTAATTAAAATGAAATTGATATTTTAGCTAATATTTTTTTAATTTAGAAAAAATAAAATTCATACAAAGTGAGCTTGCTTGAGAATGAAAACTAGGCTTAAAGAATACAAGCAGAACATTTAAAAATAGAAATATAAAAAAATTAACATCTAATTAATTTACAAAATAGCAAATATGAAACCCTATTAAAAACAGCAGAAGCTGAAAAAAAGTATATTTTTTGATTAATTCAAGCAGTAAAAATTAATATATGTATTTAAAGGGCTCTATAAGATGAGATTGAGAATTAGTGGAAGAAAAAAGTAGAATAGCTTGAAATTCAACTTGAAAAAGAGAAGATAGATTCTAATAACCAAAGATAAAACATGCTCAAAGAAATGGAAGCAAATTTAGAAAACTTAAAAATATGTCATGAGCATGTAGCTTTTTAAATTTTATATGATTAAAATCAATATATATTTTTATCAAATTTTAGGAGAAACATCTTCTTTGGACAAAAGTAAATGCTTTGTCAAACGAAAAGAATATTGTTCAAGGGTCATGTGAATAAAATCAGGAGTTATACAATGAACTTAAAAGAAGAAACAAGGAAGATGTAAATTATACTGGAAATATTTATGAGAAGTTAGATAATTTAATTATAAAAAAGAGAGATAATTTCATGAAGGAGATAGAGGCACTTAAAAATAAAATTTTTTCGTTAGAATAAGAAAATTTAAAAATATAGCATTACGAAATGCTTTAACTCTAGCATGAGAACCAACTCAAGCAAAAAGAACTTGTTTTCGAAGAAGAAAGAAAAAAATACATTTTCAAAATTAAAGAAATGACGTAAAAATAATTTAGTAAATTTGAAAACATTTTTTAAACAATTTTTTCTGCTCTTTTTCAAATTAAGAGTGCAGATAAAAAAGGCAGAATAAGTTGAAAAAAATCTGCAAACATTGATCAAAGAAAAGGATTTCATTATAGAAGATAACAAAAAGGAGCACTAAAAAAAGCTTTATCTAGAAAAAAAGAAATCTGAAAACTTATAAGAAGCAGCAAATAAAATAAAAGAAGATTATACTAAAAAAAATGCTTTTGTAATACAGGAAATTTTAACCAAAGAAGAGCAAATTAAAAAGCTCAACAAAGAAATAATGAAATAAGGTGTCTCTATCAGTAAAATCAATTAATCTAAAACTAACAGTAAGTTAAACATTTTTGTTCAATTTCTTTCAATATATTTTCCTAACAAAGTCTACAAAATACAACAAATTTTTCTTTCTAATTTTAGAAATTTTCATTAAATTATTTAAAATTTTTCAAAAACAAATTAAAAAGTTTAAATTTAAGAAAAAAGCAATATTTTATTTTCATTTAATTTTTCATAAATAAGAATAAAAGAAAATAATTGTTTGTTTATAAAACCAATTTTTGTTTTTTAAAAAGTAAGAGTGAAAAAAGAAAAAAAATTGATTTTTAATTTAAACAAGAAAAGGAGAACTTTGAATTTTATTCTTGATTTTTCTTATTATTTTCAAATAACACAATTAAACTTTTTTGAAACGCTAAATAAAAAACACACAAAATATAAAATAATAAAAACTGGAAATGAAATATTATTATTATTTAAATAGCTAATTATTTTTTTCTTGAATTATTTTAGTGACAACTTGGTTAGATCCTACTCTTTAGTTAGAAACGGTTAGATTAAATAGTTGTTAAAACTAACAAAATATTACTTCTATACTAAATTAAGAAACAATACCTGATATGAATTTACTTTCTAACAATGTTCCTCAAATCACAAATAGTAATGCTTTTTTGTAAGAGTTCGCTTAAAGCTTTGGCTCTCCAAGAAATTTGATGGGTAATTCACCTTAATAAATCGATGATAAGTACTTTAAGATAATTGAGCAGTAAAAACAAAATTGGTAATAATCACTTTGCTATAATTAAAATGGGTTAGGTTCTTCTTTATCTGGAAGTAGAATTGGAACATAAAATTTGTCTAAATAATAAAGTAGTCCAATTTTAAATGATACTATAGAGCCTATCTTGGTATCTTCATATTAACCTCTTAATGCAAGAGATTCCTCTAAACCTACTTTAGTTACTAAAGAAGACAAAATCTAAGAGACTTAGAACGAAAGTGAAGACTAATCATTTAATGATGAAGACTGTTTTGAGGAAGGAAAAATTAAAATTTAAAATAATTAATTATAATTAGCCTAATCTATATTTAATAGTAAGCACTCTTCTTTGGGTTATATTGGATAAAATGTTACTAACTCTATGTTAAACTTAAATAGCTTATAAGCATTAAATACAGCACCAAATACATCTAGGCAAGGATTGAGCTCAAATGCATAAACTTATTCAAATAGTAATTTAGATCTGAAGCAAAACTTTAATTAAAACAAGACTCTATCTTAAAATGGTTCTAAAAGCAAATTCACAACTGCAGTAAATAACTCTTAAAGATGTTAAACTGTTTCTACTGCAAAAAAGAAATAATATATTTAATAGAATCAATAAGAAAATGATAAAACTGCTAATACTTCTACTAACTATAAAGAGAGGAAGTCTACGAATTCTTCAATATAGTGCAAAACTCCTAATTTAAGCACAACAAAGAAGGATATTTCTTAAAAAAGCTATCAAAACAGCTAATAATAATAACTCCTATCTCCAAACAATGCAAATAGCAGCAATAATAATGCAGGATAAACATTTAGTAGTTATTTTGTATAGCCTTTATCTTAAAATATATCTGATTCCAAAGATGTTTCAAAGAGAAATTTCAGTTATAGTACACACTCATCTAATAATGTAAATTCTTTAAACTAGAATAGAGTGAAAAACTAGGCATCCTTACACAGAAACAGTAATAGTAATTTAGATTTTAAGAAAGAGCAGGCTTCTAAAGATTCTTCAAAATTGAATCAATTATAGACAACTAAAACTGCAAATAAACCTAAATATTCCTAATCTAATTAAAACTCTATATAAAATTAATAAATAATTGGGTAAGAAGAGCAATAACTTAGAGCTATTTAAAATAGTTAAACTAAATTACAAATATAAAATTATGGTTCTGGTTATATGTCATAAGATTATATTGATAAATAGCATAATAACTAAGGATGTCAGATTAATAACTAGCAAATGAAAGAATAATCAAATTAAATCAAAAGTACTTCTTCTGAATCAGTCTTTAGCTATTAATACAACACAAACCCTACTTAAATTATAACTCAATAAAATTTTTAATAAAAAAACTCTTAATCAGAACAAAAAATTCCTTTAATGGAGAGTAATAGGAATATAGAAGAATCGATATTAATTAGCTCAAATAACTGTAACTCAATTAAAGGCAACAAAATTAACATAAGATCTAGTAATATGGTTAGATAAGCCGAACTACTTTCTCATATAAACAGTTTACTTGACATCCTTTTAAAAAAGTAAAAAGAATAACCTACTTAGATTTCACTCAACCCATAAGAGCATAATTTCTTCTGTCAATAAATATAATCTTAAGCAGAAGAGTTCTAGACTGAAGAAATTAGCCATTTAAGAACTTCAGTTTAGGAAAATAGTATACATAAAATTTTAATGTCTTTAGACAAAATAAAAAACAGATTAGTAAGCAGTTAATCTTATGGATAATAAAATCAAACCAACTATTATCAAAATTATGGATTTGATTATTCCAAAAGATAAGAAGGAAGTGATGTATTTGAAAGATTTTATAAAAACGTTTATAGCTAGATGTCAAATAATCACTAACTTCTTACAGAAAAAAGCGAAACATGTGTATCTTAACAAACTCTTCCTAATGAATAAGACATTCCTCTCATAAATCCTGTAAGAGCTTCTGATGTAACAAAAACAATAGTGTAGTAATCTCTTAATTTTGGTCAAAACTAAAGCACATAATCAATGAATCAATATAATTCATAATCGTAACTATCTAATCAAAATTACCAAAACACTAACAATGGTCCTACAATTAAAACTATTCAACTTAAGTGAAGTTTATTATTAAAAGAGTCTTTTTTATATTTTTGAAAGTTAAATGAATTAAAAAAATATTAAAATAAAAATTAATTAAAATTAATTGTATTTATTAAATAAAGTTAAGAGTAAAGAAATTAAATATATTTGTTGATTGATATTAGAGTAAATAAATAAATTTTATTTAAAGCTATTTATATTTTATTATCTAAAAATTGAGAAATAATCAAAAGAATTATAAAATTATTATAAATTTAAATTGAATTTATTATTATAATTAAATTAATCTTAAATTGCATAAATCAGTTAAAATATTTTCGTTTTGATTTCATTAATAATTAAATAAAGTTTTTTTTTAGTTTAAATTTTTAGAGATCAGTAAAAGTTGAATAGGAAAATACTTGTTTATGAGATAAATTAAATTTATTATTATTAAATTAATCTTAAATTGTATAAATCAGTTAAAATATTTTCGTTTTGATTTCATTAATAATTAAATAAAGTTTTTTTTAGTTTAAATTTTTAGAGAATAGTAAAAGTTGAATATGAAAATACTTGTTTAAGAGATAAATCTATATTAAAAATACCTCAAAAGTTTTTAGTAAAGAAAACAGATATTTTTATTAATTGATTTTAGAATCAAAAAGTAACTAACTGAATAAATAACTTTCATTTAAATTTTTTTATGTTATAATATTCAAAAATATTAAGAAATCATTAAATTATTTTTTATTTTCGTAAATAGATTAATAATAAAGATTTAAATAAAATCAAACAAACAATATTGTTAAATCAATACTATTTATTGTATGCATCTGTAAAAATATTCATATTGTTATTTAATTAATTATTTAAGTATTTATTAATTTAAATTTTGGAGAATAGTAAGAGTTGAATATCAGACAGAAGAAGACTTGTTTATGAGATTAAAAATTCCTTACAAGTTTTTACAGTTTTTAGACTTCGAGATATTTCAAATGAATAAAATAGATTTTGTTAAAATTATAATTATCATTGAAAAATAAATCATCGTTCATTTATTTTTTGCATAAAAATTAATTGAAATTTAATTAAACAAAATATTTAAAAATTTAAAAATTCAAATTTATATAAAAAAGAGGGTTCGTGTCAAGAGTAGTCTGAATTGGATTTTTCTGGATTAGAAATTCGCGTATTGTACTTAATATGCACTGCCAAGTAGCCATTCCACACAAATCGATAGAGAGTATCAGGTAATTAGGCTTACTTTATTTCAACCAAATACCTTCTTCTACTATATCCTATCGCTTGTTTATTTTTCTGGTAGCCACCTCTGCACTCTCGTGCATTCACGTTTCGAATTGACGGCAACTCAGACCTTCTCAGGCTTCACTGTCTAAATATGTTGCTACTCTTACGAATAACAATTTTGTCTAAGCCTCAACGCAAACTTTGACCGATTCCCTCTAACTCATATATGTCTTCAACTTCTTTTATACTTATCTACAATTACTTTAAAAATATTATGGGTTTCTGTAAATATTTTTATATTTGAAATAGTTTCTTTTAAAAGATTTTCGAGATTTAGTTTCTTAATAAAAAAGATAATTATTAATGCAAGCAATTCAATTATGAAAGTGAACTTTCTCTTAAATTGTTAAAACATTAAAGTAATAATTATAGAAGGAGTATTATTTTATTTAAAATATTTTATTGTTGTAATCAAATAAAGACGAAGTTAAACTAATTAAGGCGGATGCTATTTTAACCACCAAATATAATTATGTTATATAATAGTACAATTAAAATTATATTATATATTATTCAGTGATAAGTTATTTTTTTATTATATAGTGTAGTTATAGTTGATTTACGTATTTATTTATTTATTTATTGATTTGTTCTCATTATTTTATGATATAATTTTATTTCACATTATTGGTCGTTTATAAATAAAATTTGGCTATATTTTATGATTACTTATTAGATTTTGATAAATAAAAATATATCACTTTAGCTATGAGAAGTTATTGTTGTATCACTTTAAGTTTGATTAACAAAGTAAGTAAGTTATTTGGTTTAATTATAAATCTTAAATATAATATTCATCTTTTAAATAGGTCGATCTAGATAAGAATTATGGGTTGGTATAAATTTTGTTATGATTAAATTAATTTAGAAGCTTATGCTTGTAGGTTAAGGGTTATTGAAATGGTTCTTCACTCCAATCCATAAACTCCATCTAAATCATTATTAACTATCGCATTCATGTAGGTTCTCAAGTTTTCTTAATTAGAATATCTATTTTTATATTAAAATATCAATTTAATAAATATTTTTTTATTCAACAAATATAATTACTCTGGTAACTCCAAACGATTAAAGCATGTGTGAGCCTTTGGATATGGGTTTTTTTTATCATATGGTACAGATTTAATTTAGAATTTGGCATAATTACCTCTGTTTGATTCTAATTTCCTTTTTATTGAATAAAATTGTTAAGATTAACATAAAAAAGTTTGCAAAATAATTTTTATAAATCATCCATTATTCATATTTTCTTTATTATTCTTTAAGGAATGGTTTCAATTTTCACTTTGATGTAAAAAAATTGAATTACTTAAAGCCATCAACAGGTGTTCTAGCAGATCCTGTGCAATATTAAAGGAATTTAGAAAGTTGATCTTGGTTGAATTCACTCATAACAACCCAAAACCATTAGATAACTCTACTGTTTTAGCTATAACTTCCTGTGTACTCAGTATTTTGTTTCCATTCATCCAAATTAATGAAAGGAACACCATTTAAGATCATTTCAAATTCATGAGCTTCGAAAACAGATAAATATTATTTAGGGATAACTTTGTAAATCTCCTCGCATATTGCATCTAAGAATACCTTAACCGAATCTATGCAAAGATATTGAATCCTTTATTAATTAAAATAATATTGTATATTTTATAAAATAAGATAAATTTATTTAAAGATATGCAATTATTAAAAATTTTAATTTATTTATTTATTACTATTTTTAAACATAAAGTTCTTTATTTGAGTTGTTAACAAGAGTTTCTTCTCCATCAGGAATAAGTTCAATTGTTTTTGTGGTACCATTAACATTTTTATATACAGCAAATACATCAATGAAATCATCATCTGCTAACTTATTTTCCAATAAAAACTTCCATGAATTGTATAACTATTTATTAAAATTCATAAAATATAAATAAAATATGTTGTTATTAAATTAAATATTTTCAAAGATAAATGCAAAAACTATCACAAAAAATTTATTTACTTAGGTATCGTAAAAGTAAATATCTTCTAAATTTGTAGGCTTTCCTAAGATATAATTAATTATACTTCTGTCAAAGTAGCAGTCCATAGTGATTCTCTCAAAAATAGTTTTTCCAATTATTTTTCCAAGAAGTTTAAAGCAGTCAATTATGTGATCACACTATTCAGCATCTTTGTTAATTTTGTAGCAAATATCACTTGTTCCTGCTACTGTGAACATACCTAATAAATTACAATAAAATATAATTTTTAATTAATAAATTAAACTGCGATTAATCTTCAAAATGCCAAAATTAATTTTAAATATTTGAAAATGTGTCTTTTGATAAAAGTCAAATTAGAAAATATTAACTAAAAATAAGATTTTGAAAGTTTTTTAAATCAAAATAGATTTAAAATAAAAAACATTAAATTTGTAATTTTCCTAATTTACTTTTTTGACAAACAAATATTTAATATTTGCTTCTCAAATTTCATAAAGAATTATAAAAGAATAAGAAATTTAACTAAATTTTTTTAAATTGTGAACTAATGTATTTTTATTTGTTTATGGCTAAATATTATGCTTATATCTTTGGAGAATAGTCTCTAACTTATTACATACATTAATATAAGCTAGAATGCTAAATTATAATTATGTTTTATACCTGTATTTGGGTGGAGAATTTCTTTCATGCAGAGAAGGACCCATTCTCTAAGCAAACCTCCTGCATCATTGACCTTATCTCCTATGATTTCAATTTTGACTTCCTTTAGAATATTTAAAATTTACTTAAAATTGTTTACTTTTAATGAGGAATTTATTTAAAAATGCCAAAAATATTATTCAAGTTTCTATCAATTTAAATGATTTTGCTTTCAGTTTTTTTTAGTATTTTTATTTTTTGTGGTGGGTTTTATTTCTTGAATATGCGCAGATTTTAAAATAAATATCAAATTTATTTAAATTTTCATAATCTGAAATAGATTTTTCTCTATTTTTTCTATTTGAGAAACAAACTTTTATATTTTGTTTTGAAAACATATGCAGTAAATTCTGAATTAAGTTTTTCTAAAAAATCAATTTGATCATCTCTCTTCAAGAAATAAATGTCCTTAAAATTAATTTTAGGTTAAGCATAGCAAAAAATGAAATTAAACTAATGTATTTATTTGCTTTTACTATAGTGTTATACTAAATTAATAAATATTTGAGATTCTTATTTCACCAACTAAATCTTGGAGAATTAATTTAATTAACTCTTGTGAGAAATTTGTTGAACTTAACATTAATGCTGAATTAATGGGACTTACTAAATGCTACGATTTATCTAAACTGAATTTAATAGTCTGCATAGTCAAATATGAGACAATTAATAGTATTTAAAAAAAAGAGGGGTTATCAGGAAACAATTTTTATAACATAGATTATAAAAGTTTTTTTTAAAAAAAAGGACTATTGTATTTTATTAGTATTTAGTGCATTTATAAATATTATAATATAGTAAATACCTTATGTAAATTGCATTATTAAATTCCAAACATGCTATTCAAAAGTACATTATCTGGATTTATTCTAATCCAGTCTGCACCCTAAGTCCAAGGGATTCTTAAAGCTTCACATTTTTCTCTAAACCAAATTTATTTTTTCTCAAAGGTTAAACATTAAACTTCCTTAGGAGACATTCTACGGAGTGAAGCCATGTTAATGTCTTGCTTGCTATAAGCACGTCTTTCCCAGCGATATTTTGTATTACCTTAGTAATTACTGCTGGTACTTCCACTAGAAGTTTTGCGAGAAGAAGTTACAGAGGAGTCTAGATTTTGCTATGTATTTCCATCTCCGTTATCAGTATTCTTAATTGGGACTTTGGCCCAGAAGTACTCTACTTAGCTTGGATCAATATTTGAAGCTTTTTCACTCTAGTTATTGCCGAAATGAGGGTCAAGTAAGATTTATTATTATATATAGTTATGGTATTAATTCTAGTTGGTTAGACAAGTATCGATATGGTAGTTCAACTGTTTATTTACAAAAGAATAAATTAATTTTAGGTTTAGATTGTTGGATAAAATCATTTTAAATATATCTCTTCTGATATTTCTTTGTATCCTAAACTGGTTTATACTTTAAATTCATTCATTTTTGTGTTATTGCTTGTTTATTTTGGTTTTGCTTTTAAACGCGCAGCTTCTAAAAACTTGAATAAGCGACTTAGCAAAAAAAAAAAAAAAAATCAAAAGCAAGCAACAAACACATAATGAAGGCATAATTTATTTTAAATATGAGGATAAATTTAATAAAAATTTTACTGTTTGATAAGTTGTGCTGGGAGAAAATGTTTATCCGCAACGAGGACATGTAGTGTGTTCACCTATCTTGCTTGAAGATGTCTTTCTCTTTTAAAATACTTATGAAATCTTTTTTCCACAATTTCCCATTTTAAATGCAATCTCGCTTTTTTTTCTATTTGTTTTTTACTAAGAATTATATGAGAAATGAGCGAATGAACGAACCCTTTCTTTCTTTTCTGATGTTTTTAATTATTTTTTTGTGAAATTCGTGTTTTTTATAATTTAATTGATAATAGTAAAATTTTTTATAAAAAATCCAATTTAAAAAGCAGAAAGTTATAAACTAAAATCCATTTCATTATATTTTTTACTGCTATCGAGTCTCCCCCTTATAATAACAAATAAAATTGAATGAAAGTTAAAAAAAATGAACAAATTTTTATCTATCTTTATAATTATCAAAGTAATAATCAGCAATTGATCCAATCATTCAACCTAACATTTGTTTTTTTTAATCATCTATTTTTTTACAAATTTTTATATTATCCATACTACAAGATTTTCAAAGCCATCAAGTAATTTACATTTTCTTGAAGTTTCTTTTCTTTGTTTGTTCTATATGATTAATCCTATCAATTATATCCAAATAAAAAAATACACTCAAGACACTACCTTAATGAATCTATTTGATTAGCATCAAACTTTTATGATACTTAAAAAGATTAAATTCTATTCAATAAAATTCATTTTTTTTCATAGAATCAACTTTCTTATTACAAACTAGCAATAGCCAAAAGCTTTCTCTAATTTCAAATCAAAGAGAATTATCATTTGTCTTTTAAAGATTAAATAATCTTCATAACCAATCAAATACATAAAGAATTAATATTTTTTCATTAAATATATTTTTAAGGTATTTTTTTAAGTTATAACAAAAAAATATTTGATTATATCAACTGTTAATAAGATGAGCTCAATTATAAAGTATAACAAAAGTAAAATAGATCATTTTAATATCAAGAGTTAACTTTTACATAATTAATATTAATTTGTATTAACAGCACAATTTATTTTGGCATGAGTATTGTAACCGTTTATTTAATAACTTACTAGCAATAAATTATTTACTTATTCTAGCTTATTAATTTTCATGGTTAACAGAAACAAATAAATAAAAAAATTAAAATGTGAATTAATTGGAAAAAAATTTAATTAAGTCTTATTAATATACGATTAATCAATCACTTATTTTTGAAAGTTAGCCATGATCTAAATCAAATCAAATTTAAATAAACACTCCAATATTTTTCATTTCAGTTTATTTATTCAAATAATAACAAAAATAGGAAAAATGAAAAATAATCCTTATTATTTTAGCTTTTAAAGTTATTTTATTATTTAAAAAACAATAAATAAATTTAAATAAATTTTTTATACGTATAATTGAATTTTAATTTCATATTACATAATAAAAAGTTATTAAAATTTTATTTTCATTTAAAGTATTTTGACTTAATTAATATCTTCATTATTAAGATAGATAAATTTATTAATTAAATAAGAAATTCTTTAATTTAATTTTAAAAAAACAATAAATTCTTTAAAAAAATAAAATAATTTCTTATTTTTTTAATACAGATTTAAATGATAATAAATAAATTTGGTTAAATAATTTTTATTAAAAATTTTAGTTTGGATTTTTTAATTGAATATAATTTTATTAATATAACATTTTAATCGATTGATGATTAATGAAAATAAAATCAGAATTAATTTTATTTTTGATAAATAAGAATAATTTTTTTAAAATTTAGCTGGATTAATTATTTTTTGATCATGATGAATATTTTTTAAATAAAAAATCTTTATGAAACTATAAAAATATAAATTTCAAAAAAAATTTCACATATTTTCTATTGGTTTTGGAATGTTTTATATTTGTTTTAGTGTTATTGATCATATTAAAATGAAGATGTTTTTTGAAAAGGATATTCATTCATTCACTAGCTGATTGATAATTGGCTTCTTCGATTTATAAATTAATTCAAGATTTCAAGTTAAAAGCAAAGAAAAAATTTACAAAATTAACTATTAAGATATTCACAAATTTAAAAAAAGTAAATAATGTATAGTAATAATAATAATTAGTCGAATTAATGGAGCGGAACAACAGAGCTCATTTTATAGCCGCAAAAGCTTGCTTTTGACTCTGAAATAAATTTAGAAAAGCAATATAATTCATTTGAATATACCACTCATTAGCAGAACAAATTAAAAGATTTATTACATTATTAGTTTGCTTTTGAACCTGATATTTATTAATTGCCTGGCCGCATTAACTACAAAGTAAAATAAATTAGCAAAATTTGAAATATGAAAATTATAGCATTTAAAAGAGAATATTTTAATCAAATTTAATTCAATTCTAATAAATATTATCTTTGCTATAAAAAAATATTATAATTCTTGAATTTTATTAACGCCTATTATAAAAATATGAAATATAGTCAAATAAAATTAATTTAGTTGCTGAGGATTATCTGCCAAGCGTTAAAATCGATACAAAAGTGATTAAAAAAATCTAATCTTTATTAAAAGATGGGCTAAATAAATAATTCTTTTTGAATGGAAGTAGCTTTGAGTCTAGTTCTCATGATCTTGTTCATTAAACTTTTTATTTAGACAAAGTATCATTTGACTTTGAGGACTCATTTGAAAAGTAAAATCAATAATATAAAATTTGCATTAATTTTTTGATCGTTTAAGCTTTAAAACAAACTCCTTTATAGTTTGCTTTAATTACAAAAACTTTGAAATTAAATAAAAAACAAAGATAATTAATATTTTGATTCAGTCAATCAAACAATTATACAAGATCGACCAATTTATCTTTTGCACACTTATTAGCTTTTATATTTAGGCAAATAATTTAAGAAGATTAATATAATTTATTTTAAATCTGTGATTTTTAAAAAAGATTTATTCCCTATAATATTTGATTGATTAATTTATAATGCATAAATCTCATTCTAAATAAATTAACAATTTTGAAATTTGAATTTCTCAAGAAACAAATTTATTTCTATTCTGATTTAATTAATTATTATTTATAAATTATTCTCTTGTTCTTTTACTTCATGCAATTAAAATATTTAATTTATTTTAATACTTTTTGGAACTTTTTTATTATTACTTTTTTAGGAATATTATGATTTTATTTTTATAATAAAAAAAATATTTAAATAATTTTTTGTTTTAAAAAGATCATTTTATGGCAGATAAGAATATAGTTTAACTTGTTTTTGTATTGGCGATGTTAGTAGAACAATGAAACCTTCAAAGATAATGTAAGAATAAATGAAAGAAGCTATAAAAGGTATATCAAGTTTTTAGGGTATTGATTTTTCTGAAGTTTAAGAATATTAATATAGAAAAACTGATCTTTTATACTTGAACCATTATAGAATATTTTTGTTTTTTGAATCATATTCTAATTAAAAAGAATAATTCAAAATTCATAGATACCTTTATTATCCAAGAATAAACTTTACAGCTTAGCTTATTTCTTAGCCATTCAAGCTAGTTTCCACACCAATCGCAGCTTTTCTCACTTAAAAAATAAAAAATAGTGATTTAACTTAAAAAGAAATTGCTAAAAGAAGAAATTTAGTTAGGTAAATAATACATAAATTAAGTTCTTTAGATAATTTATTTTGTTTATTATTAACTTAGATATGGATTTTTAAGTCTCGATAGAAATTCTAGGATGATTCCTCTTCATGCTTCTGATGATTACTGTGTTTAGATTCCATTAGTGGGTGTTTGGACTTATGGTATTGAGTTTTCTGAAGATGAATCACTCGAACATTCTGATAAAAGATTTGTTTGGAGCTTACTTGCTGAATTTGTTAAAAATAAAACTATTGCATAAAGATTTACTTATAATTAACAGTAAAAAACATTTATATTAGCTGTATTTAATCTTGACAGAAGTACTAAATACTACGAAATATGTATTTAAGAAAAATTAGATGAAGAGGATGAAACAGATCATTTATACTCTTAATAAGATAATTTAAATGAGTCTAATTGCTAACCTATAAAAAGAAATTGGTGTATGATTAAAAACTACAGCAATAGCATTGATTAATCTTAAATTTAAATGAATTATTCAAATGACATTGCTTCTAAATTATCAGTTGAATACCCATTTAGATTTTCTTCTAAAATGATTGTAAATTAATTTGATGATGATGAATTTTTCAAAAGCATAAAATAATAATAAATGAAACAATCATAAGTAGTATCTCAGTAATAATAAAATTAATAGTACTAATAAACTTATAACTAACATCAAAATAATCTATAGGTGAATAATACAAACACAATTAACAATAAGTAAACAGTAAAAAGAAACACTAATAATACACCTAACAATATCAATAATAATGTAAATAAACAAAGATAACTTCAACAAGCTAACCCCAATACTAAAAATGTAGATACAGATGAAACTGAAACATAAAATTAAACCATTAATAGCAACAATCATTACAATAACAATTTAGTTACTATAAAGAGCTAAATTTTAGAGTTATAAAATAAACAAGAAGATTATTTCTTAGAGTCTTAAAAGAGCATCTAATCAGCATCATTTGCTAATAATTAAACCTTCTCATAAAATTTGCACCTTTAGGTTTAATCTGAAAATACAAATAATCAAAATAACACTAATACTGATTAAGGTAAGTAATTTTTATAATTGTATTTTATTAACATCTAATCGTTTTTATTATAAAAGGATTATAGCTTCCTCCTGCTGCTGAAAGAATAATTTAATAACAGCAAGAATAAATAAATAAAATGAGCTAACAAATTCAACAGCTAACAGTAACTTTTTAATAAATTTTAATAACCATATATTGATTGATATAAATACTAAAATAAAAGGAAGCCTTAAAATAATTCTAAAACAACTCTTCAAGACAATTTATGGATAACTAGAGCTAATACTCATACCCTCTTAGCCCTTAATCTCAATCATAAATTATCTAAAATCCACCTTCTTTGAATTATAACTAACCTCGAAATATGAATCACCCAATGTATAAAAACTATCCTCCTATGCCTCCCCCTTATTATTATGATTAATATCATTTTTACCCTCCTCATCCTCAAATGGGACCTCATTAATATCCTCCTTACCCTCCAACTCCTATGAGCGACCATCCCTATAGTATGTATCACAGAGCTGTAATTTTAACTTCAAAAATTATATTTATTTAAATCAAATTGATGATAAATAATTCATTCTTAAAAATAATCAGCTTGATAAATCAAACTAATTATGTGGTTACATTTATTTTTATTTTATTAAACAGCCATATTACATGTAAGAATCTTATATTAGTGGAGATGGAAAGAGCAGTAAAGTAGGGATGATGAACAACATGATGAATAATAATGGAAACTTTAACAATTTTGGAGGTAATCATTAAACTAAGAAGAGTATTTACATAGATAATATTAGTGAATACTCATAAAATCTTAGCAATCATAATTCTTTAAAACATTTTATGAATGGAAATTTCCTTAATAATTAATAAGTTGATGCGATCAGTGACATTTAGTCAATAAAGAAGGAGGATGATACTCAAAGTGAAGCTTCAAATCAAAATGTGCTCAATAATTTTAACAATCCATAAAAGAATGTTATTAATATGAATTAACAACAATTTGAGAATAGATCATTCTCTAACAACAACACTATGGGAGAGGTTAATGTTAATACCATCAGAAACAATGATAATTCAAACATAATCAATAATTTCATGCAACAAAATTAAAATTCATAGATAAATTAATCTGCACAATCTGCTTAATCATTATAGCTTGTCTAATAGAGCTCTTTATAGTCCATAAACAATTAAAGTCTCTAAGATTAATCTAACAGCTCTTCTAATAATGACAGCAAAAAGCACCTTAGAGAAGGAAGCATAGTTAATTAGATATAAAAATAAATAAGTCAATTTGGAATTGAAAATACTTTCTAATTTAAAGAAGAGTAAATAAATATTTAATTCAAGTTTAATTTTATAAATAAAAAATTTTCAAATTAACTAAAGAGGAAACATCTCTGTTAAAGGAGGAAGAAAAAGTGAATTCCAATTCGACACCTAATAAAATTAAAATGATTTTAACTAGGTTTCCGAAAAAAATAGCTTTGAATGCGCCTCAGATTAATACTCTAAATATTCTGCTCACATGTATTATGGTGAAGAATAAAAAATACAAAAATAAAATGAATAAGAAAAAATAATATCAGTTAGGCCATCTATTGACTAGCCTGCAAACAAATTTTAACATAAGCAATAAGAGTCATTAAATTAGCTCCATTTATCTCAAATAAAATTAAACTAAAATGATAAGGAGACAAATAAAAATATTCCTTGTTAAAATGACGATTTTATATCAAAATAAGAAAATAAACAAATTAAATCGCCTGCAAAAGTAATGAACGAAGAAAATTAAATTAAACTTAAATAAATGGAAAAAAATATAAAAGAATTCGAAAGCGAAGACACGTTTACCATAGATGAAATAGTTAACTTGAAAATGAAAACTGATTTCTTTGACTCTATAAAAAAGGCTCCTTGCTCATCAAGTTCAAATAAAGGAAAAGAAAATAATAATAACATAAATACATTTTAAATAAAAAACAATAGTAATTTCAATAACAACAATACCTCCACTACTAATTTTACAAAATCTTCAAACACTCCTTAATCTAGTTCTTCTAATTGCTAATCTTCAAGCAGTACTAAAATGTAAATTCCAACCATAAAATAACCTAGTTTGATTGACTCTGATGACTCAGATAATGTAATTTTATTCTTTACTTTTTAAAAAAATGTTTAAAATAAAAAAAATTTAATAGGATGAAATGAAAGAAATTCAAAAGAGATACAAAAATTACATAGGCATTTGAAATATAAATTTAAGGAAAATATAAAAAGTTCTCAACCTAAAATAAATAAATATGTTTATAAATTAAAATTTACTTACTGTATTATCCAGAAGAAATCTAATTCTATTTTATTATAATTTATTTTTACTTGTAAATATTATTAGTTAATTGATATTAGTGTTCTTAGTTTATTCATTCATTAAATATAAAAATGAACTCATTTTTGTTTTTTTTTAACAAAAATTAATTTACATATAAACATTCTAATTATTTACATTTTATTCTTTTTTTTTATTTATTTTGTATTTATATTTCAAGCTATCACTTTCAAAACGTACTATTATTTTAATCATAAAATATTCTACTCATAGGAGTTTAATTTTAACATTTTGGGAATTTCTAAGCAATTTTTAAAGCTCTCTCATCTCCTATTTTTTTATATATTTTTAAATAGATTTAAAAATAATAATAAAATTAATTATATATATTAATAATTAAATAAACATTTCAAAAGAAAAATAATAAATCAATCAATTTATATATTGCAAATAAAAATAAAAAAATCAGATTAAAAGATCAAAAGTGAGATGACTCTTTGATATAGTTTAGTCAGTTTAGCTTTTTAACAAAAAAAATAACATAGAGTGAATATTAGTTAATAAATAATTTGCAAATTCTTGAATGTTAATAATCTTCATTTTTTAAAGTCATTTTTTTTATTTTCATAAATTTTTCCTTCTAAAAATTAAAAATTATTGATTTTTAAAATTCATCCAACACAAAAATTCCTAAAATTAAATTTTAATTTATTGTTTTTTCAAACTTATTTTTAAAATTTAGGTTTTAATTAATTATTTACTATTTAATTAATAATATCAACTATTTTAAAGTAAATTTTAATTCAAATATATTTTAATTTTTTTCTATCTCATTACAAAGAAGCAATTTATTCAGCTAATGTTTTATAAAATAATTTAAAATATTAAAATAATTAAAATATTGCTTATTCAATAGTATATCTATTTGAGATATTTTATAGATAAGTAATTTTATTTATTATTTTTTCAATCTGTGTTTTTAAATTATGCTTTATAAAAATCAGATTAGTTTATTTCAAATAAAAAATTATATCAGATATTTATTGTTGATGAATTAATAATTAAATTAATATTTATAATTATAACAAAAAGATATTTTCTTTAAAGTAAATAAATAAATATAAAAGATATGAATCCTACAATTGTTATTTTAGAAGAAGAGAATTTATTCATTTAACAGTTTCAACTCTCTAATCTATCTTAGCTTTCTTATTATGTGGAATGTAAAGGGATAGCAGCAGTTATAAATCCTGTTAGAGATATTTGTCTGTATTCTTAATTAGCAGAATCTCGAAATGCTACTATATAATTTATTTTATTAACTGAGGTTCCCTGCGATTACATTTCAGGGCATTTAATCCTATAAAAATTATACTAAGCTCAAATTTTTGTTGGCCCTCAATCTAACTGTAAATTTGATAACAAAACCCTCAAGGAAACTGAAGCAATTACATTAGGCGATTATTAGCTCAGATAAATTTACACACCAGGCCATTCTATCGAATCTTGTTGCTATTTACTTGAAAATGTTATCTAAAGCTGTAAACCTGTAGCAGTTTTTAGTGGTAATACTTTATTAATCGGAGATACTTGTGGAATAAATACAACTTAAGCCTAAACAATTGAAGAATAAACTTACTTAGCATCTCTTTTATTTGATTCTTTAAGAAACAAAATATTAACTTTATTAGATACAACTATTATATACCCAGGTCACACTTCTGGTTTTATATTAGCACCTAATGCTAAAAATGGATTAAAAGATACTTTATTAAATTAAAAGCTAGTCAATAGATCTTTATAGGAAGTAACAAGAGAATAATTCATTTAGCAATTATTAAAAATCACTACTGAAGTACCTAAAAATTATTATTTTATTAGTGAACTAAATAGAGATTTAGTATAAGCAGATTTACTTGAAAGTAAGCTTTAATCAGCAAAATAGCTTGTTAGTGTAGATGAATTATTAAAGTTCTAGCAACAAGGATCAATTATTCTTGATTGTAGGCCTTATGCAGACTTTTTGAATGGCTTTATAGAAAAATCTGTGAATATGAGTCTTTCAACTAAAATAGAACTATGGATATCAATGATGTATTCTTGTAAAAATAATAATTTTGTAGTTATTTGCTAACCAGGCAAAGAAGAAGAAACATATACTAGATTAGCAAGAATAGGATTAGATTTTACCATTAAAGGAACTCTCTAAGGAGGCATAGATGCCTACACTGAGAGTGGAAAAGTACTTTAAAAAGTGCCTAACATAGATGCTGCAAAGTTCAAAAATGAAATTTATTAATAATAAGCTCCTTATTCAATGGATGTAAGAGATGAACAAGACTATTAAGCAGGTCATCTTGAAAACTCTTTAAATGTGCCAATAAGTTAAATGTCAGAAGCATTTTCTTCTAACATTGATCATTTCCCAAAAGATTAACCTATTTATGTTTTTTGTAATGGTGGAGGCAGAGCTCCTCTTGGATGTTCTATCTTAAAGGCTAATGGCTATTAGAATGTTGTTCATGTTGTTGGAGGTATGTCTAAACTAAAAGAAAACGCAATTCAACTGATTAAACAATGAAGTGAACTAATTCAAAAAAAAATATATTAATTAATTAAAATGTACTTTATATTTTTAAAATTATTTTTTTTAATAAATAAATGAACTAAAATCTTAGCAAAATAATTAACTTAATTTTATCCAATCTTCTTTCACAAAAAAAATTATTTATGCTTTTGTTAATTTCTAAATAAAATTAATTTATTAACTTATTTAATACTATTTACATCATTTTTTAAAAACAAATATTTTTATTTAGAAATAGAACAAATTAACAAAGAAAATGCTATATGATTCATAATATATTTACAATATTAATTAAATAATATGCTTAAATATTATCCCTTACCTTATATAGATTTATTAATTATCAACATAGACATATTTATATCATCAAAGTACTAATAAAATGAATAATAAATAATTTTTTGTAATTAAACATTTTAGCAATATGTACAAATAAAGCTTAGTTATAAATACTGGCTTATAATATAAAAATATCTTTGTATTTCAAATAATATCATCAATCCAAGGTAATCTGACAATTTATTCATTTGTAAATTTTTTACCACAATGCTAAAAAACATCATCATCCATATATCCAGGACATTTGTAAATACCAGTTTATATATCATACCTTAATTTCCCTCCACCACACTCAGAACATATTGGAATTTGTCCAAGTGTTTTACCATCTGCGCATTTCAAAACTAATTCATCCTTTGTACCAGTTTTAGGCTAATTGTTAATTCCTAATAAAGCCTTTAAGTATTCTGCAGTTTTTTTTTCATATAATTTTAAATTTTCTTTGAATTTAAGTAACTATTCAGGAGTGTAACCAATATTTATTTCAGTGCTGCTTTTACTTTTTCCTTTTGATTTTTTTTTTCTTGCTAATTTTTTATGTTGATTTTTTCTTTAGATAGCTTTTTCTTTTTCATAATCACTATCACTACCTGAGTTATCAGTCTCTGAGTCATCAAAATCATCTTCTGAATCAGACGAATCATCTTCCTCTTCTGAAGAACTTGATAGCTTTCTTTTTAATTTAGGTTTAGTAATTTTTTTCTTTTCTTTTTACTATTAATTTTTCTTCTTCTATTATTCAGCATCGTAATCATAAACTTGATTGTCATCACCATCATCGTCTTATTTTTTTTTCTTTTCTGAATCTGTTATTGTAGATATCAGTTTATCAACTACAGATTTTTTTTGACCACCTCCTTCAAAGTAATCTATTACCCTAGCTTTATCTTCCTTTTTTAAATCATAATAACCTTCAATTTCTTTAGGATCAATATCTTTATATTTTCTACCAAGACTAAAGCATTCTAAATGTCTCCATGAAGTCGTTGTATGCTCACCTTAAAAGAGAGTTTCTAATCCTATTCTAAGCTCATTTTTTTAAATTTTCATTTTACATCCTTTGCATCCAGCTCTACTTGAGCTTGCATAATCAAACTTTAATTCTTTCGCGCTCATATATTTGTTTATGTTAAAGACACAAATTGATAGATAAATATTGATTTCCAAATAAAATTTATATTTTTTTATCAAAATAAATTCAGTCAATCAATCTAAAAAAAATTCAAATTATTAGAAATTAGAAATTTCAAAACAAATCTTTTTTACAAAATATTCTAGTGAAATAAAAATTAAAGTAGTTAAAAAAATAATAGAGTTGTTTGTTATTTTTAAAGTCAAAAATTTAATCTTTTTAATAAGGAATTACTGAAATTTTAGTTTGTGTTTCATTCATTTTAGGTATATTGTATGTGAATTTTATCTAGATTTTATATATATTAAATAATTGTGCGATTAATCAATTTTTAAAGAAAAATTTAACTTAAAAAGTAAAATATTTTAATTTACTTTTGCATTATTTAGCTATATGAATTCTTAGTTTCAATTTTTGTTTGATTTGATTTGGCTAAATTAGTTGTTATATTTATTGTCAAAATTATCAAATTTGCTTATTTTGATTACATTTAAAGACAGCAAAAAAAGTGGAAAATTTTTAAATGATAAATAAATATACAAAAATAATTAGTCTGAAATAATTTAATTATATTGAAAATAACATAAAAATGGTGGATGCTAAAGATGTCACTAGATTTTCTGAATTAGATGATGTAATTCATAATTTTAATAAATGAAGTATGTAAATTTAATTTTCTATATCAAAAGTTTTTAAAGTCTGACTTTTCTTCACATATCAATTTGAATATCTTTCTGATGTAAACTAATATGCAAAAAATATAGAACTTAAAATATTATAAGATATAAATTAGATAATTCAAAGACTATTTAGCTTTCATAGGGATTGCAAAAGTGCTCAAATTTGGTTGAAGTAAGTATACAAATTAGGTAAAATTAAAAATTGTTTTGTTATGTTTGAATATTATTTTAAAATATTATTTAAAGAGTAAATTTATTTACATATTTACTGAAAGAAATCAATAAATTGTTACCACATAAATTTTTTTAATATTTATTTTTTAAATTTTTACTCTTTTAACTAACCATTTTCATATAAAAGAGATTAAGAAGTGAGAAAATAAACTGTAATTTAAGAATTATTTGGAAAATAAATAATTATTTCATTATTAATTCTTAATTTTTAATTATATCTTTGCAATTTTGAAAGGGTCTTAAAATAATTCTATGACATAAAAATTTATTTTAATATAAAGGAGTAATAAAATCTCAAATTCGGAAGCAAGTGCAGTAGCATAATCATTGTCTCTTTGTCCTAAACTTGAAAATATTCTATTATTTATGCAGTAAAATATCTAAATTTTTAATTGAATATTTTAAAAATAAAAATTAATAAAAAATGAAAAGAGCTAATCACATTTAAAATCAAGGAGTAACTCAGATTGGTTAATATTTATCAAATTGTTCCAATCTTAGAATATTGAATCTTGACCTAACGTATTAATAATATTATAGTTTATTTTTATACATAATGAGTAATATTAATTATAGGCGTAATTATATAAGTTGCCCATAAGAATTATGTATAAGTCTATAAAAGTGCTAAAGCCTTACAAGTCTAAAACTTAACTTATCGTAAAACAATATTTATTTGGATTAAAATTATTTATTTTACTTTTAAAAAAATTAATTTAATTAAAATTAAATTGTATTAAAAAAGACATAATGCAATTCTTAATAAGAGACTTCTTAGAAGATATTTGCAAAAAATTATAAAGCTTGTTGATTTAAAGCTCATTTACTGATTTTAGAATATAAAATGTGCTAAAAAAATTTAAATTTAAAAATAAATAGTAACTAATATGCTAGCTAATTTACTATTGAATGAATTTTGTTTTGACTCAAAATTAATTAAAATATTAATTTAAATTGATTGTATCGTTCTTTAATTTTTTTTAGTTATTTTGATTATCATTTAATTTTTTCAATTTATTGTATTTTCTCATATATTAAATTCTTTAAACCTAAATTTTGGTGAAATTTTGAAAAAATTATCTTAAGACCAGGAGACAAAAGAAACTTTTGTTTCATTTAACCTTCACAAAAAAGATTTAAGGTATTAATTTTTTAGTTTATTTTTAAAGTATATTCACTTTTTAAAAGTAAGATAATGGTATTTTTAATTATATAAAAATCTAATATGACATTAATCAAGCTAAGTTATCATATTTTTTTATGATTCGAATATAAATTTTATTATTTACTTATAAAAGCTTTTATCAAATTATAAAAAAATTAAAATAAAATTAAAAATGTTTAATTAAAATAAAAAAAGATTTTACATCATCAATTATTTATTATAAATGAATTTATTTTTAGAATTTTTTTATTAAGATAATCATAAAATTATATCAATTAAATAAATTATTAAAGATCATTTTCTTTATTAAAAACACTCTTTATTTTTATGATTCAAATATGAGATTACAGAAGAGAGATAACTTAAAATGTTAAAACCTATTATTTTAAGCAAGATAATTTATAAATAACCCTTTCAATTTTTATTAATTTTGCACAGATTGATTACTATCACTAAATAAAAAGTTAAACTGATAAAAAATTATATTCATTTTAAATATCATTCTACTAAAATTTGACCACACAATTTAAATTGTGATAATCGCCTATTTATTTTTGAAATTTATTTGTTAGAAAATCAATAAAAATGTGAAAATGCTTAAGTTTGTATTTAAAATAAACTTTTAAATGGATGGTAGAATAAATGTATATACATTATTAGAAATGTGTTATTGATTTGGAATATTGATCGCAACATAAATTATTTTAGGTTGTATTTAATTTATTTAGAATCTATGAAAAATTACATCATTTATAAACATAATTTATTTAATTCTTACAACAAACTGAGGTAAAATAATAATTCAAAAATTCATTACAGCCACCAGAAAATTTTGAATAGATAATGTATGCATTCAAGATAATCCAAAAAAAAAATAAATGTTGTTTGTGTATTTATATCTTAGACTAATTGAAAAATCAAATAAAAGAAAATGAGTCATAAGATATTGTTTGCTTTACTCTTCAATGAAAACTACACAATAACCAGAATATTAGATTATTCATTTTTAAAATATCGAAACTGGATAGTCTATCTATATGCTTAGCGGCAGAGAGTGCTTTAGAAATATCTAATAATATACATATACCAATTCATAAATAATTGAAGTCTTTGTTTGTTTTTGGGATTAAGAAATCAAATAAACAAAATCTGCAATTTATTTAATCAAAAAAAAAACAATCTGTAAAATAAGATAAAAAATTACAAAAATATTAAGGGAAGCGTTAAAAGTCTTAATAATAAAAGAATTAGAGGTTTAAGGCATTGTAATGAACGGTTCAACAAAAGAAAGTACAGTTAAAGATACAATTTTTACTTGGACTAACGATAACAAGTATAAGATTGTTTTAGTTGGTGATTCAGGTGTTGGAAAGACTAGTATCTTTTGGATGTATATAGAAGAGTTCTTCCCTGATGATGTCTCAGAGTTAAAGGTATTTATTGATTAAGCTAGCATATTAATTACTACCTTCTATTAGGTTTTAGCACTTTGTTAATGCATTCAAAACAAATACTAAAGCATTTTTATGAATCCTTATATTTTGAATGTCACATCATTTATTTAAATTAATATAGGTTACGATGGTTGACTTCAAAATTAAAAATATAGTAATTGATAATGAACTAATTAAGCTGTATATATGGGATACAGCAGGGTAAGAAAGATATCGTGCACTAGTTAGTAATTATTTTAAGGGAACACATGGAATTATTCTTATATTTGATATATGCAATTAAAACTCTTTTGAGTCTATAAAAAACTCTTGGATAAATCTTTGCAAAGAGAAATCAAATGACGCCCTTTTCATCCTTGTTGGTAATAAATCAGACTTGAAAGAGAAGAGGTAGGTTTAAGAAGATAAAATTTAGGCGTTCGCATAGCAAAATAGTTTACCCTACTTTGAAGTAAGTGCTTTTGATGGATCTAATATAATAGAAGCATTCGATAAGATGGCAAATGACATTAAAAATAAATTTTTCCCTAAGGCTTCAAAGCCTAAAGATACTGATTTAACAAGCGGATCTGTATAAGAAGAGTCAGTATAAAAGGAAGAAGCGAAATAGCCTGCAAAAAATCCAAATCGTCAAAGTGTCACTTTAAAAAACCCAAGTAGCAATAACCTCAAAAAAACTGCTGGTAAAGAATCTAACTGCAATTGTTGATTTAATTTTTATTTAAAAAATTTGCTATTATGTATATAATTTACCAACCTAAAGTTATATTGAATTATTCAGAACAAAAGCTCATTTTTCAAAAAGATTTAATATAAGCTAGTAAGCTAGATAGCTAATAATTATCTCCCTCATTGCCTACCTGCTGACTACTCATAATGCTTGATAATTGAAAACAAATAAATAATTAAAGTAATTGGTATTTCTAAATGCACGGTTATAGTAAAGGTGATAAAATCTAATTAAATTTAATTACTGTCATATCAAATATTAAAAAAAAGAACAAACAAAATTAATACTTCGCAAAGTCTCCTTATCTTAATATTAATAAAGATATCTTTTAATAGTTAGTAGCAGTAAATAGATTAAATTAGTTCCACCTTAAAGCTGATTGCTTTTTTTTAATAATTAATTTGTAAATCTCCACCTTTAAACTCCAATCACTTAAAAATAGGGCTTTTAATTAATTAATACATATAAACATACATGCAAGCATAAAATATTAATATTTAAATGATAGGATGCGAATAAAGCTAGTTTATCAGGATACTTGAAAAATGAGAAACTCTAGAATAAATGTAAAAAATAACTAGAAAAAAGACAAACAATAATAAATATTTATTCATGAATTTAGAAAATGTTTAAAAATAATAATAAAAAATAACATCTTAAAACAAACAAAAAAATGGGTTAAATAGAACTCAAATAAAAATGATAAAATATAATAAAAATGACCACTACAGTTTAAATAAACACTTTCATTAAAATAATACTTTCCATATAATAAATTCTTCATTTATCTTGCTCATTAACAATTTATATATTTAATAAAATAAATTGCCATTTATTTCTTAAAAAATATTTAACTTCCTAAGAGAAGTATCTAGAATATTTATTTACCTTAAATTAATTTACATTCAAATTAACTTTTAACACAAAAATTTAATAAAATACAATTTTAGCTTAACATGTTTTATTAATTTTAATTAATTAATCAATAAAATCCCAATTAAATACTTTAATTCAGATTAAGCATTTTGAATAATTTTTTTTTACAATTAAACTAATATTTTAATCATTATAGAAATATATATTTGACAAATATATTTTCTTCTTTTAAAAAATGTTTTGCTCATTTTATTATTTGTATTATTTTAGAATTTTTTTACTTAAATTTCAATTGAAAATTGTAGGTTAAATTTTAAAGTATATTATTGTTTTTAGATTATGAAATGAGTAATTAGCCTCAAAATTAAAATTATATTCTAAATAATACTAAATAATTTAACCATAATAAATTTTAGTTTCAATATTAACAAAAAATTAAATTTGGAGGGAGGGTAGATAACAGTAGTTGTATTCAAAAGTTAATGAAAGTATTGTGTGGTATTCAATTTTCAAAAAATTTTTTCAAAATTTAATAAAAATAGGTTGATAAAAAAATTAAAAAATAGAAAGTGTAAAATTAGATTAAATTCATAAAAACTAAAGGAAATATGACCATCTGTATGTACCTAAACAGTTCGTGATATTTTAATTACAGGATTAGCAATAGATATAATATAAAGAGATTAAGTGCTTTAAATGATTGATTAATTTATTTTAAAATGATTTACAATTTTTAAAGAAATTAATATTCAAATTATAAAAATTAGAACTTTAGAATATTACATAATTAGGAAACTCACTTTGATTGATAAATTATTATAAGTAGACAATTTAATATTTTTTTAAAAAAAAAGTTAGAATTTATCAATATTTACATTTCAGAAAGAACAGATAACTAATAGTAAAATTTGATTAAAATAAGATATAGAAAGAGCAAATAAGTACCAAAGTATAGAAACGATAAATAAATTAACTAAAATGTATTCGGCAACATAGTTTCAAAGCGATAATCATAGTCAAAGTACATAAATAATCTGTTATAATTAAATAGAAGCTTTTTTATGATAAATAAAATAGGTTTAGACTCAAAATGTTCTAATAATACTTTCATTTTAGAGGAGTATTAGCAATTAAACAAAAAATTTGAAAATTTTTTTAAAACAAACGATTGCTTGCAATGCATCATGGGGCTCATTTAATCAATATCATCTAAAAGTAAGGATAAAATAATCCAATAGCTTTAAAGAGAATAAGAATAGGGACAAAGCTAAAACATTATTGAAAGAATAATGAATTAGATATAAGTAAATGATAATAACTTATTAGTAGACTTTCATAATGAATATAATGAATTGAATTAAAAAGAAAAACAGTAGATTCACACTTTAAAAGATAAGCTGATATATATAGATAATTTTATAGTGAACATTAGGTTAATATAAAACTTTCTCAATTAACCAAATATGAATGAGTTCATATAATAATAAAATAGTTAAGTTATAACAACATAAGATGACAATTCCTTCAAACCTGGTTCAGATGAGTTCACAGATGATGGTCTAGATTACAATAATCCTATAGAATAATAATCTGAATATTTAGGAAATCAATAATTAAGCAATCAAACTAATTTAGAAAACGAGAGTTTATCTTTGCTCAATTCTTCTAAAAACAAATAGCACTTTGAAAATTAATCTGAAATCAACTCTGATCAAAATAATAAAACCTCAGTGCAAGTTTAAAAAATTCCAAAAGAATAATAAAAGAAGTCAGAACAATATACAACAAGTAACTATGGTTAATTGTAAAGCAATAATAAAGTGAAATATAATTAGGTGTAAAACAACAATTAATAATAAACTTATAAATAAGTTAATCAATTAAATAATAATTCTAATAATGATCAATTTGCATATAACTACAGCTAAAACAATTAAATGAGTATTTAATCTTGTTTGGCAAAATTTAGTAATACCAATTCTTCTAATTAATCAAACTCAAATTCAATCAGTACTTATTAAGTAAGTAATATAACATATTTTAACAATCATTAAAATCAAACAAACTCATCATCAAATAGTAATGATTTATTTGATAGATCATATAATAATTTACATTAAAATGCATGTGAGGGTATATTAGACGAAACATTAAATAACAATAACAGCTATCAGTAGAATATTTAGATGATTGTTGAAAATTCATAAATTTAGGAAGAATAACCAATTTGTAATCCAAATATTAATCCTTAAGAAAAAGATAATTAATAAAATTATGACGCCTAATAAATTAACTAGCAAATTAATAATTAAATTAATTAGCATATTCAATTATTACAATTTTAAAATAACTCAGGCTATGGACAATAGCGTAATGTGTGTACAAATAACACAAGTACTTTATATGAAACTAATTAATAGTAATAATAATAAAATATAGAAATGACCGATAATAATGTTCATGAAGAAGGTAATTTAAGTACATAACATTAAAATAATTTACCTTAAGAGATAGATGAAAAAAGAAAGTACAAAAATATTTACTAATGGGTATATAGAGATTTAAAGTAAATAATTTAAGAATTACAAAATATTCCAGAGGTATTTACATAATTATTTACAAAACATGAAAAAGAATATTAAGATAAAAAATAGAGAGCAAAAAAAAATTTATTTTAGCTATTCAAAGAACTAAAAAATAATAAAATTTTAACATAATATATATCAAATTTTGAAAATGAAGAAGATTTTTTGCAAGGTATAAATATAATTCTTTAAAAAAAAGAAGTTAGAAAAAGCAAAAGAAAGGAAATAGATTTTGATTCAAAAGAATATAAAAGATAACGAATTTTAATGTTTAAAGCATTTTAGAATAAATTACAAAGCAAGGAAAATAAGTGATTTGTTAAAGTTTAGTGAATATGGATAATTGTTTTAGTTAGTTAACAATATTAATTAATTATATCTTTAAAAAAATTAATTTTTTAAGTTTTTATTCTATTTTAGTTTATGTTTTTATTTTTTAAATTTTTTTAAAAGTATTAAATAAAAAATATTTATTTATCTCCATTTTTGATTAAGTTAACTTAAGTACTTTTATTTTTTTAAATTAAAATTAAAGTATTTTAACTTCTTATGAATTATACAAATTTTATTTTTATTTTACTCATTAAATTATTTAATTTAATTTAAGATATTTAATTATGTGAGAACAGATATTTCCATTTACATAAACATAATTTTACTATCTGATTTACTTTTGTTCATAAAAATTATATTCTTATAATATATTTTCTCACCATTTAAACCAACAATACGAGGTAGAATTATTTTAAATTATTTTTGTATAAAAAATAAATAAAAAACCATTTTCTAAAAGTGAAAAAATCACTGAAATTTTTCATAATAAAAAATAAAATTCTAAAAAAATAAAAAATTGAAATGTTACTAATATTGCTATTCTCGGATAATTATTTCTATAGTAGGAAATAAATATTATTTAAAAAATTTAATGTATATTTAAAATTATAAAAAAAGGTATCGAAAGAGGTTTCGAACCTGAACTAACAAAAAAAATAAGCAAAAAATGTTTAATCAAAGATTTAATTAATTTTTTGATGAAGAAATCTCAATTTTTAATCAAACATTTAATTTTTCGAGTTAAGCCTTTTTTTCATTCATTTTGAATGTAAAAAAAATAATTAATTCAAGATTAAATGTTTGATGTAAAAATTTAAATTTCTTCATCAAAAAATTAATTAAATCTTTGATTAAACATTTTTTATTTTTTTCTTCTATCAGGTTCGAAACCTGTTTCAAAACCTTTTTTTTATTTATTTTAATTTTTTTAATATTATATTAAATAATATTTATTATTCTACTAAGTCTATATTTCTAACTCTAGAAATAATTTTCTGAAAATAGCTATAAAAAAAGAGTGCGGAAATATATAAAAGAAAAAAACATAATATTTTCTATATCTATGATAAACAATAGTTGAAAAACCAAATAATATGATCATAATTTAAAAAAAAAATAGGGTTCATGTTATTATAGAACAATCTAAATTACTAGAAAATAAGATCTAAAAGAAGATATATTTCTTTCCTTTAATTTATATTTTAAATTACTAAAATTAATTTAATAGCAATTTTATAGCTTATATTACTTGTAAAGAAAAGTCAATCCTATCAAATCAAAGGATTTATTTTAAGATTTTAACATATTTGAATTTATAGCCTCTTTTTACACAGAGTTAAAAAAAATTGTGAAGTAAAAATTAATCAATTTTTTGCTAAAATTAGTAAATTCTTGTGATTTTTTTATTTAAAATAATATGATTAAAAATTAAATTAATATTAATGACTTATATATAAATGTGTTAATTTGTGCTTATTAAAAATTAAACCTTTAATAATTAAGTTTAATTTATTTCTTACATTAAATTAGATTTTAACTGATTTTTTCTTAATTCATTTTTATTTATTTTAATAAAATTTTAAAATTCAATTAAATTTCATAATATTTTCATTTCATTTAAAATTTAATAGGAATTATTTGAATAATTATTATTATAAATAATACAAAATAATTAAAATTTTAGATGGAAGCTGAGTCTAAAGGGAGTTAACATTCTTTAACTATGATGAAAACACATAAGTAGACAAAAGATTCTAGATAACATGAAAATAATCTAAAATAGGAAAGGAGAATGCATTATTTGATTAAATAAAATTTGTTATTAAATTTATAAAAATATCAAATTTTTAGAAATTTTTTCTTTTTTTGTATAGTTTTTACCATTAAGCTAAAGTGAAGTGCAAATTTATTTTGTTTTAAAAGTTATTTAAGGTGATAAAAGTGAATATGATATTAATTTTATAATCCGTTCGAATTTGATTGGAATTGTAATCTATTCTTAACCAGTAATATAATGCTAATTAGGGCATTTTTTTTTCCAATTAAGCAAAATTTTTTATTATTAATAGTAAATTATATGTTTTCACTAACTTCAGATATGTTTTCTGATAAAATGATATCAATATTTTGTTCTATTAGTAATTTTTGTATCTTCATTATAATTAGCAAGTATCAAATTAATATAATTCAGATAGGTGTTGTTTTTTAAAATATTTACAAAATACTTACAACAGTAGCTAAGAATTTAAATTGTATTATTTAAAAATATAAATTATAGATAAATTACATGTAATATAAATCAAAAAGATTTAATTTAAGTTTATATTAAATTAAAAAAATTAGATTGATTAATTGAAAAATTAATTAAATGTTTGATTGAACAATTTTTATATTTTTCATTGATCAGGTCTGAAACCTGTTTTTAATTTCTTAACATTTTATTTAATTATATTAAAAATATTTATTTGCTACCAAAAAATAAAATTCTCTAAATGGCTATAAAATAGTTTAACAATAAAAAATAATTCACTTAAAGAAAAAATTTAGTTCATAAATGATTAAGATCAAAGATATTAATACAAACTTCTGAAGACAAACATAAACATCTTAATTTAATACCCTTAAATTAAAAATTTTTCAAGTAATAATTAAAGATACATTTTAAACATACTAAAAATAGAAATATATCTCACATTTATTAATATAACAAACTTTTGAACACATATAAAATTAAATTTCAATTGATACTAATTAAAATGGTCAAAATTTATGGGTTAAGTTAATCTTAACTATATAGATACTACAGTATTAAATAATTGATTAAATTTATGGATTACAAAATACAAATGTAATAATCAATCATTCATTCAGCTATTTAAAACTTAATTTTAAATTTTATACTTATCTTTTAATATAAATTTTTATTTACTTTTTTTCCTCATATACTTACGTTGAAAAATGTCTATTATTTAAAACTTGCTAAATATATGTGTTCTTTGTTAGTTGCTTTTTATTATGATCAAATAATTGAGGTTTTAAGGTTATTCCAAATAAAAGTAAGAATGAATTAATTTATTTCAAATTAAATTAATAATACTTTCTTATTTTTTGAAATATTTTACTTTAAAAAATGTTTAGTATTCTTATATTGAAACATATTTAATCAGGAGTTTATTATGGAAATAGTTTTATCAGAAAAAAATTTGTTTTTATATCAAACTAAACAAAGAAGTATAAATATATAATTTTATAAAATCTTAAATTTCAAATTATTTTCTTTTATGAAAAAATATTAGTAGAATTAAAATAAAATAGTCTATATTAGTTTGAAATAGCATTTTAAAATATTCAGAAATTTTCAAAAAATTTAAATAGATTATTATTTATTTTGAAGTTAGAATAAAGAATGATATCAATAATTTTTAGGACAGATTTTTGAAATTAAATTAATAGTAGAAGATGCAAAAAAAATTATAAATGAATTGTAATTTAAGATTGAATTAAAAATTAATGGTAAAAATTATTTAATTTAATAATAATTATTAGTAAGTAAATTAAGATTGTTTGTTTTACACACACACACTAAATAAATAAAGTATTTCAAAAAAATTTAATTAATAAGTGCTATCTATTATTAAATTAATTGATAAATAAGTAAATAGAATTATTATATATGAGTAGTTCAAAAAAATTCTAATTTTTTAATGAGTAAGAATAGCAGCCTATGAGATGCTAAATACATAAAAATTCAAATCTTAATTAAATATGTGTTTAAGATGGCTGCATTTTATAATTTTAGCCAAATTGTCCTCTTTGTTAATATGATAAATAGAATACATGCAATTAGCATTATGTTATGCCAATTCAAGCATTTTTTTGCTAATTAGAAAGCTTAGTATAGGAAGAAGTTATTTTAAATCCTACAAACTATGTTTGCTCAGATGAAATAAGTTTACTTGCAAGACAATTTAAAAATTTAGGAAACAAATGTTTAGAAATATCAGAAAATATAGCCATGTCAACTTCTAAACACAAAAAAACATTTGTAAACCTTGCTCCTGAAATAAAAGCTGTAGAAAATATAATTAAAAATGTTAAATAAGATGATTGCACTTAAAATATTAGATTAAATTTGATGCAATTAAGTTAATATATATAAATATAACCAGATGGTAATCTTTCTTTTTAGTTCAGAAATAATGAAAAGCTCGATAGACTTTAACTAAGATATTACTAATATTATTCAAAACTAGAGTAGTTATATTCTTATATAATAAATGATTTAAATACAGCTCATTAAAATTCTATTTTTTACACAGGTGTACAGTTTGGTAGTAGTAAATAATTACTTATTAATATATTTTTTTAATTATTTTAGCTTGAATTTAAAAATCTTTTTACTTAAAATTTTAAGGGCTTCTAAAAATTTAAATAAATATTTCATTATCAAAATAGATCCTTCTAGTGATAAGAAATCTGATTACTCAACGAATAGCAGTTGTATTGATTAGTAAATTGAAAGTAAACAAATATGCTAATTGTATAAAATGAGAAGTTAAATATTTTAAAATAATGTTTAGGGATGAGAGCTGTTTTAGAAAGCCCACAAAAGGTTGGAATGAAGTTAAGTAATGAGAGCTACTTCAAAGTGAAAATAATGGAAAAGGGGGATTAAAAAACTTTCCCTTTATACAAATAAAAAGTAAAAATTAATTACAAAATTTATGATGAGGATTTCAACTTGCTTGATCAAAACAAAGAAGGTAACCCTTTTATATTTACAATTGGTATTGGAGAAGTCATTAAAGGTTGGGAACTGGCTATTCCTGAAATGAGTTTAGGAGAAAAATCTTTGATTATATGCCATAAAAATTTGATAAATAACTCAAAATATAATAATATCCTTTAAAATTAACAATCATCTTAGTCTTTGTATTTTGAAATACAAATTGTTGATATAATATGAGATTAGCTTACTAATTATGTATTTATTTATTTATATTATCAATGTTAAACGTAGATATAAAAAATATTATTTAATTTATTTTACGATAAAGTGATTAAAACTAACTAATACATAAAATATACATTTTAAGCACATAGTTTTAGAAATTTAAATGAACTTCCATTCGAAAGTATCGATTTTAATAATTAAAATTATGAAGAATACTTAAGAATAATTAATTATTCACTAATATCTTCTTAACTCTTGCATAACTCCTTCCATTTCCAAATTAAGTTTCTTTCCATCTGGGCACTGATATTTATTTGGTAATATATAAAACTTTGTTGTTCTCTTTTATCAAAAATCGAAATTACGTCCTAAATTTATTTCAATAAATATTTATCATACAAAACTAGGTTATATATATTTTACTGTCTGTATTTAAAGGTATCAACGAATTTAGTTAATGAATTGCATGACTAAAAAAGAATTTACTCTCTTTATTTATTGAATAAATTAATAACTAACTATTCTAAAATTAAGCTTACTTCCTATTTATACAAAATTATTTTTTAATAGTTTTTATAAAATTAAATCTTACTTTCTACGTAATAGGTCATAAAATAAAAAAATGGTGAAACTTTGAATGTGATGTAATCAAAAATAATCTTACGAACCACTTTATTTATCATTAAAATGAATTATTTAACATTTATTTATTAAATTGAATTTTTACCAACTATTTATTTATTTATTTAAAAAAAGTGTTTAAATAATTTTAATTTAAATCAAAAAACTTACTGTCTATTTATGAGTCATTTTTTGTTAAGAGAATAAATTAAATAGCTTAATTTAAATCAAATTTACCTTCTATATAATAATTATAATTTTTAATAAGCAAATGTTTTTTTATTAATGAAAATCTTACCCACTAATTTGAAATTTAAGACCAAAAAATTAATACATGTCAGAAATGCCAAAATTTAATTGTTTTACATACTAATTTGAAAAAAACATTTTGTAATTTTCAATATTTTTACTGAAATGATTTACTTTGATCTAATTTAAAAAAATAATAATTTTAAACATTTTAATTTAAAAATAATTAATTAATTTACTTTCTAATTGGCAAAGTTAATTCAAAAACATATTTATATTTTATTATGCATTGCTATTTAATTAATTTTACATACTATTTTATTTAAATAAGTTTTTAATATTTTAATTTTCTAAATAATCTCAAATTTACTGGCTGTTTGTTGTTGTTAAGTGTTTCAATATAATGTTTTCATAACACATTGAGTCAATTTAAAATGAATATTTGTTTTAAATATATTTATAAGTAAAAAATAAATTTAATTTTAAATCTAAACGAATTAATTACAATCTATTTTATAAAAAAATTATTTAAAATTAGCTAATGTTAAAAATTTTTGAACTTACATCTACGAAGCTGCAATGTTTATTGTCACACTAATTGAAGATAATTTTATATAGGAAAATATTGATTAGATTTATTTTATCATAAATTTTTATTTTACCATATCATCTACATGCTTGTCCATTTAATGCTTGATATACTATCAGATATAAACATATTACTAAGATTGAATATTTTCATTAAATTGTATTTACATCTCTTTGCTTTTCGAGTTCTTTCTTTCCTATTTTTATTAGAATAAACCAAATATCTTAGGTTTGATTATTGATAAATATTATTTACTTTCTTCTTTCTTTTGCAATCTTTATTGCATTTGATTCTTACTAAAGCTCTTTGAATACTCAAACTACTATTGAGGAGTATAATCTTATTGTTAATCAATAAAAAAAATTATTATATGTGGAGGTTTCATTAATTGTTATTTTCAAACTTTGAAATATCCAATTTTTTTATGTAAACTATAGAAAAAATTATTATAATTATTGCTATTAAATTTATATTAAAAAGACTTGTAAAATATTAAATTACCTCCTTTGTCGCTAACGATATCCTCTGAATCATACTCAAGGAAAAATTGCTACATGCTAATGTCAAGGTAGCTTCTCACTTCATCTAGAGTCTTCAAGGGAGCTTACATATTTTTTATGAAAAGCTAAGTCTTTTATTGACCATCTCTTAAAGCTGTTAAGGAAACGGCATCGTTTACTTTCAACAAACCATCTTCATCAACTCTGGTGTATTATCTAAGTTCATCAACATTCTTTCTGAGAATAACTTCACTTTCGTTGCTCTTAAAGACTTCTCTAAGTAGCTTTCTGATGGCAATACGTTCATAAGGTTCTTTGCGAACAAGAGCACGATATTTTTCTAAGTTGAGATTAATGTGTTCAATCATTTAATTGCATTTTTCTACTGTAGCGGCTAATTCATTAGCAATGTTCTTCAAATCTTTTTCGATTTCATCTTCTCCAGAATTCTACTTTTCGAAATCTAACTATTTCTCTTCCAAATCCTTAATTAGTTCTCCAAAAATAAGTTTTACAGGCTTAATATCATGTTTATTTTTCTTATGATTGATGAATTTGCAAAACGCACAAACGGGAACAAGCTAAGTTGAGCAGCCATCCTCCATGCAAAACTCACTCAATTAATGATCCCCATGATGAGCTTCTTAAGTACAATTTGGCAATTTATATGCTCCGAGACTTTCAATCAAACCCTAATTTTTTAACATTTTGTTTTTTGCTACTACACTTAAAACCTATCCTACTATATTAGTTTAATATTTCAACACTATCTAAATGTGCTTTTTTCAATTAGTTTTTATATTAGTTATTTTTTTATCAAAAATTAATAAAATGCCTTCCCTTCTATTTAACAATAAATCAAATACATTTTATTTTTATCAATTAAATATGTTGGTTTTATAAATTAAATAACTTTAATTTGTCTAAGCAACTTTTCTAAAATTAAATCATATTCATATTTTATATTACAATTTAAAACAGCGTTAAACATGTAAACTATGGTTATAGCACAGCAAAATAAATAAAGACTAGTTAACAAATTTAAAATAAAATGTATTTCCTAATTCTATTTTAAATAATTTTAGTATTCTTATAATTAAATTTAGATAAAATCTTATTCATATTTTAAATTAAAAATTTAAATTAAAAAAATATTAAAATAAAAAATGGCAACCAAGGTGGGACTCGAACCCACAACCTTCAGATTAGAAGTCTGCTGCGCTACCATTGCGCCACTCGGCTTTGACAATAATTACAAGAAAATAAGGATTTTATTTTTAGGTTTTTAACATTCTTAAGAAACGAATAATTTGTTTATATATAAAATTTTTAATTCTAAAATAATTTCATTGAACAATTAAAATTTGTAAGAAATAAATAATTATTAACTAGAATGAATAGAATCCTAAATTTTAATTGTTGCATTATCTTTTATAAATATTATACATAAAGCTTCTATAATTATAACTAAAATCTTAGCTTGCTCACCCAGCCATAAGTTTGATTAAAAATTAAGAATTTATTAAACAAATTTTCTGATCAATAAATAACTAAGATAGAGTGGATTATATTAAATAAATGAACTGCTTATAGTGCAACAGTTATACTCTTAGCCTAGATAAAATAAATGTTTGCTTAGATTAATCTTGTTAGTAGAATATATTATGCTAAGAGTGCTGTACAAAGCATCCATCATTTCATCAAAAACCTATTTTTTTAAAAAAGTTTCTGAATAAATTGTAAAATAAACTGCCTGATGAAAATGTATTATAAAGCATAAATTCTTCTAAAGTTTTATAGGAATTAGAAAATAACTTTCAGAGAAGTAATAAGCTGTTCAGATAATTAAAAGAAAGTGTTATACGCTAAATAGACATTGTAGTTAATCAAACAACGCAACTTTTTGAACACCTACATAAATAATACTAATAAATGCATGCTAAGATAGTTAAATTAAACTCCCAAAGAAATTTAATTGAGGACGTCAAAAAGCAACAAGATATAGGATCTTTAAAAAGGTTAATTGGAGAATTCATCATTTAATAACCAGATTAAACAACTAAAAACTCCGATTATCAGCTAGAGAATAGTAAGACAGTTATGTCAATTAGCTCATCGATGCTCAGAAATTCTTAATTGATTACTCCTAAATCAGCTAAATAAAAAAACAATTTTGATTAAATCAACTAAGCAAACGCTAATATTTATAGGAAATTCGAAAATATTCACAAAGAGGTAATTGCATTTAATGAATTTTCTTAGCAAGTCCTCGAAAAAGAATTGGACAAATCTTCATAACTTTTGTATGAAAGTTTTGAGAACATTAAAAAATTTATAACATTCTGCTCATAATCAGCTCATAAAACGAAGTTAGTAACAAATAAATTCTTAGATACTTTATAGCCATTGTTTCAAAAAGAAGATTAAATTATCTGTCACAAAAACAACATGCCTGTATAAGCAATAGTTGTTAATGCAAAATAAAATCAAATCATTACTGCTTCATACGATTGCAACATAATTGTAAGAGATATTCACAACTTAGCAGAACTCCAAACATTAAAAGCTCATACCCAATGGATTCGTTCATTAGCTTTACAAGAATACTCAATCAATAATCCTTTTCATTACTCTAAAAGCATTCTGATATCATGTGGAGATGATAAATTAGTCTAGTCATGGATTTTAAATTAATCTGCATCCCCTTGTCTATAGCTAAGTTAAAACGAATAGTTAAGTCAAAGTAAAGCAAATTAAACCTAAGATGTACTAAAATAAATCACATTTTAGCTTAATATAAAAGCATGTCTGCTATGCATGATTTCAACCAATTAAGTAGCTATCTGCACAGGACCTACTGATAATTTTAAAACACTAATTTACGATATCACAAATTCTCAATGCTTAAAGTAAATAGTTAGCATAAAGCAAAAAAAAACTTTCATTTTTAAAAATTATAAATAAAATTTTGAGAGTTTTTTTGATTTAATTTAAAATCAATCCCAAAATATTTTATTTTTAAAATAAAAATTGACTATCAAAATTAAATAATAAAAAGTAAAAATTTATATTGAAATTTTAAAATTAATCTCAATTTAAAAGTAAATAAGTAAAAGTAAACTATGTAGTTATTAAAATGACTATTTTATAATCACATAAAATGTAATAATATAAACAGCTATATCGAAATAAAGAAAAAATATATTATTGATTTAAAAAAAATATTAAAATAAAAAACTTAGATTGATTGATTTATTTATTTAAAAAATATTGAATTTTTAATTTATTTTTATTGAATTTAATCAAATTTTGTAAAAAATAGAATTTTAACAGGAAATCGAAAGTACATAAGAAGTGTAATTCATTTAGAAGATAAGAACTATTTATGCACTGGAAGCGATGATGGAGTGATTGGTATATGGAATTTAAACGATGTTAAAAATGAAAAATTTAAATTTAGATTAAATGCTTCTCTATTCCCTATTTAATCATTAATTTATGAAGAAAAAAATAATCTAATTTGTGCAGGCTGTTAAGATGGCAAAATATTGATATATTCAATATAATAAGTTCCTAAACTATTAAAAATTATATAAAGCAGTACTTGTACCTCTGTAAGTACATTATGCAAATTAAATAGCAATTATTTTGTAGCTGCTGTAGGTAAAAATATCCTTGTTTACCTCTTTTAAAATGGAACCCTTATAAATAGTATAAATAATAAAAACAGTAATAACATATCTGTAATAACTTATTGTCCATTAAACTAGAAGCTATTAGTGGGTGATGTTAGAGGTTAACTATCATCTTATGCTGTATTAATTGTTTGAAATATAAATTTGTTATAATTTATCATTAAAACTAATGATCATTAAGTTAAATTAAAAAAAATAATAATACTTTGAAATATAATGCAAAGCTCTTAATTTTAAATTTATATCATTTTAAAGTAATTAATTAATTAATATAAAAATAATTAATAATTCTTAAATAATGAAACATTTTTTTCAACAATTTTGTAAATTAATTCATGATTTTAGGAACCCTTTTAGCCAAAAATAAGCATTTCTTTTTTTTCATTCTTTCTTTTAAAATAAATAACTAGGTTTCTATTTAAATAAATAATTTAAATGCGAATCTTTAGATTTAATTACTAATATTAAGTCTATTGAATCTATTTTTTTAATTTAACTTTACTTTGAATAAACTATTTAGCTATTTAAATATATTATTGTGGATTATTTTATGAAAAGTTTATTAAAAATAATAAGATTTAATAAAATTAACAAATTATTAGGTAAATACTATTAAAAATTAAGATTTTATTTTTTTAAATAAAGACTATCTATTATAATATATCTATTGACTAAGAGTCAAACAATTTAAACTTATATTTTTTATAAAATTAATGAGTTAAAACTTTTAAATAAAATTGCTTTAATGAAGTAGAAATTTAGAGTTATCATTAATGGATTTATTTTAGTTTAATTTATGTATGTATATATGTACAAATAACTAATGTAATTCTTTGTTAATATATTTATTGATAATTTAGTATAGTCAAGCTTTTTTTAAATTTATTGTATTATAATATAATTAAATCTAAATTCATAGATTTATATTTTTATTTATTCATACAGATTTTCTTCAAAATTTCATGTTCTTTAATTGTGGTTTCTGGTTGTTTTTTTATTCTTAATTTTTAATGTAGGCAGGCATTTTAACTTGAGCTTTTAGTTAAACTTTGCTATTTTCAATTTCTTTTACTTTTTCTTATTAGGGCTCTTTCATTTAGTTTAGCGTGTCAATATACAGATCCTAAGATACCTGTGTTGGGCTGTTGACTTACCATTCTAAAAATTTGTAAAAAGCCATGAATTGCATTCTTGCCATGAATCTAGCTCTCAAGTACTTGCTGCATATTGTTAATACCTTATCTGATCTAAATAGATAAATTGTTTCGATTAAATACTAAATTACAAAAATTAAATGGATACTTTGAAAAAGTTATATTTGCATCAACCAAATATGGTTGCAAATTAAATAGGCAATCCTTAAATGTATTTGATATTAAATTGATTCCTCTTTATGTAATGCCTCTCCATCTATAAAATTAAAATAAAAAACATAAATTAAGAAAAATTTATATTTTATTCACCCGCTTATGTTCAGATTAAAATTTAATATGCCATTCAATGACTAAAATAAACTAGTCACTCCCATACATAAATCTTACAATCCTTAGTCAGTACACTTAGTCCAGCTATTTGATAATTCAATAAATTATGTAAAATTTAAGTAATAAGCAAAAATAAGTACCCAAAGAAATTAAAATCAATCTATTGTAATTTTTTGCACTCATCAGATAAAGTTTGCATTAATTATGATATCAACTCACAAGATTTGTCATTACATTTTCCCCAACTAAGTATTTATTGGAAATAGATTTAATTATTCAACTTCAAAGAATGAATTTAAATTTAAAATTACTTCCATAAACTGAATTTAAATGTCTCTAAATTTTATGCTTTTTCTGACAATTCTATTAAACTATTTATTAATTTTTCAGAAGCAATCGAAGTGCATTAATTCCAGCTATAATATAATAATTTAAATTAATTAACTTCAATAGGATAACATTTATAAGAAGCTTAATTACCCTTCTAGAGATAGATTTAAATGAATTAAACTTTTAAAATTTGTTTTCATCTATAATGATTCAGAAAGCTAGCAAGCTCCAATATCTGTAACATCCTTCCAGCTTTTAAATTAAATATAAAACAATCAGTAAAACTAATAAAAATAAAAATTCGAATTCAAATAAACAGAAGAGTAATAAGAAAACTTAAATGTATTTAATTTATTTACTGGAATAAAATAAAATTGGAATGGGTAGATAGATAGATGATAAATTTGTTTGATATGTTATTTTATTAAATGAGTTTTTGTTAATTATGAATGGTATAATTTTACTTGTTTAGATTAATACTAAAATGTGTAAGATGAGGGCTTTACTAAAACACAGAATAAAGGCAATCTGCAATGTTTTTAATAGAAGCTTCAGTGCATTTTTTCCAACTATTTTTTAATTAAATTAAGTCAAAGTCTGATTTATTTTTTTATTATTTGGCAGATTAACTAAGTAAGTTATTACCTCTTGAAATCTAATTCTAAATGTTCTAATTTTCCTGATGTAGAAACCTCTTAAATACTTGTAAACAGCTTTTATATTGTTTCATCATCTACATCGATTTATTAGTTATGACTTAATAAATAAAAATAATTAAAACGCCTGTCATTTATTTTTAGATTAAAAAATGGGTACTGAATATCGAGCTCTGGAAGAATTACTTACAGCTACTTGACCTTTAAACATTTTGAATGAATAAACTTAGATATAATTATACAGTCCTTTTTAAGTTATTCTCCGCTATTTATTATTTCAAAAATTAATTATTAGTTTTTTTTTCAAATCAATAAACATTTATTTATTTTTACTATGGTTTTTCAAAAGAAACAATCTTATTATCAAAGTATCCTCCCCTTTTAGAGCATTCTTAAAGAGTTTCTCTATCAAATACCTTGAAAACATATTTATCGAATTCAGGGTTTACTTTATCCAGTTAATTTTTTCCATCTATAATTATCTATTTTATATATTTAGGTTTTTTCTGTCTAAATAAAGCTTGCTAATCTTTTTTACTCCCATTTTCTTACAACGCAAGCTTGGCCAGGGGTTTATTGCTCTTAAGTTTCATAGTCTTCAAATGAATAAATATTGTTTAGTTTAAATAGAAGATTTCTTTTTTATGTTAAATATTTGTAGAAGAATGTAGTATTTGTCTTTTGTTTGTTTGTTTGTTTAGTAGTTATTTGAATCTATTCCTTATTCAATTATTAATTGCTTTAGTCTTTATATGAGGTAATTAAGAAACTAAATATTATTAAATATTGTGAATAATAAACTCACTCTTATTCAATTATATGTTTAAAATCACATATTTATTAAGCATCAAATTTATTAAAAAAGTCTTAATAGTTTTTTTACCATCTCCAGTAATAATTAATTACACCTATTTTTTTATAGTATTTAACCAAATTAAAGTTTTATTCTAATAAAAAATTCGTGGTTGTAATCTTAAAAAATTAAAAGTATGCTTCACCTTTAATTTTAAGTAGGATAAATATTTATATTTTCTCAACTGTTAATTATTTTATTTGATAATTGTAAATTAATTAACTTTTAATTTTTATTTATAGCATAAGTTGATATTTATGTTTTTAAGTGAAATTATAATTTATTTAACTCATAGTTCGTTCATTATAAATTATTCAATACTATTTTTATTTACTACTTTGAATTCAAGAAATAAAAAGATATTACTTTAAACTTTAAACTTTATTTATTATAATTAAAAGTGTAATATTTTAATAAAGATACAATGATAAATATCAAGATTTTTGTATAAAAGAATTCAAAATTAACTCAATCATTTATTTAATTAAAAAGTATATTATTTTATTGTCAGCTAACAGTCAATATTTTTATCAAAAATAGAAAATAAATAAGTTAAATATTTATTTTTTATTAGAAGAATGAATAAATTTGGGTTTTCAATAAATTTTTTATTAATAATAATTTAGTCAAATTTATTGGTGCCATAATCATAAATCCTAATTTACAAAAAACTAAATAAAATAAAAATATTGGTATTATATTCCTCAGCTATTTTATAAAATAAATTCATAATTATATCGAAAATGAATCAAATAAATATCAATTCTTTTGTTTTTTTATTGAATAGAAAGAGTAAATTTAATTATTGTATTTTAGTATATATTTAAATTTATTTATTTTATATTATTTTTTTATGATTATTATCCAAAATTACTTTCAGACTCAATATAAGTTTATATAACAGCTAGGTGGATTTTATTTTTTTACTGAATAGAAAGAGTGAATTTAACTGCTATATTTTTGAAATTGCTTAAATCTATTGATTTGTTATTATTTATTTATTATGATAAAGATTTAAAATTACTTTAAGATTCAAAAATTGCTTATAGACCAGATAGATAGATTTTATTTTTATTCTATTATTTAGTTAAAAAAATTTATATTAATAAATATGTTATTTATTTATTTTTTAATTTTTCTTTGACACTATAATTATATATGCATAATAAATAAAAAATAAGAATTCAGTAATACTAATTGATTAAAAAAAGATTTAATTTGAATAAATACAATTGCTTTTTACTTGATTATTATTATTAATTGAAATGATTTATTTATTTATTATAGACTAATATATTACTATACTAATATTTTATTTGAATTTTTCTTAATTAATTTTAAATAGTTATTATTTATTTATAATTTATTCAAATTTTAACTTGGAAACAATAGATTTAAAACAACTAATTCAACTTTCTAATTAAATTAACTTTTTAAATGTCTAGTAGTGAATTAAGTAGCATTTCATCTTAATCGGAAATGCAATCTTCGTCTTCTTCAGAAACATCTTCTCAGTAAGGATCAAAAAAAGAATATATTGATAAAAGAAAAAGGAAAATGAATAATAAATTTAGCAGTGCTAATAACAAAAGGATACATTAATTGCGTAAAAGTTAATCTCATAACTCTGATCTTTTGAATATTATTCCTAGTTCTACTACCTCAATCATAAATTCTCAAAGAAAAAAAAGCATTAAGTTTAATCTAAGCAGCAATCAAGAAGTCAATTTAGGAGATGAAAATGCATTTTAGTAGAGGATAAATAGGGGCCGAAGAAAATCGAGATTTAGCAAAACAGATTTTTTGTGTGAAGATGTAAGTCCTTTTAAATCTCTACAAATGAGGAAACAAAATAGTTAGTAGTTGATTCTGAAAAGAAAAATATCTGATGGAGACTATCCATAATCTATATTAAAAAAATCTTCGTTTGAGAGATCAAAGTCAATGATTGAAAGCCCTGCAAATATAATTATAGATAGCAATCCTTCTCCGAAAATGCTTTAAAATAGAAGGCATAATTAAATACCATCTTTGGAATTTATAATGAATGAAAGTAACCCTCAGATATTCTATAATTTTAATTCACCTACAAATTAAATTTTGAACAGAAATAACTCTCAAATTTCAACAGCTATATTTCCTCCATAAGATTCCATCTAAAATTTAAATGAAAAATAAAATGATTATGTTAAATAACCAAATATTCTTAAAAATAACAATGATCTTGAAAATAATTTTTTTGGAGATAATTATAGGCAGAGGCCATAAAGACTCTCTTTAGAAAACATTAACTAATAAATAAAATTGCAACTTCCTAATAATTTAAACATAAGTGACATCAGTTAGCAAAATAATAGTAATCCAAGTCTTAATAATTTTAGCAATAGCAATAATGCTCATACTCCTTAAAGCAGGAATGCTTATCAATTAAATAGCTTGCAATTAAATAACTCTGTTTAGACACCTTCAAGTTAAAGAAATAGCAAAAATCAGAATTAAATAGAAAACATAAATGGCAATATCGGTTTTAGCGATTTGGCTTTGTAATATACAAGTAACAGTACTTAAGCATATTCAAATCCAAATTTGCCTAACATCATTACAACCTAAGGAAACCATCATCATAGAAGTCCATCCCAATAATAAATTATCAATAAAAAGAAAGACTATTAAGAAGTTCTAAAAGAGCTTGTTGATACTTAAGAGAGACTTAGGGCCGAAGAAGAAAAAAACGAGTACTTATCCCTTGAGCTAAAGAAAAATCAAGAAAAAAATAACGCTTTATTGAGACAATAAGAAATTTTGTTAAAAAAGAGCTCATTTAAACAATCTGTTCTTAGAGAAATGAACTAAAAATTGAATAACATGCAGAATTGCAATAAATTAGTTGCTATTCATGTTCCATTCAATCAAAAAATTATGTCAAAAATAAATAAAATGTACACATTAATTTTTTATGAAACAATATTTTTATCATAAAATGCTTTAAAAAGATAGCCATTCTTTTGTTAAAATAGCTTATAATATGTCAAAAATTCTATCTATATATATAATCTATTGGTGATCAATAATCTATTATCATTTATTGTTGCTCCAACTATATTTAAGCAAAAAACTAATGCTAAAAATATAGAGTCTTATTTTTATTCAGCTTATGACTCTTCGTTAATATCTCAGATAGCTTTTTAGTAATTTATTTATATACTTTCACTAAATTTTCTATAAAAAAGTTTTCAAAAACAAATTTAAAAAAATAAATAAATACTCTATTTTTTTTTACTTATTTGATTTTCACAAAATAAATTTAAAAGCTTTAAGACAGAATTTTAAAAAAACATTTTAAGACAAAATTGTTTAACTTTATTAAAATAAATAGGATTTTTATTACTATTCTAGTGTTAACAATTGCTCATTTAGTAAATTTATCTAATATGAAAAGATAATATATCAGAGTTAAGTCAAAGGGAAAAGACAAAATAAATTTATTTAAGCTGGTTTTTAATTCATTTGATTTTAAAGAGAGTAAAAGTGAATAGCAGGTTGATTATTTTTAAGAAAAGTACTCATCAAATCTGAAACAGTATATAATAAAAAAGATTAAAATTAATTCCGCTGACAAAAGTCCTAAAATTTTGATTTTTTTAAAGTACTTTCTTATATTTATATACTCTGGAATAACGTTCTCTGCTTTGTTTGTTTTAAAGATTATATTGTCGCTTGAGTATTCTGAATAAATATTTTATTAAGGAATAGTTCTGTCTTTTATGACTATTGGAATGTGTGAGCTTGTTAGCATTTTATATAGTAAGATAAACGATTTATAATGTTTAAATTTGGACAAAAATAATTTAAAAGAAATTTGTAAAATTTAATCAGTTTCTGTTTTAATTTTATCTTGCTATTTCGTAGTTTCTACCTTAAATATAATCTTTCAGAAGCAAGATTTTTCTTTCCTTGCTAGTATAAAAACATCTTTTAATTTCATATAAAGTGATCCTAATTCAAAATAGCATCAAAATGGTTTTTAAATAGAATGCCCAGAAAAAATAGTAAGTTACATTATGATATAATATTTTGTTCTTTTAAATGCAAAAATATTAGTTAAAAATGTACTTAGGTTCTCTAAAAATAAGTTATTTCACATATTTTATTAGAAGTAGTCGTATAAAAAAAGCTAAAATTTTGAATTTTATGAGAACCAACATTATGATTGTTTACTATTTCTATTAATTCTTATTAATCAATCGTTCTTTTTGTGGTCCAGTCTTTTCGGTTTGCTCTTATTTATAGTCAAATTCTTGATTAATTATGCGATTCTAAGAAATTCTAAAGTACTTAACTTCAGCCAATATCAATCGTTTTAAATCTAGAATAGATTTAATTAGGACTTTACATATGTTCTCATTATTTTTATTTTGTATTCATTTTTACTCAATTCGTTAAGTTATCAAAAATTCTTTGATTAAAACGGTTAAGTATGCGGCCCATTTTAAGGTAACTAAAACATATCTAGTTATATTTATGAAAATCTATTTACATAGCCTCTCACTTAATAGATTTATTAAATAATTACTTGGCCTCCACTGTTATGGATTTTATTGCTTAGTTATTTAATGCGCTAATGGATTAGTAATTTATCGGGATCAGAATGGAAAAGTGAAAAAAAAAATTAAGGTAAGATGATGAAAGAAGTAAATAAACATTACTAGTAAAAGTTATAAAATTTAGAAGTCAAAATAAAAAATACCAAAACAATCTTGGTCAGCTCTTAAAATTTTTAAATTAATAAGAATTAATGAAAAGTGAATATTAATTTTAAAATTATTAATTAAATGATAATTAAGATCAACCTTTGGAGTAGTTAAATAATAAATCCTATTTATTAAATAAAAAGTTTAGAAGTGAACATAAAAAGAAAGAGAAAAATGATCCAATCATAAAATATGAATGAAATGAATCTTATTTTATATTAAATTGTTTAATTTATATTTTTTAATCTTGTAAATGTTTAAATGAAAAATTATTTTATGCTATCTTTGAGTTTATTTTTAACCGACTGATTAAAAACTAATTTAAAAAAATTTATTGCCCTTGAAAGAAATTCAGTAAAAAAATTTAAAATTTATTTTAAGGCAAATTATTATTTATTAATGAGTGAATATGTTTGTAGTTAGTTATCTATCTATCTATCTATCTATCTATCTATCTATTTACTTTAAATATAATGTTTTATTAAAACGATTTTTCATTTAATTATGAAAATAAATTTATACTTACTATTATTAATTTATATTTTATTTTATTATCAAAATGATAAATTCTAAATATTTATTCCTGATTGAATCAATATATTTTTAAGATATTCTCATTATTTTTTTTAAATTTCTCAAAAAATTTAAATTCTTATGTACTAAAAAAACTTTTGCATTTCTATTGATCGATCAGTGACTGGATTAATATAATGTAATATAAATTTGGTTTAATTAATAAATTTTTGTTTGCAATTAAAGTCCTTGTAAATAAAATCGAAATCAACTAATATCGATAATAATATTACAACATAAAAAATTTGATTAAGACTAATACATTTTTTATTTTTAAGTAATTTATATAGAAAAGGGGCGATGTTTAATTAAATCTTAACAAAAACTATGTAAATATTTTTAAATTTATGGTAAATATTTTAGAATATTATTTAGTATTTCTTGATTTTGTTTATTTTAATAATTTATGTCAAATTTATTATTCCATTAGTATATAATCAATATAATAAATAAATGATCAATAAAATTCAACTTCAAGAACTATTGATTATTATAATAAATCCAATATAAAAAAATCCATGTAAATTAATAAATCTAAGAACCTAATTCATTTAATCAAATTATCCATTAAGAAATATTAATGCTTGAAACTTGAATTTGAATTAAAATATGGTAATTAAATATGAAATTACAGCTAAAAATAAGTATTGAAATATCTAATATATAAAAATTCCAGCGCGCTGGTTTTAGATTAATAATCAAAGAATGAATAATAATAATAATAATAATCAGCTTTATGTTATCTTAATTTACATTTTTGTTTCTTATTGAAAAAGATTGATTAGAGAATTTCACTGAATTCATATTCTTAATAAATTAACACCTATCAACAAGTAATGGAATAAAATTGTAAGGTTGAGATTTAAGTTGTGATTTTTAAAAGTAATTTATCATTTATATATTACAAGAATAAAATTAAGAGATATAAAACTTTATAGCTCTTGGATATCCATTAAGTTGTGTAAAATCCTATTTCTTTTGGGTAGCCGCTGCATAAAAATTGATAAATGTTCCAAAGGAAAAATGTATGAAAAGGCTTTAAAAAAAACTTGTGTGCTAAGGTATCAATCTTCTTTTTTTATAGTAAATTCAGATAAGGTGGATAAATGAAATGAATGGTGTACTTCCTCAAAAATATTAAATTCATTATCTTACTATAAATTTGTAGCTTAAGATCCAATTATATCATTAAAGTTAATTTGTATTTAATTCATTAAAATACAGATTTGTTTTATAAGTTAGGAACAACAGGTGAGAGATAAGCCCTACATATTTCAATCGCTATACTTTATAGATATGTTTTTGCAGTTTGAAATAAAATGTTTAAGTGATAAGATTTAATAAAAGTTTCATTATTGGTATTTTATATGAACAGTCTTTTTTAATGTGTAGGATCTAATTTAGAAAGATTAGATTCATTCAACTCTGCTCTATTTCTGAAAAAATGGAAAATTTGTTCCTAAATTAATAGATTTAAAGTTTACAGAAATATTCATTGTGCTCTCAGACAAAATAAAATAAATTTCTGAAAACTTAAGTATTTCAAATTGCTATCTAAAGTTGTCATCTTTATTTAATAATTAGATTTTGGCAGTTTATTTTAATCAAGGGAAGAAACTTAAAAATAAAAATCATGTTGAAAAAAATAAAGTCTTTGCTAAAAATAATTATTTTTGTGAATATAAATACTAATAATTAGCTTCAAATATTTTACAAATAAACATTAAATTTGTAGTAAAAAACATTGGTTTATTTTCTGTTATGCTCAATTTGTAAATTTTTATTACTAAGAATTTAGCAAAAACTTGAAATAATCTCTTTTAAAATAGCTTTTTATATTTTTGAAATTATTCTTTAGAATAAACAAACATTTCAATAATATTTCAATCCAATAAAAATATGTAAATATCAGTATCAATAATAAATTTTTATTTTCTTTTTTAGTAAAAATGAAATGAAACCAGATAATTTATATATAAATCTAGATAATCATATTTAAATAAATTTCTATTGTTCTATCTGCCAATATTTTAAAAACACTACAATAATATCTATATTTCAATAAACGTGTATTTTTTTTTATTCTTATAAATGCTTACTTTAAGAAAAAAAATATTTTTTTAAAGTATTCTTAAGTATTTTATTCAACAAAAAATATTTTTTAAATTTTATTATATTTTAGATGAATCGAAAATTTTTATTTTTATTAATATTTCGAAAATAGTAAATTATCGTGTGTAATAAAAAATTTTTTGTTTCTCTTTTTATTATAACTAAAAAAAATAGACAAAGAGACTTTTAATTCCTCCAATTTTCATCAATCTTTAAGAAAATCATAAATTTTGTTTGTTTGTTTGCTTGCTTGTTGATAAATAGATTTTTTTAATAAATAACTATAAAGCTTTTTTTATCATTCCAAAATATACAAATAAGCTAAAATTTGAGTTGTGTTACTTTCTATTAAAATTGAAGTGATTTATCTTGATGCAATAAAACAAAAAATTAATTGCATTTTGATTTATTTAAAAACAAACATTTTTCTTTATATTTTAAAAATGTAAAGTAATTATATACTTTTTCTATTTAAAAGAAATTATTTGTGAATTTAAAAAAGGCTTAAAGGTTATTTACTCAAATATAATTTACAATAATAAGTAAATATTTTTTAGACATTTCTAATGTTTAAATATAGATCTTTAAGTATTTTTAGTAATTATATTAAATCTAATTTAGTATTTATTATACAAAGTATAAATGATAGATTATAAACATTGTGAAGGTTTGTTTTCAACTATAAACACTTGAATAGACTTTTATTTGAACTTGGCCAGCTATTTTTGCCAATTTTATTATTTATTCTAGTAATAAATAAATTAATAGGCTGTTCTTTTTTCATTCAAGTGGTGTTATTAATTATAATTAAAAAATTTAAATTATATTTTATAGTATGATAAATTCTATTTATTATTAATTATTATTATATTTCAGTTATTATTTAATTTCTTCTTAATAATTTTATCTCATTTATTTATTTTTTAATTCTCTCTTCAAAAGCGTTTTATTATCTAACCAGAAGCTAGCTTCCTTATTCCTCTTACTACTTTTAATGTATACAAATCACGTGAGTCTTATTTTTGAGCTTTTTCGGTCTAAATATCTTCGTAATTGATACACTTTATGAATATTTAAAAGAAATACGCTTTTATTAGGTTAATATAAGACAGCTAATGAGGAATCACGTCATCAATTAAATCTATGCTATAGCAGTATTTATAAAGCTAAACTATTTCTTATTGTTATTTCAACTCCTTTATATTACACTGAGACAGCTAGAGAAACAAGACATTATAATGGGAATGAGAGAAGTAATTAAATGGTAGTTTCTAATTTACATTTGAATATTTTTTAGCGCTAATTTTTAATCTCTAAATAACTAACTAAAGAATGTTTGAAATACTCTCGGGTACTCCAAAATTGTATAGGTTAGAATTCGTATACATATTAAGGACATTGTACATAAACAGTTTATTTAAATTATGATATTTGCCATATCTTTTAAGCTTTGAATTGTTGCTTTCATATAAAATTTAAATTGACTATTTTTTATTACTACTTTCATGGCTCTAATTAATTATTTACTCTCCAGTTTTACTCTGCTAAATACCTTCATCTTGTTCAATGCTTTCTTCTTCGATTCTTTCATTCTATTATGCCAAAGTTTTCTTCTGTTTTGAGAACTTAAACTACTTCAAAAGAGAAGAATCTTTTATCTAAAATTTGAAGAGAGAAGAGCAGTATTTCGAAACTTCGCACAAATTTTCTTTAAAACTGCTTAAGCCATCACTTTAAAAATTAGAAATTTCACTTAAGCTAAGACTATCATCAGTATTTATATTTTTACTATTTTACTATTCATGATATTTGTTGCTTTGCTTCACATCGATAAGACTATCTATTTCTAAAAATGGAGATGGTGATTTTTAAATCTCAAATTTTTTTTTTGAAGATTGATAAATTTTGTTTTAGTGGACAGCGGAAGAAGGTTAATAAGTTGAAGCAAAAAATGTAGAAGATTGATTTAATGTTGAAAAGAATTTATCAATTTGGTTGCCAACGCTTGCTGATGAGGTCAGTATGATGCAATCGTTTAATTTTTATAAATGCTCAGACAGCGAATTTATTCTTGATTTAGTTTAAATAAAGCTGTTCAGCGATTACTGTGCTTAATATATATTTAAAACAAGTTCTTTATTATCCCAATAACTCACTTCAGGAAGCTCTTTCTTATTATGAATAACTTACTCTAAAATTCGACCATCTTCGAGCTTTATCAACATTCTAGTGAAATCATTCTGAGCTGCATCTGCTTCAGTAATTTAATCTTAAATGAAAGGTTGTTGTTCTTGCTTTAAGTTGTTGAATTAATAAGATTTACGTTATTTATTGATTTTAACTTCTCTCAAAACTAAGTCATTTTTCTTATTTAATCCACTATTTGTATGTCGTTAGATTTGCGTTAACTAATCTTATAAATCGTTTTAATATAATTCATTTGCTAAATACTCAGTTTTGTACTCTAATTTTGTTTCAACTTTGAATTTTTTCAGTAATTTTGAGTACTCCTTTTCTTCGGTACTGATCGCAGCTGCTTTAGTTTAGCATTTACTTTGCTATTCAAAGCTACTGCTAGAGTCATAATTAGTTTTCTTATATGATCCTCCACATAAAAATTTTTTTTTTTTAATCACATTTTTTTAGATATTTTACCCAAATCCATTTTCTATCTTGCACTCATCATTGACATCAAATTGTAATTAGCAGGAATTGAATCGTCTTTTACCTATTTATAAATATATTTTTAATTCTGAATAACTAGTATTATAGGATACCTAATAAAAATATATGTGGTTCTTCCTAACTGTTGTTGCGTTATTGAGTAGATGAATACCTTAATTAGTTAAATATAGAAAAAGGTTCATTCTAATCCATAAAAGATGATATCAGCTATACTTATGAAAGCATACATGTCTAATGTGAACCATCTTTTTCCTTATTACAGTTAATATATCTATACGATGATTCTTTTGGCCTCTAAGCACTAAATTTGAAAAGCTTTCGTTTTTGAAGTGGAACGTTGGAGTAAAAAGCATCTAAAATAGATTTTTAATCTAATACAACAGTGTTTTCAGTTATGAATCTCTCATTTGGAAAATTAATCATTTTAATCAACTTTTTTATATGATGTTATTCAGTTAATATATTTAAAAAGCATTAGTTATTTTATTATTCAATTAAATGTTAGATAATTATTATTAATTTTTTGAATGTTATAGCAATTAAAGTTTACTTTAGGTTTTATATGTGTTTTAACAATAAGAGGAGACTAACTAAGTGAGTTTAAACACAGTTTTTCCTGCTAAAAAATAAGTAGCTACCAATCAATCAATCAGCTAAATGATAAATGTAAATGCTATTAAAATGGAAATACTAGTTGGAGTTTTTTTAAGTAAAAGTAAAAACAATTTGTAAATTATTTAATTAATTATAAGATTGTAAACTAATTAATTTTCATGTCATTTTTTTGAAAGCAAAATAATAAATTTAATTTCAATTTTCAAGTTATTTTAACTATTTTTTAAATTATTATGAAAAATTATTAATAAAAATATATAATTATTTTAATAAACATCGCCCATCTTAAAATAACAATCAATCATAAGTAAATTTTACGATTTTTTATTCTCTTTTTTAATTTTTAATTGGTTTAAAATGAAGTCGCCATTTATTTATTTATTTATTTATTTATTTATTATGTTATTAAAGTGAACAATCAAATCCGACCTTGAAAACGAGTTAATTTTAACTTATGAATGTATAAATTTCGAAAGCCAGTAATTTTATTAGCTTTTTGGTTTCATCAACGCTTCAACCAAATTTAAAAGCCAGTGTTTCTAATTTTAATTTATTTTTGAGAATTCTTGTGTACGTACAGCCTTTTTTATATTAAAATTATATTTTTTATAAAATAGCACTAATAACCATTATCTAGTATTTAAAACAATTAAATCTAATACAAATACTTAAACTAAAAGGAAATCAAATAATCATTTATTTAAATAAGTAAAAAACAACATAATTATTATTTAATTGACTCATTCATACTTGTTTTACCATTCATAGAACTGATAAAATCTTAATTTAATTAATTGATTTATGATCAAGTAGAGCAAAATATTATAAAAGGAAATTTTACATTTTTGTCTCTTGATTTTAATTAATTTTATACAATTGATTAAAAATAAAAATCCAAACTTGTGCTAACTTAGAAAATAGAAGTTATTCTAATAGAAACAAAATTAAACAATGCAAAATAAATAACGAATAAAAAATCATAGGTCTTTCTTTTGATTTCAATTAATTTTAAATTCAAAACAAAAATTCAAAATCATATAATGAAATATGAGAAAATAAATAAAAAGAAAAATATTATTAAAAATAAAATTAAGTTAATCAAAGTATTAAATTATAAAATTTTGATTTTTTTTGATTAATTTTTTCAATTAAATATCTTTAAAAACTAAGAAATTTGAAAAAATAGAAATTACCTCAAAAAAATAAAATAATTTTAAAAATTAAATTCTAAAAATATTAATTTATGAAATTTAGATTCTTCTGTTTTGTAATCTTAAATGATTTTAATATATTTTAATAACTTTCTAAAATATAAGCTTCTGAAATTGAGTAAATAGAGATTAATTTAAAAAATAAAATACTAAAAATATTAATTTATGAAATTTTTATTCTTCTGTTTTATAATCTTAAATTATTTTAATATATTGAAATATCTTTCTAAATTATAAGCTTCTGAAATTGAGTAAACAGAAAACAATTTAAAAAAATAATGTCATACAAAAATTTAATAAAGAAAAATATTTATTTGTAATTTTATTTTCATGATTTTAATAAATTTAAATAAAATTAGAAGCTTCTGAAATTGAGTTTGTCGAGATTAATTTAAAAAAATAATGTCATACAAAAATTTAATAAAGAAAAATATTTATTTGTAATTTTATTTTAATGATTTAATAAATGCAAATAACTTTTTAAATAAAAATTTTTAAAATTGAGTGAATAGAAAAAAATAAATTTATATTAAAAATAAAACAAAGTCAATCAAAATAATCAAAATGATAAATTATGAATTTTTGTTTCTTTTATCTTTATACTTTGATTTAATTTTTTTTATTTAAATAAGAAATTGTGCTATTTAAGAAAGCTAATGAATTTTCTATAATTTATTATGAAAAAAATTAAAGTAGTACATGGAGTATAAAAATAAATATAAAGAAAATAATAATTTATTTAATTGGTTTTATATTTTAGTAAGCTTAAGCAATTAAAAAAAAGAATATAATTAAATATCATAAATTTTTTTATATAAATTTAATTTATTAGAATGTTTATTTTATAACTCAAAAACGTCTTACTAGATTTCCTTGATGAAGACTTTATATTCCCTCTGTTGCTTTTAGGATATATTCCTAACGGGGTGTTTTCTATTAAGCCTAGCTGGCTAATTTATAGGATCTTTATATGGAATTCATATATATAAGGAAGCAAAATTTTTTGATGATGTTCGCATAAGTGACAGTTAAGGATTAAGTTGAATTAGATTATATATTTATTTTGAAACATTTTTTGTAGAAATGAATATATTCAAATTAATTTTTAATTATGTTTGTGTTTGAATTTTTTATTAAATAGAAAAGAAGGTTATAATGAGCTATTGAAAAATAATCGTACTAAACTTCTTTGTTCGAATTATTTCTTCTACGAGCTGAAATTTTGATTTTATTTACAATATTTATTATTTCTTAAATTATCATATTTGGCACTCCCAAATTGTCTAGATTATATTCCGAAAACATCTTTACAACATTGTACATAAAGAGCTTATTAAAATTATGGAATTTGCCATAATTTCTTTTAATTCTTTCGATTTAAATTTCATCTTCGTCCGAATTGACTACCATTACTTCTATTCCAAACTACTTTTTGGAAGGATCAGAATTACTATAAATTGATTTAGAAGTTTTGATGTTGTTAAAGTCAAATTCATCCTCTATAATTTAGTTTTTGAACGATAAGCTAAACATTTAGTTAATCACAGATGAATAGTATGCTTAGTTATTTAATTGATTGGTTTCATTCTTACTATTTTTCTTTTATAATTTTTAGTCTAAATTTAAAGCATTTTCTTTTTTAGTTATTTCACTATTTTTACTAATTGATTGTTATTTTTCTTCACAATTTGAATTTTGGTTTTATAACTATTTAAAATTTAATTAATTTATTCTGAATTGTTCTTCTTCTACTTCATCTCTTTCAAATAAAATCTAACTTTATTATTCAGTTTTTTTTTATTAGATTTCTTTTTAATTTTCTTAATTAAATTTCTAAAAGTTTTGCTCTTAGTCAATCTCTCTTGAATCTTCTGGGGGACAATCAAAATTATACTCGTGCAATTTTTGAAATCTGTTATTATTTTTAGTTTTTTTAGAAGATTTTGGATTATCAACTAACTAAGATTAACTGATTATGCACTTTTTGTTCAAATTTTAATATTCTAGCTTGCCTGAAACATTTTAATCTTCAATCTGTTAACTTTGCGATGTGGATTAAAGCTATTTGGAGTAATAAATCTGAGCTAAATTAAGCAGCTCTTGAGCGTTAATGGGCTCTTCTTATCTTATACTATAATTTTGAGCTTCAAGCTTAATAAACTGTGAAGTTGGTGGCAATTATTGATGAAACTAATTATTATTTTAAATGTTGGACTCATATTTTCGTTAATTTTCTGAACTATTATTTGGTTTATTTAAAATAAATGATTTGCTATTTTCGTTTGAAGATTTATCTATCTGATTTGATGCAAAAATATTTCTTTGAACAGGTAGGCTTCCCTGTTAGGAAGTGTCTAAATTTTATATTTAGTAATTCATCAAATATTATTGTATTTCTTTATGAATTTATGATGTTTAAATGGCAAAAGAACATACATTTAAAAGTTCAATTCTTTTTAAATTATGATTATTTGGTATTTTTTCTTTTATATTTAAAAAGCTTTCTAAAAAGTTAATAGCCTTTTCCTATCTCTATTTAATACATAATTTGGAATCGCCAAGAAGCCAGTGTGATTCATTGATAAATTTATTCCTAATTCCAAATGTTTCAAAATTTTTGCCATTTATCAAAATATCTCTACTTTAAACGTAAAGCTCATTATTTTCTTCTCCTTCACTTTAAAGAGAGTCTTTAATGGCCATTCTTTCATAATATTTACTCCTTTTTTATCTCTCTTTGGATTTCCTTTCAATTTTTAAAATTTTTTTCTTACTCAATTAATTTTTAAAATTTTACTCAGAGTCATCGCTATTATACTCAATTTTACTATACATTCCAAAATGTTTGGAAGTAGAATTAACATTTTTTGAGTTTTGGTTATCTTTAGGTTTAATAGCTTATTATTTGTTAGATTGCTAATGACCTGGATTTTCAATCTCAATTATATTTTCTATGAAATCAGATTAAAAACCGCTTAAACTAAATGAATTATCTAACCTTTCTTACCCGCATTAAATAATTTCTTTCTTAACATATTCTTACTTTAAAAATGAGTCTTTTTTGTTGCTATTTTGCTAATCGCATTCTTTTTTAATAAATTAGAATGAATGATTATTATATTCTACTTTTAGATTATTTTAATTTTTTGGCTAAGTTTACTGAATAATAGAATGTCGCTTTTCTTCCAAATTAACATTATTAAGTGCTTGTGCTGGTATTTTGTAATTATTATTCTCGATCTACATTTAATAAGATGTTTTGCTTTATTTGTTTATTTTGTTCTGAGTTTCTGAAATTTTTAATGAACTTTTAGGATTGCCAGATAACTCGTAATCTTAGTTTAAGTCCCAAAAAGTGTGATTTGCTTCAAAAACGTTGTATTCTTCCTAGAATAACCTTCGAAAAACTTAGATTTAAGGCTATTAATTATGATTATTTTAGGGTACTGAGATGATTTTGAATGATGCGCGCTTTTAAAGTGGCAATTTGATTGGCTTATAGTTGCCTGGAAATAATTCCATAATTATTTATTATTCTATCTCAGTAATCCTTTCAAGCTAAGTCATTCTATACTTATTAATTTTTTCTTTCTTGGTGCTTTCTCTCTCAGCTTGAATTTTCATTTATTTTTGCTCTTTTATTCAATTCAATTAAAATATTAAGGCTCGATTTGAATAGCTTTTTTTATAATCTTACAATATTTTATGGAAAATTTACTATAAAAATATATATTTTATGACACAACTAGAGTTTTTTAGAAATAGAATAAAGATAATAATTCAGAAGTGTCGTATTAATATAGCAATTTATCTATCTTTGGCTAAAGTAAGTATTTGTATTAGGTTTTGCTTTAAAGTAAGGATTATTTTACTTATTCTTGTATGAATTGACAACTTTAGAATTTTAATTAAATTAATTAATTACTATATTCAATACAGCCAGAGTGTGAAGTGAGTGTATGTATTTATTATCATAACTATTGAAATTAATAACACTTATTATTTTTTTAAAGATTATTTTGTTGTAGCGTATTCATTGTTCAAATATTACTACACCCACTCTAAACCTATTATTTGTTTAAAAGAGATTCTTTTTTTAAACGAGAGTAGTTTAATAATCCCATTGATTTTCATATTAATAAATGTAAATAATCGATAAAGTTCCACAATACCTGCCACTTATTTATAGTAATATAGCTGATATTTTATTAAATATCAAAACTGAATGCAGAGATCTGTCAAAGGTATCTAAAAATAAAGTGTTTGTTTCATTTTATGACACTAAAGTAAAAGAAATATTTGAGCTATTTATATAGAATTTAAATTTTACTGATATATTAATTTTTTTAAATAATTAGTAAATACTAATAAATTAATAATCTTTTTTATATTAACATCTAAATAAAGAATATTTGCAGATAATCATTAAATGTTGTTCAAGTAATATTTCAAAAAATAAGACATGGTAACTAACACATGTTTGCAAGATAATATTAAAATATTTATTAGATTGTAAATTTTTTTGGAAAAAAAAATAAAAAGTACAAAAATTAGCTTGGGGAGTAATTAATTTCAAAAAATTATTATTATTTTTTCTTATTTTAATAGACCAAAACAAACCTTAATTATTTGAAACATTTAACATCCGTGGAGAGAATAATTAATCCACATTTCTTTTCATAGATAAGAATAGTATTCACTGATTATGATTTTCAACTAATATTTATTTCCATAATTTGATTTAACCAATATCAAGAAATTTATTTACAGTTATTATTGTAAATATGAGATAGTTCTAAATTTAAAAATGATTTCCAGTATAAAAACACTTCTTCTATTTTTGTTCTTTACGAGATTGAATTTGATTTCTGAAGCATATTTATTAACTTAAAAATAAAAAATAAATTTATAAAAAATAAGATATCAAAATAGGTATAATCTTGATGACATCATCCCAAATTCTACAACACTTAATTGCAATCTAAATGCTTGATTTCCAAGAATCAGATAAGCGCATAGTTTTAAGATTATTTTTCAATTAAACAAACTGATTTATTTTATTTTTAAAATTTAAAAGCTATAAGTGTGGACTAGTTTTATATTTCTGTTTTATTTTATTTTACTGATGAAATCGATTAAATTTACTTGTAAAAGGGCAATCAACTTAGTAATTTAAACAAAATTTATCAATCTATTGTAAATATAGATAATTAATTTTTTAAAAATAGCTAATAAAACTAAAGTTACACACATAAAAAGTAAATTTTTAGATGATTTTCTTATCTTTAAAAGCTCTTACACTAAATTAAAAGGAATTTAATTTGTTAAACTAAACTCAGAATTAATCAAATTTATACTGCATTTTGTTTATACATAGAAACTTCTTTTTTTAAATTTCTTTATCTCATCAAAAAATATTTTATAATTTGTAGGATAAGGTGAGAGTATTTTCTTCTAAGCAGACCTGACGAAATAAATTACGTAATACGTATTGCTATAAATGCAAGAAAGTAACTAAAAAATCAGATATAAAAGCTAAATTTTTGATCTTAATGAGATAGTTTAATAGCTTAGAGGAAAAATCAATTCACTTTTTAAAAATATGTAGGAAAAGTTGTTATTATTTCATAGAGTGGGTAATTTTTAATTAGTTTTTTTTCACAAAAAAACCACAGCATTTATTTAAACTCATCAATTAAAAAAATTAATAAACAAGAAAATAATTAATCTAAAAACTCTTGATGCAAAAAGCTTTTTAAAGATACTTTTATAAGGAATAATTTCAAATTTCTATTCGATTTGATGGGCATAGATCACTTTTTGCTTTTATGTGATTTTAAATTATTTTTTGTTTAAATTTAATTAAATGAATATATGTAAATTTCTTAATGTATTTCACCAATTTTTCATATAATTAACAAGGAAGAATAGTTCAATAAAGTTAAGGATGATCTTTCTTCTAGAAAAAGAAAGGATTATATTAGTTTTAATTAAAAATTTGTTAGAGAGATGACTCTCTTTTTATAATAAACTCTATTAAATATTGTTACACTATTTCTTTAATTACCGTGCAAGGTATTTAAAAAATAAGAATTCACTTCATTTTAATAGAAAAAGCAGATATTCATTCAGCTAAAAATACAAAAAATATTATTAATGAATTTATTTAAATTAGTTTAACAATCCCTTTTTAACTTTTATCTTTGACAAATTATTTATTTTAGAAATTTAAAATAAGAAACATAGGGAAATAAATACTTTTAAATACATATTTTTTGATAATAAGTGAGCATTATGAATTTAATACTAAGTCCTCTTGGTCTTTCATTCTGCTATTTGCGTCTAATTTTTGTGTAAAACTGGATTTTTTAGTAATTAACACATGCTAATTAGTTGGTTTTCATATTTTTGGTGGTATTTTCTTTGTTTTATAGAGATGAAACAAAGAAAAATAATAATCGAAACAAGAAATTACGGGAGAGTCACTAATTTTAGAAAGCAATTGATTCTTTCAACATCAAAGATATAAGAAAATTCAAAAGCGAAAAGTGAAGTATAGCTAATATTTTAAGGCTTTACATTTAACCCCACAATAAAATTGAAGGAGAAGGAAAAAAGCAGTGCAACAAGGCAGAATATTTAATAAATTGATTTTAATTAAATGTAATTTAGTAGTGATAAATAGTAAAAGACTGTATTTCTTTATTATGCACTGATAATTAAATATGTAATATTTATTGCAAGACCAACCACATAGATAGATGGTTAAAGAATTGAATTACAGACTACTAAATAATTGACAGTTATCAAAAAAATTATTTCTCTTATAATTAATGATGCTTTTTAAACTAATTCTTAACTATTTTCTTCTGGATCTTGCTGTAAAAAATCAGATTTTGTAAATTTATCAAGACTAACATTTTTTAAATTTTGAGATTTTTCTTCTTTAGTAACAATAATATTAGCATTCTTATTACTTTAATTATCAAGCTCTTCTAATTTATTAATCGTTATCTTATTTTAGAAGTCAACTGCTGTTACTACTTATTATTTTGAATCTACATACTCTTACAAAAGTATTTTATTGCTTTATGTATATTAAGGATATATTTAATTAATACATTTTTTTGTTTTTTTTTATTTTTAAAACATTAGATTGTACATTTTTTCATATAGGAATGATAATAATCTTACAAGCATGTGAACGATTATCTAACTAAACATAAGAGTAAGATTTAGATAAGATATTTAAAATGTGTCATCTATTTTCAAACTAGAAAAATAAAAGTTTAAATCGCTATTCAAGTAAGTAATAATTTTTAATTGAAATACAATTATGATAAACATTTGGTTTAAAAATATCAAATAATATTATATTTTTTCAAAGTAACTAAATTCTATCTATGAGAAACAGGCGAAGATTATTTGCAATAAATAAGTGTTTAGTTGCATAAGAGTTGAGGTCAAGAGAGAAACAATAAAGCTGCTTAAAAAGTAACTATTTTATGTAAATTCATTGGCTTTTTTAAAAAATTAGTTATCATCTAGAATGAAATATAATATTGCAGAATCTGAAACTAGGATTAACATTTCTATTAAAATAATTAAAGCATACTATTAATTTTGGTCTAATTTTTCATTATTATCAATATTTTCATAGATTTAATCAATGAGCTAAGCTTTTTTGGCTAAAAAATTAATTTATTTTCTTTAGCCATTCCATTTTAACTCTGAAAATATCAAAGAAAAGGAAGGTTTATCTTTTTTCGAAGAACATTATTCATTTTCAAAAGATAATTTAATAATTATTAATATAAAGAGCAGTAAAAATAAATGTCCTGAATAAGCCAAATATCCATATTCATTATATAAAAAAATATGATTTTAAAAATTGTTATCGCTAGCATAAGTAGGATTATTATACAATTGGATAATTGAATAGAGAAAAATAAGAAGCCCAATAAAAACGATGTTTAGCTGTAAATTATTTAGTTCATGCTATACCTACTAAACTACATTAACAAAGCTAGGAATTGTCTCTGTCCAAATTTAAAAATAAAATATTTTTTTTAAAAATTAAAAAATAGTTTTGACAAATTCTTCTATTTTTTGTTTCAGTTTATTAGAATGTTTCTTTTGAAATTATAGCAGCTTATTTATATCAGAAGCACGTCTCATATAACTTGCCTTTTCATAATCATTAAGTACTTTTATTTTAGAGTTAAATTTTGATCTGCCAAAATTGTTTTAAGTGATTAAATATTCCAAATTGTAATCGCTACTACTAATAATAATTCCTTATCTTCCTCTTTAATTTGTTTTTAAAATATTTTATGAATTTATTTATAAATTGTATTCTTCTTTTTTAGATTGAATACTCTCAAGATTACTGTCTGATTTTATAACATTGATTTTTGAATTATCTTCTATCTGTAAATCATCAAAATCTGAAGTAGACTTTTATTTTTTTAATTTTTAAGATTCAGAAACACTAACAGGTTTTTAAAATGATTTTAGAATTGTTTTCTTAGCCATTTAAACCTAAGATGAACTCTAACTTTCTATTTAATTTTAGGGAATAATCAAATCGTTTATTTTTGCTTTTGGATCAAAAAAAAAGTAATCATCTCCTTCTGCAAAATCCAACTTTTTCAAAACTAATTTTGGAGACTTTAAAAGAAAACTTTATGGGGTTTTGTTCATACTCTCTTGCAGGATAGATTGTTATGGCTATGGAGATTTAGATTTTCTTAAAGTTTTAATGTTTTTTGTTTCCAAATCTTTTACAGTTACATCTTGCTACTCAATAAAACTACTAATTTTATTATAATGTTTAGAATTCTATTAAATTTAACCAGTACTTGTTTAGATTTATGTTACTGGCTAATTATTAAAAGCACTACTCTTTCCAAATATTGAAATTTTAAGGTTATCTTTTTATTCATTCTAAGGTGAAGATAGTTACATTTCTTTTGAAAACTACTAATCTTGCCTAGCAAAGTTCCTTTTATGTCTCACTCTTGATTGATCCCTCTCAGTTTTATATTGAGGACTGTCATATATTTTATCATAAAATGGATTTTACAATGTGTTTTAACTATTTGCAAAATTAGTTAAGACTCCCTAATTTGTATTATTACTACTAAAAGTATGCACATGTAATGGGCTATTATAATCATTAGATATAAGACTTTCGGCATCTTGTATTCCCTAAATATTATGCATATTAGTATTTGTAAAGTTAATTTTATGTCTTTGAATATCCTTATTACTTCCTTTTTATTTATCTATATTCTCCTAAGTTTAGATCAAATCAGTTTATGTCTTAGATTATTAGAGCAAATAGGTTTCTGTTTAATTTATATTCATTTATAATTCACCTATTAAAGGTTCTTTTTTCGAAGTATTTAATTTCATATTTATAAAGTCGTTTGTCCTGTCTCACTATCAATACAAAAATTAATTATTTATCTTATTTTTTTGTGTAGATATAATATTTATAATATTTAATACAAAATCTGAAATTAAAAAAATATGCAAAGCTTTGATTCTAAGATAAATTGATTCATTGTAAATAGTTTTTACGCCTGAATCTATCTATTTATTTCATGAGATGAGATTTACCTTAAGCTATCTAAATTAATTCAAAACAAATTATTAAATTTGCTAATAGATATTAATGTAAACTATAAATGTATTAACATATTACACTAAAATGACTTCCTTTAAATTAATTCAGATTTAAAATATTATCTTCAATATAACAAGTTTGTTTTAAAGAAAAATTAATCATTAGTTTCAAAAAATACAAAAAAAACAAGTAGCATTTTTAATTTTAAGAATAAAAACCTAAATTTGTAAATTTGCTGCATTCATTTACTGATAGTTCTAAAAATATAAAAATAAATTAATAATTAGAATTACTTCTTTTCAAGTAATAAAGACAACATAATTTAATATAGAAAAAAACCAATTTAAGTATTCTTTTTTTTTATCATTTAGAAAATGTTTTAATAAATTATAGAAGTAACTGTATTGGATTTGTAAGTATTTAACTCATTTAGTTGGAATTTTAGGGATTTAAGATTATTTTTAATAAGTAAATTTATTTAGAATAATTAATTTTTTTATAGTTGTTAGCAATTAATTAATTATTTGTGCGGGTTTTTGATAAATCTTATTTAAATTCTAAATTTAAAATTGGTAATTTATATTGCTAGCTTGATTTTTATATTAACTATATTTTAAGATTATAAATGTTTTCAAAAACTAAGAGATTCGGCGAATCTTTAATCACTTTTGAATTTGCAAATAAAAAAAAGATTTCTTTACCTCCCTCTTCTCAACGAGTGTCAAAGTCTCCTTAAAAAGATTAGTTTTCACTTAATTTATAGCAAGATCTGTATGTATTTTTTTATGTTTTTTGTCTGATACATTCTTCATTTTTATTACATATTAACATACTGTTATTTAGATAATAATAAAGAGAATCTAAGAGAAGCAACTACACGAAGCAACCACAAAGTCCAGTAAATAAATAACTTTTAGAATACATTACTCTGCAATATTAATCATCAAATATACATTATAGTATAGTTAAAGATTATCAAAGAGTCCAACTTTAAAATCTTCATGCAAAAGAATTAATGAAGAAGATATTGAGGCAAAATATTCAACAAATAAAAATAGAATTAGCATAAATAGTGTCTAAATAAATATGAATTCTTCTGCTATTTCTGCAAAGAAAGAAAAAAACTAAACAGATTATATTAATTATGAAAACTAACATATATATTCATCTGGGTTAAAGCCAAATAATTTCACAAGTAGAGACAATTCTTTGATTATAAAAAAAAACTTGGAAGGTTAAAGAAATATTTTAGTTGATTAAAATCTTTAAGAAGGTGAAAAAAAACTATTTTAAGAAGAAAATATATCTTAAAATGGTCAAAATTATGAAGGTCGAAATAATTAAAAATAGAATGAAGAAAAATCTTTAAATAGGCTCTCTTAAAATAGAAAGAACGAAACTTCAGTAGATAACCCATTTAATAAATTAACAAATGATGACTTTTTTTAGAACAAAGAAAATATTTTTTATGAATAAGAAGAAGAGGGTTCACTCTAGCAAAAAGAAATTTAAAAACATAATAAAACTTTAAAGAAATTTAAAGATTTAAGATATAAGTAAAAGTTTTAAAGATAATCGTTTTTAGACTCAACTTAAGATCAGGATTAGCTATATTAAACACTAATAGAAAGTTTGGGATAACATGATAATTAATCTTCAAAAGATTTAAAAAGTATCTTCGAAAAGGAGAAATTAAATACAACTAAAACGGAGTCATAAAATGATACAAAATAATAAATAAATAAAGCTATAATTAACCAATAAGATCAAGGAGAATTTAGTATAATAAATATCCCATTTAAATAAAAAAAAGATGAAACAATTAATTCAAAGTAGTAAAAAAATTAATTATTACAAGATTTAACTATTTGTATTGACTACTAAAACTATTCCAAACTACCAAATGATCAATCTAATATTTAAAATACATATAATGATTATCAAAAAAATTTTTAGACAAATAATGAAGATAATCTAACTATTTTGCAGTAAAAGCTGTAAGAATAGAAAAGCAAAATAATTAATCTTGAAGAATTAGTTGAATAAAAAGATGAAAAAATTAAAAATTTAGAAAAGGAAATATTTTAGTTAAAGACATATTATGAATGTAAAGACAAGCACTAATAAAATTATTTAAATAACTGTTTAACAAATTATTTATAACTGTAAGCAGACTATGAGAATCTTAAGTAACTAAATTAATTTATTAATACATTAAATATTATTTTTTATATTTTATTAGAATACTTTTAAATATATTTTTTAAAATTAGATAGTCGTGTGATTAGAATTTAAACGCCTAGTAAGCTTATTTAATTTAAAGGTAAATTACTTTATACGATCAAATAAATTCCTATTAAATGTACTTTAATATTATTAGATAAGAGTAAGAACAACAACTAAAGCTGATATAGGAACTTAAAAGGCAAGTTATGTAATTTAAAAAATGAATTTATCAACAATTTTAACACTAAAAAAATTAATAAAAATATTTAGAGAGAGTGAGAAAATTGTAGAACAACAACATGAGCAGATAATTTAATTTAGAGGAAATTTAAGAATATTTTGTAGAATCAAACCAGTTTTAGATTATGAAGCTGAAATAAAATATAGAGAGCAAATTCAGAGCTCACTAACAATTTAAATTAACTAAAGACATAAACAAGTAATAGAATTAAGGCAAGATGAGAATGCTAAATTCTTTTTTGATTCTGTTTTTGATATGAACAGTACACAAGAAGATGTTTTTAATTAAACACAGCCATTTATTTAATGTGCTCTTAATGGTGATTAAATAGCTATTATTGCTTATGGACAAACAGGAAGTGGAAAGACTTATACAATGGAAGGAGTTTATGATAAAGAAAATGTTGCAATAAATAGCTAAAGTGGAATTTTACCAAGGACTGCTGCTTATTTGTTCAAAGAAAAAGAGAGAGTGCATGTAAATAAATTTAATAAAAATAAATAGAAAAAATGATAATTATTATTGAAATTTTACCTATAGATTCATAGAAATTTGGTGTTTTCAGTAGGAGTTATTGAAGTTTACTGCGAAGAGTTAAGAGACTTGCTATAAACTGATGAAAAAATTTAACAAAAATTGGAGATACTTTAACTAAATAAGAGGATAAAAGTAGTTAATTAAGTATTTTAGGTAGTAAAAAATGCAGAGGAACTCTTAAGTCTCATAAAAAAATCTTCAATGAATAGAATTACAGATAAAACAGCTTAAAATAATAGGTCTTCTAGATCACACTGCATATATTAAATAAAAATATTTGAAAATGATCAAGAAAAAGGAGGTATAAATATTGTTGATCTAGCAGGCTCTGAAAGTTTTTAAGCAACCTCTAATAAAAGAGAAGTAATAACTTACTTAATTAAACATCTAAATAATTAAAAGAGCTTTTTTATTAACTTTCTAAAATAAATAGTCGTCTTTTATAAATAAGAGTTTGACTACTCTTAAAAGAATTATAACTATGCTCAGTGACAGATAATTTTTGGTATAATCAAAGATACCCTACAGAGAAAGTAAATTAACTCGTCTTTTATAAGTAAACATATTCTTGCAAATTATTTATTGAAATTATTAAAACATATTTTATTTAGGACAGTTTAGGTGGAAACTCTAAAACCTTGGTTTTTGTGACAGTATGTCCCTTAGAAGAAAATTTTGTTTAAACAAAAGAAAGTCTTAAATTTATATCAAAGGCTACATTTTGATTGACAATATAAAAAGATAATAAATTTAATGTCCAGATTTAAAAAATAAATAGCAAGCACAAATTTAAAATAAGCAAATTAAATAATTTTGTAAATAACTGATGATCTTAATATTCTAATATGAATTAATAAAAAACCATATAAAGTTACAAACAATATAATTAATTTTATCATAATTCATTTACTGTAAAGCCTTAATAAGCGCTATGACCTAATCAAACCCCGTAGGGATGCTTGTTTTTTAAATAATAAAAACTTTGTATGCCCCACACTCAAAAAAAAAGTACTCTTAATTTTGGGTTTTAAATTTTTTAAAATTTTATTTGGCAAAATGTAATGTGGAAAAAAATTTAAAATTGTAGACTACTTCAAAAACTAAAACCTTGAATAAATAAATGGTTTTATTAGAAAATAAATAATATAAATTAAAAATAAAAATCAAATTTATTTAATAAATATTAATTATTTAAGAAAAATATTATAATAATACTTATAGAAATAAATGTATAAAATTTTTATATCAAAATTATTTGTTTGTTTATAATTCACTTTTTTTTTATTAATTTTTTTTTTGTTTATTTGATTTAATTCAATTTTCTTAATAAATTATATTATCTAATAGCCAGCTTATTTGTAATATTTCACTTTGTTATTAGTTTGATCATAATTATTGTTTTTTCGGAGATAAAACTTATAAATGAGGGTTTGTTGGGGATAAAGGATTTTAACTATTTAAATAACCATTTTTGTCAGGCTAAGGCTATTTTAGCTTAGAATGTAACTAGTGGTCTCTTAGAAGAACTGACTCTTTTATGATTGATTAATCTAAGTTTCCATTTAAAATATCTTCAGAAGGATCAGTGATTATAATTGGGTCATGAATGATAATATCTCCTTCGCCTCTTTTCAATCTTTCTTCTCTCTCTTTTGCTTTCATATCAAGAAATTCTGACATAGCTTGTTTTCTTAGCCATATTTTTTGGCTCAAATAATATGTCCATCTCATCAGAAAAGGTATAAAAATGATCACACATACTACTAGTAATACTACTACTACAAGCAAAGGTATATTTATACTTGAATCGTTGGTTGATGATTTAGTTTTACACATTCCATTTTACAAGGTCCTATCATTATTACAAAAAGTACACTCATACTGAGATGGTCCTGTACAAGTTTTACCTTTATCAATAAAATAATTTACAATTTTTTTAACAAAATAATAATTTGTAATTTAATCACAAAATTCATTTTGGAAAATTTAAATAAAAAATATATTTTACATGTTGAATCACATTAGGCACATAACGATGTTTATAAATTACTGTAATATCCTTTAGGACATATGCAAGCATTCGAAACTAATAATCTACCACTTTGACAAATTGAACAAGTTGTTGAGTTTAGACATGTATCACAGTAAGCAACGCAAGCTATTTTAAAAAACACATTATTAACTAATAGTGACACTTAAAAATATAATTACTTAGTTTAGTATTTTATACACAAATTTTATTCTGTTCATTGTAACCAACTGAGCATAAACATTATTTTCCTTGAACCAGTTACCTATTTAATTTACTATTACAACTTATACAGTCTTGATCAGTTCCACCATTACAAGTACTACAACTATAGTGGCATTAACTGCATTAGTTCTTTGTCATGTCATCATAAAAACCATCAGGACAAATACATGCTCCATTTATTAGTTAATAACCAACTTTGCAAGCAGTACATTAATTTTAATCACCATTTATACATTATGCACATGTTCTAAAACAACCTATTTTTTTTAAAAATCTAATTTAAACATATTTTTATAATTTATTTTTAATTTTATAAGCATCAACTTTGCTTATACATGCAAATAGATTTATTTATCTTTTCCCATAAAAAAAGTTTAGTCAAAATATTTTAATAATTATCTACTTAAGAATTAATTATACTTTAAAAAATCACAATTATATTTGAAGTTAATTCTTTTAATTTACTTGGACATATTTCAAAGACTCCTTGATCCCAATATCCCGAGGGACATCCACAATTAGTTGCTAATACTCTATTAGCTGTACAACTTTAGCAATTATCAGCACTATTCAAACATGTTTCACATTTATAGCTGCATTCTTTTGATATTAAATTAAATTATTATTATTATTTTTAAATTTAGATTTTTTTTAATTAAAATATTTACATGAGCATAGCTATGAAGGAGTACCTCCTTAATAATATCCTTAAGCGCATAAACACATACCATTAGAGAGAACTCTACTTGGATAAGGGCACTAAGTGCATTAATTAGAATTTGGGCCATTACATTATGAACAGCTGATATCACAATTTGAGCATACTCCTTAGTAGTTAATAATTTATTAAAAGGTACTAAAGGGACAAAGGGTGCTACAAAGATAGTTTTGCTATAAATATTCGTTTGCTGGACATCTTTTAAGCAAGAAAATAATCCATGGGACAAAAGTTTCATAGTTTCTAGTTCCAGAAGTAGACCCTATTTTAAATAGATACTCGTTTCCTTAGAAAGTAGGCTACTGCACACTGACTTCAACTGGGACATCAGGACCTGTCAAAGGAGTAGTTGGGTTAAAATTAGCTAAATCCAATTAGCTTATCCCATAAAAAATATTTATGGCAGTCTGGTTAGTATTGAGTTGATCAGTATAGAAATTCCAAAAATTATTAAGTAAAGGGTTTGGTCTATCATCACTATTAGGTTATGCAGCTAATAAATTATTGGAGGTTTCTATTCCCCAAAAAGTAAGGAATTGAACTTGGGCAAAAGAGAGAGAGCATAATAAATTTGTTGAAAGTGTATGAGTGAATTAAGTTAATCCAATTTTCGAAATTTCTGCTTTGATTATAAATCTTTTATCAGCTCCACTTTACATAATGAACCCAGTTAAAAAGGGATAAACTACAGGAATTTACTTTTTCGTCATAGTGAATGATATCTAGTCATCTTTTTAAAAAAGTATTAGATTAGTAATATTTCTTTTTTTACAATAAGGTTTTAAAAGAATATTTAATAAATTTACTTATATATCGATAGTTAGATCCTGTTATTAGTGAAGACAAAGCAGTGGAAGGATATTATTTTGTCAAAATTTCAACATTAGACAAAATTGTAGCTAAATACTAAACATTTAGAGTAACCAATTAGTTACTAGCTAAATTTTGTTGGCAATTAACAACGATCTAAAATCCTGATGTAGTAATTTAAGTTGCAGCAACAGAAAATCCTAATAAATTTTAGTTTGTCCCTTTTATTTAGACAAGACCTAGGATTACTTGAGGTATTACTGCAAAGCCTGGAGAAAAATTTATTGGAACTTAAAAAGTTTAGGGAGATGCTACAGTTGAGCAAGCGTTTATAGATGGCCCTTACAATAAATTTACTACTTGAATTTAAATAACTCTTGGATCATTTTGATATGTAAATGGATCAGCGTCAACGAAAAAATCAATCATGATTAGAAACGCCAATAATATATTAAATATCGAAATAGTATTATTCATGTTGATGTAATTTTTGCCCTTCTCGCTATTGCTTGTTTGGTAAATATCGTTAAAGCTATAAATTTATATATGAAATTATGCTTCTTCTTGCAAATCTAATTCTCTTCAATAAATTAGCAAATGAATGTATAAATAAATAAATAATTCTGGCTGGTTTCTACTAATTTCTTAGTTAGAAAAAGTAATACCAATAAATATTTCAATTAAATCGGATTTTATTTAATTGATTTATATGAAAATAATAAATGGTATTTAAATTATTTCAATAGAATTTTAATTTTGATTATCTTTAAAATCTTATGGTAACTAAACTAAATATATTATAATCTTAAAGGTTATTTTTACCATCGAATTCTTATTAATAATTTATCAAATATTTATAAATTATCAATCAATTAATCATTTAATTCACTATATTTAATACAATTATCATAAAATATAATTTTTTTAATTTATAAGTCAATCAATCAATTAATAAATTAATGATTTTATATCATTAAGTCCATTAATAGTTATCATTTTCAGAGTTAATCAGTAAATATAATTTAAATTGTATTAAAAAAATTAAAATATGCATATATGCAAAACAATTTTATTAGTATTTCATCCTAAGTGAATTAATTTGATTTATTATTAACTAATTTTCAAATATTCTTTTTCACTTGAAATTTCAATAGATGCTAGAGATAAAAATCCTTTATCATTATTACTTTTCTTTATTGGTCTCATCATTTTAGTCTTTTGCTATCTATTCATCCTATTTATTTTCAGACTCTAAATATTTTTATTTTTAAAATTGTATTAATATTAATAAAGATTATTTATTTATTTAGCTAAAAATTTTATTTATCAACACATAAATAATGTTTAAAACTTTTTATTTTAATATGATTTTTTATCAAAGTTATATAAAAATTAAATTTTATGTAATTAAATTAATGTCGATTCTATAAGTTAAGACACTCTTTGTATTTTGACTTTAGCTTATTGATTTTTAAATTAAGCTAATCAAATTGTTTTATTTTTATATGTTTGTTAATTTTAACTTATAGAATCGATGGTATAACTTAAAAATATTACTTTGCTCAGATTACAAAACTTCAAAACTGGTGATGGACTATAACTTTTCATTATCAGGCTAAGATTCATTAGCATTTTTGTCTGTGTGAGTTTAAAATAAAGAAATAATAGACTCACTCTTTTTAGATTACTAATCAATGGTTCTTTAATTAGTTATTTCTTAATTTTATTGAGTAGGACTAGATATTAAGTCTTATTGCAAGGAGGAATCTTTTTTTTAGTGGTCTGTTGATTCAGTAGATTTGGATTGCTATTATTCAACAACATTAGATATTTCTGTATTATTTTATGTAATTTAGGTATGACCTTTTTCTTAGATTTTTTCTTCATTTTAATTAGAAAGATCAAATATTTAATCTTATTTATTTTATTAACTGAGATTCACATCTTCAATTTATTATTTTATTGACTCAGACTTTGATTTTTCTTCATTTAATTTTTGTGTTTATATCTAGCTTGCTAATTCTTATTTTTCATTTTTATGATTAATTTCATAAATTATTTCCATTTATTCTTAATTTTCAAATTGATATTATTCTTTTGTTTCCTCAAATTCATCAATTAAATTAGTAAAATCTACTTGTTTTGAAATTTTTTATTCTTTTTCTTAAAATTAGTGAAATTATTAGTCATCAATCTCATCAAAATCAGTGCTTTAAATTTATTAGTCTTTTTTTTTAGTGATTTATTATTGACTATCAATAACTTTTGATTTTTAATAAGTCTTTGGTAATACATAAATATTGTGAGCATTTTGCATTTATTATAATTCTATTAAAAACATATGTTCTGAAATATCTATTTTAGTTTGTTAGAGATTTATATTTTTTATCAAGAATATTTCGTACAACTGAGCTTTTTGCTAAAAGATATCCTCTAAAAATTCTTCTACACTCATTTCCAAATCCTTAATTTCATAAGTATGTTTTTAACCCATAAAATAATATACTAAAAATAAATTTTGGCTGTTATCACTATGGTATGGCGAAACTTATCTAAAGTATTCTAATTTATTTGGGTTTTTACTTAAATATTTTGAATTCAATTAGTTTTCATTCTTTTAAACTGTAACAATTATCTCAGTCTAAGTTGATGCCTCTCTTTTGAATTACTTTAAGTGTCTCCTGATACTGCTCAATATTTAGTAAAAGAATAATCTAATCTCTTAAACACAAAACTCGCTTTGCAGAGATAAAATAGAAATAATGTTATTATATTTTTAATCTCCAATAGATTATTAGTTTGAGCTAAACATGATAGGATAAAAGTCTAGATCTAAAATACTTCTTTTTTATTCTTGTTGCTAGCCAAACAAGATAAGATTTTTCTAGTGGGTAATTTACTTTTGCAAAATCTATTCGTATAAGAGGTAATCATAATATTTGCATCTAATGATAGAGCAGCTTTGTTGCTTTTCAAACTTTTCTTTTAAGATATTTCTTTCATCTTAAGTTTCTAATAGCTTTTTCTCAAGATTACTTAATTTTTCTTATAGAATGTCCCTTTCCCATTTATCCTTTGTGCTAATGTTTTGGCTTTTATCACTACCTTGCTAATGATTGATCATATTTAAAGCATTAGTATTCAAATTTTTAAATAACATGGCTCTTTATCAGCTAATTAAATACTTTTCTTAATCAAATTAAATAATTTTTTTTGATTATTAATTATTAGACCCCTTTTTATAGCAATTATTCTAATAACTCCTGTCTACAAGAATATTAAATAAATATTTAATTATTTTGCTATTTACAAAGCAAATATTTGATCAATCTTAACTTTTTAATTTAAAAATAAAAAGAAAGAACAAATTAATATTTTCATAAATTTTACATGCATCTACATTAAATAATAAATTAATATATTTATAAAAGAAACTCTATATTTACAAGCATCTACAATAAAAATTGAAGATATTTTCATATGTAATAAAATGCTACAAATAAAAAGATTATATTTAGTTCTACCCCTTAAAAAATATATTCCTTACAAAAATTATTTGCTTCTCATCTAGCATTTGAAATTTCTTAATTTTAAAGTGCTTTAAGTTTCTTAAATATTTAAGATTACAAACTATTTTATAAATTAAATTAATAAATTAAATTACATTTAAGAAATTAAAATAAAACCAAAACACAATCTTATTTTATTTATTTATTTATTAATATATAAATTCAGTTTAATTAATAATTCTTCTTATTAACAAATTCATAAATTAATTAATTATTTTTTTATCTTTATTTTCTTTATTTATGATTGAAGGAAAAAACTTTACAGATTAAATAGCCTTAAATTTAAGGAAATTTTTTATTAATTATATTGATTATCAAATAGATATTTTAATTAAAATTAACACTCTAACAATATTTATTACATCAATATTAATATAAAAAAAAATATTAAAAAAACAAAAAAAGTAAAGACTAAATCAATTGATAAGTAAGTAGAGTTTAATTATAAAAAATTAAAGTAGAACAATGCAAAGAAATAGGAATATTGAATCTGAATAAAGTTTATAAGTTAAATTAACTGGATCGAATCGAAGGTCCTACCTTGATGTGGCATTAAAGGTAGAATCTACTGTACTTAGCTTAGAATATGAAGATTAGGCATCTTAAATTCCTAAATCTACTCTAGTCAACATAAAAAAAAGACAAATTCTAAATAAATCACAAAATAAGCACTCTATATGTGATTAATTGTCAGAGAGTAATATTTATTACCTTCAAAAAGCATCGCCTTTGTTTTAATTATTTTTTAAAATTCAGAATTCTATTTAAAATTTACTTTAGATAAGATACCGATTAAATATTGACTAAATTACCATACTTTATATTTAATAAAAATTATAGACCATTATTACTAAAAGTAAAGAAGAAATAGCTTAGAAAAAAGCTTAGATTATGAATAACATTAAAATAATCTTCATCATGAAAATCTAACAAATGAGCAAAGTATGCTGACCAGACAAAGTTAAAGCAATAATATTTTATTAAAGGGTAAATAAAAATTCACTTTATAAAAAAACAAGAGCTTTAAACAAGTGATAGAAAACACAAAATCAATAATGTAATAATATTTTTCTATTTTAAATTATTATCAATTAATTTGTTTTTTACCCTCAATAAAATAAAATATTTTATTTAAAGTGCTATTTTTTTGTACTTTTATTTAAACAAAAAATGTTAAACAGATCAATCAATCAATCATTTATGGCCAAATAATTTATTTTTACTTTTAAATAAATTTTATCCCCAAATAAACTGATTAAATTATTGTTTACTAAATTAACAATTAGAAAAAAATTACTTGTGATTGATATTAATTTTACTTTATATTTAAAATTTAGTTTTTAAAGTTTAAGAATAATTAAATGCAATAAATAATATTTAAAATTTTTGATTAAAAATATTTTATTTTAAAATGCTAAAAGACAAATCAGGTAAAGAGGTTTATCAGTTGTAAAAAAAAATAGAAAATAAACAAATTCAGACAAAAAATTAGATTTTTAAAGCATAATAAAAAAAACTAAACCTTTATTTTAAAATTTTATCAATAAATACACACTTTTTGGAAGGTAAAAGTAACTAACTGATTAGAGTAGAATACTGATAGGCGATATTTCTGATAAATTTAACTACTAAAAGCAAATTAAGGATGGTAGTATTTTATTTGTCATCATGAAGTACTCTAAAAAATTTTTGATATTAATTGAACAATTATTCATTAAAATTCTTGAAAATTTTCCTTTATTTAATCCTGAAAATAAATTTAGAATATTTATTAATGGATTGATCGTTTGCTACAATTGTTTTTTCTTGATGACTATATCCTTAACAATATTTTTTTAAGCTGAATTTGGAGAATATCATAATTTGTTTAACTATATTGCTATTGTAGCTTGGGTTTCTGAAATGCTCTTGTAAATGAACACAGCTACATACCATGATGGTGATTTTATAACAGACAGGAAGATCATTTTTAGAATTTATCTTAAAGAATACTTCTTATTTGAAATACTTCCACTAATATTTGAAGGAAAATCCTCAAAAAACGAAGCCATAAATATATTGTTACATCTTCCCTTGCTACTAAAGTTGAAAGGGATGTCAATTATTTTGATTAAATTAGAGTTCTTAATTCTTCAGCATTTAAGAAAACCTTATATAATTTAAATTTGCAAATAGCTATTATCAATTTTATTACTTATCCACTTGATGGCTTGTTCATACTCTTTATTTGGCTAATTTGAAAAATAATACTTGCACATACCTTATAATTGGATTGACTAAAGTAAATTATTTTTACATTTTAATTGTTTTTTGTAAAATTTTATTTACAAGGCAAACTGCAGCAATCAAGTAGCGATTGGTGGAGCAAATATTTCGAAGCTTAGTTGTGGGCTTTTTATACAATGAGCAACTCATACTCTTCTTCTATATTTTCTGAATATGAATATGCCTTTACCTCATTTTGGATGCTTATATCATCTGTTTTGTTTGCCTATAACATTGCAACTATAGGAAATATTTTGCAGGATATAAATTCCGCTTAAGAAAATTACAAGAAGGATCTAAACCTCTTAAATAGATACATGAAAAGAAAGAAAATAGACATGTAAGTTTACATATTTTATTAAAGGTGTAAATTAAATTATTTGTTAATTAATTAAGAGAGCTTTAGAGAGAAATGAATTCGTACTTTGTTAAATAATACGAATAAGATTCATCTATGCAATTCGAGGCAGAAAAGGAAGCTTTAAAAAAACTAAATATCAACATGAGAAATAAGCTAATTGTGGAATCAAATAAGCACATACTTAAGCAATTTTCATTTTTTAACATATTCTCATAGCAAACTCTGTAAAATATTTACTAAATTATGGAGGAAAAAATATATTCTGAAGGCGAAGTTATTTAAACATTTGAATAAAATACTACAGATCACTTTTTGTACTTGATTCTTAAAGGGAGTGGTAATATAAATTAAAGTCTTTTGAATAATATAATATGTTAATTTTTAATAATTATTACAGTTCAGGTTATTTAAACATCCTCAGAGAGCTCATTAACAGATTCACTCATGCAATATGAGTAAAATTTAACAAAAAAAATGCAATTAATTTATAAATTGTTAAATTTAATTTTAATAGAAAAAAAGTGGTAAATTCAAGGGGATAAAATGATGAAAGCAAATTTTTAAAATTAAAAAATAGCAAGGTTGTTTGTAAGCTGAAAGAGGGAAATATGTTTGGAGAGTGTGAATTTTTTTCAAATGCCGCTTTACCTTATTTTATTCAAACTTGCCAGAAAGTTTTTGTCATTAAAATATCAAGTAATAAGTTTTATGAAGTTGTGAAAAAAGATAAAAACGATTACTAAAAATTTATGGAATTAAAATCAAGGATTTCATTTAATAATCAAATAAACCTTATTAACAGTATGTGTTTAATATGTAAGGGGAAAGACCATTAGTTTATAAATTGCAATCAAACTCATTTGTTTGTTTCTCATTCCTTTATAATTCCAAAATATAGCTACTCAGCTATTCAGGAAAGGAAATACTATGATAGAAGCAAAAAAAAATATCAAAGATGTATTATTGAGATTATTTCAAAATAATTTGATTCAAATATAGAAGAAGAGGAAGAGAATGAATATGAATCTTCAGCATCTGTAGTAAAAAAAGATGATGAAACCTCAATTTATAAAATTCCCAGCTAACAACCACCAAGCTAAAATAGTTGCCAATATAAACATTCTAAGGAAGAAATAAATTCTGAATAATCTAGCCCTACTGACTCTAAATTAGATAATTAAGTAAAATTAAAAATAAAATTTTAATATGTTTTTTTTGATAGTTAGATGCATTTTTACTTTGAAAAAATCTAATTTTATTTAAATATTATAAAACATTAAGCTCATAGAGAAAGTATAAGAGGATATTTTAAATTAAATAAAGTTTGTTATGGCAAATTTGAGAAGTAACAATAAGCGTAGAGCACACTAAAATGTTATTCATAATACATAATAAAAAAATGATGATTCTTGTTAAGATATTAAATTGTAAAGCAATGAAAAATTTGATTTACCAATAAAAAATGAAAAACGGTCGTCTTATTACTTAGATGATAAACATTAATTTACTAGCAGTTAAAATAATTTAGGAGATTTATTTCCTACACAAAGAATAGTACATTAAATACCTAATAGTTAGATTTAAACAAATAATAATAAAAGCTCTAATTTTATTCCTAGTCTCCAAATGATAGGAAGATCAATTTAAATTATAAATTAACCTTAAAAGCAAGAAAGTATATTAGAGATAGATAGGCTAAAAAACTTTTAAGAATCATAAGTCAAGAATGAATAAATTTAAAATTCCTTAATCAAGACTAACTCTCTTGGACCTTAAAAATCAAATATTTAATAGTAAATAAGGTAAGCATTGGGGATGTATAGAAACTAAGAATCAATAAACTAAAATAATTTAATTGAAGAATATCTCCTTACTAAGTAATGGAATGGCTCAGCAACTTATTGGAACTTTGATAAACTCCACAATTTTATTTATTTTTATCCCTAACATAACTTCTAAAATGTCTTAAAATGTCCTAAAAAGACCATAGAAAAAAGGTTGACTATTATGATAAAGAAAAAATGAATTATTTTTAAATATAATTTTGATAAAATTTAGAGTAATTTATCTTTATTTAATATTTGAATAATTCTAGTTAAAAATTGGACTAATTAAACCTTTAAAATAAATAATTTTCAAATAGAAATAAAATATCTCAGATATATTGCTTGCTATTTTATATAGCAGAAATTCAATTATGCTTATTTATTTAAAAAAGTTATTTAATTATAAAAATTAAATACATAACCAATATTTTTTTAATTAATTAATTAATTAATATAATTTTTAAAATATGAGATGGAATTTAAATTAATTCATTTGATATCTATTTTTTTATACATTACAATATGGATGTACATTTTAAATATGAAAAATTTATTAAATAATTAAAAAATTTTTAAATTAAAAATGAATATTTATTTGTAAATTTAATAGAGATATAAATTAGAAAAATAAAAGATTATTTATTATTATTTGATTAATTTGCAAAATTGAATAGAAAGGATTAATGATATATGTAAAATAAATAAAAAAAACAGCAAAAATAAAATGGTATAATTTTTTTCGCTATTTTAATAGATAGTAAGTAGTTCATTTCTTTCTACTTATTTCCCTAAATTCTTATTAAATTTTTAAATGTAATAAATTAATTACTTTTTAAAATTATATTTCTTAACCAAAAAAAATTTTTTATTCAACTAATTTAATATAATTTTAAGAATAATTTGAGATGAAATTTAAACTGGCTAATTGTTTATTTTTTTGTTTTTAGCAGATATTTATTTGAAGTATGGATAATTAATTAAATAATTGTTATAAAATTTTAAAATAGAAAATTGATAGTTTTATATTTACTAGAGATATTATTTAGAAAAAATAAAAGATTGATTGATTGATTAACATTCAAAATTGAATAGAAAAGGATTAATAATAAAGATTGATACACCTTACTTATGTTTAATAGAATCGTTTTATTAATAGTTATTATTAATTTATAAAAATTGCATATTTTAATTACTTAAACTTAGTTTTTTAAAACTAAGTAATAATACAAATCAATTAAGTTATTTAAATTTAAAAATGGCAGGATTAGCATAGCATATTTAGCTTAAGTATATATTTGGTATGAACAATGAAATCAGGAATAGTCTTTAATTCCATGATGAAGATAGAATTATTTACCCTGCAGGATATAATGTAGTTTTGCATGATTTAAATGACAAATCTTAGCATTATTATTAGGGAACAAATGAATATAGAGGAATTAGCTGTCTTGCGTTAAGTCCTCTCAAGCGTTATTTGGCCTTGGGAGTTAAGGGCTAGCGTGACCCAGCTATAATTATATTTGATACTTTTACTTAAAAGAGACGTAAGAATCTAGGATTAAATTTAGGAAATTTAGATAGATACAACATAAAGCAGTGGGTTAGTATTGCGTTTCCTTCTTAAAATTAAGAAACGAAATACATATTTTCTTTGAGTGGAGCAGGAGGAGATGTAGTCCTTTGTTGGTGGTGGCACGAAAAGGGTAAATGTTTAGGATCAATAGATTTAGGAGCCTAAAATGACATTTATGAAATTTCGTTTAACCATTCAGATGCAAATTCTATTTGCGTAACTGGAAATAATTTCTTCGGAATCTATGCAAAGATTGAAGGAACTTATGTAAGGGAAGATAATCAATAAAAACAGAAGCCATCTGTATAAAATGGAGAAAATAGCTCTGCTGCTTAATTACCTTAACCAACTTTAAATATCCAGGTTTCAGCTGGTAACAACAATTAAAATCCTCAACCAGAAATAAAATTAGAAAATGGTAATCTGATTTCTAATCTACCTGCAGATATAGTAGAAAAAAATTTTGTAGCACACTTGTGGATGCAATGTGAGAGTTACTTAGTTGTCTTTGTAGAATCAGGAGAAATCATTTTATGCGATAGTCGTGGAAATTTTCTTTAAATAATGGAACAGTCCCCAAGGTACTTTATAGTCAGTAGATCTGGTATGATAAAAATTGTTGCTGCAGTTGCATATTCAAAAGGTTTTTATGTTGCTTGTTCTGAATCAATAGTTCTGCAGTAAATTATTTAACATTTATTCACTAAATATTACTTTATAAAGCAGTTTGCTCTCATATTTTACAAAAATCATTAGCAAGCTACCAGCTAGCTAGCTAGCTTATATTGTTTGAATTAGAATTATCTTTTTTAATTGTCAAGTTTAAATTTGTTACATTTATTAAAAAAGATATCATTACACCTAAGATAATGACAAAAATCCCTTTACTTGTGTCAACTAGTTTAAACTAAAGTAATTTGTTGAGCTAAAAGAAATCGAAATTAAAAGCATTTGCATGAATAAAGCTGAAGATAAATTGCTTATAGGACTAGACAATAATCAAATTTATGAGATTAAAATAAAGCCATATCATCCTGAAACTGTCAATAATGATAGTAGTGAAGACAGAGAAGTCACACTTATCAACCATTTAAATCATACAGGACCTATAAACTCAATGGATATATGTAAGAGGAAGCCCATAATTGCAACATGCAGCACAGATAAAACAATAAAAATATGGGACTATGAAAAGAAATAAATTAAAATATCTTGGGCATTTAATGAAGAAGCCTTTTGCTTATCTCTTCATCCCTAAGGATTTTGTGTAAAACAATTTAAAACATTTTTTTAAATCCAAAATAAATTTATTTTTTTCATAAAAATTGATGAACAGGTTGCTGTAGGATTTCTAGACAAATTAAGACTTATGAATTTGTGTATCCACAATTCTTAAAATACAACTAAAAACAAGGCTTATAAGGAAATTTCACCATTTAAGGGATGCAAAGAAATAAAATTCTCAAACGGAGGTTAGTACTTTGCTGCTGTGAATAGTACTTCGTCTAATCATGTTATCCAAGTCTTTAAATTTTTCACAGGAGAAAATCCAGTAAATTTTATTTTTTCATTAAAATCTTTTAAAAAAAGTTTTATTGTTTATATTAGAGTTAACTTGTTTTTAAAGGACACACAGGCAGAGTAAAATGCATAGCATGGTCTAGTGATGATTCATTTTTGCTTTCTTGTGGTCTTGATGGTATGATCCTTGCTTGGAAACTCGACCAAGATTTTCAACACTAGCAAACTATTGTCCCAAGAATAGTTGATATTCATAATAAGGGAGTCAATTTCTCAGGGTAAATTTGGAATTTATTTTATATTGATTTTAATAGAAATTTATAAAACCATTTAATTTAAATTAGATTAACTTTGACAGTTGATAATAAGACTATCGTAGCCGTTGGAAATGATAGGCATATTCATCAAGCAGTTATTAATGAGTAATAGCCTGTAGACAAGACAGATAAAAAATTGCTTGATATTAATCTGAGTTGTCTCGCCTTCCCAAGCTCAAATAAACTTCTTTTTGCAGGTATTTAGGATGATGCAAGATCTTCAGGAGCTATTCGTTGTTTTATTTATCCTCTAACTCATGGTAAATTTACAGATTATTAAGCACATGATGAAAGAGGTGTTGAAAAAATGAAAATCACGAATGATGACAGATATATTATCACAGCTGGTAAAGATGGATGCATTATGGTTTTTGAAATTAAAGTAAATAATGATTTTTTAATAAATTTAAAATATTAATTAATTAATAATATTGATTTTTCTCACTATATATTGTTTATTCCAATTTAAATAACTTTGTTGCATCTTTTGAAAATTATAATGAATTATTAGCTTTACATTATTTTCATGATCTTTGGAAATTAACCATTTGTTTATTTTAGGATAAAGATGCAAGAGGTATGAAGCTAAAAGATGGCTATGCTAAATATTCTGAAGAAGAGTTAATCACTAGATCTGACTTAGATGACTTGAAAAGCACAAGAGATGGGCTAATTGTTCAAATAAATGAATTTTCTAACTAAAATGCGATGATTGGACTCAACTCTAGAGATGATCGTATCCGATAGTTAGAGACTTAAATTGAAAATAATTCTCAAAAGAGAAAGCAAATGTTTGAATAATTGCTCAAATCAAAAACAATGGAAGAACAAAAACTAATTTAGGAAATAAATGAAATAAAAGAGTAGTTTGAGCAAGAGATTTAAGTGATGGATACCAAATATTAAAAGGTAAATAAAAGCTATTTTAATTGAACATTTTTCATGTTTAATATTAAACAAATCAAATAAAATAAAAATCTCAATAAATAAAAGGAAGTAATGTCGCTTGTGGAAGAGTATGAAAACTAAAAGAGATTACATGAAATTGAAAACAATAAAAATAACAAGAAGAAAACTAAATTGCTTTAAGAACATAGCCAAAAACTTCAAATCATAGATGATCAATATTAAAAATTACTTGAAGAACAAATGTAAATAAATGTTAATTCTTTCTTTAAAAATTTTTTGCAATAAAATTCCTTAACATAAATAAAATAACATCTATTGAAATTAAATATAACGAATTACTTTATTTAATTAATTCCAAGAGGTATTAATTTCTTTTTATGAGTTACTTCAATTGATGAATAGAGTGATATTTCATAAATTATTTTAAAATTAAAGTTATTTGTAATAATATGTTATTTTTTTACTTTATTAGCACTCAAAAAGAAAGAGTTGAAAAGCAAATAAATCACTTATAGAAGGAATAATAAGAAGTTTTAATGCAAATTTCAGAAGAAAAAGAAACTGAAATTAAGAATTTGAATCAAAAAAATTCAAAAGATGAATAGGCGATAACTGATCAAGGACTAAAAGCTAAAAGTGATATTTCTATTACAAAGAAGAAAATTATGCAATAGTAATAAGAAGCACAAGATTTAAAAGAATAAAAGTAAGAATATGAAAGACAAAAAGAAAAGCTCAAAATTTAAAATCAAGAACTTAGAGATAAAATCGATGGCTAAAAGAAAATTATTTTAGAGCGTGACAGGACGATCGGAGAAAAAGAAAAGATTATTTATAATTTAAAAAAGAAAGCCCAAGACTTGGAAAAATTCAAATTTGTACTTGACCATAAAATCAAAGAATTAAAGAGAGACATAGTTCCACGAGAAGATGAAATTACTAAAATGAAACAAGAAACAAACAATATGGACTAATACTTAAAAGAATTGAATGCATATAACAATTATTTAGGTACTGTAGTCGATGAACTTTACACAACTCAGGAAACAATGAAAGAAGATATTAAACAATAAAGGTAATTTCTAATTTTATGACTTACCTATTTAATTATATATTTATTTAATTAACAAATAGATAGTAAATATCTGTACAGTAAGTTAAAATATCAAGATTCAAAGATGATGTGTAAATAAATAAATAAATTATAATTTTTATATTTTTTAATTGCTATTTTGAAAAAAAAAAATAGATATTCTTTAGCCTAGCATATATTGGATTATGATAAACTGGTGGATGAAACTGAAAGATTATTCATGAAACATGTTAATGACAAAGAAGTAAAGAGATAGAGTGTTGAAGGAGATATAATGATGGAATATAGAAGCTAGAAAAAGAATCTAGAAAAATTAGTTAATATGTTCAAAAAGAGCTTGTAGAAAGATAATTAGATACACAAAGATGATAAGATCAGAATTATGAAGGATAATGTTGACTTAATTAGAGAAATCAACACTCTAAGAAAAAGTATAAAAGATATAACAAAAGGGCAACAATCTAACATTCCAGATTAAAAGGGATAAACCTAGCATATGCCTCTATAAACTCCATAATTGTCAAGAAAATCAATAAGTTAACCTGTTTTGCCACCAATCAGCAAATCTGCAATGTTTGAAGGTGTAACTTAACAAAATGAAATTTAAAAATCTCATACATAGATAAATCCTGAATTAGTTGAAGAAAAATAAAAAGTTCTCAATAGTTTGCAAACAGACATTTTAGAGTTATAAAAAGTATACGAAGCTTTAAATTATGAAAAGCACAATCTTACTCAAGCATGAAATTTTTTAGCAAACAAACAAACAAACAAAAAATAAAATAAATACATTTAAAAAATATATTTCAGATAATAAATAATAATTTTTGGTAAAATTAAAATTATAACTATTTACTCACTTACCTATTTATTTATTTACTTGTTTAGTCAGATAACATCTCAAAATATTTACAATTAAATTCAAATATATTTCTTCGGCTAGATCTTTTTTTGTATATATTATTTATTTTAAAAATTTATTTCCAAATTAAAATAAAATAAAACTTTAAAGACTATGTATAAATCATAATTTTTAACAACTCAAAGACATCAATCAAAAGCTCTAAAATTATAATTATTTATTATTTTTGTGTTCAAACCTACTTTAAAAGATTTAAAATTTCTAAAAATATAAATTTTATATTAATCTCTGTTATTATTTTTTTAATAGATTCAATATGATCAGTTAAATTAAGCTTAAAATTAAATTAAAATACAATTTTCTTCTTTTAAAAATATTATTAAAATTCATCTTTTTCTGTTTCAATCATTGATTTATTTTTTCGGTAATAGTTTAACATTATAAAATTTGTCTTAAAAGATGTTTTTGTTATAAATTAAATTTTTTTTATTAACAAAAATATTATAAAAAGATTAAATTACTTAATTTATTTTATCAATAAACTATTCTTTTTAAACTTAAATTAATTTATTTGTAAAATTAATTTAAATTAACATCTTAAATTGGGCTTTAAAAATTATCATCAATTTATTTGTAGAAATTAACTTTCATTATTTTTTCAACGGGATTATAAATAATGTGATGATAATTTTCAGAGAATTTATCGTTTGAAGATTTATTTGTAAAATTAACATCTTAAATTGGGTTTTAAAAATTATCATCAATTTATTTGTAGAAATTAACTTTCATTATTTTTTCAACAGGATTATAAATAATGTGATGATGATTTTCAGAGAATTTATCGTTTGAAGTAATATAATACATAGAATTCATTAAATAATAGCTAAATCTCACTTAAAATGAATATAAAATATCCCTCTTTTTGGTTGATTTCATAAAATTAATAATAACTCAAGAAGCTGAAAACCTAAAAATTTAGTAATTGATGAAAGATTAATCATATTTAAAGGCTACAAAACAACAAGAAGATAGATAGATATCTTATGACTTAAATTTACAATTAAGAATTAGAATCTTCTTAAAATCTTTTGTATTAATTATGCAGTTTTGCTTTAAATTTCAGAGATAATTAAGGAATAAGCTTTCAACTGCTTAATTGATCACTTAGTGTCACCCTTGCTAGGGAAAGCTTCTTGGAGGGTCTTAATTGCTAAATTAATAAGTAAAATATTTTAAATAAGTTCATCTAACTAAATTGTAAATCTAATAAAATATGCTATCAATCTATTTTCTAAAAATTTCTATTGAATTTGCTCAATTTTAATAAAATAAAAACTAAATGCTTTAATAATAATTTTTTTTACTTTTTGCGCTAACAGCTTTACCTTCCTTGTATTATTTAACAGTGTAGTTAATGGCTAAGTTTCTTTGAACTCTTTGAGGAAGACCACTATTTGTTATTTAGTTAAATAAAAATATTAATTGTTGATAATATTAGATATGCTTTTTAATTTTATTAATTTCACTCAAATAAGTGCTATCGATTCACTTATAATTATATATTTTATGCTTATTTTCATACTATAAAATGTTTTTATTTTTAGAGAATTTAAGACTATATTTTATAATAACTTTGTGTCATTTAAGCAATAATAATTCCTAAATAAATTGTAATTGATAATCTAATCATCTCTATGAATGTGAATTCAAAGCATCTAATTGAGTAGTTTTTTTCAATAATAGTTTTTAAATTTTGAATCATACTAAATGACTCCTTCAGTTGAGTGAAGGAAGTTTCTGACGATGGGAATACCAGCCTTCTTGAAAGCAAATTCAATGCACATTTAATATTATTTTCTATAAAAATTTATCTTAATAAAAATCAATAATCTTTTGTAAGATTTTATTTATTTGTTTGTTTTGATCTTTTTAATGTTTCTTTCAAAAATTTTATTTAGTTTATTAACTTTGGTGTTTCTTTAGCTTCTTTCTTTTTCTTCCTCTTCTTCTCTTCTGTTTGCAGGCGAAATATCTTATCTTATTAAATTTACTATCAATCTTCATATATACAAGCAAATATTTGATCATGATAAATTTTTTTCTTCACTCTCTCAAGACCAATTCAAATATTTTTTTTCTCTTCTTGTTTCATTTTATGTATTTTTTCAATCTAAATTGAAATATAAAATGCAAAAAAAAAAAAATAATTTTTGCAAATATTTATTATTAATTGAGTCAAAGTGTTAGTTAATACAAATTTTTTTTTATGATTTTATCTTAATTAGCATATTTTTTCTTTTGATTTTGTATGATTTTATTTGAAATTAATTAGGTGAATAGAAATATTTTATTAATTTATATTGATTATTAAGTTTTAAAGACAAAAAAAATATGCAACAAACGAAAATATGACAAGTAACTGTTAAATAATTTAGTAGAAAATTAGGTGAAGTGGCGTTTTTAATTTAGGATTATTCCTACAAATTTAGTTTAAATAAAGCAAAGTATATAGAATATATATACAGATGTGTTTTATAATTCTTGAAGTATATATGCCTTATTCTTATAGACAAAGTTTTATCATATTACACAAAAGTAGTTAAATCTATCAATTAAATCACTCCTTGTTGACCTTCTTTTCGAGGTTTTTGCTCTTCTTGATGGAGGGATCGTTCTTGATAGCTCTTCTTCTGTTTCTCAAGAATCTGGGGTTAACCTAATTAATTATCAAATAAAAATTATTTTAAAATTAACAAAGAATTATTTTTTTCTTCAAGATTTGCATAATAATATTTTTCAGTCAGCATTTAATTAATAATCCATCCATCCATTTATTTTTCTCCTTTTATATTTATTCATGTCATTAACATGTTTGTAAATATGCTTTTAGATTGCTTTTTTTTTAAATTAATACACGATTAATTTTGCACTTAAAAGATATTTAATAATATACTCTAAAGCATTTCATCTATAAAAGTATCACAATTTTATTAATTATTATGCTATAATTGCTTTAAATTGATTTTTTATTTTCCTATTATATCTCGTCACACTAATTAAGACAAACTTTATTGATTAATCCAATTTTTTCTAGGCTCTTTTGTTGAAACTTTCTTGATTAATTCAATATTCTTCTACTACTTTATTATTTCCTAATAGCTAATGTAAATGCTTTAGGGGTTAATCTAAATGTGCAACATCTGTATTTGTAAATATTATCTGCTTGAGTTAGTAAAAGTTCATTCTATGCAGCGTTTGATATGAGAGGGGCTAGAGTTTAATCTCATTCCAAACAAACTCTATCAACCAAATCACTATTTAACTAACAAATCATGCAATTTATCTAATATTCATCTGCATCAAACAAAATTAAAATCTTATTAAAGTTCTTTTTATAATGTGGATACTTAAGATTCACCATAAATGAAGTTAAGTTAGTTTTAATTTCTCCTTTTGTATTTAATCTCAAGGATTCATGGTGGAAATAGATTGAATTTTGTTTGATTTAGGATTTAAGGAGATATTGAAATTATAAAAAAAGGCAAATTGTTTCAAGAGGAGAATCGGCCGCTCGTAGAAAAATTATGCAATCTATGTTGGAAAATTATATTGATTTTTTCTTACACCCTTGGTGGAGATGTGTCTGTGGTCCTTGGGCTTCTTGATACCGTTTCTGTGGGACTTGGAAATTTGGTTCTTATTAGTGGAGTTCTTTGATTTAGCCATTTCTTCTCTTTTTAATATTATATATGTGAAAATATATTGTTTTCTCTTGACTTTTTTATATTTTTATCTAGGTTTTTAATTTGATTGTGTATATATTTGTTTGCTTTTATTTTAATTTCTCTCTTAATTTGACCCTATCAGTATATTTGCTTTCTTTCCTTGCTTCAAAACCTCAATTCATGTATTCATCAATAAATCTAAATGAATTAAATCATATATTCTCTCATTCACACACACACCCATTTTTATTATTAAAACATGAATCATTATTTAATTCATTTTTTTATTAGCTTATAATAAATTCATAAAAAAGTCTAATATATAAATTTCAATTAAACCTATTTGCTATTTTAACTAATAAATTGGTTGTTTTTAATCTGTGAAGAAGCATTAGCAGTATTTTGTATTATTTTTTTTATTAAAATATATTTAATATAACAAATTGTTAGTTTTTGCCATTTGTATTCGCCAAATTATGATATTTAGATATAATAAGAATAAGCTTTACAAAAGTAAAAAAAAAATTCTAATTAAAATTTTTAATTTAAGTTTATAGGCTTATCAATAATGTCTTTTTATAAAATTTTTTTGTTGATTGTTTTTGTTTTATTTATTATTTAAATTATAATCAGTTTAAAATATTAGTTTATTTTTAAAACTTTGTTTTAAGTAACTAAGCTTGACTCTAAAAATTTTTTTTTAATTTTCTAAGCCTCTTTAAATCTATAAAGATAATTTTCAAATAAAAATCTATTTTTAATGAAAAGATTCTCAAAACTTAGTTAAAATTAATATTATTTATTTATTAATGGATTATAAATAAAACTTTTTAAATGTAAGCTAAAAATAATAATTTTACATAAAAATTTAAAAATAAAAACTTTGAAAAAATTAATAAGAGCTTATTTATGATAAAAGTAAAATAAATTTTATATTAAACAGCTTAGAAAATACATTTATTTTGTTTGAATCATGGTTTAACGTTGATGAATAAAGCTCATAAACCTTATTGTTTGGAGAATATTCTAAATTTCATAAAATAAATTTTATATTAAATAGCTAATTTATTTTACTTATTTTGTTTGAATTTTGGTTTAAAGTACTACAAACCTCTCTAAATTTAATTAAATTATATGAATTAACCGTTTTTTTCATATTTATAAGATTAATCAATCTTTTATTGTTTCTTGAAAAAATTAATTTAAAAATCAAAAATATTTTTAAAGAGAAATTAGAAAGATTAATTTATATGAGTTTTACAAATATAGAATTATTGGTTTTTTATAAAATGTTAAGAAGAAATTCAATTTTAAATTTTTTAATTTTTAGGTTTATTTTTATGATGGCTTGGAGAACATTCTAAATTTCGGAAACCAGTTATTTATCCATTATCACTTATTGATTGCTATGATGGTATTTTACTAAAAGTTTCTCCTTTAAATCCAAAAATAGCATCTAATTCATATGTTCTATTAGATTGACAGTCTTCGAGTTAGTTGTATTTAAAATTTAATTTTACTTGTTCACTAACAATACTGGTAGCTTATTAATTAATATCAGAAATATTCATGGATAATCTTTATCTCTCTCTTTCTTCTTCATCTTCTTCTTCTTATATTTTAGAAACTTCATTTTTAAATCTACTTTATTTGGATTAAGTTTAAGATAAAATTCCTTCTATATTGCTTTTCTTAGAATCATCTGAGCCTTCTTCTCCTCCACTAACAAGCATTATATTTTATCTTTTTGTAGCTTTTCTTGCTCCACCTCTTACAAATGGCGTACCTTCTCCATTATTAAGTATGCTACCACTACGATTTACTCCAATAATAGAATTGCTTTCTGATTCTTAATATATTTATGCTATCTCTTTGGTATCTTCTTACTGCCTAAATTTATTTAACAAATTTCCTGCTACTCCACCTGAAGCTACTATTCTAGTTCCACCAGTTTTTCTATTTTTCCTTACAAAGTCTTATGGATTGATAGAATTACTTTAATTGTTATTCTAAGTAGTTGGTTTCAATTTATTCAAATGTATAAACAAATTGTGCTTTACATTTGTATGATTTTTTAAGCTTACAATTTTATCTAAAACATATTCAACATTACTGGATGGATAGTAAAAGCTATAATTTTTAAGAGTATCGAAATCCTCAAGTCCGTAAAAATTAGTTTAATTATCAGAACCTTCTATAACAGATTAAGAGACCTATGATGTTTTTCGCCCAGTATGTGTATTTGATCCTAATATTTCTATTATCTTATTCAATAATAACTAGTTTTAGTCATAGCTTATCCTTTTAATATTTTCAAGCACAGATGAGTTTGCCTGGAGAAGAATATTGTTATTATTTTTGAATTCATTAGTTTTTTACATCCCAGCTAAATTATTTGATTTGTATTTATTATTTTATTTACTTAAAGTTTCCAACTTAGAATATTAAGAGCTCAGCTGATTTGTATAGATAGTGGATTCATCTTTCATAGAATTTTGTTTTTTAATCAAATTACTGATAGCATTTATGCATTAAGTAGAATTGCTAATACCACCACTATTAGAATTACCAGTGGTATGCTTTTTAGTAGACTTTCTTTTCGATTCCTATCTTTAAACTTTTGAAATAGACTATCTTTTCTCTATTTTAGTATTTGATGTTGGAATTATTACTGACTGTTGTGGCGCAATCTAATTTTAGCTAAACTAAGATTCTTTGATTTCTTTTGTCCCAGTAGTTGACTGTGATTATAAAGATTTTAAAATAGGTGCAACAGCTTTTCTACTACTAATTATATTATTAGTATCTTTTTAAATATGCAAATACCCTTTTTAATTATATTCGTTATTTTAATTTTCATAATCTATTTCTTCATTTTTTGTTTCCATGGAAAAAACTACAACTTTTTCGTTTTGCGGACCTAAAGGACTCAATTTTTCTGAATCTTCTCCTTATTAATTTTGTAAACTGTTTGAATTTAAAAATCCAAGTTAAACATTTATTTATTAATTTGGTAGAATTTTTTAATTTGAGTTGTTGAGTTACAAGTTACTCTCAGAAAGATTACCTTCATCTTATTTATCCACTTATCTATCAATAGATAATTTTTTAGCATAGTTTAATTACTACAAAAATGATGGTAGTTTAAATCCAATCCTTTATTAACTATCTTTATTTTCTTCTTTTTCTTCTTCATTTTCCTAACTATTTTCATCATCTTCATCATCACTATCTGCAGCTAATTTATTTTCTTCTTCTTCATCAGTATCAAAAAAATCTTCATCACCAAATAATTCATCAATAATCACTGAAAATTATTCTTAAATCTATTCTGCCTTCTCTCTAATATTTGATTTAGCTTTCAAAGAATTTGGAGATTTTAAAAACTTTTTCCTTTCATGTTTCTACCTGTTTTAATGATATCCTGGATAAAAATATTTTTTCAAAAGTAGAAATTTTTTAGGCGTGTAGTGCAGATAGGGGCACTCATTAGCTAAATGCTTTCCATCTTTGCAAGAATAACACTTCATTCCTTTGATTAATAAGTTATAATTCTCTTAAAAATTTGTTTACTTAAATAATTAATGAATTTTACCAATCAATCTGTAGTCGCTTTCATTTAAAATTTTATCTTTAATATAGCAAAATTATTCATAATCTTCTGGGTATTCTTTTAGCAATTCAATAAATTCAGATCTCTTTATATAAATCAAAGTTGTAAAATCTAAAGATTTGACTGATAGAGTTCTTGTTAATCCCGTAAAGAAACCAACTTATCCAAAGCAATCACCGGCTTTTAGCTTCATTATTTGTATAGGCTAGTCAGATTATGAAAGAAATACTTCAACTTAACCTTTTTCTATAAAATATATATTCTAATCTTCAGTAATAGTGTTTTCAATAAGTATGATCTCATCAGGAGTTGCTCTATATTCTTTGATAAGAGGTACACTTCTGCTAATTACTTAATTACTAAAGTTGTTTATAAACACAACTGAATCTTTTAAAACTATATTATTTGCTTCTAATGCTAGCTGATCCCTCAAGTTGTCACTCAACAGACTTTTTATTTTTTCTTCTATCTCTGTATCTCTTTTATTTATTTATTTTAATTGAATAATTTCTTTTAATTCTGAGTTTAAATTTTAACAAATTTAATTATGAGTAATTAAAATAATTTTTAAAAATAGAATGATGAAGTAATAAAAACATAAATAAATTACCTATCTTGTTACTCAGTCCAATAATATTATAAATATTCCCTAATTTAATATTGTAATTCTTTAGAAACTTTTTTCAAGTGCATATAACTGCTTATATTATACATCATTTCATTTATTTACATTTCTTATTTACTCATATTTTCAAATATACTACCAATCTAATTTACTGCATAAGCAAAAACACCACAAGCAACCAACATAGTAAAGATACAAAAGGCGAATTCCCTATTATTTACCTATTAATTAATAAATTAATAATATTTATTAATCTATATTAAATAAACTTCTTTATGATATTCCATTTATCTTTCTATCTTTAAATTTATTAGATAAGAAATTCGAAAAAAAAGAATGATATAAAATATTCAAAAATAAAAAAGTAATAAATTCAAGCGAGTGATTAGTTTGTGGAAATTTGATTGTTTTCGTTAATTTTATTAACAATTTTAACAATTAATAAAATGATAATAATCTTCTTTATTTTTGTTAAAATATAGAAATTTTAAAAGAGATAAATAGTTTAAAGTTAGTAATTGTATCATTGTTTGTAATTAAAGGCGAATCAATTCAAAAAATTACTTAAATAAAAATTACTTTAATTAATTTTGTTAAAAATTATATTTGAGTTGGATAGACTTAATAATTTTAAAACTATTATTATTCTAATTTAAGTTTATCTGAAAAAAATTAATTAAGTGTTTTATTTCGCATTTGATAACTATTAAAGTTATTTTGATACAAACTATTAATTTTAATGTATTTATTTATTTATTAATCTAAACCAGATTCAGATTTTTATATTTTCAATTTAAAAGTTAATTTAAAATTTTAAAAATAAAATTTCATACTAGTTTTGCTTTTTAGTGATTAAAAATGTTAATATGTGAAATAGATAAAGAAATAAATAATTACTGGAACAAAATCGCCATATCCTACAGTAATCATAGTTACGGTAGTAAAATAGTATGATGCAAGATACTATTGATCCCAAGATAAAGTATTGTAATTGTACTTATCAATCCAAACTTGAGAATCCGTGTTATTTGTTAAGGCTAACCACAACCAAATGCAGGAAAAAATATGAGCTACAAATAAAACTCTGAAAAGTAACTTAGCTAAGCGTACCAGCTATTTTTATTTAGGCGAGAGATGGAAGATCTCTTCTACTTTACGAATGATTATTGTAATTCTGTCAACTTTAAGATATTGCAAAAGCATTAAAAGTCCCCAAATACCACTAAGACTAGTTAAAAAACTTTCAATCATCACAGGAATGTTTGAAAGAAAATCAGTAACAAAATGTTTTCTCAAATAATGATACCAAATAAGCTGTCTATCTTTGACAGGTATACCTTTGTCGAAATAAGTAGTATTAAGGCAGATAATATTATCAATTATAAAAAGTACTAATCCTGTGTTGAATAATATATTAGTAATAAAAGTGCCAATACCTAGATTGTAAACTATTTAAAGAGGAATGGCGAAGAAAAAGAGAAGTATAAATATCATCTGTATGACATCCCACAATAAAATAAAAGTATTAGAAGGATTAAAAAGAGGAATCATTTAGAGGATTCTTTCAAAAAAAGCCAAATCATCCTCATCTTTTTTTTAACTAGAATCTCTTATTTAATTATTGCTAACTTCAGGTAGTGCTTAATCCCTAATAACAGTTTTTTGATATTTCGTTAAATGCTTGTTCATATAGGAATGCGTGAATCTAGAAAGTTTTAGTAAAAAGTGTTTTAAACCTAGTAGTTTGATAGCATATTTCTAATTATTGATTTGCTATACTTTAATGAGTGCTTTGTCAACCTTCTTTGTTAAAATATCTTCTCTAATGTCTTTGAAGACTAGTTTGCCATTTTAAAGTTCTACATTATGATTAGAAAAGTCATAAGAAATTCTGTTATCACCAAATTTGCTTTTTGACGTAGATTTAACTCTGTGCGAATCGGAGGTCCCTACGTCTAAATAGTTACTTTTTATATTTAATTAAGTTTAATCGTGTTGCGGTTTGGCTTAATTTTATAATTTAATTGATTGATGCATTAGAGAATTATTTTTTTTCAGAGCTTTAATACTATCTGCCTATCTAAGAGTTATCTATGGATATTCTCCTATACTATTTTAATTTCTCATCGAATATTTATGAGCAAATGAGCTGGCGACTAAACCATTAAGCGTTTACTCGTTTTAATTTAATTAAGAGTTCGAATTATCCTGTATTTATTAATTGCTTGTATCCATCTTTACTTTCTGTCAATTCTAATTCTTCTACTTAACTGATAAACTTAATTTTAAATGATATTGAAGCATTATAATTTGAATACTTAAAATTAATATTTATATTTACATTTTAGAAAGGTCTGTTGGCAATGTAAGCGTTTACTTTGTAAAATAAAATGGGGGTATTGATTATATCTTATAAGTAAACCTGAAAATAAAAAAATAAAAAATTACTATACTTTTTAATTGTTATTTTCTTTTTAATGTAATTTAATCTTATATTCAAAAGAAAATTGAGACCAATCTTTGAATAAGTTAATAAATAATTAATCGCTCCAATATTTAGATGATTGAAATCAACTCTCTTATTGAATTATTCAAAATAAGTTAATCAGAATTTATTTTATTTAAAGAAGTATTACATATAATAGACCAATTAACTCAAATTTCAATTCATTTAGATAATAAGAATGTATGTGTCCCATCAAACTATATAAAAATATTTAAAATCCAAGCTTTTGCTTATTTTGTTTATATTCATAGTAATTAATTTTCGATTTTAATCTCATTTTCTTAATTGGTTGGTCTTATTTTTGATTCTATTATTTATTAAACATTAAAAGATAGTAATTTATCGTATAAATAAAATCGAATCGCTCATTTATTCATCATTTATCAACCAATAAAACTCAAAAAATTTGAATTCTTCAAGTAAAAAAATAAAATATATACTTATAAAGCTATTTATAATTATTAGAAGAATAAATAAAAAGTATATAATTAAATGAAATTAGCTTAAAAATATTAGTAAATATTTAATTATTAAATATTCTACTATACTTTTATTATGATTTTTATGTTATCTGTTTCAGTTAATTCTTATTAAAATATAAATTTTATTTATTTTAAGTAAAATGGATTTTAAAATAATATATAATAATTTGCTATTGTTTTGATAAGAAGCAATAATAATAATAATTACAAACAAAATTAATTTAGATAAAAATTAAAATTCATTTTTGAATTTAAATAAATAAATTAAAAATAGAAAATATTACATACAATATTAGCTTACCACATTATAATAAAAAGTATATATGACAAATGTTATTTTTTAGATAAAGGTACTAAAAAGTTTAAGTTAATTAACAAATACCTTTTTTATAATGAAGATTTACTTTTTATTTGAATTTAGTTTGTAAAAAAAATTTATAATTAATTAATCGATAGTTTTATAATAAAATAGAGAGAAATTTTTCAGTTTTCAGTTAATTATTAGATTTTAATAAATCCAAATTTTAGTAAATTTAATAAACATTGATGACTTTTTATGTTTAAAAAATGAATATATATGAATGTAGGATTGATTATAAATTAATTACGCTATTCTTATTGGCATAAATTTTGGTAAATTTTTTATATTTATTATTTTTATGATAATTATTTGTTTATTTGATTGTCAATTCTTTTGCTTGCTTTAGATTTGTTACTTTGCTTTCAATAGAACTTATGCAGACTAAGACTTGCAGATGCCATCTTTAGAAGGGTATTAAAAATTACTTTTTATCATAGTACTAGTTTGGTTAAGTACAAATTAGCTTGTAGATTTGAAGGAATTCACCATCGCTAAGTTTAAAGTGCTGTTGAAGTTATTGCTTTATTTTCCTATATTAAAGACTTGTGAGTTTTGTACTTATTATGTAAATTACTCACTAGGCTGACGCTGATTAATTATTTAAATTGATTATTTAGGTGAACTTATAGAAGGTAAAAAACCACTTTGTGCATTTGATGAATTGCTAAGATCTTATTAAAATGGTATTTGAATTTATTGCATTTGATGTAGATTGTTTTTATTTGGAAGCTCAATATTTTCAAGAACTGTTTACATAGATTATTTATAAATTTAATTATTTGACAGTTAGCTAAAATCAACTGAGCTATAATGTTGAGGCTCTTATCTCTTTTAATTTGAAATTATTTTTATTTTGCTTACTTCACTGATGTCTTTATTCTAATTTATTCTTCATTTAAAAAATTTTAATTTACTTTTAAGTTTTTTGTAAAAATTACTTTATTTCATTCCTTTTTAGCGAAGATATATCAACTGATTGTTTTACGTTATTGAATGGACTACTTTTATATTCTTAGTTATAAATTGCATTTTATCTTTAATTTGTAAATAAATTGCTATCTTTGCTGCTGCTATCTCCTCTGTTATTACCTTCTAAAATATTATTCTCAATTTAGCCATAGTAAGATTTTTGCCCATAATTTGTATTCTGTAAGTTAGTTGCAGCAGTAGAGTTTGCATAAGAAAAACTCATGGAGGCTTCTCGTTTCCTATCCACTCCAAATTCATTGTTTTTTTTCAATAAAATCGGAGATTACTCAGAATTTACTTTATAATTTAAAAATAAAAAATAAAGTTTAATAATTATGAAAATAAATATAAATTTATGTTTACATTAGCTTTCTTGCAATTTAGAAAGTAAATTTGATGAATTAATAGCATACTACTAAGGAGATCTTTAAAATAATCTTTAACTATGCTATCCTCTGCTTTAAATTAATTTTTTTGGTTCCTAAAATATTGGAATATTTCCTGATAAAATATTTTGTTATCCCTGCTTTACGTTTTATGGATTAAGATTATTCTTGTTAGTTTGGTCAAGCGATTTAACTCTCTGGCTATGAAAGCTATAGTGGTTACCTCCCTTTTTAATTCCTTGAAATTTGTTGAGATTCCTATCTCTAATAATGAGTTTTTTTATAATATTAATTTAGACAATTTAAAATTAATTTTACATATTTTAGTTTTAAGTTTCTTCATGCCTTATTATTGATTGCTTAGGACCAAGAGGAGAGTTATCTTAATTTTACTAAATATTTATTTGCTTTTAAGCTGAATAGCTTTGCGTTAAGTTTGAAATAATCGAGTTACTAAGTGCTTTGTTGTATATGTTATTGTTGATATTGTTGAATTCTTTAATTTAATTGTTTTAAATAGGTGATTAAAGAATTTGATTATCTTTAAGTGGATTAGTAATATTTTCACTATTTTTATCACTATTCTTAGGTTAAACCTAATTTTAACTAGGCGAATAAATTTTATTATCTTAATTGATGTCTTGTTGCTATTCTTATTGAGAAAGCTACTGTGCTTATTATATATTATTTGTATCACTCTATTACGGAGCTTGGTTCTGGATCTCTGATGTACTGTTACCCTATAAAAATTATTTCTTTTTTTCCATATAAAGGAATAGGTCATATAAAAATGAAGAATCTGTCTGCTACTCCTAGTCTTTTTTTTACACTTGTTTACCCTTGTTGTTAGCTAATTTTTCTTGTTGCTTTTGTAAGTATCTCTACAAATACATTTAATTTGTTTACTTTCTTTTTATTTCTTATTGTTAATTCACATTTTGCTATTCTTAAACAACTTAATTTTTAGCTTTCTTTTTGTCAATTTTCTCCTTTTTGAGTCTTTCACTCATTATATCTTTTTATTTTTTCGAGAGAGCATTTTTTGGAATAATATCAAGCAACTCTTCGTCATCTAAATCATCCTAATTGGTTAATTTTATAAAATTTTTTTAAATAAAAATAAAATACATCCACAAAAGAAATTTAATTGAATATAATTTACTTCTGAAGGATTAGAGTCTGATCCTGAGTCAGATTTATTACCGCTTTCTAAAAGCTCTTTGTTTTCAGCTATTTCTTGTATCTAAGAGTGTAAAGTTGAGTTTTGGTCGATGATAAAAGCACCTTTTTAAAATAACCAAGATTTATAAGAAATATAAATTAAAATTTATAGTAAATTAACCTCTGCTATTTTCTTTCTGTGCAGCTTCCTACTAAATTAAATTATACAGATTGATGCAGATATCTCTTCCGATATCAAGATAATCTTAAATTGTAAAATGGTATGCTTTTTTTACTCCTTTAGAAGAAATACTTGTATTTTATTTTGGATTTAAAAGCATCTCTTTGTTTTCTTTTTGTCTGAGTTAAGAAATACTTTCTACATTTTCTTCTTTAGCATTGAAATTATTTTTTTATTACTAAGAAGTCATCTTTTATTCACTTTTTTTATACCCATAAAAAGAAGCTTCTAAGCAAAATACATTAGGAGCTCTCAATTCTTTCCAAAGAGTTATTCTTGCAGTAGATTCTTTGTATTAATCCATGCTGAATCTTGATTCTCCAAAGCTAACTTTAGAATTTATTTTGCTCAGCAAGTAGGGAAAAATTCTGGTTTTTAAAGGATCTTCTCTGTAGCTGCAGCCATAAAAAAATGCCTCCATTCTAAATAAAAAATTTCATTGATCAAGTATAAAAAAGTAAATAAAAAAAAACTTTCGACTGTGACCATGCAAATCTAAAATAAGTTTTGTTTCTCTTTCCGAATGTAATTTTTTTATCATTTCCTTCAAAGAATAAATTGTTGGATGCAATTTCTAATTTCGTTAAAAATTTATATTTAAATGAATGAGTGATTGTTTGTTATTTTTAAATTTCTTTTTTCATAAAATATTTTCATAATTAATTAATATCAATTTAAGCTTTCTAGAAATTTATTATTCAAATTAATTTGAATTTTAGCTTTTATTAATCTTATGAAAACATTTTTTCTTCAAATTAAAACATTTTATGAAAATTTTATTTAATGGTTTTATTAAAAATTGATTAAATCACAAATTAAAAAATAATTAATTATATAATAAAATCTATAAATACTCTATTGGGTCTCTTCCAACGCCTGTTTAAGTCAGCTCCGGCAAGATCACATCTATAGTTTCCATGAATTACTCCATCAGGATTTACCATTGGAACAATCTTAAATATGCATGCATCCCTTAAAAATTCAGCTTCTACAGAATTTCCTAGAAGAAAATCAATTACACCTTTCATCATATATGATCCTCCTGTTTCTCCTGGGTGTTAACGAGCAAATATAACTATTCCTTTTCTGCATCCTCTTTTTTTTGCACTAGTGCTAGTAATAGTAAGTAAATCACATACATTACCAGACAGTGTTAAGCACATATTCTTTTTAGAGATGTGTCTTTTATTTTAAATAATTTATATTTAAAAGAAAAAATTTAATTTATTTTTTACTAGCTTTTTTCTTTGTCATTCATAATTTTATTTAAATCATCTTATAAATCTGAGTAGGTATAAGGATACGAGTGAGCAAAATAAACTGTATCCTAATTATATTAGAAAGTGTAGGAAAACGTTAGAGAGCTATAAAATTTAGACATTCTAAAACCATCTCTGTAAATATTACTTTTGTAATAACGGATATCAAATCCCTCTCTTACCCATTCTGCTCCGCTTTCTTCCATACGCTTTTAACTGAAAACAGCAGGGCATAACCCATCATTAAATAAGGAACCACTCTTAATCTATTTTAATAAAGTTAAAATTTCAATTAAAATTATATTTTTTTATTCAAAAAATAGGATTTATCAACCACAAAATTTGAAATTTTTAATAAAAAACTCTTATTTGTATTTAAAAGTAGATCATCTTTCTTAAAAATTTTTATTCTATTTTTGATTTATGTTTACTTTTGTTAATTTATGGTAAAAAAATAAATTTACTAAATTTAGGATCGTGAAAGTGACTGTTTAGTTCTTTTTAGTATTTTAGACTTTGAAGAAGAACCATTATGTATTTCCTTTGGTATTGATGTCATTTTATAAAATTAATTCGTAGTTATTTTCAGATATTTAGTAGGCTGTAAAGAGGTTACCTGACTCAAATTCAGAAGAGAATATTAAACTTTCTTTTTTGAGATTTTACTATTAGTCATAAAGGTCTGAATTAGGCTTGCTAGAAATTATTAAGCTGTTAATTTGGTTGCAAGAAGATTATTTAACAATTTCGTTTTCATTTACATTCACATTTGAGTTAGAGATATTACAATTTGATAAATTAGAATTTTGTATTTATTAAGAAACATTTATTTAATTCACTTCCGTATTATTTTCGCTAATTGATTAGTTGCTTTTGCAGGAGTTTTAATTCAATTTTGGCTATGATTTATTAGAAGGTGTTTACTAAGAGGCACTCATATTTTAATTATCTATAGCTATTATATCATTTGTTTTCTGTTTTATTTTATAAAGATCTGAGTGTTTTCTTCTCTAAGCATTCTCTTTTATGGTATTTCTTATCTAAAAGTCTTATTTTAACTTTTCCTATAAAAAAACTTTTTTGTCTTAACGAATAAGTTTATTTAACTTGCAAAGGATTGTTGAAAAAAATATAGTATCCTTAATTCTAGTAGGATTTTATAGTAAATTTAAATTTCTATGACGTTCGTAAACTAATTTATCCCTAATTGAATTATGATACTCAAACAGAGTACGAGCTTTTTCTCCATTCAATTTTTCTTATATTTAGTCTATTTATTTAATTGAAACTAAAGGCTCTTCAAACGAATATCTGCCAAATTTACTGAAGCTAGGTAGCTTTCTAAATATTAAATATAAACTTTAATACATAATTTTGTTTAAAAATTATATTAAATTGGAAACCTTTTTAGTTTAAACAAAATAGTCCCCATTTTATATCAAAATGAATTTTTAAAATAATAAAAATTGCTCAAAACATTACTCGAATTGAATATTAATTGCAGTGTATATGTTAAAATCTTCAGAATAAATTTTAGGAGCAAGAGGGTTAGCTGGAGGCAGGAAACTACTTATGTCAACAGATTTTTTAAGAGTGATTACGCTTTTGGCATTTCTATCTTTTTCTTTTAATTCTAACGATTGATTTTTATGAAATATTTTTTTTCCATTAAATTTTGAACTATTAATGATTGAACTCTCTTCATTAGAAAAATGATCTTCGTCATTTTCCTCTTCAAAATCGCTATCTTGATTAACCTTTTACTTCTTCTACTTTTCGATTTATAACATTAATTATATGGGTTCTTATTGTTTATCAGAAAGAGTAGATTAAAGAAGTAAATCTGTAGAACTCCTATAAGATAGTTATTGTTAATCCTACTTCATTTTTAGAGGATTTGTTTCAGCAACCACCAATTTTTGCTGTTGGTGTTAATTTTTTTATTGTTTGTGCTACTTTTATGCAGTTTCTTAGTATTTATTTTCGCTAATTCTATTTTCTATTTATATGGTGTTTAAAAAATATTTTATTTTGAGTTTGCAGTTTAATTTAATTTTTTTTCTTAATATTTATAATTACCTTCATTCATTATTTATAATGTTATTTTCACTTAACTATTTAGAAGTTTAAATATAATTAAACATTAATTCAATCAAATTGTTCCTATCAAAAAGCAAACAACTAACTAATCGAACAAAAAATACCAAATAATGTTAAACATAAATCTTAGTGTAAAAACTAAACTGTATAAAATCATAGTAATAAAATATTACAACAATTCATTAAAATCATGAAAAACTTATTATTAATATAAAAATTATAAGATTTATTATTAAAACTGAATTATTTATTACATTTTACAATTATTTGTCAATTAAAAAATATATTAATAATTTATAGCTAGCTAGTGATCCTTCCAACCAACCATAATATAAGCAAAAATTATCTATTAAAATGTGGAAATTAACTTTAAAAAACTATCACATTTTCTATGATAATTTAATACAAACAAATAAATTTCTTGCTCAAATTTAAATTTAAACAATTCTTAAAAAATACCATTAAAGTTCTAATTAAAGTTTTATAAAAATTCTAGTATGATAAACAATATCATTTTTATTAAAAAATAACTTATTCCTTGTTGATGATCACTAAATATTTTAAGTAATTTAAAAATAATTTAATTAATTTATTTTATTCAATTACTTTTTACTCATTATTTTTAATATTATTGCATAAAAGGTTTTTTGCTTTAAAATCACAGATAGATGTCATCAAAGTCTTAAAATTGCAAAAAATGTGTTATCCAAAATTCACAATAAGACTTTAAATTATTTTAATGACCATATTGAAAACTCTGGTTATAAATTTGTATGAATTTAATAAAGATTATAACTTATTTAGAATGTAAAAAAGGTATGTGAAGTAGAGTAACTTTTCATTTTAGTTGAATAAAATTTTATATTTTTAATAAATAATTGATTTTTATAATATTTTGGTAACTGAATTTTCAATAATTTATATTAAAATTTAATAAAATAGATTTATCAAAATTTTAAATAATTTAAATTAAAAGAAAAATTAGATAGAATTATTAAAAAATATATTTTAAAATTAATATTTGGATTTAAAAATCAAATAGTTGCTTTTATTTAATTTAATAAAATAATATCAAAATATTTTTTAACTGAATAAGTTTCTCAAAATAGAATTAACACTAAGAGAATTTTATAGTAACAAAATAAAAATATTTATAATAATTGAATATATATATTTTTTAACATTTATTTATCAGTGTATGATTGTTTGTTTTGTATGGAGTAAAGTCTTCATTTAACTAAAATTTATCAATGTAATATTTAGCAAAGAGTGTATTTATTTTTTATATGCAAAATTTGCTTTAACCATTAAATATATCTATTAATAGTTAGTCATATAATTCTCAAAAATATTCAATCATTTCATTTGTATTAAAAGGTAAAATTGTATCCTGTTTTGCTAAACTCGCTATTGTGCTTATAAGGAAGAGGGTTTTTACAATTATCATGATAATTTGAAGTTGCTGTCTATAGGGATCCACTCTTCTTGACAGAAGCTAGCTAGCTTTTTGATATTAAGTAGGATCTTATACCTTCTATATCAAAGTGAGGAATATTATGGAATGTTTTGTGGGGTTAAATATGGTTTTTTATTGTTGCTCCATTTATGATCAATTTTTGTACAATTTGATTTTTATCTTTGAATAATTCCTATTCATTTTGGACGTTTAAAATTTTCAGAGCGACAAAGAGAGGACATCTGTGTTCAAATTTATTTGAGCAATGGCATCTTAAATCTACTCCTAGCTAAATAAATGTATCAAGTATTCTGTCTGGAATTCTATAGCTGATTTCTCTATGTCCCTTGGCAATTCTCGCTGTGCAAATCATTCCAACTAATAGACTGCAAGTTGTTCTGTATACATCTTTTTCAACTTCATAGCATCTTTCAATAGGGGCCCCAAGTGCAACTAGTTCTGATGCATGTTTATAATCTTAATGTTTAATAGCATAAAATAGAGCTTTTCCCAAATCTGTAGCACCTTTTTATATGCTAATAACTTCTTTAGAACTCAAAGGCTTGCAAGAAGCTGGACGAGGAGCTTTAGAAAACATGTCTTAGATTTAATTACTTAAAATAAATGGCTAATCTTTTATGATAAAAATATAATTTGATTCTCCTTTTAGCTAACTAATATTAATGTTTTGCTTTTTATCTAATTATATAACTCTTTATGATATTATCTGACTTATATTTATTTAATAGTTAATATTAATTAATATTTCGCTGGATTCTTATATGTAGATAGATAAATAAATAGATACCTTTCTTTTTATTGTTTGTTTATTGCTTGATTGATTGATTGATTATAAAAAGATTGTCAATCATACATTCAGACATACATATATATACATATAGCAAATAAATATAAATACATTCATTCATTGATTCATTGATTCATTCATACAGACATAATTATATTTTCATTTTTGATAAATAAAATTTATTTTTGGAATTTAAAGGTAGGTATATCAATTATTTATTATCCTCTCTAAAGCCTATTTAATTTTCTAACATAAATTTATTGATAAGAGACATATTTTTTATGGAATTACAATATATTTAATATTCTAAAATATAAGTAAAACATCATTTTCAGAATATTATTGTCCCCTAATATTTTTTTAATTTATTATAGCTCCTAACATATTAAGAATTTTTTATTTAAAGCTATTTTTTTTAAATTTAAAAGGCTTGAGTCAAAAATGGTAGGAGGGAGGGGGAATCTTAGTAAATTAGTATATGACGATTTACTGTGTTTTATAATTTTAGTAAAAAAAGAGTTGTTTTAAAATAAATTTCACATTTAATTAGATACAAAATTTTTAATGAAAAGAATGAAATAAGCTGTGATTTCTTAGCATTTTAAAAAATGTAAATAGAAACTTAATAAAATATATTTAATTTGATAATAAATAGATTAATAAGATGCTTATGTTTTTATTAAATATATTAATAAAAAAATAATTTTGCAAGTTAGAATCTTCATTTAAAATCAACTGACATATTTCCATAACCAGTATTATTTATAACTAGCTCTTTTTATGAATTATAAAGGTTCTATTTTTCTTATTCTCTTTTAGTCCTTAATAACTCTTACTTTTCTATTTTAGCAGGACAAATTCTATTCTTCTCACCATATTCTTTATTGTGATTTGTATCATATTAGCCAAGGTGTGAGGGAACACCTGTGAGTAGCTATATTAAAAAAATATGTTAATTGAAAAGAAGTTTTTATAATTTATGTAAATACATGGTCATTTTAGTCCCATTTTTTCTAAACACCGTCTATCTTGTGAGGTTTATAGAAATGATTATGAGTTGTATCTCCAATAAATGGCTTAGGATTTCTTAAATTAATACAATAAAAAAGTTAATCTTAATTGAAGCTATTCTATCAAATCTTACTTTAGTGCATAATCTAACGAGCTTTAAGGTATAAAAGCATCAAATTTTTATTGAGGTGAATTATCTTTTTTATTGTAGAAGCGGTCATAAGTGGTTCCATCTATAAATTTCATTTTATCAGAAGTAGTTCTATCCTGACCTTTTTGCTGATTGAATGTAGGGACGTTTCCAAAGTTGATAAAATTTCTCTTTTTATAAAAATCATATTATTTTCCGATAATTATCTTAACTTTTAACTTACGTTGTATGAAGTTACCCATTAAATTGGAGGACCTTGTATTATATTATCTTTAGGTACAATTTTACCTGTTTATTCTATTTGTCCAGGATTCTAATAATCAATCTATTAATCCAAATAAAAATATTTAAATTCGCCTGTTTAAATATTTCAATTTTGTTTTATGTTACTTTTTGTGTTGTATTACCAGTGAACTTAGGATCTTTAGGGATGACTTCATTATTGTAATTGTTCATATCAAAGCGAAGATTATCAGTGTTTGTGGGTTTTTTGTAATAATTTAGCTCATAGTTAGTTTTATTTTATTTCATAGGCTTATCTAATTTAGGTTCTTTAGCATCACATCTGCATCCTCCACAAATACATCTATAACATAGACATTCACCTTTTATAATTAATAAAATATATTTCATAAAAACAATTTTTTTACAATCATGAGCAAATTTTAATATTTAATATTCAAAAGATAGATACCCTTTATATGCTTGTAGTATTCATCATATTGATTCATAAATTGCTTGAGCTTGGTATCTAATTTATTATTCTGTGCTTTAGCTGGGCAGCATTAATCTGTAGGACTCGCAGATCCTTAATGATGTTAAAATTTAACAGGAGAAATCTTACTATCATCTATTTATTTACTAGAATATCTTGGATATGACCCTTGTTCGTAATCATAATCGTAAGATTCTGTTTTTACAGCCCTAGAAGGACTTTGGTATTGAGTATCATCCAATCTATTTTAACCTTTTTAATCGCTATTAGAAAAAGATTTATCATTTACATTTTTATTTATTTTAGCAAGCTTAATTCTTTGATTTTAAGCCGCAGAGGCATTCACTTCTAAGTCTTTCTCTTTTTGAGTTTTATTGAGAATGCTAAGTAACTAGTCAATATTTGAATACTTTTTATATGAATCTGGACCAATCTTTTTGTTAACATTTTTGATTATGGAATCTTTTTTATCGACAAACTTTTCTATAATTTAATGCTAATTAGAATTAGAGCTATCATATGACTTTTATACCGCAGGTAGTTATCTTTATTATCTCAATTAATCAGTATATTGCTTTAAGTTATTCAAGTCAAAACCTTTTATGTGCTAATTACCTTCAACTTACTTGATAAGTTTCCCTTTTTCAAATTTTAAATGTTAATTAGTTTTATTTGAGTCCTTGCTAGGCTTTGTTTCTTAAATATATTAAAGATGGCTTCTATCTCCCAAAGAAAACTCTCCTTATGAAGAAGTACGCATTGGATGATGATATTACTACTACTAAGAATTGCTTCTACGATCAGCTGTAGCTTGATTAGTTTTATATTTTTAAGGAATGAATTAGTTTTCCCTTTAGTATAGAAATTCTTAATCTTCCTAATCGAAAGATACATTATGACATCTAGGTTAATTTTGAGAAATAGATCTTACAGTTCTCTTCATTTTTATTTTACTTTCTAATTTATATATAATACTTATTATTTGCTAAATAGCTAACTATTTTCGTGATTAATACTTAATCAAATCAAATCAATCATTCAATATATATATAATTTCAGATTTGACTAATCTATAACCATGAAAAATAAATTGCTTTCTAATCAAATTGCAAAAAAAAGTAAACTTCATTTAAAGATACAATCACAAAGATGATTAATAAATTTATTATTTTACTTTTGATTTGATAGAAATAAATAATTTATATAAAACCAATGAAATTTATCTAAATTAAATTACATTATCAATTGTTATCTTTATTAAAATCAAAAATAATTATTTTAATTATCAATGTGTTTGTTTTAAATATCTCTTTAATCTTCCAAAAATAAAATTATTTACTTATTTTTTATTAATTAATTTATTTTAAAAATTAATATTTTACAAAAAAAATACAAATAATAGTTTATTTAATTTTACTTTGAATTTTAAAGACTTATCAGAATTCAGCTGTAAGCAATTATAATATCTTAGAAAATAATAAATAACTTTTCAATTGAAATCTAATCTAAATATTGATTAAAGCTAAAAATTAAATAGCATTAAGTTAAAATTATTTTTATTTTTAAAAATAAATATTTTACAAAAAATAGCTTTTTTAATTTTAATTTGAATTTAAAAGATCTATCTATCAGAATTCAGCTTAAATATATTATAATATCTTAGAAAATAATAAATAACTTTTCAATTGAAATCTAATCTAAATATTGATGAAAACAAAAAAGTTAATAGCATGAAATTGAAATTGTTAAGATTTCATTACTGATGTTAGAATCTATTAAAAATTTGTAAAGATAGATATTATTATTTATTCTCATAGTAATTAATCTTTGTTTTTAGTTAATTAATTTATTTAACTTGAACAAAAAAACTTAAAAACTGAAAGCAAATGTTATTGGTTGATATCTTAAAATATGCTCATATTAAGTATGCTTAATTTGCGATTATCTACCTCTTTTTGACCAAAATAATTGTAAAATTTGAAATAATCCATTTATAATATTTTAAATTGCTAATTTTTAATAAAAAGGATAGTCCTTCATGGCCTTTATTATTAGTAGCTTTTATAATTGATAAATTATTTCGATTGGCAATTATTTATTTAGATTGCGAGTACGCAAAATGGAGATTATACTATAAGATATTATTTTTTATCCTTTAAATCGATGAGCTCCCAAATATTACATAGAGAGATATCATTATTCCATTAATTCCTAGATATATTATAATGAATTATCTATTTAACTTACAAATAGCTTATGTTTTTTTTTGGTGTCTGTCCTAAAGAGATGAAAATTCATTTTACATTTCTATTCCAATCGTATTGGTAATAACTTATTATAAAAATTTAGATTATCATCCTTATTACAAAGATGTTGTTTTCTTTATAAAACTCTCTGCCTATTATGGTTTTATCTACATAGGAATTGGAATTAAGTATTTTTTTGCTTTCTTTTTCACTTAATATGCTATTGGGCTAATAGTACTATCAAATAAAATTATTTTTGTCTTAGATGCTTATGAAGATTAATATATCAAAATATTTTACACCATTGCCCTTTTTATAGAAAATATTTTACTTACTCCGATGAGAAAAGGATTAAAAAAATAATCAGTTACATTCTTTAATTATGCATTGATGTGTAAATTTACTTTATTTTCAACATTATACTTAATCATAGTTTTATCTATTACTGGATATATTGAATTAGATAAAAATGGTATTTCTAATAACTTAATGTATTTCGTAATTACTGTTTCTACTTTAAGTCTGATCAAATAAATATTTGAAGTATATTATTATATTTTTCAAAAGAATGCGCTTGTGCTAGAAATAGGAGGATTGGATGGTTTAAGAAAATATAATTTTTAAAATAGAAATAACTATCTAAATTTAAATAAATTTAAATCTATAAAAATAATTCCATTTTATCGAAAATTGACCATACAATAAAGATAATCCAAAGAGTTTATGTATGCACTTTTATTCAATTTTGCAGGTTTTAATATATATATTGAGTAAATTGGAAGTAGATTTTATAATTACGATGGAACTATGTATGTGGTCTTTTTTAATGGGTTTAATGTTAACGATTTAGAAGATTATCTAGAAGATTCAATGATTCTTGAAAATATTATTGAAATTCGTTTACCATAATCATTTTTAATTTATTAAGATATATTTAAACTTTTTAAATTAACTTTTAGGCCTTTAAATCCAATAACCATTGAAGTATATGAAAATTAACAAAATTTTATGCCAGACTCTCTTCAAACATTCAAAGAGAAAAATAGACTGGAAATTAATTTTCTTCACATCATTAGCTTCTAAAATAATATTTAAGAATTTATGAATAATAGTACTTCTTTAATTTTATATGATTTATATGAGGTATGATGATTACTTTTTTTCAAAAGTATTTTTATCAAGTTGAGAAAAACTCTTAAAATTCACTTTTAAATTTCATAAAAATTAAAATTATGAAAAAATTAGTTTTCAGCTTAAAAAAGCTAAAAATAAAAACATTTCTTCTGACTTTTTTAATACCTTGTTTATAACTTAAATAAATATTTGTCATTATGCTAAACAATTTTATTATTTTATATCTTAAAAATCCCAAATAAAAATAAAATTCAATTAATCATTTTTTTCCTTTAACTTTAAATTTATTTTATTCTAAGATAAATTTTGTTTCATAAGAATTCTTGATCAATTAGTTTTGAGCTAAAAAAAGTTAAAAATAAAAACATTTCTTATAACTTTTTAAATACCTTGTTTACTATATAAATAAATACTTATCCTTAGGCTAAACAATTTGATTATTTTATATCTATCTTAAAATTCTCAAATAAAATAAAATTCAATTAATCATTTTTTTTCTTTAACTTTAAATTTATTTTATTCTAAAATAAACTTTATAGCATAAGAATTCTTGATCATATGATAGAAAATAAATAAGGTTATTTATTTTATACTAAATATATAATTATACATATTGATTGAAGATTAAAAATTAAAAATATATTTTTATTTGTTGATATTTTTTATCATTTTATTCTACATATTTTTAGTTTTTACTATTTAGATTAAAAAAATATTTTTTTTAGTATAATTAGCACATTTAAAACTTATTTAATACTTTTTTTTAAAAATTTTTGAAGATTAAAAATGAAAAAATGATTATACTTCATTGATATTTTTTATAATTTTTTGTTATAGATTTTTTATTATTTGTTCAAAAAAATTTGCCTTACCTAAAATTTACACTTTTAAATTTAATTTCATACTTTTTTGAAAAAGGAAAAATTATAAATATCATAATCAACAAATAAAATATAATTGATTACTATTGTAAATTAAGTTATTACAATCTATTATTCTCTAAAATACTCTTTTAATTTAATCCTCTACATATTTTATTCATTAATTCTAAAATTATTTTCAAGAACTATTAAAAATTTCCAGAAAATTTTCTATTGATTTCTGTATATCTACTTTATTAATAATAAATAAGTAAGTAAATAATTAAAAGAAGCAATGTTAGGAAATAGAAAATTAAGTATCATCATAATTTACTTAGGGAAATTTAAATGAAAGAATTGATAAATATAATTCCTTTCATAAAATTATCTCAAAATTATTTAATTGAATTTTTCATATTAATTTAATACCTAACTTTGAAAATCTTATCCATATTGGCTTGTTTACAACTTTAATAAAGTAAAATATTTCATACTTTGAATTGTACATTGTATTTATTCAGATAAAGTCTGGAATATAACCGTATGCTGTAATCTTGACAAAAGCAATAGAAGGATATGTTAAAACAAACACAATTAATTCATTGAAATGATATTATTTCAAATAATTCTTTTATATCAAAAATTATTTAAAGAGAAAAATATTTAATTTCCTTTAAAACGATAAAAGATATTCATAGATTTGATGAATCGGGCGTATGTATCCTAATGTTTGAAAGATAATTTATCAATTAATTATTTCTTATGTTTTTGATAAAATTCCTAGAACTAATTATTTTTAGTATTAAATTTTATTCTTTTATAACTAACTATAATATGATTTGAAAAATTCAAAGCTTTGTTTGTCCATTACTACCCTCTAGCATCTTTAAGTACTGAGTCAGTGTCTCCATTAACATCTAAATTGAAGGCTAAGCAGAAACTTATGTATAAATAACAATGAAGTCATAATTAAGTGCGTATAAAATTAGAAGGTATTAATTGCATTCGATTTAGAGTAAAAAATTAATAAAAGAAATATTTATCAATGCTACTTATAATTCTTTTAGTATGAGATATGATATGCTCTTTCTCTGCTAGACTTAACTTATGACATTTGAACTTTTAATAAAAGAATTTTTTTTATTAAAAAGCAGAGATTTTTAATAGAAGAATCAATGACTCATGAATTTAATAAAGATTTTCAAGTGTTTTCTAATACCGACTAGCTTTATAAATTGACTTATTAATCAACGATATAAAAATTATATTAACAAATCAATAAATAAAAAAATAAATAAAAACAAAACAAATGAACAAGACTCTCATCTTAGCTTTAGTTGGTGTTTTGGCTTTAACTGCCACCACCTTGGTTGCTTTCCACAACCACTCTCACAACATCAGAGTTGACTAAGACCCCGCCACTCTCTTCAAGCAATTCAAGCAAACTTACAATAAGAAGTATGCTGATCCTACTTTCGAAACCTACAGATTCGGTGTCTTCACCCAAAACTTAGAAATCGTCAAGACTGACTCTACTTTCGGTGTCACCTAATTCATGGACTTAACTCCTGCTGAATTCGCTCAACAATTCCTCACTTTACACGAAAAGGTTAACAGCACCGAAGTTTACAGAGCTTAAGGTGAAGCTACCGAAGTTGACTGGACTGCCAAGGGTAAGGTCACCCCTGTTAAGAACTAAGGTTCTTGTGGTTCCTGCTGGGCTTTCTCCACCATTGGTGCCGTTGAATCTGCTCTTTTGATTGCTGGTCAAGGTGAATAAAACACTCTTAACCTTGCTGAATAAGAATTAGTTGACTGTGCTAAGTCCCCCAAGTACGACTCTGAAGGTTGCAACGGTGGTTGGATGGTTGAAGGTTTCAAGTACATCATCGACAACAAGATCTCCTAAACTGCTAACTATCCCTACACTGCTAAGGATGGTAAGTGCAAGGACACCTCTTCCTTCAAGAAGTTCTCTATTTCTAAGTACGCTGAAATCCCCTAAGGTGACTGCAACTCCCTCAACTCTGCCTTAGAACAAGGTCCTATCTCCGTTGCTGTTGATGCCACCAACTTCTAATTCTACACTTCTGGTGTCTTTAAAAACTGCAAGGCCAACCTCAACCACGGTGTCCTCTTAGTTGCCAACGTTGACTCTTCTCTCAAGATCAAGAACTCCTGGGGTCCTTCTTGGGGTGAAAAGGGTTTCATCAGATTAGCTGCCGGTAACACTTGCGGTGTCTGCAATGCTGCCTCTTACCCTATTGTTTGAAAAAACATAATCCAAATTAAAAAAAATTACTCAAAACTGATAATATAAAAAATTAATTTTCATAATTTTAATGTAAATAAATACCTTTATATTTGACGTTTTGTACTCAAAATAAATTAAAGTTAACAAACCATATTTATTTAATTCTACTTTCAATTTTTAAAAATATAATGCTATTTGTTTTTGCCAAAGAAAGGAAAGTTTATTCTTTCGTCATTTGTAAATTAAATTAAATAAATATTTACTATTTACTTACTTACTGATTTATTTTTCTAAAAAACTTCTATTCTTGATAAATAAAATAGTCAAAAAATAGATTTTTAAATATTAATTTTTATTCGATTGCTTTATTAAATTTAAATTAGAAATGTCTAAAATCTTAAATCACATTCATTAAAAAAAAGACAAAATTATTTAAAATTAATTAAATTATTGTTCAAAATTAAAGTAAATTTTTCTAAATGGGCTATTATCTTAATTAAATTTGTCTAAGATAATAATTAAAATTTTAATAATGTAAGCAAATAGAATTAAAATTTGTTAAGGTAAATACTTATTAAAATAGAGTCAGTCTTACGCAAGAATGGTTTTATTATTTTTAATGCTTACAACTAAAAAATATTTAATGAAAATATAATTATTAAATAATAAATTTATAAGAAATGGCATTTATTCATTTTGCTTTAATTATATTTTTTGTTACATATCATCATTACTAGCTATTAGCTATATAAATAGATTAAATTCAATAAAGAATAGGCTTTTTATTATGAAAAATGGGACTTTGTATTTTTTTATTAGAAAATAAATATGCATTTAATAATTTAAAAGTTTAACAGTGTAAATAGAAAGATTATTTTGTAAAAATACTCTTTGATTTATTGAATTTAAATTTTAAACAAGAGCAATTTTAATCATTCTTGGATTTTAAATAGTCCATTTATTTTTCAATTTACTTATAAGTTAGTAATTATATAAATATTTTACTCTGTAAATATTTGTAAATACATTTTTTTATCTTTGATTGTAATTTTAAAAAATTTATAATAATTATAGTTGTAATTTCAAATGGTGAAAAATGTAAAAATTAATTTTCTAAAAGAGAAATTTTCTAAGCATAGGATGGATGAATCTAAATAAAGTTCATAAATAATACTAACATTTTTAAAACATTTTATTAAAAATGTTAATATTCCAAAGTAAATTAAATAAGGCTTTTAGCAAAGAAGCAAATTAAAATTTAGAAATTAATTTATTTATTTACAATTAAAAATTCTTCATTTTAATTATTTAGTAGAAGTAAAAGTTTAATTTTACTTTTAAAACATAAAATAAACGTCTAATTATCATAAAATTTTGAAAAAATATTATTTTATGTCATAATTAAATAATAAAATCAAGTAAAATTTAGTTTTTTTAAAAAGAAAATATCAAAAATTAATTTATTTATTTTTATTTGAATAAATTAAATAATTAATAAAGATAATTTATTATTTAAATAACATAATATTTTATTCTTTTATAAATATACTGATTGACTGACTTCTTAAATATTTAAAGAGTCTAGTTTAAATTAATTATTTTTATTATTAAATTTAAATGATATATTTGAAAAATATTTGATTTCAATTTAATAAGAAATTTATTTATTTGATTTAAAAATAGTAAAAATTTCATTTTTATTTTTATTATAATGATAAAATACTAACAGGAATACACTTTAAGAATCAATAAGATAGTTTATTATATTAAATAATATAGCAGTTTATGTATAATAATATTTTTAAAGGTAATATTAAAAAATGTATAATCAAACTTTTGCTTAAAACTTACAAACTAATTCTGATTCAATTAAAAAATTCTTAAAAAAAAATATATTAATTAATAATTATTAGATAACATGAGCAAATATTTATTTATTTGCTTATTAATTGTTTATTAAATTTTAAATTAATTAATTATATATTTTTTATATTATAATTCATTTATTTTAATTTATAAAAGAAATTAGAATTAGATTTTCAATATTGAATTTAGAATTTAATTTTTAATTTAAATTTAACTCTTTTTACTTTTTACGGTATTGCTATTAAATGTAAAAGAATATTATGTGAAAGGGAAGAGTTTCTTAATTAAATAATAGAAGAATTTGTATTTAATAATTTATTTTTCTAGATAAAAAAGATTTTGATTATCTTTAGGATATATTTTTTATCTTTAAACAGACAGACAAATAGACTTCTGTCTGAATAATTTTAATTAATTTAAAAATATTATATTTAATAAAACTAATGAATAAAACTCTTATCATCGCTTTTGTCAGTATTTTGGCTATTTCTGCTTTTGGCTTTATTTCTTTAAAAGAGAATTCTCATAATGTCAGAGCTCAATAAGATGCCTTAACTCTCTTTAAGTAATTCAAAATGAAATACAACAAAAGATATGCTGACCCAGATTTTGAATCTTACAGATTCGGTGTTTTCTCAGAAAACCTAGAAGTAATTAAAACTGACTCTACTTTTGGTATTACTCAATTCATGGATTTAACTAGTGCTGAATTCTCTGAATAGTACTTGACTTTAAAGGTCAATAAGAATTAAGACAACAGTAAAATTTACAAGCCTAAGGATGATGTAGAGATCAAAGAAATAGATTTCACTACTCTTGGAAAGGTTACTCCTGTTAAGGATTAAGGTCGTTGTGGTTCTTGCTATGCTTTTTCAACCACTGGCGCAATCGAATCTGCTCTTTTAATTTCTGGAGTAGGTGAAGCTAACACTCTTAGTCTCTCAGAATAAGAAATAGTAGACTGTGTTAAAGAACCAGAATATAACTAACTTGGAGGTTGCTAAGATGGTTACATGGATGAAAGTTTTAAGTACATTATTAAAAACAAGATTTCTAAAGCTGCAGATTATCCCTATACAGCAGTAGAAGGTAAATGTAAAGATACTTCTTCCTTCGAAAAGTATGCTATTTCAAGCTACGTAGATGTTCCTTCAGGTGATTGCAAAGCTCTTTTAACTGCCTTATAAGATCATCCTGTTTCTGTTGCTATTGATGCAAAAAATTTGTAATACTACACTTCTGGAGTTTACAGTAACTGCTCTGACAACCTTACTCATGCTGTCCTTCTAGTTGGTTACTCTAGTTCTGCTCTCAAGCTTAAGAACTCATGGGGTACATAATTTGGTGAAAACGGTTATTTTAGATTAGCTGTCGGTAATACTTGTGGTGTTTGCAATGCTGCTTCCTTCCCTGTTCTTTGAAAATATTTAAAATCGATTGATCGATTGAAAGCATTTAAAAAATTTTTTGATAATGATTGATTTGTTTAAAGTAATTGTATAAATAAAATAAAAAATAATCTGTTTTAATGCATCAATGAACAATAAAATAAATTTATAATTATTGAATACTCATTAATTTATTTATTCGTATTGAATTGAAAATTGATTGATCTATAAAAAATTAAATAATATGTTCATTAAATTTGAAAAAGATATTTCTTTTATGAAAAAATTTTATTATTTAATATAAAAGAATAAATTTGGTTTGTCAAATCTATTAAAATCAGTTTAAATTTCATTTAAAGCACTATCAAATAAATTTCAATTTCTAACAATTTCAAAATTAATATTTTAATTCTATTTTTAAAGAAAAAAAAAAATATTGACTTTTTAAATAAAATAGTTATAAAAAATCAACATCCCTACCTACCTAAAAGTTATAAATGGAAGTAAAAATATTTATAAATAATGTTTTTTAAGAATATTATAGATATTTAAAAGTTGATATATGTATTTCCACATCAATTTAAGCAAATATTATTTATAAATAATAAAATGTATCACATTTAATTTTTTATAAATCTATCAAAATTATTCAAAAATAATATTTAGAAATGTAGTTAGTTGACAATTAAATATTAAATTTTTGAAGGAAGGAATCAATAAAATTAATTTGATAAACTTATATAAAAATAAATTTAATTTTTCAGTATCTAAATTACAATAAATAATAACCTCATTAGTCTTTATTTTTATGATTATAAATCTAAATATTGATGCACCTTATTATTACTATTAATAGTACAATTCTTGTCCTAATTAAGTAATTAGATTGATAGTTATAGTTAGAAAAAAATTTTTTAATTAAATTCTACAAAATTGATTAATTTATATTATATCATTAAAATTTACCTACCACATTTTAGAGATCAAGGACAAATCAAATAGAAAAGTAAATTAATTAATTATAAGTATAATTAATTAATTAAAAGTAACTTTTATTTTATAAGGTAACAAGCATTTTATCATAAAAATTAATTTTTAAAGATAAAATTTACTATCAATTAATAAATAAATTATAAGATTTAACTCTAAATTCTTGATGAGAACTTGTAAAAATTGATTTTCTATAAATTAGCTAAATTTAATAACATTAGGTTGTTTTTTCTGCTATAGTTGAATATTAAAAAATTAATTAATTAATAAATAAATAAATTAGTACTATCATTTCTTCCTTTGGTTTTCTAAAAAATATTATTAATCAATCAATCTATTACGAATAATTAATAGAATAGTTACAATATACTTATGTAATTTTTATATATTTATTTATTACTTTACATATAAAAAATTAAATTTTCTTTAACAATATTGTAATCACAGATTTATTTGATTTGAAAACAGCTTTAAATATAATTACATTTGATATACATTAATTATTTCTATTAAGAATTAAAATAATAATTAGAACAATTTAATTCATAAAGGTAAAAAATAAATAATTAAAAAGAATTAAGGGATCTTAAATGGAATAATTTAGAAGGGCCTCTAGAAGATATATTCAAACAATTATTGAAATAATAGAAATTTAATAGCCTACATCCCATACTCCTCTATATTATATATTGCTATTTGGTATTTTCCTTTTATAAATATCTAGTTTTACTCTTAGTACTGATGATAGGCCTTATTTTTAAGATGATAAGCTATATTTTCTTGAGGTTTTAACTGAGTATACAAGCATTTCATACACAATTAATGAATATTTTGGCGAATTAGCTATCTTGATTTGGTTTTTTTTATTATCATTCTTGACATATTCTATTCTTATTTATATTGGAGTGCTAAGCTATTTGAAATCATCGTAGCAAAATTTCTACTTAAAGTCAAAATGGATGTTTGATATTGTTAATGTTAAACTAAATATCTACTTTACAATATATCCATGGATATTTTTTGTCACTTTTGTAGAATCAAACTCAGGAATTTTTGTATGTGGCTATGAATCATTTCTTTCTGAATATTAGGATACATCAAATTGTTTTTAAAAACCTTTCTACCTCTACTTTTTTTCTGCTCTTTCGTTAATAATAGCTCTAGTTATTAGTTATATAGTCTTCTTTTTCTTTAGGAACATATCATTCTCTGAGAGTAATATTATTAGAAGGAAGTATAATAAAACAATCCTGATTATAACCATGATGACTTTTATGATGGTGTTTAGTTATTATTTAAAAGGTTATATACCAGATATTTTTAAATATTACCTAAATACTATTACGGGGGCTTTATATATTTATGATGCTACAATAAATTTACCTTTTAGTGATATACAGATGAATAAATGGGTTGCTTCTTTTTCGTCAGTTTTTTTTGTAAACTAAATTCTTCTGTTAGCAAATGTGGAGCTACCAAACTTTTTCGTTGAGGATGATTTATTTTACGCAACGGCTATATTAAGTATAGTTTTGATTGCTGTAGTGTTGGCAACTATACAAACTTTATTCGACAGAATTCTCAAAGTTACTACTTAAGATTTAAGCCAGTAAAGAAATAGATATTTTTTAATAAATTTTTTATGCGTAAATTATTTAAATTCACGCCTAATAGTAGAGCAAGTATTTAATTTACTTTAAAATTTATCATAGCTTACCTACCATAAAAATATACTAAGAAAGTTTTGTTATCAATTTTTTTTTTCAGTTATTGATAAATAAAAAGTGTAAGTATTTGGTAGTTGATATTTGACAAAATGATTAAAAATGTAAGGATTAAATTAAAATATACAAATAAATTACAGTCTTCAAAAAATTTAAAGAAAACAATGTTAATTAAAATAAGATTAGAAGAGTTCAAGAAATAAATTTGATGGTAATTAATACCTTTCCTATTTTAATTATTACATAAAATATAGCGAATTAAATGAAAAAATTTACTTTCATATTAAAAATTTTAATCTGAATGCATAAATTTCTGATTATTAATCAATTCTGCATTTTAAAATTAAAGAATTTAAAAGCAAAAAAATTACAATCCTAAGTAAATTTAAAGAAATGTATAGAAAAATTTATGAAATAAAATTGATGATAATAAATATCTTTAGTTTTTTAATCTTACAAATAATCAACCAAATTAGAAAAAAATTACTCAATTAGTAAAAATTTAATGAATGTGTAAATTTATTATGTTTATTAATAAATTCTGCTTTTTTTTATTATACTTAATTACATTAATTAAAGGTTACAAATTTACATTTTTAATTTACCAAAAAATTTTTTAGGATATATAGTTATATACATAATCTGCATGCATGCATACCCATACCTTTAATCAATAAAAAATTCTATATTTTAAATAAATTAGTCCATTTTTTCAAGAGAGATGCGTTATGATGTTAGAGGAATTGTTCAAATTAGGAACAGAGTATCAAAATGATAGAAAAATAAGGTTTAAATTGGGTGAATTAATAAGATATCACAAAACGACTTGCTCCTTTTCAGAGTGCTACTGCTCTTAAATATAGTTAGAAAATTTGAATGATAAAATAATTTCAAAATAAATAATTTAGTTGATTGACAGCTTGTTCTAATAATTTATTAGCAATATACACATGAAGAAAAATCTAATCTAGCTGGAATTGTTATAATTAAAATACATCTCATTTTAGGCCAGATTCTGTTAAAATTCAATTCAAGCTTATTATAAACTCAAAATGCTTGAAAGAAACAAAACAAAGAGATCTTTATTTTTTAAAAATATTTCTGAAGCTATTTCTCAAAGACTTGAATTAATGTTAGACCTAGAGTTTCTATAAAGTAGACAAATTTATAATGCAAAAAATGAATAAAATCAAAAAAATTTATCAGTTAAGCCTATTTTTGAGACAGAAAACATTAAAGATGAATGCTTTTTTTAAATTTCAAAATTCCTAGAAGTTAAAAAGAAATTCTACCAGAATTTAGGAGCAGGTCAAATTTCTCTGAAAGAATGCAGCATACAGGCATTCATATTAGGAAAGGCGTATAAAAATTTAAAGCATAAAATTGATGGTATTTTTAATGAAAAGACAAAGAAATATTTATAATTGTAAACCAATGTTATTCTCTTAAAGGTAAAAAATTTTTTCTGTTTATGAATTGGTAAATTTTAAATTTATTTATTTTATTAGATTCTAAGCATTTTCTTGAGTGTTGTTGACAAAAAACTTTGGATGGCATAAAAATATGAAGAAAAGGTAAAAGAAATAATTGAGAAAAATTAATACAATAGATTAAATGTCTCTGAAACTATAAGTTTTAGCTAAGAGAATATGACTGTAGTCGAAGTAAGTCTAGTAAAAAATAGTGGAAAAGTTATTTCAAACTAGAAAAAGCTTGGACTCTTCTTAGGATATGAAGAAAGAGATTTAAATACAAAAGTATTTAATTTAAGCGATATTATGCCAAGGAGTATTTCTCAAATCCACGATTAATTAATAGAAAACATGATTAGAAACGGAGTAAGCTAGTATTCTATTTAGAGATTACAGACTTTTGCTAGTGATAGCAATGGCTTTATTTTCCCTGTGAGTATTTAATTTGATATTAATTACAGTGTGGATGACGATTTCAAAATGATAGCATCTCTTTTAAAATAATCAAATAATCAAAATTAATTCATCATGATAGACGAATTCGGTTAAGTTGAAGGTATGACATAATAAATATATAATTAGGTATTCAATTAGTGTAAGAGCATGCAGCAAATATAAAATAAATTAAATCAGAAATTATAAGAATAAGTTAGCTATTCTCAATATAATCTTTTTCTGATCTCATAGAAGATACTTGATGATGTGATTAATCACCAAAGAGAATAAAATTAGCATTAAAATAATTAGAGCATTCTTACAAATAAATAAGCCTTATTTAAATTTACTGGAAGTCTAAGCAAGATGTAGCAAAAGTTTAACTAAAAAAAGTAAGAGTGGCTTGCCAAAAACAAGAACAACTAAGACACTAAAGATTTTTTTGAATCGTTATTTAAGGTATTATGCTTATAAATTTAAAAAAATTAATTCATTAAGAGTTTTTGAGAATTTCAAATTCAATTTTAATAAGATTTGTTTATATTTATTTATGAATTTACTATTAAAAAATGAAGATATTTGAAATTATCAAAATTATTATTTTATCTTGATCCTTTTATTCTAGCAAATAAAATTTTTGTATATTAAGTATTGTTGAATTAACTGTGTTATAAAACTAAAAATAGGATGAGAAATAACTAAATAATGAGGAAGACCAAGCTTCTTTTGTTATAAATTATAACTTAAATTATTAAAAGCTAAGTTTTATTCAACAATAAGTGAAGAAGGAAAAATAAATTTATATTTTAGAAATAACTCATTTTTAGAAGTATGAAAGCTATTAATTAAGTTTGGATATTATATCAGAATAACAATAAGAATTAGAAAATAATAATGTTTAAATTAACAGTTTATAATTTGAAAGTCCTCATAAATAGTTTAGTCCATCTAAATCACTAAGCCCATCTAAATCTCTAAATCAAACTAAATCATAAAGTCCTAAATTACCTTAAACTCGTGCTAATTTAAACAATAAACGCTTTTTCAAATTTAGAAAGGAAAGTTACTAAAGTCAATAAGAAGAAACCTATAGAGAAAATATTGAAAATGTTTTATTAAATAATTAAAAATTCTAAATTCCAGAATTTGATTTGTTTTCATAAAAAAATTTGGAGGAGCTATAAACTGGGCAATTTGCTTCTGAAAATACATATAATTATCAGTTTGCTTATGATTAGAATTTAAATTATTATGATTTATAAAGTCCTTTGAGTATGTTCTAAAATACAAATAATTTAGCTTAGGAAGAAACAACTAGTAAAATGAGCTAAACAAAATCTTAACAAAATCTAACAAAAGATCAAACACAGGATGAAATAAATGCATAAAAAAAGCTATTAATCTTTCAATAAGATTAAACTGAATATGGGTAATAGCAAAAATTTATTTCAGAATATAAATAAACTTCGAAATCTAATATTAAGCAAGTTGTATTTGAAGAACAAACTACAAATTCGAACTTGTAAAAATTTTTCTAAAAGTAAAATAGTAGTTCTGAACTAAAGTTAGAACTATAAAAAGCAGAATAGCTTAACATGGAAAACCGTTCTAACTATTCTATTAACTCTCAGTCAAGATTAAGCTAAAACAGAATTTACTAACAAATTTAAAATTCTTTCACACATCAAATTGAGTACTTTTTGAATATTTTGATTGGTAAAATTTTTTTTATTTTTCAAAAAATTTACTTAATAAATAAATAAATAAAATTTTACTTCTAAAAATTATCTCTTTCACATTAGATAAGCATTTATTTTCATCATTTTTTCAAAGTTTTTTTTGTTTGAGATTTATTTAGTAAGTTTAAAATATTTTTAAGAAATATTTATTTCTTATATTAAAAATACATTTTAAAATTAATAATAGGCATCTTCTCTATCTTATTTATTTTAATTGTTGTCATTTACTCAATTGAAGTTTAAAAAGTATATGTGGTAATTAAAGATAAAATGAGTTTTTCAAACAATACCTAGATATTAGATCTATATCTAACTCATACACTTTCAAACGCAATTACAGTTAATCTGAATAATACTGTTTATGATCAAACGTTTATACCATTTGATGGCGAGAATCTAGTAAGTGACAGCTAAGTTATCAGAAAAATCTATATTCAAACATTCAAAAATTAGTTAAATTAAATAGTAAGAGATAATGACTTTATTTAGAGCTATCTACAAAAAAAAAATATAAACAATTTGTAAGAATCAATTAAAACAAATTATTAAAATTAAAATATTTTTTTTTAAATTAGTAACGAAGTCACTTTCTAATTGCAAATAATGAATTCAGTTCTTAGTTTAGTTTCAATAGATGATGACTAAGAAAGTATTGCGATCGATTAAATAAGCTTTTGTTATTTGATAGAAAACATTTAGCTCTATAATATAATTAGCGATTTGAGTGTCTAAATTTACTCAAAGGCTATTTCTAAAAATCTGGATGATATTGTAGATAATGGAAAATTATTTATATATGTTTATTTAGCCTTGTTTATTTTAACTTACTTAAGCTGGACTTATATCGTTTATAGATCTTTTACAATAAATAAAAAAGTACTTCTGATAACAGCTAGAATTTCTTGGTTAGAGTGCTAAATAGAGTGCCAAAAATATGAATATTTTATTTAACTTTTAGCCCCTTTCAATGCTACCTATATTAAAGAGAACTTTGTTGACTACACCAAATATAATCCTAAAAAAATCCTTGAAAAAATTAAAAATATAAAACAAACAAAGAAAGGAAATCAATAAAATTTGGTTTCATCTTCCTTTTAAGATTAAAATATGTTTAGATGGAGATACTTTTTGCTTTCTTTTATAGCTTCAGCGATTGGATTTGTCATTTTTTGTATATCTATTTTAGTGCTAAATGGTTCTTGGAAATAATTTAAGGACTCATCTAATTTATTTAATCTTATTATTCAACAACAGTAAGCATACTCTAAAATTCTGCTTTATCCAGATATGCTTTCATCTAATTCTATACTATCTTAATAAGTATAAAATTATCCAAATATAGATCTAGCTGGTATTTATCAGGATTATAAGACTGCCAATTCGTTTATCTCTAATAGTATCTCATAATTTACTTCAAGCATATAAAGTACAGAGTCTCTATCAGGCAGTTATTTAACAAACATAAGATAAATATTTGAATAAAATATTTGCTATGAAATATAAGATTTATTTGATTTTTGTGCAAATCTTTCAAACACAACATCATCACAATCCACACTTGTAGGATTAGGAGCTTATATTTAATAAGATTTATAATTCCTTTCTACTTTTGATGATTTATTTTCTCAATCTGTAAATTAATAATTATAATAATAACAGATATTGTAGTTTTTTAATAATAACGAGCATGTTTAATTAATAAGAGAAGGATTCTATTTAATTTAATAATCTTTGACTACTATTAAAAATATTGTTTATTCATCCAATTAAGACATTTTAAATTATTATTCATAAATTTTCACAATCGTAATTTGCATCATCAGCTTTGCCAGTATTTTGATTTGGATGGCTCTTTCTTTCTATTTGAAATCTAAAATTATCTTTGATTCTGAAAGTATATTATTTTCTCTAACATGCGTTCCTCATTCAAAGCTTTAAGAAGACATAACTATAAATATGATAAAAAATCTAAATAAACTATGAAAGAAGTGATGATTTTGCTAAAAATAAACTTATTCCATCAAAATTCTAATTGTGAAAGAAATAAAATTACACTTTATTCAATTAATATTCTGAACAAATTCAAATTTAATCTCAAATTAAATATTTATTTTTTGTATGAAAGTAAAATAAATTAAAATTTAATTCTTTTAATAAGCTACAAATTACTCCCATTAAATGCTTTAATTAATCAATCAATCAGCTAATCAATAAATTATTTTATTTTAGAATAATTTCTCACTTAAAGATTGTTGTAATTTATAAAATTAATTAATGATAAATAAAAATCATAAGTATATAAATGAATATAAATTATCTAAAAAAAGGAAACAAGTAAGTAAGTATATTTAAATTAGATGATTTCACAAAAATATATTGAATTAAAACATAATAAAAAAATAATATTGTGAAAAAAGAATAAATTAACTGAATAAATGATGCATGTTAATAACAAAAAAATAGTAATAGAAAATAATTAGATTTGAATATTAGAATAATTAGTTTTAATTAATAAAGGCAAATATTTTGCAATTAATCTTTTATGAATAGCTTTTAATATTATAAAATAAATGAGTTTAAATGTTAGCTTAGTTTGGTTTATTTATTGAATCAATCAATCAACCAATCAATCGTAGAAGAGATCTTGCATTATAAAGCAAGGATTATATATTTGATATTCGTTGAAATTATTGATGAACACACTCATTTAAAGGAGCATGACATAAATCTATTTGTAGTAATTAGCGAATTCTTCAGATATTTATTTGAATCTACCACTTGCATGAATTTATACCTAGCTGAGATACTATGTATTAGAAAGAATCTTGGAGTAAATTGAATTAATTTTATCTGAATGGTTTGCCATGATGCTAAAGTACAGCTAGTTAATATACTTTAAAGCACTAATACCTTCTATTAAATCTTCAATACCTATTGTGGTGACTTAATTTATATCTAAAATTAAACCTAAAGAAGTTAACTAGGGCATTTGTAAGAGCATTTTCTTAATGTTTTGACATCCTATATCTCTAAGCTAATTGTTTTTGAAATTCAATGATATTTTTAATATTTTTTTCATTTTGCTAATTCTTTAAGTAAACATCTCAACTAGTTCGGGACTAATTTTAGAATTTTCTAAATCTAAAGAAAGAGACTCAAGTTAAGCCATATCACAAATCTTATTCATTAAGATTTTCATACTCTCTTCTGAAGAAAAGTGAAGCTGTTGTATGTCTAAAGTTAAGTACCTCAAGCTCTCACACGACTGCAAATAGTCGACCATTTCTATGATTTGTTCAAGTGTTACATTATTTTTTGTAATTTAGAAATGGAACTTTTTCATATTTTTCAAATTAGTTAATTATCTAAGTGATCCTATATCTGTGATTTCATTACCTAATAACATCAATTCTATTTCTTACAAATTAGGCAATTAACTGAGGCCTTCTGAAATGGTTTTTAGTCCTTCATTGTCTATTCCGTTGCTTTACATTCTAAAGCTTACTTTTTAGAGATTCTAAAGGCATGGAAGTATTTTAGATATAAATACTATCCCACTATTAATCTTGTTTAGTCTCAAAAACAACTGTAAAGATTGTAGATTATTCATTTTCTTAAGGTATTCTGCTATATTTTCGCAATCTTTTTCAGTAAAAGTGTTTGAGCACTCATGAATGTATAAAAAATCTGTTATTTCTGTGTAGTGGCATTAGAAAAATCTCTATATCAAAGAAAAATTATCTACATCTACAGATTTGAAAACCAAACCTATCTTTTAAGACTTTATATTCTTGTCATCACTTAAGTATTATTTCATTTCTTCGAAGTTTGCAAAAGTGATCTCAAACTATTACTTCTGATTGCATGATTCTACAGTAGTCATTTTTCTATGTTAAATATTCCTTTTTATATGATTAATTATGTTAGTCTTTTATGATCGATATGCTCTTTTTGGTTTGTTCCTTGCTTGCTAGCTTTATTTTAGTTTGCTTCTTCTAATTAACTATATTTATTATCTAAGTTTATATTGTTATTATTGTATCTAAATTTTATATCAGTTTATATTTCTTTAAATTCTTAACAACTTTTTTCCAAAATAAAGCTAAAAAATAGTATGATATATTGAAATTCTTGCTAAATTGTTTGAGGTACAATAGAATAAATAGTTGGTCACATTGAAAATATTATTATATTCATAATTAATAAACACTATTACTTTATAATTCTAATTATTTATCAATCACTTAAACCAATCAATTGTGACATCATTATTCAAGCAATAACTTTATTTTTTGACTCATTATTCTCTTGTGTCAGTCTCTAAATTTATAATTCTAATTTTCCATTTCTTAAAAAATAATAGTTTTTTTTTTCATTTAAATTTAAGTAGATCTTACAAATATTCGTTAGATATAGTTTAAAAGCAAATACTATTAAATAAAGAAATAAATTTAGCTGTTATCAATCAAATAATTATAAGCTTTAAAAAATAAAAAAATGTTATGTTCTAATTATCCAACTTAGGAACTATACTTCTTATTTTCTTAAATTTTATAAAATATAAAAATTAATTGATGAATTATTACTTCAAAGATTATAATCTGATACTTTGTTTCTTGAATTATAATAAAATATATGCACTCGTTATATTTTAATTTTTCAAAGTATACATACAGATTATTTTGGTTTTAAATTTAACTTACGTTAGTTTCGAGATTAAATATTTATCTTATTTTTTGGAAAATTTATATAACTATCCTTCAGCTTTAAATATATAAAATTCTTTTTTATTCTATTAAAGTATTAAAAATTATCTTCATCAATATATTTGATTTTGGTCTATTGATAATTGAAGAATATTCTAAAATTTTATTATTTGAATTAATCCTACAGATAAATGATAAATACCTCATATTTATTTTTAATAATTAAATACTTAAATTTTAAATTAAAAAATTTGATTTTCATTATTGTTTATTTTTTATTATAAATTATTTAACTAATTTAAATTCTAAACAGAAATAAATCGATTTCTGTTGTTAGATCAGAAATTTGATAATTATTTTATGTTTGTTTCTTATGCTATAATATTTTTAATTATTTTCGAAAAGATTTTATTCTATTTATAACTAAAAACAATTATTTTCATTAAAAAGTTATAAACATATTTTGTTTAAAAATAGAAATTTAATTTTATACAAATAGTTTATGTTAAACTATATATTTAACTTGAAATATTTTAAATTATTTGAAAATAATAAAATATACATCTTAAATTTTTGGTAATAGATTCTGAGAGAGAGAGATGATGGCTTTATAGAATAATTTTTATTTCTTCAGAAATTGCTATTAATATTATGTTGATGTCTTAATTTTTGAGGAACAAACTGCAATATATTTTTTAAATAATAAAATGGAGATGTTAATTTTAGTCTTATTTTTCGATTTTAAGAGAAAATATAAAAAATAAAATTTGTAAAAATGTTTGTAAAAAATTGATAATCTATTAATAATACAATCTTATCACATTTTTTGAAAATAAATATCAGAATAATTGTATTTTTAGAGTTTGAATATCAATATTATATATACTTAATTTCGTTATGTTTTTTACATAAATATTTTAATATTTTTCTCTATTTAGAACAAATTTTTAAATTTTTGTAATATATTTTGAATAAAACTAAATATTTCAAATATTAGAAAAATAATTTTTTTTTGATTTTTTTGAAAAGATTTAGCTCCAATTCTTTTTTTAAATAAATATAGATGTAAAATATTTAAAGAAATTTTAATTTATTTATTTATTATTTGCTTGCTTTACAATGTAAAATTGATAGAAAATAAATTGTATTTACATCCTTAAAAATAAAAAAGATTTCAATTTTTAAGAAAATGATTTACAAAACAATTCTACTATTAAAATATTAGTGAACTTTTCAAGAAATATTCTAAACTTAAAGCGCAAAAATTTTGTTTAGAGATTAAATATTGCAAAAGAAACTTGTAAGTGGTAAGAATTTAATAAATATTAAACAAAATATGTATTTTTATAAAAGAAATAAAAGTGTATATTTTTCTGATAGCTAAGTAAAAAGATTGTTTGATAATATTTTTGTGCTAATTATAGAAGCTTATTTTTCTTGTTAATTTTTATTGATTCAAAAAGAAAAATAATTTTTTATTAAGCTTAAATTTTTGACATAAATATAATTTTTAAATAAAAATATTTTCTTTTTTAGATTGTAACAATTTTTTTGAGAGTAAAAAGAAACCATTTACTCACATATTTTCTTACAAATTAATTATTTTTGATTTTAATATAGCTGGTGTAAGTAAAATATTAAATTTATAAGAATGGCAAAGATTTGTTTATAAATATATTATAAAGTTAAAGCTCATAAAATCTTAAAGTAATTCTATGTAATTAAAATGTTTATAAAAATATATTTATAATTTTTAAATATTAAAAAAACAAAATCATTATTTAGATAAATATTAATATTTATTATACTTATTTCATAGACTGTAAATAAAAAAATGAGAAAAAAACAAGGAAAAAGCATAATATATCTTTCTGGATTCATAATAATAAAAAAGAAAAATTAATTTCTTGTTTCTAATTTGATTTGCGTTAAATTTTATCAAATCGATCATCTTCAATCTTTATTTAGAATCGATTCTGATTTTAATTCTCTAGTACTTTAAGAAATTTAGATAAACTAAATACATAATTAATCAATTATTGATTGATACCTGAAACTAAAAGTTTTTTACATTTAATTAAGAAATATATTAGAGATTTAGAAAAATATTGGTAATGAGAAAAGATATTTATTTATTTTAATTATAATTGGAAGAATAAGAAGATAATTGATGAAAAAGATGCATACATACATACAAGCAGCTTTTATTTGAAATTTATTATGTGAAAGCTTTTCATTTAAGAATTCGAATGATTTATTTATTTATTTAATTAAAGTATTTAATTTTATAAAAAAGCTGAATGAATTACCTTTTTTAGTGAATATTTACAGAATTTGTTATATTTAATTTAATTTCTGACAAATTATTGGATATTTAGTTACTTTAATAAATCTAAATTATAAGGCCAATTTATAAACTGGTTAATCCGTAGAATATTTGAGTATAGATTTGGTTGAACTTAACCAAAATATTACAAATCAATTATTAATTCTTTTACAAAAGAACACTTTAACAGAGAGTATCCTGTAAATTAAAAGTTATTAACATTCCCCACTCGATCAATTTCTTTTACACTCTTTAAACGAAATGTTTCGATTTTATCCATCAAAATTCTTAATTCTTATATATTTTTAACTATTAAAATATCAGATTGATAATTCATGCCATTTGTGGTGTTTTAAATACAATAATACGTATATCATCTTGCATAACTTTCAAAGCCACAAAAACTAATTGATCCTATTTTTATAGATTAGGAAACTATTTCTTTTATATTTTGTAGACATCTAATTATTACTTTAAATACTAGATTATCTAATACATCCTTTCATAAAAGATTCAATTAAATAAATTTAAACTAAACAAAAAAAATATGAGCTAAAAAATTACTGTTACTCTTGTTGCTATCGCTGCTATTGCCGCTATCACTGCTGCTGGCATTTACTACTAGAACCACTAAGCTAGCCAATTAGAAAAGTCTTTCAAGAGAAATACCATCCTTGAATAATGGAACGAATTCAAGCAAAAGTTTGGTAAGAAATATGCTGACTAAGAATTCGAAAGATACAGAATCGGAGTTTTCGCTCAAAATTTAGAAGTTATCAAGAACGATCCTTCCTTCGGTGTTACCAAGTTCATGGATATGACCCCATAAGAATTCGAACAATCCTACTTATCTCTCTAACTCCAACAAAACTTCAATGCTGAAAAGGTTGATGGTGACTTTAATGGTGATATTGATTGGACTTAAAAGGGTGCTGTTACTCCTGTCAAGGACTAAGGTTCTTGCGGTTCTTGCTGGGCTTTCTCTGCTATCGGAGCTGTTGAATCTGCTTTGATCTTGAACGGTGAAGACAAGAACATCAATTTGGCTGAATAAGAATTGGTCGACTGTGCTACTACTCCCAAGTACGAAAATGAAGGTTGCAACGGTGGTTGGATGGACTCTGCTTTCGACTACATTATTGATGAAAAGATCTCTTAAACCAAGGACTACAAGTACACTGCTAGAGACGGCAAGTGCAAGGATACCTCATCTTTTGAAAAGAAGTCTATCTCTGGATACAAGGACATTCCTCAAGGTGACTGCAAGTCTCTCTTAAACGCTCTTTCCTAATAACCCGTTGCTATTGCAGTTGATGCTTCTTCTTGGTAATTCTACAACAAGGGAGTTTTATCATCCTGTGGCAGCAGACTTAATCACGGTGTTTTATTAACTGGTTACGTTAACGAAACTTACAAGGTTAAGAACTCTTGGGGTACTTCTTGGGGTGAAAAGGGTTTCATCTAATTAAAGTCAGGTAACTCTTGTGGTCTCTGCAATGCTGCCTCTTACCCTCTTGCTTGAAAAAAATACTTAAATAATTAAAAAAAATAGTATTATTATATAATCCATATTAAAGTCTTTTTTTATAAATCTTTAAAAAATTCATTAAATAAACTTTAAAATCTCAACATTTTTAAATCATTAAACCATTTTTAAATTATTGTACCTCAAATCGCTTTTTCAATTTAAAATCCTATTCTTAGCTTTGTATTATTTTTTGATGTTTTTCTCATATCTTACCATTAGCTCTTTGTCTCAATTAAATCTTAAAAAATATTTAAAGTGTTTAAATAAATAAAAAAATTTGTTAGTTACTTTTTTACAGATAGCTGTTGAAGAGTAAAACAGATAGAAAATTAAATGGTGATAAGTATTTTAGTAATAGTATTCAATTCATTATTTAATTAGAGTATTAATTTGAAATGGAAGATTAATTTTTAATTTTATTAAATTATGAATCCATTTATTAAACTTTAGATTGCATAAAAAGATTTTTTTAATGTAAAACATAGTAGAATTAACTAACTACATAAAAAATAAATAGAGTCTATAAGTAAGTGTTTTGAATTATTCTATATTTCTAGACAATAAATTATATTGTATATCAAATAAATAAAGATACATTAAATAAAAAAAAATATTTATATAGTAAATTCAGTTAATATTAAGTTAATAAAGTTTTATGGAGGAATTTATTTGGTATTATGCAGATAGTTAAGCTCTGTAAGAGAGAACACCTATAGGACCTGTTAGCATTAGAGATTTAGATGTTTTGTATAGGACTTCAGCAATAAATTCTGCAACTTATGTTTGGAAAGAAGGTATGCCTGAATGGGTTTAACTTTTTAAAGTATAGGAATTGAAGGAGGCTATTCTAGACGAGCAATAAGATATTAAGGTAATATAAGAACTTTATGAAAAGTAGTAGCAGGAACTAGCTCTAGCTAATTAAAAGGGTAAAAAGTAATAGAAAATACAAGATAAACTTGACAAAAAATAAGCTTAGATTGATCAAAAGTTGCTTGAGGAAGCTAAATATAATTAATCAATGAATAGTGGCAAGGAGGAAGATATAAGTCAAGATTAGGTAAAATAAAACTTGGAATTGTTATAGCAAATAGATGAAGAAGAAGTGTTAGATGAAGATGAAGAAGAAGAAAGGGAGTATTTAAAGCTGTTATAAGAAAATCCAGAAGAAGCGATTTAAAGAATGGCCAATAACACTTTAAACAGCTATTTTTACTATTCTGAAGATGATAAAAAGTGGAATATTTGTAGAGAAGATGAAAATAATGAGAGAGTTTGGATCTAATAAGATGAAGAACCTAAAGAAGAAATGGATAAAATGAGAAATGAATTGATAGAAAAGCTTAGAAAATAATTTATAGGTGAAGAAAACAAAGATATTGAGACATTGAAAAGCAATTTGAAAGATCAGCTATAAATGTAAAATGATATTGAAGATAATAACGCTGATCCTAAAGATAAAGAAATTATGAAAGGTATGACAGCAGAGCAAATTAAAAAGATAAAACGTAACAAAAAGAAAGCCAAAAGATAAGCTGAAAAAAAGAAATAGAAATGGTATTAATCTAGGGTTAATACATATATATATGTAAAGGGATTGCCTCTTTCTATTACAGAAGAAAAACTCGATGAATTCTTTTCCAGAGCAGGAGTAATTAGAAAGGACCCAATCACCAATAAAAAAAAGATCAAAATTTACTCGGTAATTAATTTAAGGGGTATTATGTAAGTAATATCATAATAATAATAAGTTTATAAAACAAAATACTTCCTTTTAAAAGCAATTAATTTATTTCTTAAATAACTAATCTTACTTTTAAGTAGAATGATTCTACACCATCAAAGAGTTGTTGCATTTTACCTTACTTCAAAAAATTACAACATTTATTAGCAACTTATTTTTATTAAGATGTTAAAATTAGTTTAATATTTGAGATTAATTGCTGTTATTATTATTTTATGACATTTAAATATTTATTATTTATTTTATAATTAGGATGAAAACGGTCTCCCTAAAGGTGATGCAGTTATCAGCTTTTAGATGATGGAATCTGTAGAAATTGCAATTACTATGCTTGATGAGAGAGAAATAGAACCAGGCCATATTATTAGGGTCGAAAGAGCTAATTTTGAATAGCATGGAGATACTTATAAGAAAAGAGAAGGTGTTGTTATTAACAAAGAAAAAGCTTTGGATAAAATTTAACTTGCCTAAATGAAAGCTGCTCAAAGATAGGCTCTGGGTTGGGAAGATGAAGACCAAATTGACACAGGACTTAAAATTGTCATATTAAAAAATGTATTTACTCTTAAGGATATAGAAGAAGATCCAAATTTCTTGGAAGAACTCAGAGAAGAAATGGCTAAAGAGATAGAGTCAACTTGTGGACCAATTTAGAGATTAAAAATATTTGAAGAAAATCCAGAAGGAGTTATTGAAATTAAATTTAAAAATTCTGCTGATGCCAAGGTTTGCATTCAAAAAATGGATGGTAGATATTTTGATGAGAGAGAACTTGAGTGCTTTTTCTGGGATGGTAAGGTAGATTACAAAAGGTCTTAAAAACAAATGGAAGATGACGAATAAAGACTTGAAGAATTTGGTAAATGGATAGAAGGAGGTGATAATAATAATTCAGAAAATGGTTAAAAATAAATTAGTTGATTTAAATTTAAGAAGTTATTAGCTTGAAAATCTTTTTTTTTTTTGAAATAAGGAGTTTTATATGTGAAAATTTTTAGTTGAAATTTGATTTATTTGAAAATCTTAATTACTTTATTATTGAGATATATATGTATGAATGAATCAAAGAAAAGTGACCTTTCAGAGGTTGATTTTTTTATTAGAAGTGTGAAGTCTTTGTAAAAAAATTGTTTATAAATATTGAAATTAAAGTTTATTAATTAAGATAAGAAATTAGTATATTCGTATGATTTAGCCTACAAAATAAATTTCAATTGTGATTAAGTATATCAAATATAATATTAAGATATTAAATTAAAATCATTTTTTAGTTTTTAATTGAGCGTTTGATTTAAAGTGGATAAAAATGAGCTAAAAACATATTTACTGTGATTTTATTTATCTAGTATTATAATATAGTTATTAATAGTTAAACTCAAAATAAATTAAATTTAAATGTAAATTATATTTAGTATTTTTATTAACCACTTTACTTAAGATGTATAAGAGTAAGCAAAATAAGTCTAAGAAAGTGAATTTACAATTCAAAATACTTATGAATAAAAATTTTCATGATTTATAATTAAAAAAATAAAAAAAACTAAATTATATCGTTGAAAATTAGTCTATTTATTAGATATTCTAAGTGATTTTTAAGAGTTTATATTTAAAATTATTTAATAAGGAAAAAACTTTTTTTAATCAAAATCTCCAATAAAAAGCAATTACAAATTTTCAATTTTAAAGATCAAAACTATTTTAGGAAAATATTTCGTTATATACTGTGTTTTAATAATATAAGGGTCGCTAATCCCATGAATTTTAACTATCTTGGGATATTAGTTTAACAAATTTTCAATTTTAAAAAATTTTAATTTTATTTTTTTAGGAAAGCCTGTCATCAAATAGTATATATTGATAATATAATCTGAAAATTTAATTTTATATTTTAAATTAAATATAATTATATCAATGACCATTCATTTTAGCAAATTTTATATTGCTTGTATAATAATTAATTAGTTAAAAAATTTTGAGAAAGCACTATTGATTAAATTTATTATTAATAAATGTGATAAAAATATATGATAGGATAAGTTCAATTATAATTTGAATAAATTGTAAATTTATACTTAAATAGATAATAAATACTTTGAAAATAACAATAGTAAAATAAATACTTCTTTATTGTTAATTAGTATTATTTTAAACTTAAATTTAATATGAGTAATCTTTATGGGAGATATCTTTTTATTCTAGAATAAACTTACAAAAAATAAAAATAGTAATTCTTAATTTAAAAATTCTCTTAGAATTCTCTCAGAACTGCTAAGGAATGTTTCGAGTTGAATGAAAGATTAAAGAAAAAAATTTTAGAAATAGATAAAAATGCACTCTTGATTGTCTTGTAGATAGTTTGATAATGATATATATTACTTTTCAATACACTAATTAGTTACATCAAAAATAACTATGTTTGGAAATTTAATTAAATTATTTAATTTTTGTTCATGCACTATGCACTGACATTAAGCACTATTAGAAATTAGTTAATTAATACTTTCTATTGGAAAATAAAAAAAGTTTAGATATCAATAATCTCCCAAGCTGAGTCTATTTAGACCAAATTAAATAAATAAATATCATATTTTATTGATGATTGCAAATGCATTAACTCTTTCAGTAAATTAGAAAAATAAAGATGTTTAGCTTTTTTCTTCTTCAGCAAATAAACATTTATTAGTAAAATTTACTAATTTGTTTAAAAATAGTTGAACTAACTGAAATTTAAATTGATTAATAATTATTTTAATCATGTGTTTAAAACAAATATTTAATAACAAATAAATATCTTACTTTATTTTCTTTATTTAAATGTAAATTAAAAGATACCTATTGAATCTGGATTAATAGTGAGAAAAAATGAGGAGTTAAGAAGTAATATTCTACTAGTTCGAGACATATTGAGTTAAAATAGGGAAATAGCAAAATATTTAACTTTTTTCAATTGACCAAAAGCCAATAAATTATTTATGAAAAAAAAAGTTTTTGTTTTGATAAAGGAGTAAAAAGTAGCTTGCTTGTCCTTTTTTCTAATTTTAAAATGATAGACTGATTCATTCATTCATTCATTCATTGATTAATTCGTTCACGCATTGTATTAAAATCAGTATTTTAATTTATTGATTCATTCAGCTCCTGACTGATTTTATTTTAATACTTTAATTACACAATTCCCTTTTTTATAAAGCACTTGTTGTTTGTTTGAACCAAAACAATTATTAAAAAACATATAAATTAAGTTAAAAAAGATAATATTATTGATAGGAATTAAAAACTATAGTAAATAATTAATTAATAAAACGAAACTCAGATTATATAATATTTTGTTTGACAATAACAAAGAAATAAATATTGGAGAGCTCAGACTATTATAAATTCAAAAACTCAATAGTTTTAAGTAAGTAGGTTTAGTAAAAAGAGAAGTTGCAGTAAAACAAGTATAGCGATATACATAATATATAAATGGAAGAGACAGCATAGAGTAATTATAAAATTGGTGTAATTTATAAGAGAAGCAAAATATTAAAAAGCTGGAATAAAAGGTCTATCGTGCTTAATTATATAAAAGGTACATTAAGCTTACGTAAAGGCAAAGCAGCAAAAGAAAAAGTAATTTTACTAGAAAATTACGAAGTTTAATGGGTTGGAAAGCCCAAAAAATCTAAAGTTTACTACTTCAATTTGAAGGCAGTAAAAGATATTAGCAGCTAGAAGTATAAACGTGTTATAATAGGTGATGTAAATGAGTAAAACGCGCATATGTGGATGGAAGAAGTAGAAAAAATAATAGACAAAAATTACATTGTCCAAGCTGTTGGAGGTCTAACTCCTTACTAATTGTCTTAAAAATAGAAAGAGTTATCTCTACAACAAAATGGAGAGCAGAAAAAAAACTAGGTCTATCAAAAGAATGGAATGCTCGGAGTTCCTCCTACTTCTTAATTTATGAATAATTAAGGAGGTGCTCAAAATTCTTTGAAAAATGATATTCCTCTAAATGGAAATAATGTAATTAATCTAAATGGTAAAAAAAATGGAAATGGAAATGGACGCCAAGTAGTCAACATCAACAAAGAAGAAGACTACGATGAATTAATTAAGTAGTTTGAAAGCTGTTGTTAGTATGGAGAAAATAATGCTGATGAATACGATGAGAGAAAACCCAATGAAAGAGGACTCTTCATCCCTAATTTCAATGTTATATATAACATTTAATTCATGCCAGACACTATCTAAGATAACCCAGGCATTGAATCCATTTACGAAAACGCTCCCGAGTCTATCAAAGAAGAAGTTTAGCAAGTCTTAGAAGGTTACTACAAGAAACGTAAACACTTTTTGGAGGCTCTCTATGCAAAGGTGAATTGCGAATAAATAGAAAAAAATTTATATAAAAATGAAGATAACTATGTACTAGTATAAGAAGTTCCAGATATGAAGCCAATAGAAGTATATGAGGTAATTAATAAAATTATTTATTTATTTATGAATTATATTAAAGTCATTTACAAAGTAGAGAGAAAAGAAGTTTTTATTATCAATTATAAAAAATTTTATCATAAGTAAATAAATAAATAAAACTACTTAATATATATTTTTGAATATTTATTTCTAAATACAACTCAAAAAGTATGTAGTAGTAGCTAGTAGTTAATATTATAGTTGAGACGTCATTTTAAAGTTAAAATGCCAAAAACAATACAATTTTTCACTTTTTGCTAGTATCAAACACAGAAAATGGATTATTACTTAATAACTAAAGAAAAGAGATAGATAATATTTCTAAAACGTAGAGAGAGAAGAATAGTTTAGAAAAATTTAATTACTAAAATATATTACATTAATTTTTCCCGTTTCATTCTTTCCCACCCAGGATTTAATAATATTATTAATTAGATTCCAATCATAACTTTATTTTATTTTACTTACATTTAATTTTTTAAGTTCCTTAAAATTTACTACAATTAATCATCTAACATTACATTACATCTAATTATATAAATAGAAAATAATTAATTTGTTTCTAATATTTATTGATGAAACTTCTTTTTAATCTGATTTTATCAACATTTTGTTCATGCTGTTTTTAAAAACTAAATTTTTTTTTTATTCGAAATAGGAAATATAAACCCCTTCAACTAATGAGCATTGGAATTCGCTTATAGGTGGTTACTAGCTATAACCAGCAAGTCAAAATAACAATGAAACAAGAAATTTAAGCTTGATTTCATTTAATTTCAAGTATGACAAGGGAGAAAACAAATTAGTTGATAAAGATATTGTTTCTTATAGATATTCCATATAATTTGCAAATGCTTATTTTATATGGGAATTTTGGCACTTAAGTAAGCAAGTAGATAAGAGCATTGAATCAGAGCTTTAAAACAAAATGCAAAATTTATTTATCATATTTCCTGACCCCCAAAATAACAACTCTACTATGCTGATTATAAGATCTAAATTTACTTTCTAAAACGAAGATTAAAAGTAGCAAGGATAAAATATTATGAGGTTCTTGAAGGGATTTGAAACTATAAGCAAATGTCTATTACCTTTAAGCATAGCTTAGGATATCATAGTTGAGTGTAATGCAGAACAAGAAGGTATTAATTTTTATCACTTTTAATTAAATATGATTATCATCTTAAATTAATATTTTTATAATAGATGGAGATAATGCTGATGAAGTTGACTCATAAGTATTCATTAGCATCAGAATAGACAGGTTAATAATATATTATGCAAGTGTTTTAATATATCTTTTTTTAATATATTTTATTTTTAAAAGGCCTGTAACCACTGGGAATGCAGAAGATGAATACACCGTCTAGCAAATCGACTAAATCCTTGAAAAGATAGAAAAGAAATCACATATAAATGAGTGTATAAAAGCTAAACACGAAATGAGAATTGTTTCAGGTATGGCACATGATTGATGACTGTTCGAATTAATTTTAAGATTTATTTTAACAATAGGAATTTACTAAGTGGTGAAATCTACAAAAGAAAAAGGGCATTATTGTTGGAAGCACGATTACAGAAGAGATGAAAAGAAAGGTGGACTTACTTACCATAATGAAAAACTGATGAAAGAATAAAAAGCAGTCATCATGATGATGATCAAAAGAATAGGATCAAATATTTTAAATGGAAGAGGTATTATGAATATATCTATGCCAGTATAGGTATTTGACTCTAAGTCTATGATATAAAGACTTGCTAAGGGATTCGGACATGCACCAAACTTCCTTGAAAAGGGTGGATTGGTTAATAGTAGTATCGAACAGATAAAGTACACAGCATCTTTCTTACTATCTTCATTCATCATGGGTTTCAACTAAGGTATTTACTTTTTGTTTTAATGAAGAACGAAATTGACTCAATAAATCTAAAAAAAGAAAAACCATTTAACCCAATTATTGGAGAAACTGTATAAGCAAGACTTAATGGATGTCCTATTTATTTCGAGCAAACTTCCCATCATCCTCCTATTTCCAATTATTATCTTTACGGTAGAGGCTATGATCTCTATGGATGTCATATTCCTTTGGTAAAATTAATACATACGCATTCCTTACTCATACATTTATATTTTCTAGGTTAATATGGGAGCTAACTCCTTGACTGGTTTACTTGCTGGTAATCCCACAGTTTATTTTAAAAATACTTAAAATAAGGTCTATGCAATTTGGAATAGCTTTAACTTGTTTAACACAGCTATTGGTTAGAGATCTCTCAACTGTTTCGGTAGAGCATATGTTTGGGAGCCTAAAAGTAATTTAGTTTTAGAGCTGATATATAATCCAAATGGAAGTTCAGGGCTTAGCTCTCTCTTCTCAAAGAAATCCGTAATAGATGAAGTTTCTGGTGCTATCTACAAAGTGAAGCCACATGTAATTAAAATGCTGCAGGAAGCTCACAAACCTATGGCTAAAAAGGGTGAATTAGCATTAGACCTTAATAACGATGTTTTGCAACTTATTTCTAAAGCAGAAGGAATTTGGTGTAGATATTTAGAATTCGATGGAATGCGCTATTGGGATGATAGCAAGGATTTCCCTTATATGTGTGAATACGAAATGAATCCCCTTCCTTCTGATTCCAGATATAGATACGATTTGCTTTACTTCCAGAAAAATGATAAAAAGAAATCTTAAGATATGAAAGAAGAAATGGAAGAAGCTTAAAGATATGACTAAAAGATTCGTGACCTTGGTAAAAAAAATAGGAAAAAATAATGAAAAATAAATAATAAAAACTAAATCGTATATTATTGGCATAAAATGGATTGATTACATACTTATTTAATAACCAGCTAGCCTTATCTATCTAGCTAGCTCATATTTTTTTTTATTATAATTGCTTTAACAACAATATTAAGTAAATAAACATAACTAATATTTAAATAAAATCTAATGAATTCTTTCTTCTCAATTCTCTTCTAACAACTTAAATTAACTATAAGTATATAAAATCTTGGAAACTAACTCCAAGAATCAGAAAGAATTACTTAATTTTTTATTTAATCATATATAAATTTAAATTATTTACTATTATTTTAAATAGTAGTATGTATTATATATCACAGGAATATATTTCTCTTCACAAATAAATTACATTTAATATTCAATTAATTGCTTTATTTATTCTTATCTTTTAGTTAGTTCAATTCATAATTCACTCACTCACTCAAATATTTAATTAATTTTATAAATAAATCCTAATCTAATCAAATTCTCCAATCAATTTAATTTTAATTAAAAACTATTAAGTTAAACACTATTTGTGATTAAAATTAGTTATAAAAGTATAAAGTTTAGTAAAGTATTTAAAATTAAATATTTTTAAAAAAGAGACTTATCCTGTTATTATCAAAATGTTCAAATCAATTTAATTTAAATACTTTCTATTAAATAACAACCAAAATATTCTCAAATCCTCAAATTAGTTCTTTAAAAAGAGCTTTATTTATTTTAATGATAGAACTTTAATTTATGCCAAATATTGATTCAAAAATAAATATGATAAATAAAATAAATATTTGTTTTATGACTTATACAAAAGTAATTTTTAAATATTAGATTACAAATTCAATTTAATTTAATTATATTTATTTATATTTTTTAAGTTATTTATTTTCAAATAAGAATTTCATCTCCACCTCCAAAATCAAAATCATGATAATATGTTGGAATAATAAGTTCAAGTTTTTTCATATCTTCATAAATTTTTTTAGGATTTTTTTCTACTAGATCATCATAACTAAAATTAAAAAAATATAAATAATTTATTTGATGAGATATTTAATATTACTTCCATTTAAATGAGCTAATTTAATTTTATTCATTCTAAATAAAGATTTCTACACCATTCATATCAGGTATGTTTTGTACAGAAACCGCTTTCTTTTATGATGCATTAATCTTAGAGATTTGCTGATATGTCTTAATTGGACTCTAATTGTTTAGTTTTATTTTTAAAAATTTTTAATTTGAAAAACTAAATATTTATTTTTTACTGATTAATTTATTGAAAGGTCAAAAAGGAAAATATTTCCAGTGGCGTCACTAGCTATCAAGCGATTTATGTCATAGTATTTTTTATTTGTTGATTTATTTGTCTGTTAATTTACGAATATTTTAGTTATCTTTTGTCTTGTAAAATTTGTAAAAGTAAGCAACGGATCTTTGAAATTTTTTGAGAACATTCTAAATTTAATAAAATAAAAATATTTTTTTAAAATTAATTTAATAAATATTTTATAAATTTTGACTAAATAAATTTTTATTTTTAATTGCATATCAAGAGTAAACAAGATAATATTTTTAATTTAAGAAATAATGTGTGTGCAGTTTAAAAATTAATGAATTTGCATATTAAATTTATCAAATGATACTAAAGTTGTGCTATAAATCGAACTTTTATAGTATATTTTAAAATATAGATATCTGACTTCTTTGTTAATGCTTAAGAAATTTATCAAATAAATGTAAATAAAAAAGATATAGTGCTCTTGTATAACTTATATAAAAAATAACTTATTGCAAGTTAATAATCTCCATGAAATGATTATTGAATTCATGACAGGGTTGACTAAGTTTATTGCAGAGATAAAAGATATTTATTTTAATTTTTTCTCAAATGTTTTAGGTATAAATTATCAAATTTTAGATATATCGAACCTTGATATTCTATTTTTCAATATCGGTATTGATAGATATAAACATAAATAAAATATCTAACAACTCTAATAAATACATTTTGATTTAAAAATGTAATAATTTGCTGAGGTTTTAAGATAATAAACTAGATAGTAAAACTTTAAAGTAAAAATAAATGTTATTTAATTTAAATTTATCTTACTTTATTGATCCATCAGAATACCCAGCAACAAGTAGCTCAGTCTCATTAGAAACAAATAGACAAGTAGGAAAAGAAGTAGTTCTGTGCTCTCCAAATACTCTAGGGTGCTTTATCTTGTTTGTACAAAATTTATCAGCTTTTATTATCCCTAAAGATGAGCAAATGTATAAGCTTTTAGATAAAAAAGTAAATTCAATAAAAAAATTAAAATAAATGAATTATTTTTTTTACTTGTTTTCTTCGGAGTCTAGCTGTATGTCATAGCAAATCGAGTCAGGATTCATAAATATTTATTAGCTTAAATTGATGAATCCTTAACTCATTACCTATATTATTTTTAAATATATTCATTCCTTAATATGAAAAGAAAAAATGATACCTTGATTTTTGTATATTTACCAAATTCAATGTAATTTCTTTCTGCTTCTTACTGTTATAATTCTAAAAGATTCCATACAATTACTTTTCCAAATTCTTCAAGAGAAAAAAACTCTAGACTTTAGTTATTTCTAGTATTAATTAAAATCTTAACTACGGAACTTGAGTGCTGTACAGATTCTGTTTCATTGAGTAATAAATTTGCATTTTGTACTAGATACTCTGTTGTAAAACTAGGGAAACGGAAGGCTAAGCTTGCTTCAAAAGTATCTTCGTCAATTGCAAGAGATTTTGAAGAAGTTGGTGCTGAGTTTATCACAGATTCATTCTTTTCTAGTCCTTCTTTTATTGCATCAATATATTTATTTGAAACCTTTTAATGAGAAAACTCAGTCTCTCTAAGATCCCATAAATTCAAAGAACCTTCTTTTGTACCAGCTATAAGGATATTATTAGAGTGGGCAAGAGATGATACCTAACTTTGTGTTATGCAGTATTTTACCACACGGAAATTTGTATATTTAATTATTAAACTCAAACGGAACCACTCATTCCCTTCTTAACTTATATCGTAGCATATGTAGGAATCCTTTACATCATTCAAAGTAGTTCTTACTCCAAGTATTTTGAATTTATCTGAAATAAATTTGGGAATGGGATATCTCCTAACATCTTCAGAGAGGAAATTGTCATTGTTACCTTAGTTGTTACTTTTTTCAGAATTTAAAATCTCCTCAAACACAGGATAGACATTATTCATGAACCTATTTTACAATTATTTTGAGATAAATAAGGAAATGATTACTTGAAATATATATAAATAAACAATCATACTCTATCAACTTAGTAGCATCATCTAGATTCTTTGTAACGTTTTCTATTTAAGGCTCTGTTTATGTTTATATCGACTCTGTAACTTATTAAGCTACACCAACATTAGTTTTTAAAAACGTTCTTGTTTAATCTTCAGGAAATTGATTACCAAACTCATTTTATTAGCTAAAAAAGAATATTTAATATTTATTGGAATATTGTAATTATTTTAATTAATTACAATAAATCTGCTTGTATTTCTTAGGTCACTCTGTTATCATCACTTTGATCAGCAGAATTTTTCAATGTACCTGCTTTAATCTTATTAATGTATATTTCATAGTCAGCTGTATCAAATTAAAAAAAAGCATTAAGATTATTTATGTATATATAATTGTTGTGATTTCATTACTTGTAGGCTGAAGTTCAAAAAGAGTTTCAAATGTATCTAACTCAAGCTATATAAGCTATTTCAAGTTCTTTACTCTTTCTTATTGAGCCTCAATTTTAGCCAAAGAGGTTTTCTTATCATTTAGTTTTAAATTAACTTTCATTTCATCTCCTTCTATGTATTCTCCTTTTGGGTCATATTGTGGTTAAAGTTTGACTTCTTTTTAGGAGAAATTATTGTAAATATTTTGATCTTCTTCCTAATACTGATTTTTTGCATAACCAAACTCTTATTATTTTTTACTATATTATTAATCTTCAACTAAAACTTACTGTTGTTGTTGTTACATTTCATTCTGTTGCTAAAATCTTTAAAATTAAGGTTATTGTTACACTTGCTCATTTTGATATTACATACCACCTTTTTTATTTGCAATAACAAGGTTTCTTGTTTCTATTTGAATTTATTATTATTATTATTATTATTATTAAGGTTGCTGTCTTTCACTTTAATCTTCACGATACTTATCTTTTAATACAGGTTTTGCTTTGCCCTTTGCTTATTAAACTGAAGGCTAAGCAGGTACTTAATCAAAATTCTACTAATAGCTATCAAGCTAATTATTCATTGGTTAAGCACTAAAAATATTCTTATCATAACCTTGCTTGCCTACTAATAAACCTCCTGGAACATTATCTATTTAGACTTAGTGCTATTAATGTTGGTGAATGTTTATCATGGCAGCCTTTTAAATTTCTCTCCTCCTTTATTCGTCTTTTCTTCTTTCTTCTTCATCTCTTCTTCTCTCTTCTTAAATTCGTCTTTCCTCCTCCTCTTCTTTCCTTCTTTTTTCTTCTTATTCTCTCTAAATTCTTAAGAGTTCCTCTTGCTCTTTTTATTTTCTTTCCTACTCCTTCCAATCAATCTAACCTTTTTCTGGTATTGGTAAATTAGGTTTTGCAGCTATTATAGCTTATTATTTTGGCTTATCTTCAACATAGTCCTTATAAAATAAAAAATAAATAAATAAATAAATTTCAAAATAATAATTTTTTAAGTACTTCAAATTCTTGTTCATATTCTTAAGACTCCTCTTTGTTGATAATTGGAGTTTATATAGGCATGTAATTTATTTACTGTTTTATTTTAGTATCTAATTTCTTTTTAATATTTATTGTCCTAGTCTATGAACTCGGTCTTGGTTATTCTTATATCTGCTAATACTATTCACTTTACTACTATGGTTAATTCTTTAGACCTCTTGAAGGATTTAGCATACTTTTTTTATCAAAAGGCTTAATGCTTTATACTATCGTTTAGTCTTCCTCGTCTTGCTTTCTTAGATTTGCTGGTTCTATTAAATTTTCTTCTTTCTTTCTAATAGGCCTACTACTAAATGATGGTTTGGTCAGGATAGAATTCGATAATGGCTACTCCTAGTTATTAGAATTATCCTCGAAATTAGTATCACTGTTTGGCTTCGAAGTAGTCAAATTAGTTTCTATTATTATATAATTTATTTCAAAGCTAATAATTTTATTTATTATTCACTCATTTATCATCAGTAAATAATTGAATAAATTACTATTTATTTACAAAACATACTTCTCTTTTTTTTTGAATTTTTTTAATAATTTTACATAAAAAATGATATTTTTTTTTTAGGTTTATGAGTGATTCAAAACAATAAAATAATTTACTTTTGGCAAAAGGCTTAATACTGTCATATGGAGAAGGTTTTTTCAAAGGATTTTTATTTTGCATTTCACTTTAAATTAGTTAATCGATTTCATTTTGTTAATGTGAAAGTGATCCTGGAGCCTTTTTAAAAGCCATTTTTTGAGGTTTAAAAGATTGTATTTAGCTTTATGAAGACTCTGCTTAACTTGAAGTAAATTCATTGTCTTCTGTACTTTCAATGAAGGGACTATCCCTTCCTTTATCTGTCCCTTTACGCAAATTAAACTAGGGGCGACTTGATATATTCTTAACTTGTTCTTCGTCATTTTAACTCTGCTGAATTTACTATTTCATGAAAAGCTTAAGTAAAAAATCAACTTTCATGTAAAATGTTTACATATCCCTTTTATGGTTATTTATTGTTCATTACATTTGCAATAAGAGCATCAACTTCTTCGTAGTCGCTTTTTTTCTATATTAAAAAATAGTAAATATCATTTATCTGAAGGTATATATTATTTTAAGGATGGATAAATCATCTTTTACTATACTAAATGGCTTCTTAGGTCCTGGTCTCATTATTTAACAGATAATGGCTTTGCTTTTTTTGTTTTAAGTCTATTATAAATTTTGCAAATATCTGCTGAATTAAGCTATTTATAATGTTTGAAAAAGAACAGCTAGCTTGCTACCTACTACTTAATATTTTAGGATTGTGTGATTAGTTATAAAAAATCTTAATTAAATTTGTAATATTATAAAGAATATTATTGCTTAATTTTTGCATAATAAATAGATGATAAATTCTTGATATTTTCAAAATTTAATTTGTAAATGCAAAATATAATTAATAAAGAATGCACTTTGCTTTATTAAAAAACATAAATTAATTAAAAAAACCTAAACAAAATAAATAGAAAAGAAAAACACTACTTCATCTAAAACAAAAATGAATGGCACTTTCTTCATTCAAACAGCATAAGATACACAATTTTTACAAAATTAAGTATCGTGGGCAGCAATACCTTATCAACGCGCAATAACAAATATTGATATAACTTTGCTTGCTGACATCATGTTAGAAATATTAAAAGAGTATTTCGAGGACACTCTGCATGATCCATTTAGAGTTTTTAAACATGCTGTGTTAAGGTCATTCATTAATTTTTGGAAAAAGTGATCGTTTTTCAACCTATTTATAAAAAAAAATTTGATAAAGTTCTAATTAATTTTATCTGCATACAAATATAATGGAGCTTTTCCTAATTTATAATCAAGTATGCAAGTACTTATTACCTTCTTTTAGATTATTTCAGCATACAGAAAAATAAAGTATGTTTAATTATGATGAAAAAAAAAATTCATCTAGAACAAAAATGATCATTTAAATTTCTAAACGATATACTTAATGATCTGTATACAGAGTAAATTTGGTATACAAAGCAATATATTAAATATAAAAATGGGATTAAATATCCCTCATACAAAAATTGATATGCATGTATGATAAGCTAGAGCTAATACTCGATCCATAAATTAATTTTTATGATGATCTGTATACAAAAATAAGTATATATGTAAGATAAATCAACAAAACTCATGAATTAAATTCGCATACACGAATAAATGTATGCTCTATAATGACTTGCTTAAGGCTTAAATGTTGGTCTTCCTGAAAAAAGACCAACTGCATACAAATATACTCTAACGTATGCAATTAATTATTTAACAGAAAAATAAATTCAAAATTAAATTGGATATATCCTCATACAAGAACTTATGTATGATCTTAAAACTAAAAAGACTCACTAATTTATTTATGTTTAAATTTGATTTATTACAAAATGTTTTAAATCTGCATAAAGATAATATGAATTATGCAAATAAAGAATGAAAACAAGATAAAAATATGGATTGCTCTTTGAAGCTTCCTCATACTAAAAAATAAGTATGACAAAAGATATACCTTTTAAAAGTAATATCTGCATATAAATTTAATATGCAACAATCTAAAAAAATTAGATTATTAGAACTAATCATCATATAGATTTAATATGATTTAAAACTGGGATTTAATGCTATCCTAATGAAATTTACATTTCTGCATACAGATTCAGTATGTATTGCTTAGCATGATCAACTTAAATTGTTGGCATATTTTTTGATATTACTTCAATTAATATGACTTTCGCTTAAGTAAACCTTAATTGCTAGCAACAAAAAGTTTTTTAAGCCACCAAGAATTTCTATTTTAAATAATAGTATTACCATAAAAACAAAAAAAACTACAAACAAATTCTCTTCCCTCATAAAATAGAAATAATGAAATTATTAATAAAAAAATAGGCAACTAATAGTGAATATTTATCATAATACATAATATATCCAAAAACATATTTTTAACTATAATTTTTACTATCAATGTGGCAATTGATATTTTTTAATTTTACTCAATGTGGCAGTTGAGATTTCAGATCATAAGTTTTTGAAAAAATAAAAAAAATAAATAAAGAAAGAAAAAAATAAATAAAAAATAAAAATTAATTAAAAAACCAATAAAAATAACTAAAAAAAAATAAATTAATTAAAAATAGATGAAAAAAAATAAAAAATGAAGAAAAAAAAAAAAGATAAAAAAAATTATCAACTTAAAAAAAATAAATAAAAAATAAATTACCTCTAAAGCACTTATTCTAATTATATCAACTTAATAATTTATTTTTTAATAATTATTTTTTTATTTTTATTCCCAATTTATATTTTAATTTCAAAATATATTTAAATGATAAATTATCAATATTTAAAGCATTTATTTTTAGAAAATGAGTCATTTATTTAGAGAATATTAGTTATATTTTAATAACTAAAATCAGCATATTTTTATTATAAATTATTTAATAATAATGAATATATTATCAAAGAGTTTGAAAAGAATTAATATAATTTACTTCAAGATCTTAATTAAGTAATTTAAACATGAAAATTTCATAATTGTTTACATGTTTTTAACATTTAGTTAATCTCTCAAAAATAATGAAAAATAGAAGGAAGTCATTCTAAAAAATTAAATATACTATTTTAATAATTAAATTAAATTTTTTAATTTAATAAAATAAAAGAAAATAATATTAAAATTTAATTTGAGTTTTACAAAAAATATCAATATAAACAAACAACTAAATTAATTAAAAACTTATAAAAATATCAAATATTGATTGAATTTGTTTATTAAATCTTAAGACATAATTGATAGATTTTATTATTAAAAATTGGAAATACTTGCTAGTATAACAAAAGGATGTAAAAATATTTAATATTATAATTAAAAGGAAATTTTATAAGATAGTAAATTGAATTATGATTGTATATTCAATACAGTTGTTACACATATCATAAATAGAATTTAATTATTTATTTATTTGCTTGATATTATATATTTATATGAATAGTTTGTTGGTACTTTTAAGATGTGTTCATTCTTTTATTACTAATAAAAAGTTTAACCTATAATTTATATATTTATTTTTAGGCAAAATAAGTTTTTATTTTATTTTGGTATTTTATAGATTTATTGATTCATTGATTGGTGTGAGTTAAGTTGTTCAAGAAATAAAATAAATACACATCTTTTTTATATTTTCACCTTTTTTACTTACATCTATATTATGAACTGACTTTCATCATTTAGGAGCATCATCATCATTGAATTCTAAATAAGCTACAACACATGTGATATCATCACAACCAAACTTAAGATAAGGCAAATCACCAATCTTAGAGGAATTCTTTTTATTTTTATTCATATCATCCCATCTTGCTCTGCATTCAGCCACTAATGCGCTTGCTACATTTTCTTGATTAGCATTATCTTTATCATTTTTATCAAACTTTTCATTTTAAGCAGGTGGCTAATATTAAAGCACAAATCCAACAACCTAATAATTAATTAATTAATAAATAAATTTTATAAAATGCATAAAATGATTATTAAAGTAAGTATATAATTTTTTAATTTAAAATATACTCATTTGTTAATGGTTTTTTATATTATTTTGATAGAGAAAAATGAAAGTAAATATTTATTTGGAAATAAAATATACCTCTGCAGAAGACATAACATCCCAAACACCATCAGATCCGATTACGATAAATTTATCTTGTCTAGTAAGCTCGATGCGCTATATTTCTGGTTCACTAATAAGACCTATTTTTTTGGCTTAGAGATCTCCTAGTGTTCTTGTCATAGCAATACCTGGACCTTCATCATCAGCCCAAACTCTGTAAGGACCAACAGGGACACCATCGTGGATAAGCTTTTCAATCTTACCACCTGATCTAATAACTATTTTCGTTAAAAAAAAAAAATTTATATTCTATTCTAGTTTGCTTAATAAATTTCTAATCTAAATTATTTAAACATAGTAGCTATTCAAATAAATGAAAGTTGTCTCAAATTTAAACTTTTAAATGTTTTTTAGCAAAGTTAAATAAAAAATACATCATTTTATTTTATTTTACTAAAATATAAATTTATTTTTTTTACTTCTTTCTCTCTCATCTGGACGTGTAGGTTTGTGATCGTAAGAGAGCTCTATAGCTAGCTTTTCTTTATTAGTTTATCTAAACAAAACAGCTCTCGAATCACCCAGATTAGCAATATAACATATATTTTTCTAAATGAAGATAGCAATTGAGCATGTTCCTGAGTTAGAATAATCAATACCTGAAGATTTTAACTTGCTTTCAGCACTCTTGAATGCTGCTCTTAAAAATTATTCTCTGGTTTTATCAGTGGTTAGACCTTTAATTTTTTTATTATTTTTTTCGAGATAAGTTTAGATGTAATCGTTAGCAGCTTGACTGGCTTCTTTACCAGAAGATCCGTGACCATCATATACTGCAAAGAAGTGGCACTCATCTATAAATTTTTCCATAATACAGTGTGAATCTTGACACTCTGTTTTCTTTGGACCGTAACCCATTTTGAATGCACCAAACATTTTAACATCTTTTAATGGGTTAACTTGATTTTTGGCTAAAGCCGTCGTCTCGATCTTCTTCTTCTTTCCTTTCTTTTTCTTATTTTTATAAGAATTGTTTGATCCAAACATATTCATCAAAAACATTTTCGCTTAGTAGGCTGAGCCTTTACAATAATGATTTTTTTTAACAAAAAAGGAAGCTTTCCTTTTGACTTTTAATTATTATTGTAATTTTTCTGTTGATTTAAATATAATCAATATTGATTGAATACTATTTCATATGCATGCTGAACAAAAAAAAATATAGTCAATAGTTAATTAATTAATTATTTGAATGCTCTTCTTCTTGCTTGAAAGTTAAATTTTTGATTTACTTTATACATGCTAACATCTAAATAAATAAAATATAATTTCTTTTCTTTGTAGTTAAATTCAAGACGACATTTAAAGTTCCTCATTTTGAAATTTCTAAACACTTATTAAAACTCTTTCTATCTCTCTCTGTCTCTTTCTTAATACATTTTTAAGTTATTTTAAATATAATCAATGCTTCCTTTATTATTATATAAAATATAAAGTTCTTTTTCTTTTATCAATATAATTATGTAGACTAACTAACTAGTTAATGAATGAATTAAACTATCTTGTTTTTTAGGAGCTAATTTTTATTAAATTCTCATGCGTTTGAAGGAAATTAATGTTATTCAAAATAATAATAAATTATAGTTAGTATATTCAAAATTCATTTCAAGATTTAAATATTAATCAATTTCTTATCACTTCAAATTATTAAAATTTTTTATGATAGTACATAAATAAAAGCAAACGATTGAAATTATATAAAAAAGTTGTTCAAAAGTTAGAATTTAAGTGATATATTTTTGAAATTTTAAAAAAAGCAAAATAAAATTAAAAAATTTACTTTATTCTTATGAAATAAAAGATATTTATTTTTGTAAAATGTGAATATAATTTTCATAAAACATATAGTAACCATTTTAAAGTTTCTAAAAATACATACTTTACAATTTTTATGTTTAAATTTTTCATAAACATTTTTAATTATAGAGCATAAATAAAAGCAAATGATTGAAATTACTTAAAAAAAGTTGTTTAAAAGTTAGAATTTACGTAATATATTTTTGAAATTTTCTAAAAGCAAAATATTATAAAAGATATTTTTTGTAAAATGTGAAGATGATATTCATTAAACAAAGAGTAAGTAAGCCATTTAATTTTAAAACTTAGAGCTTACCTTAATCGTATTTGAACTTTTAGGTGAAATAAAAAGGTTTATTAATTTATTTTATTTTAACTAGATACTTTGTGTTATTTATAAGTAATTTATTTATTTATCAAACAAATAACAATTAAAAAATTTTTTTAAATATCTCAAAAGTAAATTTTTTTTAGTATTTTCTAATATGAAAATTGGTGTTTTAATTTGTCGAACATAAAAATTCTCCAGAATTCATAAATTTTAAAACAATAAAATTACCAAATAAATTATTTCTTACAAGAAAACATTTGATTCTTCTAAAATTTTAGTTAAGAGTACAAAAATTTATGTTTAAATTTCTCAATATATTTAAAAGAGTTTAAAATTATTTAATTAATTTAAAAAAATATTAAATATGAAATATTTAATTAAATTTTTTTATTTATTTATTTAGTTTTTCAGATTAATTAACAATTTTATAATATATTTAACCAAATTCATTTAATAATCTAGCATAAAAATAAAAATATTTATTCATACATAAGAAACAAATATAGTTTATAATTATTAAGCTAGAATTTTCATTCTAATAAATATTCATTAGCTTCACGAAGTACATCCTTGATTAATCTAACATGTCTTTCTCTGCTATTAACAGTTTGAGTTAAATTTTGATTGAGTTAATCTAATTATCTATATTTCTATCCATAAAATTCTGTGTATAAAGAGTAGTCAGCATAGATAAACTAAGCTAAATCAATAACTCCGGAATGGTCAGTATTGTAGAAAGCAAATATTGATGGAAGTACTTTGACATCTCTAGGGAAAGCATTTACTTTGTAAATTTAAGAGCGATTATAAAGGAGAGCTCCAACGTCTTTTGGACTAAAACCTGGTTAACCATCTGAGTATTAAAAGAGGTTGAATTCTTCTTCAAATTATTGATGAGCAAATGTCAAATTAGTCAAGAAAGGTGTTAAAACTTAAATAATCTATTAAGTTTCATTTATTTAGCCTTAATAGTATTCAATTTTATCATTGTAAGCATTTAAAGTGCGATTAAGTTTTCTAAATAAATGCTTATCCAATTCTTAAAACTCTTCTCCAAGAACTGAACTAGCTAAAATTCCTAACAGGACAAAAGTAAGTAAGTATTTCATTTCTTTTTTTTTATTTTTTGAAAGTATTTATTTATTTATAAAATTTTTATTATTTATTAAATTTTAGCTTAAAAACCTTTCTTTTAAAATAGCAAAAATCCTAAATTGATTAAAATTTGTGGTTTTAATCTTCCCATAAATTGATCTTCTTGAAACAAGTGCTAATTAAAAATTTGTAAATATTTATGGTAAATTGATCAATTAATTCAAAATATTTGGAAAATACTATTTAAGAATTTATCAAATATATTTAATATGATTTGTAAACGATTCTCTAAAAATATCAAAAATAAAATTAATATAATCATATACTACAATATTAATGTTGTTCAAATAAACTTGGGAAAATAATATATTTTTGGTAATATAAAATTTATAGTAGAAATTTATAAAAACTTGATTTGTTTTCTTTTTCCATCACAATCTATCTCTCAATTTAAATTGAGAAATAAAAATTCACAGTAATGATTAATTGAAAATTTGTGGTATTTATAATTTTTTTACACCAAAAGTTTTCTGATTTAATCAACTCAATTCGAGTATATATTAGTAAATGTAAAATAAATACAAAATTTTAGTGCAAACAAACCATAAATTTATTAAGGAAAAAGTTTAAAAAAATCATCTAAACTATCAAATAAAAATAGAATATTTAAGAAGTATTTATTATGATTAGAAGTTTTTGAATGCCTAATCCTTTTGTTGCTCTATGACAACACTCTACTCTCTATTACAACTTATATAAGTTTATTATTTTCTTATTTAAATATAATATTTAATATTATAAAATAGACTTACTTTCTGAAGAAAAAAAAAATCAGCAATAAATTCCATTTTAAATTTATAAAACTCTTTCTTTCATTAATATTTTTAATTTATTTTCAGTTATCATTAAATTTTTTACAAATACCTCACTTTATTACCTATGGTATTGTAAGACTTAAAGTTTTTTATGATTATTATTTATAAAATCAATAATTTGTTAACAATTTTTTTATTTTTTAAAAAAGTATAAAAGCATTTTACAAGCAAATAATGTGTTAAGTTATTTTTAATTTGTGTGTGTGTGTGAGATTGCATGCGAACAGTATTTATAAAATAATTAATTCATCAAATATATTTCAAAAATTAAATTCACAAAAATACATCATTATCTTTTAATCTTTCTTAATTAGAATTTGAATTTCTTAAAATTCAAATATATTAGTTGAATAATTATTTATTTATTTAATATATTATATGTCATTTGTATAAAACTAATTTATAAAGTCTAATGTAAATATGAAAGATTAGTTCAGCCAAATCAATAGAGAATTTAATATACAAAACAATAAAGAGCAGACAACCAATTAAACTAGGGCATAAATACAATAAAAGTTCTCTTTCTTAAAGTATATTTTTTATAAAATCTATTTCCCGCAAAATCTAAATTCAATCTTTTCAAAAAGGGAGCTATTAGATAAACAAAACTCCTAAATAAAAGAAGCTAAAGAATCAATGAAGTTAATAGAAGATTAATCTAATTAAATTTCATAAAACCTAGGTGAATTTTCATTAGATTTACAATAATAGCTTTGATATTGCTGAAATTGCTAAAGCTCTATAAAGCCAATTAATACTTTTTAACTTATAATTAATTTTAAAAAATGAATAAACTATGTTATAAAAAAGATAAATTTAAGCAGTTATTGAAAATATCATAAATCAAATAACTGAAATATTAAGAATTGAATAATGAATGATCTTATTTATGCTTATACAATTATAAATTATTTGCTTGGTTTTCTTGTTTGTTTGTTATTTATTCTAAGCCTTATAAATACAACTTATTAAAAAGAACACTTATTATAAATTTGTCATTACTTTTTTAAAAATAAAAAATGCTATTTGAACTAATTTCTAATTCAATAAAATCTATCATAAAAGTTATTAAGATTGTAAAATGAATGAAAGTTAACTAGTAAATATTAATTTAATAATAATAAAATCAATTATGATTTTTTGAATAATTTCATATTTTTACAATAAACCATATAAATTTTATATACAAATTTCAATAAATTTTTAAGATTAAACTATTAAAATTGTTTTTTTTAAGTGTTTATTAGAATAAATTTAAATTTTAATAATATTTTTTAATTTAATTAAATAATATCTGAAAATATTTTGCAACTATTTTTTTGTTATGTAGTTCTTTATTATAAGCTAATTTTTACTAGGGATTTCTACTTAATAAACATAAGATTGAAGACAAATAATATTAAGTGAAATATATTTACTTTAGATGTAGATTATGTAGTCAAAATTAAATTTGCAAAAAATTTTTATTAAAAAGCCTTTATTTTAATAGAAATAGAAGCATGTTATGTTTTTAACTGAATAGTTAAATAGGATAAAAGCGTAACGCTTAAAATAAATTAACAAAACATAAATTATTTTAAAGAGCATTCATTTTTGTTCTTACTTTAGTTTTGTTTAATTTTAAGAAAAAAAATATTTTATATTGCAAAAGTTATTTATGTAATAAAATTAGGTAGAATTAAATAATTTATGAAAAAACATCAAGGAAATCTGCATAAAATGAAGTTAAATGAATTTCTATAATTAATCTATTATTTAATATTATAAGAGCAATTATAAGAACTAATTTTACATCATAAAAGTTCTTACTCTTACTTTAAAATAGTCTCTAATGAAATAAGAAGTTTTAAGTTTATGCATTGTATTAAAAAAATAAATAAAATATACTTTATTTCAGAAATTAAGTAAATTTAAAATGTTATTTTTCAATTTTGCGATGTATTCTTAAAAAGTATTGATATTATTTTTATTGTTTTTAATTCACCTAATAAATATCCATCATCTTTACCTTAAAACAAATAAGCTGGAAAACAATATTTATAAATGAATCTAAAAATGGTACACAAATTTGATAAAAAGAATAAAATTTTTAATAAATAGCAAAAATATCTATGCAATTTTCAAAAATCGACTTATATAATTTAGTATGAATCAATAAATCTATTTTAATTAAATTTTATATAATATAATGGATAAATACTTTCATATTCAGCAAATAAAAATAAATGTAGATATTCAATTTTAAATTTTGCAGTATTCGGTTTTTAATGTTTCCATCAAATTATTTTAAATAAAAAATTTAACAAAATTGATCAGAAATTATGAATTGTATAAAATGAATGATTCTGATTTTAAAGATTTTAAAGATACAACCAACTTCTATATTAAAAAAATAAATAAACGAAGCAAGCTATCAAGTCTAAATACAAGAAAAGAAAAGTTAATATTAGTACTCTTATCAGTATTTTATTTAATAATGATTGTATTAACAACGTAATTTTTGTTTTTCATATGAAATGTATGAAAGGATGCAAAAAATAATAATAAAGTTAAATAAAACAAAAAATTTTTATAATTAAGCAAACAAAATTTGATAGCTATTAAATATATCAACTTTTAATTAAGTAGATTTAATAACTAGTCTAATAGAAATCCTTTATACATAATTAGATAAATTATAGCTCATAACTAAATAGGTAATCCAGATCAAGCAATAAATATTTTCCCATTATAGCTAGAAAGCAACTAATCCCTATTAAAATACTTCTCCATTATAAATCTAATAAAAAATATTATTCTACCATAAAGAAGATCAAAAATTAAACGATTACTGATGGATTTATTTCTTAATTAATTGTTTTGCAAAAAAAAACTAATTAAAAACCACGTATTATGCAGAAGATGCAGTAAATTATTACAGAGCTCCAAGGATGTTTGTAGCCACAAAAACGAATAAATGCTTCTAGTTGATTTTGAAGATAAGCTTTTGGATGTAAAGGCTCGTTTATCAGATGCAAATGCATTTTAGATATTTGATTTAATACAAAGTAAGTAGTTAATCTTATAAAATTTAGAAGAGTTGAGACTTTAATTTATTGGAGGATATCAGCCTTGGTAACAATACATGCCAAATCCTTTTGGAAGAAACTTCAAGACTTGGAAAGGTTGCAATAAAAAGCTACTTAATTTAAAGAAATTAGTTATGAATTTAAGCGAGTCGCGTATTGAAGATTGCTTTGACGTCTTATTTGAAGGATTTGAAGACTTAGGAGAGTTAGAGCTAGAAGAATTGGAATTAGATTTCTTTTCTATATTTATAAATACAGAGAAACTAATATCAATACTATAAAAAGTATCTCAAATAAAATCATTAAAAAAATTCTCTTTGAATATGGGCAAGCTCACCAATGTTAGAGTTATACCAGAATTGAATGAAGAATTCTAGAATCTATTTAACTCTCTAACAAAAATTGAGTCCCTTTCAATTAATATGTCTTCAACCTTTAATTAGTTTGAGCAACTATAAATATAAAGCATACTTCATAGCATTTAGAGTCTTTCTAATCTTCATTCTTTAAAAATTTCATTCAAAAATTGCAAATTAAATACTCATTTTTTACCAATTTTGAAGTAATTTTTATCGAATATTGCTGCAAACATGGTTTTCCTTGATTTAGATATATCATATAACCCACTATTTGGTGAAGATCTAACTAAAGAATTGTACCAGAGCTTGAAATAATTTAATCAACTGCATACCTTTTTAATCAATTTAAAGGGATCAGATTCAATTTTTAGTAAAGAGGATTACTTTTTATTGCAAAAACTAATACATAAAATATTTAAACGCTCTATTTAACGCTATAAATCTACCTAATCTATAGAAAGCTCATATGTGAAATAGATAAAAGTGCAGCTACCTCTCACTTTCTTAAGATAAAATTTATAATTATATTAATAACATAACAATCTAATTCAAAATATGATTAAGTATGGTCCTCTTTTATATAAATAAATAAGCAAATAGACAGAACTATCATAAAAATTTAGAAAGGATATAATCAATGAAATATATAGTGAATTTTTAATTTGATAGAGTCTATCTATTTTTAAAAAATTATTATTAAAATAAATATTTTATAAAATTATTTGTGTTTTAAAAATTAATAAAAAATTATCTAAAATTCATAAAAAAATATTTTCTAAAAATTTTATTGTTTTTTTCAAAATTTTTTTGTTTTGATTGCATTTTAAATTTTATTAGAATCGATGCTTTTTGCAAAATTTTATATGATATATACTTGTTTCAAAATAAAATAATTACTATTTTTTTTGCCAAATATCAAGAGGAGCTAAAATTTCTTAATAAATTCTATTTTTTATTTTAAATTAATAATAATAAATCTATTAAAAATTGTTTTAATTCATATTAAAAAATAGATTTAATTTTAATAATAAACGAATTATCTATTTATATTAATCACACTAATGAGAGAAATTTAAAATCTTTCCATATGTTACTAAATTTTGTGAAATTAAGTATAGCAAACTGAAATTTTTAGAGATTTGTATAATTTTTTGTGGTAAAAATATGTTGCTTTACTTTTTAAATATTGGTAAATTTCTATAATAAGTAAATATTTAGCAATTTAGAAAGATTTTAAATATTAGATGTGAGAATATTAAATTTAGCTAATATATGTAGAATACTAAATTAACTTTTGGATAATCAACTTAGATAAATTAATTATTACATTCAAAGTAAATTTAATATTGCTTGAAGTACCTTATTTTTATAAAATTTTCTACTTTAATTGAGGGGTTGCAATTAAAATATAAAATAAAAAGAATGTATATAAAAATTTATTAAATTTAGTATAATTCAATAAACATAAGAAAAAATTATCCTTTTTACTATACAAGCTCGATTCGATAAAAATTGATTGATGGCTAATTAATTAATTGAAATTTGATATAATTTAAAAGTATTTATTTAGTATCATTTAAAATTTATAAAAAGAGTAAGGCTTATTAAATTACTGAATTAAATTTTTTAATAAATTTTTGTTAGGTTAATCATCGCAATTATGATTGATTGATTGTATTTTATTTTATTGAATTTGAAAATTTAAATCTTTCTTTTTATTAACTATTTAAAATGTTTTTTATCTATATTATTAACTAAGCAAGCTTAAAAATATATTAATATCTATATTTTCTAAATTAATGTTGGAATTGAATTTCTACATGAATAAATAAAATTTTAACTTTTTAGAGAAAAAGATATTTTTAAAATATTCAAATCCAAACAAACTATTTTTAATCAAGGTAAAAAAAAATAGTCAGTGTATGAAAATAATCATACCATTTTTTAAGATATTTTATTTACAAACAAAAAAAAAGAGTTATTTCATTAGTTTATATTTTAAATAAAGAAATTGTTGAGCTAGAGTAATTTTTCGAGCGGTCGAATATCTTAAATTACATCAGTTATTTTTAAGTAACAAATATTTAAAATTAAGACAAATATTAACTTTTCTTTTCTGATTAAAATCGGGATAATCTAAATCCATAAAATATAAAAAAAGTAAGTAGTACTAAAGTTAACTTTTTTAAACACAAGTTATCAAGTTATGGTTTTTCTGCTCTATTAATTTTCTTGTTTCATTAAAAGAATTATGTATCAAAATAATATCACGCACGAATTTGTGGGAAAAAAATTAAAAGAAAAGATTATCGAAATATAGCTATTTATTTATTTATTAATAAAAAGTAGAAGTAAAATAATATTTAGATAGATCTTTAGAATAGCTTAGATTAGAAAATGATTTACCAAAAAAATTCTGAAAAAGCAAATGCTAAAGTAGAATAAAGTTCATTTTTAGATAATAAAATTATGGTGTAAATGCATATGAGTGATGATTAAGCACTTCGAGATATTCCAAAAAGAAAAGAAACCATTATAGAATCAGAGAAGATGGCAGCATCTTCATTGAATAATTCAATAAAACCTATTAGCAAGAGAGTAATAAATGATTAAAAATCAAACTACAACAAGCATGCAAACCTTAATAACAAAAGTATTTAATTTTACTAGAATTCATTAAAAAATTATTCATTTATTGAAAGAAATTAAAAATTTTTTATGCTATTATTCAACAAATTTACTATTATTAACTATGTCTTTTAACTTGATGTTATTTTATTTTATATACATAAATAAAAATCTAGATAAAAATGAACTTGATTTGATTTTAAATAATAAAATAAATGTCAGCGATTATCAAGATCATATGTCCGAGCAGCTACGCTAGTCATCATTTTTTATAGACTCGCCTTAAAAGAAATAGAGTTTTGCTTTTTAATAAGCACAATAAACAAAACAATAGAATGAATAGCAATACACTTTTAGTAACCACGCTAGTGTGATTGATGACGGTGTACTTATTCTCAATAATATAAACTACTAATTGTAAAAACTTTAAAATGAGCCTATTAAAAAATAAGCCAGTTAAATTTAAGAAGTAAATGAAAATACTAGCAATTAACGAGACATAACCATCCAGTATTTTTTTATAATTGAGCATTTATTTAGTTATTTATTTCTATAACATGATATTTTTATGTTTTTTAATTAAAATGCATTAGCTTTTTATTAGCAATTTAAACAATTATTTTTAATAGTTGATGTGATTTTTTTTATTGTTTAAATTACCTATAAAAATAATTAAGATTAATAAATTAATCAATAGTTCCAAATTCACTCAAAACATTAGCGAAGCATACTAATTGAAGTCTTTTAAAAAAAAAGAAAAAAATACTTTCTAGCTTATTAAATTTCATATAATTAATTATATTTTTTAGAGAACTTTGTTTGGAAAAACTAAACAGCTGTCAAGCCAAATAAGAAAACAAATAGGAGATTTATCAGATAATTTTGATGATTTTACTAATAATTAGTCAGATGGAATTAATTTGAGCAAAGAGAAAGACAATAAATAATTAAAAAAGATCAAATTGTTTCCTTTGTTCCTTAACTGGGTAAAAAATCTTATTGAAATAGCTTTTAATGAGAATAGTTTATCATTTATTTTATATACTATTATTATAACATCTTGGAATATAATCTATCTGTATATATCTTCTTTGTAAATAATATTCGATGTCCTGAGCTCTTCCAAATTACAAAATACCTTGATGATATCAACTCTATCAATATGGATTATAGATTTAATTGTGTAGCTATTGATTATTACTTTATAAAAAAATGAATTTCTGAATAAATAGCATAATTTTTTCTAAAAAATAATTGCTAGAAAAATTCACATAGAAATTATTCCATTTATTTTTGAAATCGTGTACCTCGTACTCTTCTAAAATTAATATATGCGAATTCCTCTACTATTTAAAATACTTACTGTAAATATAGCACTCGATAAAATCAAACTTTTTTTGCTTAAAACACTTAAAAATAATTACTTCAAAATTGATGTAATTTTGTTATTTTCAAAATTACTATTTTTCTTTCATCTTATCGCTTGTATTTACTTCATAATTGCTTAAATTTAATCAAAATCACTCAAACGAAGTTATAGCTGGTTTGATTCAAGTAATTTTTTATTTTAGTTAATTTTTTTTAATTATTAAATTGAATTATTTAAATTAATTTAATTGTTTAATTAGCTTTGAAATAATTTGAATTTCTTAATTTATAAATTATTATGAAAATAAATTAAAATGCTTTATTTTATTGAAATTTATAAAAAAGTAAATGAACCAAAATAGAATGATAAGATTTTCTAATATTTCACAGCTTTTTAATGGGCTTATTTTTTTGGCAAAATGTCTTCAGATAGATATGGAAGTTAAGATCAATTCCAACTATTCCTTTAATCTTTTTGGTCAATTTTTTCAATATTGATTTTTGCATATGTGTTTGCTAGCTTAAAAAATATACTTAAAAGTTATTACCAAAGAGTTCAAAATTATACACAAGATTTAAAAGCTCTTTGCAGCTATTCAAGTTACAGCAATATTACTTTGTAAATTTAAAATTACTCTTACAATTAAATAATTTGAGTTAATTTATGAACAGATCTTTACTTCAGGAAATGGCTGAAGATATGCACAAAAAGTTCCAATAAAAGTAAGAAGAAGAAATATGGTAAGAAGATTAAATTCTTTCTAAATTGAATAAACCGCTTTAGTAGGCTCTCATGGATTAATCTAAGATTCAGATTCTCAAAAAATATCCTTGCTTTTGGCAAATTTTTTCTAATAAAATAAATAAACAAATACCTCATATAATGTTGACAGAATTTTATAATGAGGGATAGATCATCGAACCTTTAAAACAATCAGATTGCTATTTTTATCTTTTATTGCAAGGATAAGGTACAAATATTTATCTAAATTTTAATCTTATGAAAGATATTTTATACATTTTTCTTAATATTTTATAATCATTATTTTCCAAATAATTAGTTAGTTATTCTTTGAGTGATTAGATTTTTGATAGATAATAATTTAATAAATAATTAATTAATTGTTTTTTTAAATATAGCTGAAATTTACGTGAAAAGTAACTTTGTAAGTAATACACACCTTCCTGAAGAAAGCAAGTATTTTTAATGAAAATATAATTTTTTTTTATTTAAAGTTCTTATAAATTAGAAAAGTTGATATTTAGAGGATTTTAAAAGGATACTCCCAGATAGATAATTCATCATATAGTGATTGTCCCTTTTAAGAAGAACAAAATCATAAAGAAAAATCTGCTAAAACGCTAGTGAGTGGAGAGTTTTTTGGTACAACAGAATTAATAACAGGAATTAAATAAGATTACTTTGTCAAATGCACCAAAAATTCTATTTTCATAAAGATTAAAAGACTTGAATTGCTTGAAATTATAAAAAAAAATGACAGAGATTACCAAATATTTATGGAAATGAAGGACAGAATTATAAACACTCAGAGGTACTAATTTTTGGGAGAAAAATGTATTTTTTGCCACAGTAAAGATCACCTCTTTTCAAATTGTGGAATGGTTAATATTGACAAATCTTCCTCACTTGCATTCATGAAATCTGTACAATCTCAAGAATAAACAAGAAATAGCTAGTACTAGAGGAAGAGAAAGCTAAAAACTTAATTCATTTACATTGAAGGCGATGAAGAACAATCTTAAAGCAATATGACTTTAGAAGATACCATAGACAGAATAAACTCTTTGAAAGACTAACTTTAAGTGAATACAAATTTAATGAATTAGCAGGTAGAAAAACATTCCTTAAAAATTTTTACATAAAAATTACCAAATTCAAATAAATTTCTAAATGTTTTTTTTGATTTAATAATTTTAATTTTTTTATATTTGGTTTATTTATTTAAATTAGAATTAAAATATCTAAAAGAAGTAATCTAAATATTTTTATATTTAAAGTATATACAAAGCTTAGAAGATAATGTCCTACCTGATCTTTAACAAGTTATGATATCTTAGCATTCGCTTAATAGCTCTAACATATAAATTCCATTAAAATAAAGAAGATCTATTTCTTTTACAACACATTCTTATAAGTAAGAATAAGACGTAAGAAGTGAGAATACATATATGATGCCATCTGTAGAAGACGGTATTTCATATTAATCTGAAATATACAGAGATCCTTCATCTCGTACTTTAGATAAAAATAAACAAAGCAAATTAAGTGTAAATACTCCTTTAAAGCGCTATTCGGAGAGTAATTTTACTCATAAAGACTCTGCTTAACAAGATACTATAAGCACTAAGAATGAAAAATTGGATTAACTTTATCCATCTTCGATATAGAATAGTTCACTAATTGACTTCTAAGCTGATAAAAAATTAAATAAGAGCTAGTTTGCTAATAAAAGAAAGAGTGTCTCAGTAATGTGGAAAGATTCTAACTATAATTATGGATCACTAAAAAATCTTAATTTCACAATTAACTAAGCTTTACAAACACTAGATACATGTTAAGATAAATGGAAATTTGATTTTGTCAAAGAATTCAAATACTACTACCCAAGATATAACATTTCTAACATTTTGAATAAGTTTTCTGTGATATAGACTACATAAAAAATAATACAAAAAAGCAAATAGAAGCGCAGTATTTTTGAAATTTAACCTTCTACTAACTGAATATTAAGTAAAAGTGGATATTTAATTTCCTTTTAAAAGAATATTCAGACCATATTAAAATCTTCGAAATGTTTTCATTTTAAAAGTAAATTATTTTATAAGGAGTTAAACTGAATATTATACTTCAATAGCTATTTATTATTCCTTTAATTTGCTATTTTCATATGTAATGAACCGAAATCCTTGTTTAAAATCTTATTAATTTATCTTTACTCTTTTTATTTCTAATATTATTTGTTTGATTTTGTATTTCATTTTTTACTTCATAACAAAAAATATATTAAAATTATATCAAAAATTTAATATGTAAATCAATAATAAGACTTACTAAATAAATTAAAATAATACAAAATGAAATTATTATTAAATAATAAAAATAAGGAAATATTTTGTAAGCTAATTTTTTGGTTTTATTTAAAAATAATTATTATTTATTTATTTATTTTTTGTTTTCTTATTTTATAAATATATTGTGCTTGTGTTAACTCTTCATTATTTAAATCAATAGTTTTTAAAAGTGAAAATATTTACATATATATTAAATAATATTATAATTTGTAATTAGCTTATTCAAAAAGCTATTTAATCACATTTATTATTATAAATCATTTGAATAATTTGATGAAGATTAATTAGATTAACTTTAATAAATAAAAATTTCGATACTAAAAAATATATTTTAAAATACACAACATAACTTATTTTTAATGAAGCTCATAATTACTTTTTATTGATAAAAGCTAATATCAAAAGACTTACTGTACCTTATTTTAATGTTTCTTTTAGTAAATACAAATAAATCATCATATATGTTAATTCAAATGTTAAATTTAGATCATTTCAATAAAAGACTTGAAAATTTTGGAAGAAAAACCTTCCGCTATTTGAATATAATTTAATAAATATTTCTATCTTAACTGCAAATGATAATCAAAATATTACTTTTAAATTTTACAGAAAATTTAAAATAAAAACAATTTATCTTTTCAAAAGACTTGAAAATTTTGGAAGAAAAACCTTCCGCTATTTGAATTTAATTATTTTTATCTTAATTACAAATAATCATTATAATATTATTTTTAAATTTTACAGAAAATTTAAAATAAAAACAATTTATTTTTTCAAAAGACTTGAAAATTTTGGAAGAAAAACCTTCGGCTATTTGAATTTAATTTAATAAATATTTCTATCTTAATTACAAATAACCATCAAAATATTATTTTTTAAAAAAATTTAGTAATATTATCTTATTGTCAAGCAATAAATTAAATTAGATATTTATTATGTAAATTTTAAATTTAATTTATTAACTATTAATTTAATATAAAATAATTTGTTTGCAATTAATTAATTAATTAATTAATTATTTTCTACTTTTAGAATTTTTTTAAATATTTAATCATATCTTTTTAGAATATAATTTTCCTCAATAAATGAGATTTAATAGAACTCTGTGTATATTTTTATTCCAAAATCAAACCCCATTTCTCCAAGAAGGCACTGCTCTACCTGTAAATTTAACAGGAGCTCCTCCAAATGTTTAAGCACAAGATCCGAAACGATCAACTTTTCCAGTTTCAACCTTTTCTCCTTCTTTCATTTTTGAAGCAGTAGTTTTTTCATTTAACTTACTTGGAACATAAGCATATTTAGTTTACTTAAGCTCATCGTGTTTTTACTTTTTAACTTAAGACTCTTCTTTTAATAGTTATTACTTTTTGGCTATTTCTTACTTTTTTTTAATCATCTCTTCTTCTTTCTACTTAATTCTTTCTTTATCACTTGAAGTTATAAGCCTCTTAGAAATACTTTTTTCATATTCTTCTCTTTCTTTTTATCTCATCTTTTCTACTTCTTTAATTTGCTTGTATTCTTCAACTAATCTTTTTTATTCTTCAAGCTGAGCTCTTCTGATTCTTTCACGCTCTCTTTATTCTTCGTCTAACATCATTTTAGCACTTTCACTTTTTACTTCTTCTTTAGCTTATTTCTTTAATTTCCATTGAAGAATTTCTTCTTTCTATTTTTCTCTTAAAATTGTAGTTTACTTTTTTTATTACTCTTCTAGCTACTTCTTTTAATTCTAATTAACTTCTTCCTTTCTTATTTATTCTAGCTATATTTCTTTTCTTTTTTCCTTGAGATCTTTGTAAGTTTACATCAAACTCTTTTTATCTTCTTCAAATTATAAATATTTTTAAAATTTATCTATGTGTTCTCTTATTTACTGTTCGTCAAACATTCCTAATATACTCAAGCAATCATTTAAGAAAGCCTTTATTAAAAATAAATTCTTATTTTAAAAAAATACAAAGCATTAAATTTAATTAATGTACCTGCTTTGTAATCTAATTTTTATGGCGTACTCTAATTTTTAGAAAATCTTATTAATCTTGATTAGTCCAGCCTTGATTTTTACCTCCATTTTATACAATTTTTTTATCTATTACATCAATTTTTTATTTTAAATGCTCTAATTCTTAGTCAATATCTTCAATCGTTTCTTCTAAATTCCCACTCTGTGAATCATTTTCTTTATCTGTCTTTAATTATTTTAAATAAATAAAAAATTAGTATGATTAAAAAATTTAAATTACGAAGTGCTTTTAGTAAACCTTCTTATTTTATTAATTATTCATGTAACTTTATTCTTCATCTGCATCTGACTCTACTTCTTCGCATATTTGAAAGATTCCTTTCTTTTTTTCTATATTTTCGAATTTTGAATTTTCATAGTAAGGGAGTCTTTCATTAAAAATCTCTAATTCATTTTCCAATTACTCTTCTTCTTCTGCAATTTAATCAAATATTTCCATTTGTTATATTTTAAATTCGCTCATTTTTTATTCTAAGCTCTCGCTCATCAATTAAATTTTCTATAAATATTGAGGAGTTTTCTCAAAATTTTTTAGTTTATCTTTAAATTTCTCATTTTCTTGCTTTAGAAATTTTATTTATTTAAAAATTTAATCTCTTTCTTTTTCCCTATCAAAATCAGATTTTTCAGTAACCTTCATTATGCTAGATATATCATTTTTCGATGTAGAAGATTTATTCATTTATAATTATTTTCCAAGATCTTTGTCAATATTAAAGATCTTATGACGAATGCTTTTATATTCCTGTTTCCATTCTATTAAAAATATTTTAATACTAACTAATATAATTTTATTAATAATTTACCCTACAAATTCATTTCTATTATACTAAATATTTTGAATCGCAGATATTTTTAAGCACCTTTTAATAAATCTTTTACTTCCTTTTGCTTTATCAGTATTTAGATTAATTAATGATCCTAATTAAATTTCTAATTTTTAAAGTAAGATTAAACAAATATTGTTTTTTTGTATATTATCTGAGCAATTTAAAAATTTTCAATCAATATTATTTCTTTAAATTTGAAAAAAAGCAAACGATTGAAAATATGCCATTATATTTGTATCATATTTAATCATAAATAGCAAATCATACAAATCTTATTTATCAATCAAATTCTTTCTTAAATCAAAAAAATTAATTAAAAAAAAATTAAATTTATTTAAATTAAAATAGATTTTAATACAAAAACATTTTGACATATTTATTCATTTATTAATTAATTAATTACAAAATAAGATTGATTGATTGATTGTGTTAAAAATAAATCATTTTTTAGGAGCATATTGCTCTCTAGCCTTTTGCTTTCTAACTCTGGTTTATCTCTTTAAATTTGATTCTATTAATTTATGTTTTCTTAGGACATGTAGTTAACCTTTTTCTTTTAATTACTTAACTTGTATGTTTCTCTTTAGAGCGCGAATACGCCCTTTAAGATCTTTAAATCTATTTTAATTAAGCAATTTATATTTCTTTTTAACTCCCTTTACTTATGATTCTAACTCTTTAAGCTACTCTTTATCTCTATTTATTTCTGGGATATAATTTTTCAATTATTTCTTTAAATCAGAGTTGCCCTTTTTAGCTGCTGTAATAAGTTTACCATTCTCATAATTACTCTTAAATTCTATATACGATTTGGGAACATAAGGAATTAGCTAAGCTTTTTTAGAGTCTTCAATCAACTTCTATTTCAACTATTCATATTTATTTAATTCACTACTTTCTTCTGATTTTTATTTTAATCTCTGAAGCACTTCTTTATTAATTGTTCTATTTTTATAAAAACATATGTTTAAAATTATAAAATTTAGTCTAAGTCAGTCATACGCGTATTAAGAACCCTTAATATTCACTGGAATTTTATTATCATGAGACTTCTTGAGTTCATTTATAATATTATTATCTTTATTATGATATAAACTGATCACACTTCCCTTACGTCCTGCTCTGCCAGTTCTTCCTGCTCTAAATAAATTTATAAATTAGTTAATAAAAAAATAAAATAAATTTCATCCTTAAATTTAAATGATCTAAAAACAATGTATTTGCTTAGAAAAATATAAAAATATGAAAGAAGATATCACATTTATAAAAGAAAATATTTTAAAAATTTTATACCTATGCAAATAGTCAGAAGTTGTTATTGGGAAATCATAATTAACAACATGAGTTAGAAAAGGGAAGTCAAGACCTCTAGAAGCTAAGTCAGTGCAAATCATAATTTTTGATTCTCTTGACTTAAATCTATCAAAATTTTGTATTCTTAATCTCTTAGGAATATCACCATGGAAACTAACTACATCATATCCTTCCTCAGATAAAGTATAATCTAATGATCTGCATGAAGGAATACTATTACAAAATATCATTATACTGCCATCTTGCTTTTAAGCCTTTGGCATAATTTCTTTTAATAATTTAGTGATAGGTTCTTTTTTATCTATGCCTTGACAATGAATAAATTCATGCTCAATATGCTACAAATTCATATGAGTCTTTTTATCAATAATTAGTTTTATTTTTTTGAAATTATCAAAGGATGATTCGAAGAGTAATCTTAATTATCCAGTATAAGTTGCACTTACGAAGATCATTTTTGGAATATTTTTGCTATAATTACCCTCTTTTATCTATTTAAAAATAAAAATAATAATTAACATTTTCTTATTATTTGAAAGCTAAAATTTAAAATTCCTCAAAAATAAATATTTTTCAATAACATCTTTTTTAAGCCTTGCTTAAAATCAAGAATTATTGTTTTAGAGAGTGTTTAATAAATTATTTTTTCAAAATTATGTTAAAATATCAAATTATTGAATAGACAAATTAATTGATTAATATTTTTTACTTATTCTTGCCTATGAGTTATTGTCTTTATGTAAGTTTCAATTACTTCCTTATATCCAGAATCTAAGAAAGTATCTGCTTCATCAACAACGAAGTAAGAAACATTGCTTAAGAATAAGTTTCCTTTTTCTCTATGACGCTCAATTCTATCGGGAGTACCTATCAACACATCTACTCCTTCATCAAGTGCTTTTTTCTCTCTCATAAATACTTTTGAATTATTTACTCCTAGACAAGTAAATTTAGCAAAATGGATTAATTTTTTGCATTCGTCTTCTAACTAATTGGCTAATTCTTTTGTGGGCACTATAATTATTATACTTGGTCTATTAGGGGTTGTTAATCTTTAATTATGATTGGCTTCTTCAAGCTTTTTAAATTATGAAATAATAGGAATGAGATAAGCTAAGGTCTTTCCAGTACCAGTTTATGCAGCCAAGAAGAAATTATTATGATTTTGGTTGAGTAAAGCTGGTATTGCTAAATCTTATATAGGTGATGGTGTGAAAATATTTTGAGATTCAAGTGCCTTTTTTATTTTTTCATGAATATTGTAATTGAATGAGGGAAGTGCTACATTTGCAAATCCAAATTGCTATCTATATGTCAAACTAAATCCTAAAATATAAGGGTTAATCTTGCATTTTGCTAAATCAAAAGGCAATCTATTGGCTAAGCCAAATGAAGGCTTTAATGCTGTACTTAAAATAGGGAATACCTATTATTTTTAGAACAACTTAAGCATTTACTTTAACTTGTATATTTTTTACTTTAATATTTGCGAGTAGAAGAAAAAGTAACAAAATATTAAATTAATTCAAGATTCTTCTAAAGTGATTGTTATCTCTATATTAATAGTAATTCTATTAACTAATTTTGCTTACCATTGAAGAATGGAAACAAAAACACACAGAAAGAAAAAAAGACAGTCAATCAGAACATTCTAACATTTTTAATCAGAAGTATATAAATTAACTACAATCCATACCCTAATTAGTAAAATGTATTGAAGTTATAATTAATCAATAAATAATTTTACCTTCTAAATTTATTGAAACCAAGTTGAAGGTGTTTGCTCTTTTTTAATGTAAGCTCAGTGAAAAAGCATTCTAACCAAATTACCTTATGGTAATATTTAATTTAAATATTTACAAACTAAAATTATTAGTCAGAATAACTAACTACAGCATTTATTTAACTTACTTATTATGCATATGAGTTTAATTCAAAATTAAGGTAATAATAATAAATAAAATAACATGAATTTGAGTCGTAAAAGTTGCTGTGGTATTGTAGTAGGAAATTGATTTCTTAATTTCTTTCAATAATTATTTATTTCAGATTTTGTCTTCAAATAAAAACATAAAAAACAAATTTAATTTACTCAATTAAAAGTTGAAGTAATACAACAAAGTTCTATCTTGAAATAAAATCCATTAAAAAGATCAAATATCAACACAGTTTATAAATAAGAATGAGCTGCGATTCATTTGATCCAAACAGATAAATGTTTCCTGCTAACGAAAGTCACACCTATAAAAATATTAACTTAAAGAATGAAACATCTTTTTGTTTTGAAGATGATGAAACAATTAAACAAGTAAATATACAAACCGGGAGTAAAAGTTAGAAAAATTAAAATTATCCAATTGTGGAAATACAGAGCCTTGAACCATATAGCTTTTAATAAGATGAATAAAAAATAGATATCAACCAATTAAGTCCTGGTATTTGTTAAATATATATATTTGAATTTATGGATATTTTTCTTTTTAGATTATCAATATGTATGATAGTTTGTTAGAGCGTTTGTTTATTTAATATATAATTAATTAAATAAATAAATTAATTAATAGAAGTCACAGGAATGAAGATTAGTGAAGTTTTTTAAGTTAATAAATAAGGTAGTTTTAATCAATTAATGTGAATTTTTATTTTTTTAATACAATTATTTTTGTTTTTTAAAGACAAGGTTATTTAAAAACAATAAGATCAAAAATGCTCATTATATATATCTAAGAAAGAAAGCACCAATAGTCCTAGCTTAAATTACCTTTCTATGATATAAGTTTAAAAATGTGATACTCGTGATATTAAAGTAGAAGTATTAGATTGTAGTGATTAACATAAATAATAGTAAATTTATTTTTGAATAATGTTTATATAATAATGCCTATTAAATAGAAGAAGAAAAGGTATTTAAAGCATGAAAAATAATAAAAATAATGGAGCAATCCTATCGCTGTTTATGCTAACTAGAGTAAAACCCAAAATATTAAATTACATACAACAATTTACAAGCTTTGGTAGAACTAGATGCCTTAATAAGAATATTAGCAGCATAATTAATGATCCAATAGATTATGAATTCAGTAATTATAAATTACTTAACCACAGAATCTTTTCTATTTTGATGTTTGATTAGATTATTAAATTATTTTAAATTATGGAAAATTTATTTTTTGATCTACTCAGCTTTATTCCTCTTTTTAACCCAGAAAATAAATTGAGAATTTGCATAAATTTAATAATCGCATGTTATAGCAGCTTTTATTTGTACATCACCTCACTCCATATTTTTTTTAATGCTGATTTCGGAAGCTATGAAGAATTATTTCATTAAATAGCTATTGCTGCTTGGATATCCGAAATGCTTCTTTCAATGAATACATTTTGCTATCACCACGGCTAGTTTATAACAGACCGAAAGCAAATATTTAGAATCTATATCAAAGAATATTTTTTCTTCGAATTCCTCCCTTTAATTTTTGAGGGAAGATAATCAGAAAATATATTTTACAACGTTTTGCTTCATTTACCCCTACTTTTAAAACTTTAAGGAATTTCGATAATTATGAATAAAATTGAATTCTTTGTTTTGTAGCACATCAAATATCCTTAGTATATTTAATTTCTAAAATTGGTCTTTTAAATTCTTCTACTGACTCATTTTATGGCTTGTTCTTATTATGCATTTGGCTAGTTTGAAAAATACATTTTAGAAGAGAAGAATGCATGGTTTCTCAATGGTAAAAAATTATATTTTATTTGAAAAGTTTCTTATTTAGTTTAATGTAAAGAATATCTATTTAATCAAATACACTAAAAAAAAATAATTACTTTAAAAACAAATAATCTATTTAACTATCATCATAGAATTCTTATGGAAATTTAAGTAGTTATTTTAATTATTGAATAATCAACATAAAGATCGTGAGTATTTTAGATATATCTCATAACCAGTTAAATTTTTAAATTTGAAAATATTTGACATATACGAATTATTCTTTTATTGGTTGAGCTTTATTAAAATTTATTAATAAATTTTATTTATTTTAGCCTTTTGTATTTAAAATTAAATATAAGTAGCTTATTAATAATTTTCTGAATTTTTTAACTAATTCTTTCATGGACTAATATTTATTAATTAGTTATTTATTTATTGTAATCAATCTTAATATTTATTTAAATTGTGTTAAATTAAAAGGTGTAAATGGTGATAAAAGTGAGTGGTGGTAATTATATTTTGAAGCATAATATTGGGCATTTTTAACAATGAGTAGCTCATTTTCTATGTCTGTAAATACTCAATATGAGTAAATTTTTACATCTTTTTGGATGCTGATTTCTTGTATCTTGTATGCCTTTTTGGTTAATATGATTGGTGATATTTTGAGAGAAGTAAACTCGTAATCTGAAAGCTTTAAAAGGAATCTAAATATATTAAATAGATATATGAAAAGAAAGAAGGTTAAAATGTAATTTTTATTTATTTAAATTAATTTTGATATAAAGTTAAACTAAATTATAAAGAGAACTATAAAGGGAAATGAATATTCACTTAAAGAAAAATTATGAGCATTTTAGCAAGAAATCTTTAGAAGAAGAAAAGGAAGCTTTAAATTAGCTTGGAAACGAAATGAAATAAAAGCTGATTATTGAATCAAATAAAAAATTTTTATGTCAATTTCCATTTTTCTAATAAAAATTATCTACCTAGTCTCTTAATTTACTCTACACACACCTTGAAGAAGAAACATACATAAAAGGTGAATATTTAACTCTTAGGGATTAGCACAATGACGATCCTTTTCTCTACTTGATCGTTAAAGGAGAAAGTAATTAATTAAAATTATTTAAATTTGTTTATTTATTTTTCATACTATTTTTTTTATTGTTAAAATTAATATTTTAATTTTTGAAATGATGTGATCAATATTTTATATTTATTGTCTTTATTGTTAAATAAGTTACATTGATGTATGATAAATTTAACAGCGAAGAATAAAATATTAAAAATGAATAAGATGAAAACAAGAATGTTTATATTGATAAAGATGATAAAGAAAAAATAAATTTAAAGTAAAGATTTTTAAATTTTTAATTGAGTTTTTTAAGTAAGTAATTAAGTTTAATTAATTTAAAGGTAGTTTTAAAAGTCTTCTATATTTAATTTGAAAGAAAGAACACAAAAATAAATTAAAAGACTAGGAGTAGGGAAATGTATTGGCGAATTTGAATTTTTTACAAACTTAAAGTAAAACTATATTGCCAAGTGTTCTAAAAAATCAATAGTAGTTAAAATCGTAAGATCTTAGCTAATTTAAATTTTGAAATAAAATGATTAAGATTACGAAAAGTTCAAATTATCTTAGGATCTCTTAGCCTTTAAAAATGATTTGTCTCAAATTTAAGATTTAAATTGCTTCTTTTGCTAAAGTGATAAACATCTGTACTAAGATTGCCACTTTGTCCATTTTTCAAAAATTAATCCTTTTATTATTCCAAAATCAAATAAATCTGTAAATTAAGAGAGGTAAAAGTTTGAAAGAAAAAAGAAATCCTTAAAATGGACAGTAAAGAAAAGAAACGAAGAATCGAAATTAGAATAAACTGAGGATAATATGTCGACTCTAAGGTATATTTCAGAATTTTAAGAACAAATTAATAACGAAAGTGAAGACCAAAATAATTCAGAAAAAAATATTGAATAAGTTCCTCATGTTTCGAAAAACATGATATTTAGTAAAGCTTCAGACTGCTATTCTGTAATTAAATTTGTATTTAAAATAAACTTTTTGATTATTTGTTTTAAATGGTAAATAATAGTTGACATATAATATCTAAGAGGATTAGCAATAGAATGAAATAATTATTTAAAATAGTTCTCATATTACTCCGACACGATTAAGATCTAAATCAAAAATGTGTTCTTTTAAAGAAGAGACAAGAGAAGAATAATAATAACATATAGAATCTCCATCTTATTCTTCTTAAATGAAAGAATATGCAGAAAAATAAAATAATTGTTCAGTCTTTACCAGTCCTTTAATTGAAGAGCAAAAACAAATGAAAGAAGGTTAAGAAGAAACGCATAAAAGGCACTAAAAGAAAAGTAAATTAAAAAATATACCTGAAATGAATGAGTCTACATTTAATAATAATTATAAAAAGCATCAAACTTTAAAATAAATACATTTAGATTAATAGAATTAGTATGCATCAATCGACCTAATTTCAAATAAAAATCAAATTGTTGATTAAAATAATTATAATGGAAAATTTAATGATAAATAAATATTTGCAACTTGGAATGAGTCATTAGCTTACTGGCTTTTTGATAAATATAAAGATTACACTATATATTTTCCTAGCTATAATCATAAAGAAATCATCAAAAAAAACATGATTTAAAAAAAGAATGTTTTCAATAAAAAGAAGAAAATAATAGTTTAAAAATCAAAGGTGTCTCAAATGGCAACTTTAAATTAACAATGAAATATCTTTTGATATAATAAACAAAAATAAACTAAATTATTTATATTTATATATTATTAATAAGGAGTAAGTAAGTAAGTAAGTAAATAATAATCAAAATAATTTATTAAACTAAGATAGATTTTTTAAAATTTACTTTCTGAGTAGAGACAGTCAATATTTTTACAAACATATTATCTTTTTATAAAAACAAATTTTATTAAATAGTGTTTAAAAAGTAATTCTAAAAAACAAGAAAAAAAATAATAAAATAGAGAAAAATCTGTCAATTGTTAATAAATTCCTACATATTATAAGAAATTATAAATAAATAAATAAATGAAATACATATCATATAAAATAGATAATTATAATCTATGATAAATCCAATTAATTTTAGAAATAATTACTTTTAAATAACTTTATTTAAATCAATTTTTTAATATTAAGTTACTAATTATTATTTAACTTCTTTAAATATTCTTTCAAAAATTTATATTTTGTTGCTAAATAGACAAAGCTTTTATTTTTAGATTAGATAGAAGCTGCATTTATGTTAGTATAATCACAATTATCATTAACTATAAATACATTAATTGTAAAAATCAAATTTGAAAATAATTTAACAAACTATTTTAAAAAATTTTTTTAAGACACAATTTAATTTTAAAATAGTCTTTTCAATTCTTTATTAGAATTATTAAAAAATATATACCTTATTTATAAATTTTATAAGCTTCACAAAGATAATTTTAATTAATATTTGGATATAATATATGCTTGCTTATATATAAATCTATTTCGATATAAATGAACAATAGAAGCACAAATAATGATTTAAAAGACAAAATTAAATAAAGCTTTCCTTACAATCCTTACGATATTTAATTAGAGTTTAGTTTGAACTTGTATGAGTCTTTGAATGTGAAGAAGCTTTGTATATTTGAAAGTCCTACTGGTACAGGTAAGAGTTTGAGCTTAATTTGTGGCGCGTTTAATTGGTTTAAAGATAACTAAGAAAACTACGATTTGATTAAAGGTTTCAAAGAAAGGAGAGACAAAATTTTATTAGGAGAAGTCAATATAGATAGTAAAAAAGAAGAATCAAATAGCTTGCCTGCATGGCTAACGAATATAAATGATATTAATAGAAGTATTTTTTACGAAAAAATTTAAATATAAAAAAATAAATTAGCTTAAAAAGCAAAATCTCTTAAGGAATTTTAGATGTTCAGAAAAGAAAAAATGAAGTGAATTAATTTTTTTAGAGAAAATATGTCTTAAAAAATATTTTTGTTTAATAAATTTTTAGAATAAGATATGAAGAGTACAAAAAAAATATTATCAAATAATAAAAGAACAATGAATAAGATAAAAAAGAGCATTAAGATGAAGATGAGTAATACTATGTGAACTGGAAAGAAGAATAGGGAGGTGATGCAGAAATAGATATTGAATCCATGATCGAAGATTACAAGAAATCTAAAAGTCAAATTAGATAAAACAATGAATAAGATGAAAATGATAATGAAAACACTACTATAAAAATAATTTATGCTAGTAGAACTCATAGTTAGATAAAATAATTTGTATAAGAAATATTGAAAACGAAATTTAAAGATATGAGAGTTATAACTTTAGGAAGTAGATAAAATCTTTGCTTGAAATTTGATGAATAATCTAAACAATCTTTACAATAAATAGATGATTATTGCTAAAAAGCAATAGGAATTAATAAGACTGATAAGTCAGTTCCTCGTTGTGAGTACTTCACTAATTTAAAATTATTGCAAGATGATATTGATTATTTGTTTTTACATAATATTCACACTTTGGATTAAATGAGATCTGAATCTCTCAACAATCAAGTAAAAAATATTAAACATAAATAAATAATTACTTTCATTATTTCAAAAAGTAAGTTGGAGATAAAACAAACTATCAATTTATTAATTATGTCTTTCTATTTTCTAATATCTAAAAATATCAAAATTATCAAGAAAAATGTTGATATAATTTAATAAAATTAGTGGATGAAATTATTAATAAGTTAACATATAAAAATAAATAAAGGAAATTTTTATTTATAATAAATTAAAAAGGTGTGTCCTTACTATTTATCTAAAAGAAGTGTTATTGATGCTGAAGTAATTTGCGTTCCTTATGTAACGTTGCTAGATGAAAACATGAGAATAAATTCTAATATTGATATAACAAATTCTATCATTTTATTTGATGAATCACACAATATTCTAGAAAGTTTAAGTGGGATTAATTCTGTAGAAGTTACATATAAAAGAATTTTCTAGGCATTTGTTTAGCTATTAACTTATTATGATAAGTTTTGCAGGAGACTTAACCCTAAGAATGCCTTATTTATATAAAATATTAAAAACTTGTGTTTAGACCTGCTTAAATTCATCAAAGCAGAAATAGATTTAAATGCTTCAATCAAATCTGAGCAAGATTATGTTAAAATTAACAACATTTAGCTACTTCTCAAGCTCAATATGGACAGGATTGATTTCTTTTAAATTAAAAAATTTACTCAAGAGACTAGATTAGGTTAAAAAATACACTTTTTTTCTCAATCTCCTAAATATGTTCCATCATAAATACCGCCTTAGGTTAACAAAAGTCTTAAAGACATAGTAATTAATTTCATTTAATATAATTAAAACTATTTAATATTTTTTAAATTAAAATTAACTAGAATATTTAAGAATTATTAAAGAATAGCCCATATATGGTTGTAGAAAATGTTATGAATTTTCTTTGGAAAATGCAAGATTCTATAAGCAAGAGTGAAAAGTATTCAATAATTATAAAAAATATTTCTAAAATTGAAGAATCTTCTATTTAGCTGATGTGCTTAGATGTTATAGAACCTTTGTATAAAGTTATTCAGGAAAGTGCTTGTGTAGTTTTAGCTGGAGGAACCATGGAACCTTTAAGTGAATTTGAATTACTAATCAATTAAGTTGGAAAGAATAACTTTAAACACTTCTCATGTGGTCACATAATTGATGAAGAAAATTGTTCTGTATTTTGTGTAAGCACTTTAGTTGAACAGTCTGATAAACCACTGATTTTCAATTACCAAAATAAAAAAGATGATTAATTATTTTAAAACTCAATAGATATTATTCATTAATTAGCTCAAACAATTCCTGACGGTCTAGTTATTTTTGTATAAAGCTATACGTTTCTAGAGAAACTAAAGAGCATCCTCTTAGAAAACTAAAATTTACTTTAATAAATCTAATAATATAAAAAAATATATATGGACGATAAAGATAATTCAAACAACACAATACTCGAAAAATACTAAAAAGAAATAAATAAAGAAAAAGAAATTGGAAGCAAAAAGAATGGCGCAATTTTAATCTCTGTAATAGGTGGGAGACTAAGTGAAGGTAACTTAATTTTAATTTAATTTAGAAAAAGATATTATAAAATTTACTTTATAGATCTAACTCTAATTTTTTTTAAAGGGATAAATTTTAGTGATTAACTTGCAAGGTGCGTTGTAGTATTTGGAATGCCCTATTCAAATATTAAAAGTGCCGAATTAATAGAAAAAATGAATCACTATGATTCCATATCAAAAAAAAATAACTTTAGCTTTAGTGGAAATGATTATTATGAAAATTTGTGTATGAAATCTGTGAACTAAGCAATTGGCAGGTCTATAAGACACAAAGATGATTATTCAGTTATACTCTTAATTGATTAGAGATTTTCTCAAGAAAAAAATATCAATAGATTATCAAGTTGGATTAAAAAAAGAGTAAAGCCAGCTCATTCTTTTGAAAGTACCAAAAAAAATATTAAAATTTTTTTCGAAAAAAAACAACAACATAAGATTTGAAAAAATTAATAAATTTAATTTTTAAGATATAACTTCAAAGTATTTTCAAAAATAAATTTTATTAAAATATTAACAAATCATAATTTACTTTATTTTTTTGAGTAAAATAAACTAGTTTACATTCCGAAAAATAAGTATCCTTTATTATATTTGATTTTTTAATATTGTGGTATAAATTTATAAAAATATGTTATAATTTTTAAATACAATCTCCTCAAATTATTAGAGAATATTGAATAAATTATGAGCGTATTTATGTTTAAAAAAATTTATGTTTTAAAAAAAAAATAAATTAGTTTTTATATTAAAAATATAAAAAATACAATCAATCACATTTTTGTTAAAAAATTAATAGATTTCAAATTTTGTATACTTACTTATTTATTTATTATTTCTACATAGATGATCAAATAAGCTGGTATTGATAGAATGAACGTTACATTTTAGTATCAGCAATACCATTAATAATCATTGATTCGAATTTGAGATAGATAGAGGAAGAAGGTGGAACTATAATTTTATGGTATCTTTCGTCATTCATTTCAAAATCATTAGAATTTAAAAACCTCATGTTTTTGGTATCAAATTTAATAAGTTAAACATAAGTTTTATCTTTTGTAGTATTTATGTACTTATAAACTATAAAGTGAGGTAAATTTAATGTTAGCATTGAAATTTAACCATCTATACCTTCACTCACCAAAATCTTTTCACTATCTTATGGTATTTATTTTTCTATCTCTTCTTCTGAGAGAAATTTTTCTGGTAATACTCTGTATAATTAAGACATTCCCAATTAAGTATTATTGCATTGAAAACTAGACTGTTTGAAAATCCATTTTAAAGTTTAACCTGAGGGAACTATTACTTTGTACTTATTTTTTTCTATTTCTTAATATTCGATTGATTCATTATACTTCAAACACTCAGTAACAAGAGAGGAACTTGTAAATTCAATTTCATTTACAAATCTCTAATTATTTGTATTATTTCTAATAGCAAAAACGAAAATTGATCCTATAAGAATTTGGTATTTGTAAATTGGCCACTTTTAATCATATGGTTACATATCCTTGACAGTATCTATATAGTCACAAAATATTTTTAATTGAGCTTATCTGATTAAATTTTTTTTCTAAAAATTTATTTTTTAATTTCCGTAAAATGAAAGAACAATATCCTTAGAATATGGTCTTAAAAAATCTACGATTATTACTATTGAGTACTTTTTACCTCTTTCTAACTTGACCTATTAAAAAATCATTTCTGAATTTTGGCAAACTGTATACTTTAGCTCTGTAGGTTTATTCTTTTCTTTATCCATTTCAAAAACGCAGAAAGAAATTGAGCTAGTTTTAAAAGAACTATGATCTTAGCGAGGAAGATATCTTTCACTTATTTAACTGAGAATTAGACTGCCTTCTATGTCTTCACCAGCTTCTTCAACATATAAGTCATATTAAAATAAAGCAAAATAATCTTCATTTTTTATTTCTAAAAAGGAATATTGGTAACTTGGATTGAAAAAAGCTACATTTACATAGCTAAAATTTTAATAGAAATCTTAAAAGCTCATCCAGAAGATTCCATCATCTTTCACTTCTAAATTTACTTATTATTTAAGCTCTTCAGTCCAGCAAGTACTTTCATCTGACCAATCAAGTTTCCATTCAGTTTTAGCCCAAGGATTTTTTAGTTTAATTAGTTTCAATTTATCAAATTGTCTGACCTCTATAATACTATAAGCGTGATTAGCAACAAGTCCATTATCAAGTGCTTTTTCTCCAGTAAATTCAGATTTAGAAACTCCTGTTGTTTAAAGATATCCTTTATTAAAACTTTCTAAAATTTTAGCCCAAGCTTCTTCTATATCTTTAAATGAATTAGTTTTTTCCTTACCAAAGTAAGTTTATTAGCTTGGACACCCTACTAAATGCATTAAAACTGCAGAAGTACTAGGACCAAGTTTATTTTCATTGTTTCCTTCAATATTTAAATAGTTTTTATGAAGTTTTGCCATTGCCTTTTCAAGTAAGCTAGGCCAAATAGCAACATTATTTGGTGATTGGGCAAAAGCAAAACCTCTTGAGTCTTAGTAGCATGGCAAATAATCATCAACAACTACTTTAACAGATTTTCCATTTTTGATTAGGTTGAGAATATATTTACCTTTTTCATTGTATGATTAATTTCTAAACAAAGATTTGATGACATTTGGATATTGAGACAACACAATCATACAGACTATAAAATAGCAATCTCCTAACAAACCTTATTTGACATCATATATAGAAGTAGTGTCATTAAAAAATAAGTTAACTTTTCCATCTTTTATCACCTCATTTACCCTTTTAAACACTAGTGGAGTTTATTTTTCTAAGAGTTAGTTAATGTAAGCAACTTGATCATAAGAAATAGATTCAATGAGTGGTGGGAATTCTTTGTCAGTAAATATTTCTTCAGTTTCTATTTATTCGTCTGATGATATTTCCTCTTCATCTTATACTTGTATTTAGTCTACACACTTATTTTATGTGTTATCCTCTTTTTAAATAAGTATTTCTTTTTCTTATTTTGTTTAAGTTTACTTTTCTCCTTCAATTTATATTTCAGTTTTTTAAGAATCCTGATTTTACTATTTGTTAATGAAATCATTTAAATTTTCGTCTGGAAATTGTGTAGACTTATTAAGATTATTTTTTAGTAATTTATCAACATTATTTTAATCAGTCTTTTGTTATTAAGAAGAAAAGCTATCTATTGTATCAAAAAATTTTTGATTAGAAATAACATTTGATTAAATCTGTTTGTTGTTATCAATTAGATGCAATTAATTTGTAGCTTAATAAGAGATATTAATTTGTTTTTCGTCTGTTTCAATTTCTTTCAAAGATTGTTCATTTTTTTAATTTTCAGATAGCTTATTATCAATATTTATTATTTAATCTAAATTATTCTACTTCACCTAAACAGCTTTAGAGTTTAATGGCTCCTATTCATTCAAAAGATTTAAATTGCCATTTTCAGAATGTTAAGAACTTAAATGAGCAATTTTAATTTCTTATAATTGGTTTTAGCTCTGGCTGAGCTAAATTTTAGAATTCTCATCTACTTTGCTTGATTATTATTAAAATTCTTCATTCTAAGAATCTTTATTAACAAAGTTAGTAATCTCTTTTTAAGTGTTTGCTTGAATCTTTTAAGTTGAAGCTAAGTTATTTTCAATCAAAGAAAGTTAATTAATTTGACTTTTAATAAAATCATTAATTTCTTTTTTGCTGTTTTCTTATTTCTTCTCTTTTTCTTATTAAAAATCCTTTTTATTGAATTCACTCTCACTAATAAAAAGATTTTGATTTTGTTAAATTTTTTTATCTTTATTAATTGAATTTTGCTAACTTAATTTATCATCATATTCATCATTATTTTCTTATTTTTTTATTGTTTAAGAGATAAAGCCTAATTCTTCATTTGATTAATCCTTTATTTCTTTAACAAAATCATTAATTTCTTTTTTGCTGTTTTCTTATTTCTTCTCTTCTTCTTATTAAAAATCCTTTTTATTGAATTCACTCTCATTAATAAAAAGATTTTGATTTTATTAGATTTGTTTTTCTTTATTAATTGAATTTTTCTAACTTAATTTATCATCATATTCATCATTATTTTCTTATTTTTTTATTGTTTAAGAGATAAAGCCAAATTCTTCATTTGATTAATCCTTTATTTCTTTAACAAAATCATTAATTTCTTTTTTGCTGTTTTCTTATTTCTTCTCTTCTTCTTATTAAAAATTCTTTTTCTTGAATTCATTATCACTATAAAAAAGATTTTGATTTTATTAGATTTGTTTTTCTTTATTAATTGAATTTTGCTTACTTAATTTATCATCATATTCATTATTATTTTATTGATTTTTTATTGTTTATGAGATAAAGCTAAAATCATCATTTGATTAATTCTCTTATTCAATATTATTCTACTTAATTATAATTATATCACTTCCTTTATTTCCTGTGCTTCTCTTTTGATCAATTATTTAACTTAGACTTTAAGCTTAGGCAGTATTTTGTTGTTATTATTCCTTTTTATTATTGTCATATCCTATTTAACGATTACTTAAACCATCTTGTGAATTTTTGCTTTTTATTGTTACTTAGACCAATTGATTGCTAAAAAGTTGTTCTTATTAAATCATATTTTATTACTTTTATGAGAAGTTATCTTTTGATGAAACACTTTTTTTATCATTTTATTACATGATGTTGTTTTTTTTAAATTATGAAGGTTATGATGACACTAAGTGACAGTCAACACTTGTTTGTTTTATCCCTTTGGTATTTAACACATTTTATTCTGTTTTACGTTAGGTATTGAATGCATCTGATTCTGTTTTACATTAGGTATTTAATGCATCTGGTTCTCTTTTTTTTCTTTCTTTCTCATTCTGTGTTTTATTATCTTCTTTTTTTTTTTCTTTACTGTGCAGGCAGTTACCCATATATCAAATTTACTTTTTTAATATATTTTTTTTGATTTAGTATTTTTATTTGATATTATTATGAAAGTTAATATTTTATACAAGTATTTAATAAACTATTCAAAGAGTTTTGAAATTAATTTTGGTATTATTCATTAATACTTTTTCATATCTTATTTTTTCCCATTATTTAATATTCTAAAATATATGATATTTTTTAAGTATTAAATTTTTTCAAAGATTCCATAAATTTATAAATTTAAATTAATCGACAATCATTACCAAGTGGATACAATTATTATTTCTTAAGGAAGGACAAGAGTGGAATAACTCAACAAAAAACTATTTAGAAAGAATTATCTTAAAATGATCTCAAGCCACATTATTCTTAAAAAAATTGAAGAAAAAGAAAAACTCAGCAGTAATAAAAAAAAATAAATTAAATTTAGTTAATCTATCTTTTAAGTTAGTTATATTTAATTTTTTATCAATAAAATAATTTAGTTTAATTATCATAATTTATTCTATTTTATCAATATTTTACAATTAAATATTTTTTTTAAACAAACATTATTTTATTTAAAGTAAAAATAGAATTAATTAATATTTTTCAGATTCTTTTTTTCTTAGCTTTCAATAGCTATAATAAATAATTATTTCTCAATTTTATAAGCAAATATTAATAGTAAAATATCCCCTTATAAATCAATATCAAATTGATTTAACAATAGTATAATTAAGGTAGATATAGTTTTATTAAAATTTTTTTTTTTTGCAAAATGCTATTTTTATTGAGTTTATTAAATTATAATTTAGCGGAAATTACAAAATAGAAACCATTAGCCTACTAAACTAATAAAATAATCTTGAAAACAGATAAAATAATTTAAAGAATACAGTTTTAATAGAATTAGATTAAGTTGTAAATATATAATTAAACAAAAATTACTCATATAGTTAACTAATCGAAAAATCTATCTATCTCTTACAAGTTATTAAAATATTTTATAGAAAAATTAATTAGATTAGGATGAAATAAAAAATGCTTAAAAATAAAATTGTTTATTTAATTAGATGAAAAGGATTGTTTAAAATAATTTAAAAATAAAGTTATAAAATAATTAAATTTCAATTAAATTATGAAATCTAAAAAATAGAATTATTATTACTGAAATGAATTAAATTGAAAGGATATAAACAGAGTATAAAATCCCATTCATTCTTCTTTTTTGAATTTTCAAAAAATAGCCAAATATTTTAAAAATTGCTAGGCTATAAACTGAATGCATACAGATTGCTTTTTAAAAAGAAATTTTTCTTTATCTTTCTTGAATTTTAATTTAGATTGAAATAATTCTTTTAATATCTTTACACATTTTTACCATTAATTATTTTTTTTAATCACAAATATATTATCAATTACAAAAACAATATGAAAGTTTTGGGTTTAAATTCAATATAAAAAAATCTGAAAATAGCTTTCAGCAAATTTGATAGTTTAAAAAAATAATAAAAAAGTGCTGAAAAATCAATTTTTGAATTCAGTACATTGCTAAAAAGTAGGTTAAAATATTTTCTAAAAAAATAATTAGATTATTATGTAAAAATAAAGTTAAAAAAAATATTATGATTTAAAGTTAATTAAAGACTATTGTTACTTAAAAATAGCTATAGAATTTTACAGAGTATAGTAAAAAATAATTAGATTAAATTGTAACTAAAATATTTATGTTAATCATATAATTACTAATTAAATAAAATGATTATTAACTTATTAATAATTAAAATAATTTAATAATAAAATTATTTGATTACAATTTAACAATAAAATTAAAATATAAAATCTAAGTCAATTAAATGAAAAAACTTTTACTAATGAATGGTAAAATTAATTTAATGAATATTGTAAAAAAAGTAGTATAATAAAAAATAAATATAAGTAAGTTTGTTAATTAAATGAATAGACAGAAGATTTATTATTGCTTATAAATAAATGGTTAAAATAATTGAAAGAATTAGATTAGAACTTTAGCATGAGAATTAAAAAATATGATCAATACGTTAAGTGAGTGAGCTAAATGAAAAAACAAACTATTTGTTATTTATAAATGGTTAAAATAATTTAAAGAATATAGCAATAAAATAAGTTTATATAATCAAAAATTACCCAAATGTTTTTAATGATATGAAGATCTATTTATCTATCTATAGATTAGTTCATTAAATGGATTATTAAATAAACTGATTGTTTTTCAAAATCTTAAATCTAATTCTTTTTTGTTAAATTCACTAGAAAAAATATTAATAAAGAAATATACTTATTCATGTAAAAAGGAAGTGATTAAAAAGTAGAACCATAGTAGCAAAGTTAGCTACAGTAATCAAAAGAGATAGTATAAGAATAAAGCTGTTAAAAAAGCGATCCTTTACTTAGAATAATTTTTGTATATCTTATAATAGGATTTATTATATGCCTTGTTGTAGCTATTATTGTAGGGTATTACTATTTATGTTCTCTTTTTTTACCAGCATATGCCTCAACCATAGTAAACGCTCTTTTTTTCATCTATCTGCATCTTCATCAATTTATTTTTGATAATTACTTTTAGATATTAATTGCAATAATCTTATTTCTACTGCGTAAAGCTACCTACTATATTCTTTTTCCAGGTCAGTTTTGTTATCACCGTACTTCTTTAGAAGAAAAATTTTGCTACACTAGAATTCGTCCTATTGTTTATCGATTGGATCTCATTTAAATCCTTTTAAAATGCCTAAAAAAAGAAGAACCAATAAATAAATTATTACATCTAACTTAGCCAGATCTTAAATAAGCTAAGTTACATATTGATTAAGCGTTTCAGGCTTTAATTAAATTAGAATAAAGTCAAAAGCTAACTGATTTGTAAATAGAGATCAAGAGATTATTTGATTCATTTTTGAAAGGACTAGACAGCGCCACTGTTTAGGATGAAACGTTTACATTTTCTATTTAGAACATAATATGTAATCAAAAAGATCTAGATACTATAAAATCATCATGTAAATTTACTAAATTATTAAATAAAATAAAAAAATAAGTGCAAGACTTTTTGTGTGACATGTCACTTTTAAAATTATTTCTAAATTTGCATTAATTATTTTGTTTAGAAGATAAATTTTGTTTGATCTTTCAAAATTGAATAATTTAGATGAAACTTTGAAGATTGAAGATAGTTAAAAATTTAATGATTTTTGTTTGATTACAAACTAAACAAAGGTAATATTTTAAAGACATTGTTAAATTCCACACATTTAATAATTTATTTTATAGACCTTATTAGAGTAAATAGAAAATCAGGATAGCAAACTGAAAAGGAAATATAAAAACTAAACAGAAAAGGCATTAGGTTCTATAGAATTTGTAATGATTATTTCAATCAAAATATTTTAACCATTTATTTCAAAAATTAAAAACTCTGGCTAATTAAAATGACTGACATTTGTTAAAATTTAAACATTAAAAAAAAAATGTATTTATGATGTTATTCAAATGATTTACTAATATAATATAAAAGGCATTAGCTGAATTTTCGGTTCAAAACAATATAAAAAGATTTTAAATAAAGGGACAAGACAATAATGTTATTCATGGGTAAAGCTGACTAATTTGTTTTTTAAAATGGTTTTCAAACTGAATTAAAATTTAAAAAAATAGCTTAATAGTTTATAGTAAGAAACATTACGAAAAAATGATGAATCATTCAGATTAAGTTTTAGATTAAGACAGTTAATCACCAACATTAATTTTTTGCAATGGAAATGCTGGGTTGTATGAGTTTAACTATTTTATAGTAAAATAATTTAACAAAAATAAATAAATGAATTAATTATCTTTTTTTTTGTAGGATGATTGGACTCAATAAGTTGTTCAAGATTATGAAATAAATGTTGTTTTTTGGAGTTACAGAGGATATGGCTATTCTACAGGATCTCCATCGATTTAAGTAAACTTATTTATTCAAAGAGAATTTTGTTAATATGAATTTATTTTGAAAAGAATGTTTGCAAAGATGTTGAGTCAGTTTACGATTATGTAAAAGATATTCAAAAATTATCAAAGATAGGAGTTTTTGGAACTAGCTTAGGGGGATTAGTAGCTGCTCATTTAGGAGCTCACAGAAAAATTGATTTTTTATATGTGGATAGATCATTCTCTTGTATATCTGATATTGCTTATTTTACTATGTTTAGAGTTTTTAAATTTGTTGTCAGATTCCTAACAAATTACGACTTATGGTCTCCTTTTAATTATGTAAACGCTAATTGCTATAAGGTGCTATCTTACGATCCAAACGATGAGGCAATTGGCTATATGTCCTCGATGATGAATGGAGTATCTAAATCGATTGCATAAAATGTTTTTCTAGCTTAAAATAAGATTTCTTATTATTAATAAAATGATTACAGCATGATAAAAAATTTTAAAGGATTCTGGAATAGAACTTGTACATCAAATAATATTTTAGATTATTCAACAAATTTATTAATTCCTTTGTAAATGCAAAAAAAACTTTTCAAAACATTATTGCATATTTTGCTAGGAATTAAAAAAGTTATAACGAAATCAAATTAGCAATTGAAAATTTAACAGTAACAAAACGACCAAGAAAAACTCTATTCCCTTAAAAATTTAAACTAGAATAAAAAAAATAAAGTTTCGACCTGTGATATATAATATGATATAGACGAATCATATGTATTAAATGACACTTAATTAATAAGTAATGGAGACTTCATTCTAGAAAACATGGATTCAAATTAGCATACTTTCATAAATCAATCTATTTCTATGCTAAAAAAGCTAGATTCTTAAGATATTAAAATAATTGTAGATTAATGCAGTCCTTCACGAATTGAAACTTCTCATCCTTAATAAACACATAACAACACAACATCTACTTAAAAATAATATGAGATCAACATAGAAGTAATTAAGTATAATTATACATTGCCAAATAATGAATTAGAACTAGAATAAATAAAATAATCTGTAAGAGGCATATACACGCTTCTTGATTAATATGATTCGAGCGGACTAACGCTTCTTGATTGCCTACACTCAGGCAACTTCCTTAAATTCTAAGTATACAATATTCATTCTTTTCGTTTAAAACAAGAAATAAATATATTTATAAATAAATAAAAAAAAGACTTTTATTTTAAATTTATTCATTTGGGGATCATATCCTCCAGTGAGTCTTACTGTAGCTGAAAACCCGTCAATAATGGATCACCATAGATATGTAAAAGTAAAATTAATATTTTTTTAATACTTAACAATAAAATAAATTAATTAATTTCAAGGCAAAAACATCACAGCTTATAAATAAGATAATTTAATTAATAAATGCAATAAATTTATAGCAGAACTAAACAAATTTTGAAAAATGCGTAAGATTTTTAATTTATTTTTTTTAAGATAATGAAAAACCATTTTTTTATAGTTACAACAGGATCTTTAAGTGCTAAAAACAGGATTTGAAGCTATCTTTTAGAGCTTAGTAAATAATATTTAATTTATAACAAATAAATTTAATCCATATTTATAATAGAAAAGCTCAAGTTAATTTTTTAATGCTAAGGATAATTACAAGTCCCCTAATAGTGACGCTAAAAGTAATAATGCAACTATTGATGCTATTGTATTAAATAGTGGTATTTATTAAAGAAATTTTGAATAAGAAAAACTTAATTAAGCAGAAGAAAGGTTCCTATAACAAAAAATATAAACTCTAGTAGGAAATTTGCTAGTGGTTTAATGTGGACATGTAGATCCTTATTCTAAAATTGAAGAACTTGCTTTAAGAAATCATTTTAGAAATGCAGGATTTCTATGATATTTAATAAAAATATTGTCATTTAAAAAATAATTTAACTTAATTTATATTTATTTAATAAAGCTATTATCTATCTAATAAACTTAATTTATTTCCTAATTTAATTTATTTATTTATATATAAATATATTATGTTGAAAATTAATTAAATAGTAAATATTCTAGTGAAATCAAATTTATATCAACCATATTTTTAATTATTTATCTCATTTATGAATTTATTTTTATTCTATTTTTTTTAGGTTGCTTTTAAATCAATAAAAAAAATATCAATTTATTGCTTAAAAGTTCTAGATATTATAATAAATTTAATTTGATTCACGAAATTCATTTAAGATTATTTAATAAAATTTATTTTCTTAATTTCTTGTTCTAAAATACATACTGATTTCTTGATATAAAAATAAGTTTTTTATTAAAAACTATGACTTTAATATTCTTTTAATGATAGAGGTAATATGAAAAACTATATAATTGGATGTTTAAGCAATCTATAATTATTGTTTATTTTTAAAAACTACATTTACTTAAAAATAATCATTAAGCTTGATAGTAATTTTATTGCTAATTTATTTGTTAATAAATAGGCTTTGGTTACTCAAATTATAGTAAGCTCATTAAAAAAAATAATATTTTTTATCTATTGCTTTTGATAATAAATTCACAAATAATTAATAAAAACATAAAAAATAAATATGTAAAAAAAGGAAAAAAATACAATAAATTAATTGAAAATTTTATTAATATTCTTTAAAATTTTTAATGATTTATTTTAAATAATTTAATAAATAAGCTATTTATCATGAAATTTACTAGTTATATCCTTTAATTAAGAGGTAAAAGAGAATTAAAACAAAAAACAATTAAACTTTTTATAATTTTATATGATTTAAATTCATACATAATATTTTTAAAAAATTATTATTTTTTATATTCATAAATAGTATGTTGGATTACTTTCTTTAAATAAAAGTTAGAATTTATTGAAATTTTAATTAGTAGATTAATATTATTTTATTTATTTTTTAATATTTATTTATAAAGTAAGTTAGTTAGTAAATCTAAATACCTGAAAATTCAATTTATTTTAACAATTTGCAAATAAGTATAAAAAACTGTTTTTAAATTAATTACTTTTAAATTAATAGGAGATTACTCTCTTCAGATTGAGATTCCTTAACGCATATTATTAACATTTATCCTTAAAATCAGGTATATTAAAATAATGTTAAGCTTAATGTATTATTAATTTAATTATTCTTATGATGTCATTCAAATTTATTAATCAAAGAAAAAAAAATTGTGGTAAAATGAAAATAAGAAAAAACAGATTTAGATTTTTTTTAGTTTTTTTTAAATTTATAAGACAAATCATAGGAACTTAATTCAAATTTAAATAAAAACAGTTCCTTTCAGTGAATATTTTATTAATATAATTTTTAAATTTAAGTATTTAAGAAAATAAATTTTATTTAGAATTTTTTATTTGTTACAGCTAAAACAAATTATAAATTACAAACTTTTGAATCAATAGAAAATATAGATAGATGGATACCCAAAAATACAATTATTAAATCGTTCTATTATGCTATAGCCACAATTTTGAATTTTATTATGATAAATCATTCTTTTTTTGAGTATTTTAAAGTATGACAATAAGATTAATTTTTTAAGTAATCATTAAATAAAAATAATAATAAAGAAGAATAATAATAAAAAAGTAAAATACTCATATGAGTGATGATTCATCCCAAAATACCAAAAAAGAAGGGTAATATTAATAAGTAAATAATACTGAATATAAAATCTTGTAACACGGTAATGCAGAAACTCATAATTCAGATAAGGAAGAAAAAAGAGAAAATGTGAAAAAGACAAACTCTGGATGTATTGAAAAATTAAAGAGCAAGCATAAATAGTTCAGAAATTGGTGGGAAAGTATTCCTCCTGTGAAGAGAATCGCTTCTTTTTTAGCTGCCTAGCTATTACCTATGGCAATAAGCATAAGCTTAACAAAAACAACTTAATCTGATTGGTAGAATCATTCAAATCAAATTCAAGCTTTGGGTGATAACTATAATTCTCATTTTTATATAGACTTTTCTGTTAAGCAATAATGTTCTATGGATGAAACAAATGTTATGGAATATATATGGCCTGGATTAAATCAAGGATGTGACTGCTACTCTTCAAGTGGAGTTATTAATAGCAACTATTAGAATTGCTAATGTAGTTAAGTACCTTCTTGGGATCCAGTTGCGTTTTAATATCTCTTTACTAATGGACCATAAAAATTGACTCTATGTGCAAAAAGATCTCTACTAAACTTCTTTAATGTAGGACCCTTGTCAGGTCATTCATGCACATCCTTACAAAAATAATGTGGAAATCCTTCGAAGCCTGAGACTGTTCTTTGTGTTGGTTTGAATGATCCCTGCCCTATTTATGATATAATCTTTACTAATGGAGTTTAATAGCCCTATGCAAGTGATCCTAATTGGGGATAGATCTAAATCAATAGTAACCAATATATCTATTTTGATAAGTTAGGAGCAAATGCAAATAATCTTCCCTTATCTTAATTTGTATTTACAGCAGGAGCGGGGGTTTGTATTGATAATTATACTTAATAAAATATTGATTAAATACGCTTAGATTATCCACTCTCAAAGAGTTAGAGAACAGCTTGCAGTAATACTGACCCTAGATTTTATTTTGTATATTAAATTGGTGTTAATTAGCTTTACCTTACAGAATTTAGTACCCAAGATTACAATTTATTGAGTTAATTATCAGGAATGTAACTGTCAACATCTACAGAAGTTTATAAACTATATAAAAGACCATATGAGCCATGGAATGTCAATGATAGATACAAAATTTTAATTTTCTAAAGCATAATAGATGATGTTACTTTCTAATAATTTTTATTTTCTGCCTCCTTTATTATAAATACAGCTGCATCCAGCGTTTTTTATGTGTTTGGTATAATTTATGGATACTATTAGCACATAAATTTATTGAGAAACGATAAATATAAAATTGCTATTTGGAATGCTTTGAATACAATAATGAGTTTATTATCTAAGTCTTTATCTTTTATCATGTCAGTAGTTACATTAGCTTTCGCTTTAGATTATGCCTTGAAATTTACTGTTTTAATTAACAATCACCCTTCTACTGATATATTTTAATAGCAATGTTAAAATTAATTAGATTATATAAATTCAATATTCAAATCTAATTACATAGTAACAATTATTATTACTGGAATCTATCTGCTAAAAGATATTATAGACATTATTCCTGACCTATACACAGCTTACAAAGAGAAGAAAAAACAGTAATAATCTTAAAAAGTGAGCTCAGAAAAGTAAGAATAAGAAAATAATAAAGAAAAAAAATAATAGGATGGAAAGAAAGAAAAGAAATAAACTAAAAACTAAGGAGACCAAAAGTAAAATTAAGAAAAATAATTTGAAGAATGGAAAAAATAATAACTAAAAGAATATGATAATTGGTAAAATTTGGTAGCTCAATAAAAAGAAGAATAATTATAACTATCAACAAAATAATAAGATGAATGGTAAAAACTTTAATAGTAGATTGAAGAAGAGTAAAAAAAGCTCAAATCTAAACAAGCAGAAGATCAAGAAAAGCTAAAATAAAAATAAAACGATGAAGAATAGAAGTTTTCATAAAAGTAAACTGACTAAGAATAAAAGTAACAATTTAAATTAAAATAATAATAAGAAAATCTAAATCTTTAGAATAAATAAAATGAAGATTAATAAAAACTAAATACTGACTAAGCTGATAGATAGCACAAAATGCTTGCTAAATAGTCTTAGGAATAGCAATAATTGTCTTAAAAATAATAGTAGGAATAGAGAAAATTACTGTAAAGCCAAAAAGAAGAATAATAAAAATTATTATAAAAGCAAGAGTAAGAAAACCATAAATAGAGCAGTGAATAAAGATAAAATTAACAAAATGATGAATAACAACAATCTGAGTCACAGTAATAAATATAACAATTAAAGTAATTAACACAACTACCAAATTTATCTCATGGATAATTTGAATTAAAAGGTGTAATTAGTAATTTATAATGAGTATATTTTATTATTTCTAAATTTGAATCATTATATTTTTTCAAATAATTATTATTCTCTTTAATTGAATTAAATCTATTTTTCCTTTATAATTTAATTAAATTTTTTAAAAAAAATATATTTCTTTAAAATATCTTAAAATTTTTCAAATAATCTTGTTTTTTTGAAATAAAATATTCTATTTATGCAAATACTTTTAAAGTAGGACATCCCTCTAATATTAGCAAAATATTTTTGAAAGCTAAATAAACATTTAGATATTTTTAATATTTTGATTTACATAAAAATAAATACAGTCAACTTAATCAAGTAATTTGATTATTGAATTTTTTTCTTTTAAAGTAAATGATAATAATAAGATAATAGGAGATTTTTAAATTTTACATTTAGATTTTCTTATTTATGATGGGATAGTTTATGAATTAAAATTTCAAAATTAGGTTTATAGATAGACAAAAGAAATATATTAAATAGTTTGTTTATATTTAGATTTACTTATATATTCTATTTATGCAAATTCTTTTAAATTAGGACTCTCTCTAATATTAGCAAAATATTTTTGAAAACTACATAAATATTTAGATATTTTTAATATTTTTGATTTACATAAAATACATTCAACTTAATCAAGTAATTTGATTATTAAATTTTATACTTTAATTTTAAATGATAATAATAAAATAATAGATGATTTATATATTTTACATTTGGATTTTCTTAAGATGGGATAGTTTATGAATTAAAATTTCAAAATTAAGTGTAAAGATAAACAAAAATGATGTATTAAATAGTTAGTTTATATAAACATTTTATATTTAGATTTACTTACTTACTTTAATGAAATTATTTATGAATGAAAGAATAATTATAATATATTTTTGATATGAATTAAAATATAAACAAGGTTTTAACTTCTTATACTATTTTGTTTATGAAATTGTTTAGCAAATAAAATCATGATACATCTTTAATGATTTTATTATGGTTTTCTACTTGTTAAGAGAAATTAGCTGCTTTTAAAGTAGAAATTGATCTTGAATTATCAATTAAGATATCTTTTTTCATAATTTCAGTTCCTAATTAAACTAAAACTTTCCTATTTACTAAGTTTAATAATAAAATAGATTAAAATAAACATTTATTTACTTTTATAAATTTTACTATTTTTGATTGAGTCAAAGTTTCCAAAGAAATTTATTGGCTTTTCTGCTGGTAAAATATTAAATTTAAATTATTTTTATTTATAATTCATTTTCTAGTCTCCAGCAAGATACTCTTTAAATTATGATGTTCTAATCTTCAAAAGAGTAATATGACTTGAGTCATAAAACCCAGAGATTTCTTATATGTACTCAGTTCTAGAGAATTTAATATCAACACTTTTAATATCTCTTTCTTGAACTATATTATCTGAATTAGGTGGTTGTATAGATTAAACCAAATCACCGTTTAGGAGCTTGTATTCTGTTTCAATTCTTACTAAATAATGGTCTTTGAAAAATATTTTCAAACTATTTATTTTATATAATTTGTCATCTGGTAATATTTCAAAATCTCTCCATTATAAAGTTTGCTCAGTGAGAACTTTTATTCCTTGTACCTCTTTTCTGAATTTATTTTTGGTTGAAAGAGCTTTACTACTATTTGCTAAAGATAAAGCATCCTAATATATATTTTAAATCAAGAAATTAATGAAAATATAAATATTCTTTTAACATACTTCAATAGGTGAAACTTCTGTAACTAAAGTTTGAATCTTAGAAGCTTCAATCACTGAATCTCTAGGTAATCTTTGTAATTCTTTCAAAAGTTAATGAGCCTTCAAGCATTCCTTTTATTTTTATCATTAATTTAAATTAAATTTTGATATTAAATTTGTAAATTACTTGTTAGACAGTTTCTAAGTCTTTTTCAGCATCTGCTTTTTAAGCTAAAATTTGTTTTTCTTAAAGTTATAACTCAGTTAGCCTTTAGATATGAGTTTTTTCAAAGGACTTTATACTATTTGATATTCTTCTTACATTTTATTTGCTTTAAAGTATCATTGATTCTGAAATACGGATAGGTTTTTAAAACTCTTAAGGTAAAGCACTTTCTCTAACCTTTAATTGTATTAAAACAATTTAAATATAATCTTTGATTTTGCAAAAGCTTTATTTACATTTTTTTTAGGAGATTTCAATACATTTGCTTCTGATTTCGATTTAGAAATATTTCTAAATCTAGTTTTAGGAGGTTCTAATTCCTCCGGGCTAACAGTTAAATCTGGTCTTTGAATAGGAGTAACATTATTTTTTTAACAAAGTTCTTTATATTTTGTTTCAGTTTCATCTATTTTTTTCATGATCTTATCTCGATTCTCCTTCTTCTTTTCAATAACTTTCTATTCATAATTTAGTTTACTCATTAGTAATTCAATCTCTTTTCTCATGTCATTTCTACTAGTTATTGGCTAGTCACTTTACAATATTTTTTCTTATTCTCTTTATTTACTTTTTAATTCTTAATTCTTAACTTTTGCTTTTTCAATATCACTTTCAAGTTATTTAAGATCTTCTACTGTCTTTGTATAGCTAAAATTTTAATTTAATATAAAATCAATATAAATTCTAAAATAATTCAGTTATAAAATAGAATAATTTAAATATTTTAAAGCCAAATAAAAGATTTACGCATCGAAAGATTGACTTTCTTGGGCTTTCTCCATTTATTTAATTCTTTTTTCATAAAATTCCATTTATTTTTTTGCATTTTCAAGTTCTTTTTTCACCACTCCTATTTTAAATTAGAGAAAATGTTTCTTCAAAAAACTAAAAAAACTTTATTAAATTATTTGAGAAGCTTTTAGCAGGATCCTAATAAATAAAAGGAATTGTTACATAAATAAAAAATTAAATTACCTTCTTATTATTCTTAATTCGTAGGTTTTGCAAGTTTAGGTACGACTATGGTATCTATTATCTTCTTTGATTCTTCAGATAGCTATTTCAATTTTGATATTAATGCATCGTTTTCTAATTTATGTTTTAGAAGTTCCTTTTAACTATATAATTTTTTTCATAAAATTATCATATCGCTAGAATAATATCTTTAAAAAAATACATTTATGCAGTTTTTTCATCTTTAGTGTGACAATTGCTGCATTTCTTTTCCTATTAATTTGCTATACTCTTTCTCATTAAATAAATGATTGTTTCTTTTGATAAAGTATCTTTTAATAAAATAACCAAAAATCAAATATACTAATAAACACTCAATTTTAATAAGATTATTAAAGCCTAAGATCGATCGATCAATCAATCAATCAAAATTTAATATAAAATTTGTAAAATTGCGAAACTTGTTTGAAACTAATAAAAATTTTAAACCTGACTTGGCTTTGGTTTTATCTTGACTACATACTAGAAAGATTATTATAGAACGAATTAAATATCAATCAATGTGAATTATTTAAGATGAAATCAATTTTTAGTTCGCAAATAACAATAATTAAAAGTTTAAAAAATATTAACATTAATTAATATCAATATTAATAAGTTAACATTTTTTAAGTTTTTAAGAAATAGAACATTTTTTGTCAATAAATTGGCATATTTAATTTAAAACTGAAAAGCTAAATTGCTTTTTCAAGAATTAAATCAAGTATGTGCTTATTTTTTTAATATAAGATTTGTTGATTTTTTAAATATAAATGTTATTTATTTTACACTTTCAAAAATAAATAAAAAATTTAGGTTTTATTTTTATATTTAAAATTAAACACCAGCTAATGACATAACAAACACAAGTATTTGATTATTTTTTTAACATTAAATTTGTTTATCTTAATAATTTATATGCAATCTGTTTTACATTTTCAAAAATAAATAAAGAAATTTAAGTAAAATTTTAAATATCTGAAATTAATCATTAATTAATGTTAAGAGTAAATGAAAAAAAAAACAGACTTTACAATACTTTAAATAATGAAAATTTTCCAAAAATAATTGATTAGATTTATTAGAAATAAAATTTCAAGAATTAAATCAACATTCATTTATTTTTGTAATAAAATTTATATGTTTGTTTTCAATCTCAATAATAAACTAAAACATTTTGATATAAATTAATCGAAAAAATTAGATATAGTATATAAAATAAAAAATAATTTTCCACATCTTGATATACAACATTTAATAAGTTTAATTTTTTAAAAAATAATAATTATTTGTTTATTTTTGAAATAAAAATTCAATTGTTTTTTACTTTAAAAAACTTTAATCGCCAAAAAAATAAATAAAAATTTTTTTTCTATTTTGAGTTTTAGAAAAAATTTTGTTATAATTAAATAGGTTGCTTTTGAATTATTAAAGGATAAAGTAATATTAATTGAATATTTTAAAATAATCTTACTCAGCATTTATTATCTTAAGTCTTAGAAAAATAAGTTGTTTCTTTATGACTTTATTGAAATAGCATTATATCAAAAAAAAATAAATTAAAAAATTAAGAAAAAAAATACCATGTGCTCATAATAAATAAATAATTACTAACTTTTCAACTGTACATTTGATAGTTTTAGTTATTTTTTGTTTATAGTTTATTGCCAAAAATTTTTTTGAAGAATTTTAATGTAATTTATCTGCGATGAAATACTTGGAGAAGTAATAATCTTCTTACTTTTATTTTATCTATTTTATAAATTTTAGATTAGAAAATAGAAAATATTATATAAATGTTATGTGATTAAAGTTTTAATTTGTCTCTCTTTTTCTATTTCAATTAATTAACTTTTTTATTCTTTGGCTTTTATCAAGGCTTGTAATTTTTTTTATCTATTTTTAGGTTTCCTTCTATTACTATTTTGAATTATATATTAAATGAAGATATATAGCTTTATTTATAATTAAAATTTAATTAAAACAAAAATCAGAATATTTTCCCACAAAAAGAATCTTAAAATTAACAAATAGCTAACATTTTTGATGAAATTCCTAAATTACTTCTTCTAAAATCAAAACCCTTAAAATGAGAGCTAGAAAAATATAAAATCTAGCAAGACTTATCAATAAACTTTGAAATTAGAAAGTCAAATTTTGAATTAATACTCTGGACTTACTTTAGGTGAATCGATTGAAATTAAAGATGTATACTTTAACTTTAGAAATACAGAAACATTTATCCACACACTAGAGTGTGGAAAATAAAACTAAGAAGTTATGGTCCTTGTTCATGGATATGGTGGAAGCGCTGTTACTTATTATTAAATACTAAAATAATTAAGTGAAAAATATCATGTATTTGCCATAGATATTATTGGTATGGGTCTTTCTGATAGATAAAACTTTAACGTTGATAACGATACTAGGTCTATTATTGACTTTTTTGTAGAGTCCATAAATCAATGGAGAATTTAACTTTCTTTGGAATAATTTGTGTTAGTTGGACATTCCTTCGGTGGATATATATCAGCAAATTACACAGTTAAATATTCTGAATAAGTCACTGAGTTATTTTTACTTTCACCAATGGCTGGTACCCAAACTAATCCGTTTGAGAGTTTAATTGACGAGAATGATTTCTAGAGATATGTTAATAACTAGCCTTTTTTACAAAAAATGATTCTTAAGTATGTTAGAAAGTAGCATAACACTAAGACTACTATTTAAGATTTAACTAGAAAATGGTTTGTGCCATCTAAATTTATCATCGGTAAAGCTCTCAATAAAAAAATTCATACAAATAACAAAACTGAAAAGCAATTATGGCAAAATTACTTTAATAACTTATACTAATTACCTGAATCTACTGATCATTTCATTCACGGCTTAATAACCTTCCCTTTTATCTAGGCAAAATTGTCAATAGAATAATAATTTGAAGAAAATTTAAATAAAATTAATTAAACTGTTCACTTTTACTTTGGAGATTCAGATTGGATGGATTCAACTGGATGTATTCGTCTTTCAAAAAAATTAAAAAGTACCTTTAGGTACATAGAAAATGCCAGTCATCAACTATATTTTGACCAACCTTAAACAATAGCTAATTTATTACTCAATCCTTATTTAAATTATTTTTACTGAAATAAAAAACTCATTTTAATCAAATAAAAAAATAACAAAATTTTAATAAAACATTTATATATTATAATTCTTGTATATATATTTAATTAATTAATTAATAGTATTTCTTTTATCAAATTTAACTATAAAGTATTCATTACACATTACACAATTTTTTTTAGTTTTTATCATCAAATTAAAAATTTTAATTTTAATTTTACTGCAGTTTACAATTAGTAATTATTTGCTATGCTTCATAAAATATTAATTTATTTACTAAATAATACTTAGATCATTAATTTTTAATTGATTAATAGCTATTTTTAGTATAATTTATGTAAAATTAGACCTCTAAGTTAAGATGTAGGTAAAAATAATTAATCTGAAAAAAATCAGGCTTAAATTAGAGAACAAATTAAAAAATGAAAGGCTTAACTTAGAGGAAAACTTTTTTTCAATAAAAAATAAAGATAATATGATATACTGCATAATCTTATCTATTAATTTTTGATTTTAATAAGGCTGCTAATAATATTTAAAACGATTTAAAATAAAGAAATTTAGAAGCGAGTATATATAAAAATCTATAAAATTATTTATTAATGATGAATTAATATAGGGATTCAATTAAAATTTAGCTTGAAATAATAAATTGTGATAATTTTGTATGATAATTTATTGACTCTATGTCTATCTCTTTTTTATTAACATATTTTTGAGCATAAAAAAAATAGTTTTAGTACCTGGTAATTTAAACACTTTTTAAATTTTATTACTTTTGCTCTTTTAAAATTGATAGTATTTTTTGCATCTGTTTATTATATAAATGTTGATTAATTAAATTTTATTTTATTTCTCTAAATCTTAAAGAGAAAACATGGAAAATTTTTAATTTATTAGAATATGGACAGAGTATTATTAAAATTATAATAAAAGTCTCAAAATCCTCCACTGCTCCTATCCTGTTTATACTTTGAGTTTATATATTTAAATACATGATTTAATGTTTATACATAAATTAATTTATAAAAAATGAAGAAAAATATTTCTAAAAAATTTAATTTAATATTGATAGTTAAATGGCAAGAGGTAAATCAGCAATTATTTATTTATTTCTTGATTACTAATTTCTCAATTTGTAATTTTAGATTGTATAAATAATAAGCAAATTAAATTCAATTTATAATGTAAGTGACTTAGATAAAAATAATCAACCTTATTTTGATAAAAGATTTATTTGAAACCAAGCTATTTAATGTCGATATTCAAAATTTCAATTATTTTTATTAAATGCTTATACTTATTCGCTTAGCCTGTAATTAACCATAAATAATTAGTAAATCTTTAATTGAGTGAAAATATAGATTTATGTATTTAGCTTAACATTATCTCCAACAATATATTTTTTATTTCCTTTTTTTTATTAAGTATAATAAACAAAAACATTTAATTTTCTTCAAAATAATATTTAGGATTAATAAAATGGATAACAATTAGCTAGTTTAAGGATCATCTGAAGTATTTCTATATGATACCTTCAAAAAATAGTCTAAAAATTTGATAATCATGTTTTATGTACTAACGTTGTTGGCTACAGTAGCAGCTATACTATGTATAGTTTCATCAGGCTAACTTAATTCAGATTATTATTTCTAGCCTGTTTAAATAATTGTAATCATTAGTTCAGTCGCTATATTACTTTGTATTGCTGCCTCTATTTTCTTCCTGTTTAAATTAAATCGTTATTATTAAAGTAAGCTATTTATAGCTGGATTTTCCATTTTCTTATCTCTCACTATAGCCTATTCGCTTGCAGCAGTGAGTATCATAGTTTCAATTGCCTATTAATATTGCAGTAATTAATTTTTTTTAAATGATCAATTAATAATTAAGACATTTTTAAGTTTTAAAGTTATTATTTTAAAAAACTTTTCACAAAATGATAATTTAAAATATTAGGCTACTTTATTAATCACGAAGGATTTTATGATGGAACCTACATAGTAACATAACTGGAAATTTCATCAAGTTATCCAACATGCTCATAATTAAATTCAAGGTCTGGAGATTAATCTGATGCAATTCTAGCATATGCAAAATTAATCCTCATTAAAGCTTGTAGTGGTGGTTCTGTAGATTCAACTTGCTTAAATTTTTCTTCGTTAAAAGTTACAACTTGGTCAAATGAATTTGGAACATAATTGGGTGGATGCATATTAGGGGGAATTGTTAGCTTTTTATATCTAATAGTTATCATAAAAATGAGATCTAGAATCAGATAATTATAGTAATAAAATCTTGCATTACTAAATAGTGCACCTATTCAGAATCAACAGTAATACTATGTTATACAAAACTAAGTTCCTCCTTAATATCCTTAAAACTTTGTTTAATAACCTTAGCAATTTTAAGGGTAATATTAGCCTATTAATCCAAACTATCCTTCTATTTAACAAAATTAAATTCCTTATCAAAATCAACAAATTTATTAGCAACCGCCTATAATTTAATAGAACCCACAAAATTATTGAATGAATGGTAAGTTAAACAAAATTTATAAATATTTTTAGAAATTTTATAAAAAATTGAATAATATATCTAAATTTATCAAAGCTTTTAATAATTATATTACATACATATAATTGAATTTATAATATATAAACGCTTTCATATAAAATAAGTAATAAATTTAATATTTTCTTTTTTTATTTCATTTATTTATTTATTTTATTGTTTCCTTTATAACATTCAGTTAAATATATTCATATAAATAATCTTCACTAAATATTTTATTAAAAAATAATTATTTTTATTTTCAAATACAACGAGTGTTATTGTTTTAATACTTTTTCATTTGATTATTAATTTATTTATAAGAAATATTATGATTTTAAATTATTATGCATTAAGTAAGACCTTTCTAATATTTGAAGCTATTTATAAAAATTAGTGATTAAAGTTGAATAAGTATTTTTGTATTTTGTCAGGAATTTAATTTACTTTTTTTTAATCTTAAAATATCGATGCAATTGGTATCTTATTTAAGCCAATACTTTGATGAAATTTCTAAGATCTTAATTAGTAAATATTGGTTATAATAAATCAATCATCTCATATAATATTAATAATAAATTTCAAGATTCAATTATAAGTAATTCTTTGCTGTATGTAATTGAGTTTTTTTGATTAATTTTCTAAATACAAGTATTTATTTATTAATTTACTAATTGATTGATAGAAATTTAGAAAAAGTAAAAGTAAATTAGTTTTAGATGTCGATATCAACTTTATCATTTATAAAAAAAAGAGCTATTTCTATTTAGAAAAAAGAAGAAGCTTACTTACAAATTTAATTTAATGATGTTTATGATATTTCATGTAGCGATATTAATTAATAGAAAAGATATACAATATGTAGTACAATAGATTAGAGTAAATAAATAGTTATAGGCAAGGCAATAAGTCAATTAGTCACAAACGAAACCAAATTTTATACCTTAAAATATAAAGTTATTGCAGAAGAAATTAACTCTACACCAATCAAAGTTAAAAACTATGAATTTGAAATTAATGTGAAATAGCTTTTTGAATATTGCTAAAATGAATAGAAAGCAGAATATCACAAAGATGATTAAATAGCATTTTATGAGCAGAAAGGTAACCCTTAAGGTTTTGCTGAATTATCTATTCTTTTTAGTGTATTAGGAAAACATGATAAGAATAATAGGCAAAAATGATTTTTTTTTTTTTTCAAATGCTAAAATACTTATACTAGTTAGCTAGCTAGCTAGTTTGGTGAAGAAGCAAAATATTTCTGTTAAAACATAAAAATATTTATTATACAATATCGCATACTAATAAGTTAATTAATATAAATAAAATAAAATTACTTTCAAATTTATAGATAGATAGATAGATTTACAATATAATAATTTTATAAATATCTACTGTTTTTTATATATATGTATATAATGTTTAATTATTTTAAAAACCTTTAGTTTTACCATTTTTTTCAATTATGTTGAAAAAATTATTTCAAGAAAATTAATTAAAAATGGCTCTCATTACTTATCCTTGCCTCATAGGACTTACTTAATATATTTATAGATTTTTAAAAATCCGTTAAATAAATCCCCAATAATATAAAATTTTATTTTTTAATTTTGAACCTTAAAAAAAGTTTTGGGAGGGTAGTTAATAATTTTATAAAAACATGTTTTTTAAATATTTAAATGTTCAATGGCTAAATTTATCAAAAATTTTATTAACTCAATTTTTTATTCTCATACCACTAATTTTATTAGCCGAAAAATAAATTCATCAACATTTCTGATTATAAGCTATATATATAATTACTGATTAAATAACATATACATACATACATTCTAAATAAATAGAGTAAATATAATTTGATGTAATATCACCATTTATATATTTTATATAATAAATAAGTAGTAAATATTATAAGAGTTTGTTCTAATTATTTATTTTAAAAGGAAAATTATTATTTATTATTTACATCATTCACTATTTACTAAGCTTTAAAGTCTTTTTTAGTAATTCTGTCACTTTTTGTAACCCAGCAGGCTTTTATCCATCTGCTTGCTATTGGTTTATCTTTGCAGCAAAATTGCTCTTAACTCTCAAAGGAGCCGTTGTTGTTTCGTTTATTTCTTTTTAATCAAATATTGATAGCTCATGCAGTTCAAATTGTTCGCTCTTTTCAGGTGGCAGAGCTTCATAAAATATAAGTCTTATGAGGTTTTCTATTTTCTTATGCAGAGGTTATTGTAGTCTTTCTTCCCAACTCATTTCTTACTCTTTCTAGCCTTCATTATAAACCTTCTTCTGGTATTTAATTAATTAACAAATAAATATAAAATTTTAAATTTTAAATTTTAAATTAAATTAATACATTTTTATTTTTGTATGGAGGTAGTGAAAACTTCTCTGCTGCTCTTGCTATAGCTTCTAAAAACTCAATAAAATGGAGTTACAATATTCTCTCATCATACACTTCATCAGTTTATGTTTGTACTGAAAAATTAAAAGCAATATTAATATGTCTCTCATTAGCATGCTCATCTGAAAGTATACTTGTATCTGTAAACATTTTCTTGAATTCAAAGAGATTTAAATATTTTGAAGCTGGTAATGCTGTACGTATTGTATTTTCATAGTTTTCAAAAATGCACATTAGTATTTGCATATAATATTTATAGCAGAAGTCACATTCTTAATTCCAATATCTTTCATCTCTCCAAAGATTTGGATTTTCTACTTCAGCAATTACCTTCAAAAACCCATCATTAAGCAAGTGAGTAACAGCTTCTGAATAAGTTGTGCAATCACCATTTATCATGTATTTTTCTTCTGCAATCCTAATTATTCCCTCTAAGAACTCGTGACGAACCATACCTCTCTCTGGTATAAGGCTACGAGCCTTCTTCTACTAAGTTTTGCTTGATATAAATTTAATTTCTAGATCAGCTAATTTAAGAGTTTTATTATCAACTAATCCTGACTTTGTAAATATTTCTGTAAAAAGAAGCTTCGATATAGCCCAAACATCACCAATAGGACTAAATGAAGAATAGTATTTATAAAGTGCTTTTATTCCTTCATAGTGCGGCTTCAACAATTCCTAATAAATATTATTAATAATTTTATGAGTTTATAAATAGTATGAAATTTACAAATAATTTATTTCTATCGTTTAGATCTTTAACAAACCTAGGTATTTTTGAGTTGTTCCAATCAGCATCCATAGCTTTCTCTAGAATTATTTAATTATCGACTTAGTACTTAGCAAACACAGATGTTTCTTTTGCCCATTTTTTTTTTGGTTTAGGCTTTTCTAAAGGATATACTATTTCCTCTCTAGGTTAGATAGTAATATGAATAGGTTCTCCATATTTAGAAAATAGGCACTACTCAAATTTGTTTACAGTTTTAATATTTAAGAATTTAATAATAATATCTCTTTTCACCTCAGAACCAAAAGAAATATCCTAGATAAATAATAATATTTTGATTAATAAATAAGTAACTACAATAGTTTTTGTCTAAATAACAAGCAAAAAAAAAATTCGAAAAAACCAATATTTTAATCAAACAATAAAAAAAATAGAAATAAAAATAATAAAATTAAAATAACAGTTTATTTACTTTTAAAAAAGGATTTTTATTTTTTATACATGGCTAGTCTTTTGCATGAGTGTCACCATCTGGAGTTGAGAAAAAATATTAAAGTTGTTTTGTTGGAGGACACATCATTTTAGCAACAAAATTTCCATTCTCGTCCTTAGTCATTGGTATAGGTCTAAAGTTGTTAAAATTAAACAGAATGTATATTGGTCCTTCATAAGACATTCCAGATTCACCACTTCTCCACTTTTAATTAAAATTAATTATTTTTTTTATTTTTTAATTTAATTTTACCATAAAATTTTATTCAGACCAACCTTAACAGATCCAACAAACATTCTGTTTAACAGAATCACTAATATAATCGGATTAGGTGTTTTGATTGTAAGAAAGAGGAATTAACCCATTGATTCTTTGATGATTGGTTGCATAACTTTGTATTGTGCTCAAAGACATTATTTGCTTTTGTTAGGCCTCTGTATGTTCTAAAATTTATTTTAAATTCTCTTGCTTAACTAAGTTATTGATCAAATCTTAATCACTTTAAACAATATTTAAGAAACCAAACTCATCAACATAAGAGAATTTACTATCAATATGAAATCCGTATATTGTCTTATTTTGATTAATACCTTCTTAGATTATTTGAATATGACTTTTATTCCATCTATTATTGCTCAAGTCAATATGAATAAGATCACTCTCACCTTATGCAAATAACGACTAAAATGCTTTAGCACAATTTTCTCCATTCTATAATCCAAGAGAGTTGTTGCTCAAATCTAAAACCCTTAAATTAGAATTATCAAATAAAGCTTTGGCTATTTTTTCACCTGAAACACCAGTTAGTCTATTCCAATGCAAATAAAGTTCAATTAAAGGACACCTTTTAATCATTTAATTAATTAATATCTTACTTAAATAGTTTGTTTTGAGTAATATTTTTGTTATAAAAATAAAATTTTATCTTCATACTATTATTTTTATTGGTACTTTAATGATTAATGGATGAATAATAAAATATTTAGACTTCATTAAATTTTAAATAAATGTTTTATCATCAATTTAACACACCATTTACAGCTTAAAATAGAATACACCTATTTCGAAAACTTAAAATAAATATATTTATTTGCTTTTACCTAGTAGAAATACAAAAGGCTAACGCTGAACTACATTCGTCAGTTAATCTGTTATTAGATAAATCTAAAATATGTAACTTCTTTAGAGACTCAAGGACTTTTATAGCATTTTAATCTCCCAACTTAGTGTTATCAAGGTTGAGGTTAGATAAAGAATTTTAATAGTTTCTTAAAATCATAATTAGTTTATTTGCAGACTCAACTCCAACTGTATTCTATGATAAGTTTAAAAGTTCAACACTATAACTTAAAGAGTTGAGTATTTAGGCGATACCTTTATCTGTTAAACCATTATTCATCAATTCTATTTTCTTAATTTTATCCTTTATATCATCACTTTGTATACTTTGAGAAAATGCTTATGCGTATTTATCTCCTAAACTATAATGACTTTTACAAAGAAGTAAATATGATGAAAACAAGCAAAAAATAAATTGATTATTAGATTATTTTTTAAAAGAAATAAATAACATTTAAGGTTATAAGTGTAATATAAGCTTACTTTAATTGGATAAGACTTTCCAAACCTTTTTGTTTAATAACTCCAAGCTTTCTAGGAAGAAGGTTCACCTTCTCTTGAGATTTAATTAAGTTAGTATAAACAGAATCATTCACTTTAAACATTTAATTTTCTTAGATTATTTTATTTATTTACTTTTAGTGATCTAAAAAATGTATTTAAGTGAACTATCCAACTGTATTCTTTTTTTTTTTGTCTCTTACTACTTGTGGCGTGCTTTTATTTTCTAATATATCTAAATCTACATCAGGAAGACTTATATTTTTTTAATAGAAGAAATCTGAATCTTGAGAAGAATCAAGAGCATCCTTAACATTTTTAGATTTCTAGAATTTTTGTTAAAAGTATCTCATAAATTGCCTATCTTCATCATTAATTTTTTTGAGAGATGGCTTAATATCAAAAGATTTTCGATCGCTTAAATCTCTAATAGATATAGATGTTCTCATAGGAGTTATAGAGGGTAGAAACAATTTACTATGCGTCATTCCAAGTTTAGTTACACTCTTAGACTCTCTTATTTGAGTTTTATCAAATCTTTTTCATTAAAATAAAAATGATCAAATTGATACCTTGGGTTAAACCCTCCTATCTATTTTATTTTATTTAGCTTTTACACCAATCTCATTGAAAACTGCTGAAAGAGTAATAAATTAAGAATATTAATTACATTCCGCTCCCAACAGGAGAGATGGTGGCATTTGAATATAAAATCCTCTCTGATGGCTAAAGACTTTTATTATTTCTTTTGGGAGTCTCAATTTTAAAAAACTTTCTAGGAGGACTTAAATTTACATTTTGCAAACTCATTAGATTATATTATAATAAGACCTTTGATATTTATTTAGTGTTTCTTACAAATTATTTGTTTTATTTATTGGTTCTTCTTTAAAGATTTAATTAAAGATTGATTGAATATGAATGAAAAATATATATAATTTAGTTTTAGTAATAAAAAGAATATTTGGAATAATATCAATAAATAATATATAATTCAATTCTGCTGAATTTCAACTTTAAGCCATATTAAACTATCAAGAGTAATCATTGCAAAATTTACTGAAAAAAATTAACAAATCTTTACTATTTTTTGTGGTCAATTTTGTGTATGATAAAAAATCAGAGCCTTGCTTTTCCAGTAAAAACTTAATCCCTTGTCACAAAATAATATTTTTAAATTCATCTATGTTTAATTGAATGAACATTTCTCAAAAATATCAAATACCAAATATTGGCTTCATTTTAAATAATATTTTAAAGTTATGAGAACATTTAATGTGGATTTAAAGTAAAATATCTCTTTATTACTTTTGATAAATTTTTTTAGGAAATCCTTTAAAAATTAATGTAAAAAAAAATACCTAATAATTTTAAATTCTTTACATTTTTTAACATATAAATATTATCTAAATAAAAATATTATACTTTTATTAACCTTTATTAACAGATTAAAAGTATTCTTAAAGAACTAACAATACAGAATAAATTAAATTATTATTTTGAAAATTGAAAAATAAACCTCAAATTGACTATTGAATCTAAATCATTTGTTATTAAAATCATCTTTGAAGAATTGACCACAAATATAAAAATAAAAATAAGATAATCATAAAATACCAAATTAAATATTTTGTTAAGCAGTTATAAATAAATTGAAAATTAAATTCATAATATTAGCATTTAAACATTTTGAAAAGTATTTTCTAAAATTTATTAAAAATAGCAACCAATAATTACTAAAATAATATATAGATAGATAGATGTGTATCCTAAACAAAATTTAATATGGTAATTTATTTATAAATTAAGAATTTATTTTATTTTCTGAAGAAGACTTTTATATTGTTTTATCAGCTAGCTTATCATTCATTTAGTGACTTTAATCATTTCTTCCAAACCTTAATTTTAATATAAATTATTATTTAAGATAAATATTTTTGACCAATTTATTTATTTATTTACCTTTGCAAAATTCATCAATGTTATAATCAATAATGAAAGGTCTGACGTAGTTTTCTTGCTTAATTATGCATATCAAACAAAGATATTCCTTGAAGGATTTCATTAATAAAACAGTGTTGTCAGATAATTTAATGCTTAATGAACCTTCTGAATTTTTAATTTATCCATTTTCAGTAGGATCGTAAATGAAAGAAATATCTAAAAAGACATCAATCATTTCAAAGCACATTTAATATGTATTTTAATCAAAAGGACCAGCATCGGTGGCAATATATAATTTGTTTACCTAGTCGAACAAGAAAGCTTTTTCCATTTTAGAGTTCTATTAATATCATTTATTAATATTAATTTATTTACAGCTTAATAAAATAAATAAATGATTTTACAGTAACTAGAGAAGTAAGAAGAGAAGCAATATAAGATACTTGAGGAATGACCTTATGGATAACTTTACTAAAAGCTTCAGAAAGAGATTGATCTTACCAGCTATTTATTTATTATACAAAAACCAATATAAATAAACAATTATCCATTTTATTCTTAAAAACAACATATTATTAATTGATAGATAGGACAATCACAATTAATTAAATATATAATTATTGGCTTTTTGTTTGTTTGTTAAATATTGATTAAAATATTATTTAATAAATTTGAATTACTTTGTTAAATTAATATCATAATTAGGCTTTAAATTACTGTAGGTATTAAAGAAGTCGATGAGCTAACCTTTAATTGAACTTATAATAGCTATTATATTTTTAAAATAATCATATTAATCTTTTTTTGGTTCAAATTATTTTAATTTACCAGTTTTTTTATCTAAAGTAGCAAAACCATCATTATCAATTTTGTGAACAAAGAAATGATAATTGCAATTGGGGTTAATTTTTACTATTTCGGCAAACAATTTTTCAAAATAGTTTACTGCTTCTTCATAAGTTTCATTCTAAATTAGTTAAAATTATTTTTAAAATATATTAATAAATTAATTAATTATTTTTGATTACCTATCCATCAATAATGTATACGATTGAAGCACACTTTTTCAAGTATTCTTTTTCTTCTGGCTTGGCATTTTCAATTTAAAAGGTACCATAGAAATCATAAATGTTAATTTGGTTTCCAGCTATTGTCAATTCTGATTTTTCTACTTTTTATGTAGTTTCAAAGACTGCTTGATAATTTGGCTAGCATTTGGAAGTTAAAGTTCTAATGATGCTAGTCTTACCAGCTCTAATTAGATTTTAAGTTAATAAAAAAAGTGTTAACTTAAGCCAAAAAGTTCAATTTTATTCGCATTATTGCTATTTTTATAAATTACTTTGATAAACCTAAAAATACTACGTCCATATTCTTGACTTTTTGACTTGATTAATCTTGCTTTGCTTTGCTTTTTTTTAATTACTCCTGCAAATAATTTATTTATTTGTTGTTCTATTATGATATTATGCTTTGCTAGCTTTAATTAATAATTTTGATCGATTATCTCTTCTCTTAATTTTCTTTTATACAACAAGTTAAGTAATGAATATCATTGAATTAAAATATATTACTTTGTTTTGTATAAATTTGATGTTTGTTTTTTGACGTAGAATTAAATATGTATCTTTTAATTCTTCATCATATTTTTTTTAATCGTAAAATAATCCAAACAAACAAATAAGATACAAACAACTTTTCATCAAGTTTATTGTTAGATAAAATTCTGAATTTTTTTCATTTTTAAATTATAAAATACAAAATAAACTAGATTAAATAAATATTAAAAACTCAATAAAAAAATATCATTCATTCAACCTATAATTTATATAAAAAAGATAAAATTAAAAATAGACTAAATGAAAATTAATTTGAATTTATTCTATTTTATATTTTAGACCTTTTAAAAAAATCTGAATCCAAAAACCTTATCAAAAATTTATTTTTTTATTAAAAATTATTTTTAAATTAAAAAAAGAAACTAAACTACAATAATTTAATTCTAAATAAAGTAAAGGTTGATATCAAAAATTATGATATTTAAAAAGTAAAGGAAAAACTCAATTATTTGGCATCCAGTTATTTATCGTTTTTGTGACATTGAAACTTTTATTTTCCTACATCTAAATATAATAATTCTAATAATTATAATATTTTATTCAAAATGTTTATATTTTATCAAATATAATTCTCTTAAAAGACAAAAATAATTTGATTAATTTATATAAAAAGGGTTATTCTTAAAGGAAAACAAAAAAAACTCTTTTATAGATTCCAATGACACATTATACATTTAATCATTTATTTTTATTTTCATAATTATTATTTATTGCTTAAGCAATTATTCTATTAACTCTTTCCATTGGGGGAGTTTGTATAATATAAAATTTTTGATAGTCATTTGCAAAAAAATTTTTTTCACAAGCAAATAGCCTTATTCAAAATAACCCTCAAAAGTTCTTTCCCCCAAGTTAAAGAGTTAATTTCTTCTCATTATTACAACATTATAAATTTATAATAGAAATTATAAATTTTAAAAATCAATTCAAACGAATATGTTTGAATAAAAACTTTTTATGTATTTATTTATTTGAAAAATTGGAAATAAAAAAATTGAAGATTCTCACTTCACTATTAAATACTAACTTATTGATAATTTTTTTTGACTAACATCAGATTTTATTCAAATATTTAACAAGTTTAATTAGAATTATGATGGTCTTTTAATTAATTAATAAATAAATAATTTTATGATAATAAGAATTGATATATTTTTAATTCATATTTTAGTTAGGCAACAAAATTAAAAACGAACGATAATTTATTTTAAGGAAGATAGATGATTGGATTGCAGAGTGATCTTGTTTAAAAAATAGAAATAATTATTTCATGTAGAAGTCTTAAAGACGCTGATGTATTTTCAAAGAGCGATCCTTTTGTGTCATTTAAGATGAAAAACAATTAAACAAATTAGTGGTATGAAATAGGTCATACTGAAACTGTAAAAGATTGTTTGAATCCAAACTTCAAAAAGATATTTTAAGTAGATTACACTTTCGAATAAAAGCAAGAAATATTGCTAGAGGTACTTGATGATGATGGCAAAGGTAGCGCAGATCATATTGGACTTTGTTAAACTACTATTGGGGCTATAGTAGGTGCTAGAAATAATACACTCATCTTAGATCTTATTAACAAAAAAACATAAAAAAAGATAGAAAAATCGAAAATTATTATTATTTCAGATAAAGTCAGCGAGTGTAATAGCTCTATAATTACTTAATGGCAGGGTTAGAAATTAACAAATACAGATGGCTGGTTTGATAAAAGCGATCCATTCTTACGTTTCAAAAAAATCAAAGATTAAAATACCTTTATTTAAGAATATGAGACAGAAGTTGTAAAAGATAATCTAAATCCTATTTGGAAGCTTTGTGAGCTTTCTTTGGGAAAGCTTTGTGGTGGAGATTTCTTCAGACCAATTAAAGTGGAATGCTGGGATTGGGAAAAAAGCGGAAAACACTAATTTATTGGCGAATTTACTTTTACAGTCGATGAATTAAATAAAGGCAAAAGAGAATTCATTCTTACTAATCCAAAGATAAAGAAACCAGGCACTATAGTATTGACAAGATATGACTATGTAGAGAAACCAACATTCTTGCAATATATCAGAGGAAATACTTAATTGAATTTGATGGTAGCAGTTGATTTTACTGCATCAAATGGAGCTGTAAGCACTCCTTAATCGTAATTTTTGATTTTATTTAACAACACATTTATTTCTAAATTTTTGATTCAGCCAGTTATTAATTAAACAAAACTTTTATTACAACAAAATATCAGAATCAATTTCGAGCTTATTTATTTTAATTAATAATCGAAATTTTTTTCTTATTTTTTTTATATTTCAATCAAAGATGATAAATTAATTTAATAAATTGTATCTTTTTTTTATTTTCTTTTTATTGATTGCTTCAAATTTATTAATTAATTAAATAGCTTACATTACATGAATCCATAGGTAATGAATTAGTATTAGCAAGCTATACATTCTGTGGGAGAAATTCTATTAGATTATGATTTTGATAAAAAGGTTCCTTGCTTTGGCTTTGGCGGAGTTCCTCGCTATCCTAATTACACTTTTCCTAATGTTTAGCATTGCTTCCCTTTGAGTGGGTAACCAAATAATATAGAAGCTTTTGGTTTAGGAGAAATTTTGAACCTTTACAGTTATTCACTTTAACATGTAAGTTTAAGTGGACCTACTTTATTTAACCCCATTTTAACTGAGGCTTGCAGGATATCTCAAATTCTCAAGTAAAATGGATCCTAAGTATATACTGTTTTGCTAATTATCACAGATGGAGAGATTCATGATATGAATGAAACTATAGACACCATAGTTAATGCTTCTAATCTTCCTTTATCTGTAGTTATTGTTGGAGTAGGAAATGCTGATTTTACAAACATGAATAGATTAGATGGTGATAATGGAAGATTAACTAACTCTAAAGGGTAGCAGTCTATAAGAGATTTCGTTTAGTTTGTTCCTTTTAGAAATTTCTAAGGAAATGGTTTTGCACTTTGCAAAGAAGTACTTGCAGAAATTCCAACTCAACTAGAGTAATACATGATAGCAAATAATATAAAACCCTAATAGGCACCTTTAATTAATCCATGCTAAGTAGCTATGAATTGATTAAGGCAATCATAATGATTACTATTAAGTTCAAATTTAAATAACTATTAAGATGTTTTAAAATGTTTTATTTATTTTATTCATTTAAAAATCTTTAATATTTTAATATGAAAAATCATTTTGAAACCATTTTAAAATTCTTATTTACATATTAGAATAAAAAATTTATATTTTTTTTACAAAACATTTTTTTATTGTATTAATTTAATTAAAATTTCAATAAATTAAATTCCTCAACTTAGTTATTCTCACAGATCAGCAAATAATTCTGAATGATTATTTAGACTTTTAAAAAATTCTTTATGTAAATAAAATGTTAATTTATTCAATTTTTAAAATGCCTACCATTTTTGTAAATTACTAAATTAATAATTTTAGAATTTCAATAATATCATAAAATAAAAATCAAAAATAATTAAGTGTACTAAAGGTTTTATGGCAATAAAAACTAATAAAATTTATTATTTTACACTTTTTCCATTTGAAATTCTCAAAATTTAAAAGAAATTATTTTATAAAAAAAACGAATACTTGGAATTTTTTATTTAAACTAAAAATAAATGAATAAGTAGGAATATGTTTTTTCTTTCTAACTTACTAAATTAAATAATTAATTATGAAAATCAATCAAATAAATTCTAAATTTGTTTTTTTATAATAAAATACAAATGTTTAAATAAATATTTTAATTTCTTATTAACTTTTACTCTCCAACAATAAAAATAGATTATTTTAAAATGATGAAATAAAAATATATCACTTGTAATTTTTAATTTTTTTAATTTCTTTATATAGGAATATTTTTATTGAATCAACTACAAAATAATATTTAAGAAAAATAAATAAATAAATAATACTTTATTTAAATTTGTTCATTTAAAAAATTTAAATCAAAAGAAAAAATTTCATATTAACTATTTTTCACTTTTTTAAAATTTTTGGTGAAAAATAGTCAGTTTTTGTTTTAACTTTCTAAAATTTCTTTAATAAAAAATTTAAAAGCTTTATTTTATATGGAGTAGTTAGTATATAATTCGGATAACAAAGCAACACTCTGTCAATTTTTTTAAATAGGATTTAATAAAAAATGAATTTATATATTAAGTAAAGTTATTTATTTATCAATGTTAAATATAATAAAAGAAATATTTTATCTATTTTTGAGATTTGTATTTTTTATAAATTCTTCATATTTATATTTTTGATTACATTTTGATGAACGTATTTTGTGATTTATAAGATAAGCAGATTTTTACGTCAATTGGTAAAATAGAAGAAGAAGAAAAAAAAAATCAAATAAATCTCTCACCAATTTTTAATAAATAAAAAAATATCAAGTTAATTATTTAAAAAATATAAATAGATATTTTCACTAATTAGAAAAAATTTCAAATATCTCAAACATTTTTCAAGAATTTTTTGATAAATACATTTAGAAAGAATAGATCAATTAATTTTACTATGATTAAGCTTTGTTTAAAATTTATATGTATTATTATTATAAGTAAAATCTCTTTTGTTCTAGAGGATATATTCTTAGAAGATTTTATTATTTATTTATTTATTTATTTATTTATTTATTTGTTTGTTTGTTTTATATGTTTCTATAACTAGATAAATAGAGTAGTGGAAAATTTAAAGTTGTATTATATTAGTCTTTTTATTAAATATACAAAATTTATAATAAATATAAAAAAAACAATCATTAAAAATTTATTATTTCTGGTTGTCGTAAAAAGGTTAAAGTAACTGCATATTTAAATATATCAACAAAAAGATTAAAAAAATTATATTGATTTAAATAGTTCTAAGATAGACAAAATTTTAAGAAACACTTTAATAAATTATTATTACTATATGCTTTTAAATAACTAAAAAACGGAAGGAAAGTACGAATAACAAAGAATGTTAGATAGATAAAGGCTAGAAGATTAGTATAGCCAAGAAGATAAAGATAAATCTATGGTATTAGTCTAGGCTTCTCCAAATATAGAAGCCATGAGATCAACAAATAACCTCAAGCAATCAAAATTTAAAAATCAATAGGGCAAATTAAGTAATAACTCAAGTGATATCAAGGACATAGAAATGGGAACTTTAGACATCAACAATTAACTGAATGAGTCGAATTATAGATTGCTTAAATAAGATGAATATAAGCATAAAAAAGCCACTAAGATGACGAATTTGTTTTCTAATAAATAGTAGAGTACAAAAAACCTTGGTAAAAGATCTCTAATTATGAGGAGGTGCTATAGGATAACACTGTTATTTTTATTTGAGCTAATAATAATAGGACTTTTTTTGGGTTTCTATTATAACTTTGGGTTTTATAGAGGAAGCTATGAGATTAACGATCAAGAAAGTTTATCCATTTAATTTTAATAATGTTATCTAAAAATATACGATTATAGTCCAACTTTAGTCTAAGATAAAGGCTTAAACTTTTATTCTACTACCAGTGTACCTTCTTAAATCAATGGAAATATTTTATTGAAATATAGCTTTCCCAATCCAAAGACATTTGGAGCATCAAGCTAGATGAGTTATGTAATAAATTTAGCTATATCATTAGAATTAAAATGATTATAGCTTGTTTAAATACTTGATTAAATATGTTTTTTATTTTTAGTCACTGAATAATGGAATAAGAGAGTTTTAATTTTTGAACGGAGCAGATTCTATAGATTGTGAGGTTGTTATGTATGTCTATAAACCTACTACAATACAATCGTTGTCTATTGATTGTGGAAGATAGGATTGCTTTATCATAAACTAGTCAAAGTAGATCACATTTTAATCTCTTAGTGCTACTGGGTATTCAATAGATTTTAATGCCCAATATTTAAATACTAATGTAATTGATTTATTTTATTACCTATTCTTTATTAATTGTCAATAAAAATTATTAATTAATTAATTAATAATTAGATTTTGAATATCTATTCGTTTTTTGGATATGTAGAAATTGATGACTTCTACTTTACTTAAGCAAGCATAGACATTAGCACTGGAGATATTTCAATCTAATCCACAAAAAGTATATTTGCTAATTTATAAATGGTTTCTAAACTCTATTGTGCAAGCACATATTCTAATATTAACATCGTGAGTACAGTAACAGACGTAACTCCAAATTGTAGTCCTGGTAAGAATTATATGCTAATAGCTTTTAACCTCAAAAAAATCTTTAATTTTATGAATTTCAATTAAAATTAAAAAAGTTTACCCTTATGGAACCAAAACTTAAACTGATTAATCAGTCGTTGCTCAAAGATGTCTTTAAGGTACTTTAACTGTAAAATCTTCTGGAAGTGAACCTAATTAAATTCTTAATGCAAAAAATACATATGGTAACATTTTTATAAATGTACTTCCTAGCCCAGGTGCTTCTCCTATTTCAAATTCTCAGGTTTTCTTTGATTAATCAGTTTATGGGTAGGATGGTAATAAAATTAATTTATCTACTCAATCTTTAATACTACTGAATTCATAATTAAAAAATGCATAAAATCCTAATGTGTATGATCCAATATTCCAATTAACATTTGGGTCTTAATACACATATTCAGAAAGTTTCACATAATGGCAGGTAATGATTAATTATTTATTTGATTATATATTAAATATAATTAATAAATAATAATTTATTAGATTACATTTAATCCTGCTTGCTCTTATCTTAAGCCTTGGTGGATAGGAACACTTACATTTACTCTGTTGGATACAGAGAGGTATATAGATGATTTAACCTTAGCTCCAGGATTCTGTCCATACGTTCCTGGAATATCTTAAGAGAGAATTTACTTAATACAAGCACTTCTGACAACGTTAATGAATTAAGGTTAAAATACTTAAAAACTAACAACTTTTGGGTGGTAAAATAGCCAGACTCTTCCATCAGTAAAATTTTCAAGCAAAAAGACTTATGATGGAAATAGAAATACTGATTTTTCATCTACTTATAATGATGATTGGATCATTTTTAATATTGATAAAGATGGGACAATATCAATAAATTATACATCGCTTGACAGTAACCGTAAAAATATAATTTAAAATTAAAAATCATTTGAAAGTGTATATTTAAAAATAATAGAAGTATTGTTAGCTGCTTTGATTGTCAGCTTCATATTAGCTGTCATATTAGGATTGGTTTTCATGGTTGCCACAGTCTATGTTATAAATCAAAACTATTTAAACACCCTGGATCATATGAAGCATGTGGATACTTATGCATAAGTATAAAAAATTTAAAAAGATATCTAAGGTAGAGATAAAGATTTAGAGGACATTTCTATGTAAGAAGAAAATATTGGGCAGGTAATAAATAAATAAATTTAATTTTAATAGAATCCTAAATAAAATATGTTAAAAAGACAGATGATTTAATTAAAATCTTTATTTATTTTCAATTAAATTATCAAGTAAATTAAAAATATCTATTTTAATAGCCTTTTATTATATTTTAACTGCTTTAAATTAATTCTTTAATGCATGGAAATTATACAAGCTCAATTTTATACTACAAAAAAACAAAAAATAATAGATATTAATTTAAAGAATAAATTAATGCATTAAAATATTTTCATAAATTTATAAAAGAAAAATGAAAATCATGAAGATTCTGATGACCTTAAAAAAATTAGTTTAGACTAAAAATAATTAAAATATACAGTCGCTGGAATTCTTAATTCATTCTTCACTTTAGTTTATTTATCTCCTCCTTTGAGTGCATATATTGACTAAGTCGTCTTACTCTTCTATAAGGCTAGAGTGAATTCAGCTGCTGATTTCTTTTCTTTACTTTTTGTTGAAGAAAATAAATAAGAAGACAATGAAGAATAAATTCATAACTTAGAAAAAGATTCTATTTCTGGATAAGATATGAAAGTTTTGTATGAATAGTATTGCTATCTTAACTAATTATTAGAAAGAAAGCTAGATAGTTAGTAGAGTGTAAATCTCTTAAAGTCTAAAGGGTTTAAAATTAGCATTAAATAAGGAGCCCTTATTTCCTATTATACTTACATCTTATACAACGGAAATAACAAAGTAATTTAAGATACAGATGGTAAGAGCTCGTTAGATCTGTTTATCAAGTATTGCTGTAAACTTACAAAATTTGACTCTGATTGTATTGATTCTTTATCTTTTGAAAAGTATTATTCTGTAAATAAAAAAATAAATTATATTTATATAATATTATTTACAATTTTTTTAATTCAAAGGAATTTTGTACAAAAAATCATATGGAATAATTTCAGTTAAATGAAAATGATCTTAAGCGTGAATATGGTATAGAAACAAGATTTTTGCCTTAATAAATTGTAGAAAGAGATCCAAATTATGGACTAAGTAAGAAGTTTAATATTAATTAGAATAGGGTCAAAAACAATTTCATACTTATACTATCTCAAAATGTTGAAAACGTCCTACCTGAAAATGGAAATATATCTGAATTGAATGATGTTATCATAAATATATACACACCAAAGGGATGGTTAATTTTTGATATCTTAACGGTTTTGGCACATTTGTGCATTATCTTTTTACTCGGCTCTCCACTTATAGCAATAATTATTTTTGTAAGAATGCAGCAAACACCCTTCCTTTTAATTCCATCTGCTAAATAGCTACTTTTGTAAAATTTAATTTTTTTTCTTTATTTTTTAAACAAATATTAGAAAAATGATGAATGAATGATATATTTATTTACTTATAAAAAGTTACTTACTTTTTCTTAATGAAGGGTTTATTTTATTTTTTTAAAGAATAATCCTAGCTTTAAGTCTGCCACAAAATAAATTATTTATCAATTACATAAATCTTATTTTAATTAAAATTAAAACGCTTCGAAACAAACAAACAAAATAAATCAATAAAATTTAACACTGTTTTAAGATTTTTTAGAAAATTATTTTAATTTTAATTTAAATTCATTGTTTTAAAAAAAATATGAACTAATTTACTAACTAACTAAATTAATAAAAGATCTGACTTATTGTATAAGACATCAGTAATTCCTTTGAAATTGATGAATGATACTAATTTAGTAATTGCTATTTCATTAATTACATTGATTTTTTGGGCTCTTTCTACTTGGGATCTTATATATTATTACTTTTTAATGAGTTTTCCTTAAGAAAGATATTTTTTGAATTATAAAAATGCTAACTTAGGAAGAAAGTTTGTTTCACGTGTTATGTGGATTATAGTACTAATAATTATATATATTGTTTATATATACTTGTGCTTAGTTATTACTTGGTTAATTCTAGGAGCTATTATCAATCCATAGGCATTTTTACCCTATGCAACATCTTCAGCAACTCTTGTAACTATTGTTACACAGAAATATAAGTAAGAAATAAATATAAATATATTTCAACAATGATTCCAATCTAAAAATTTTTATTTAGATAATTCAAGCAGCTTTCTGAAGAAGGATATAAGAAACTTATTTCATACATTACCAATTTCTCAGAAAACTAATTTAAAGAAATCATCAAAAAAATGGATATCAGTGAAAAAATCGAAGATGCTTTACCAACAAACTAAATCAAAAGCTTAATTGGAGAAGCAGAAAGCAATAATCTTATTGATCCTAAATTAAGTTAGAGTATTTAAAATAACATAGAAATTATGACCAGAGATCCTAATGCAGTAGCTCACATGGGTCAGGAAGTATTTGAGATTGCTTAAAATCCTTAAGCTTACGCTTCAAGCCTTATGGAAAAACTTGAAAGCAAAGTAAAAGATGAGCTTGTTTAGCAAGTAAGAAAATAATTTGTTAAATTTATTTTATACTATTTTTGTAATTTAATTTAGGTGAACTAGTACCTCCCTTTGATGAGTCAGAGCCTAATTTAAGCCCTCCAAGATTTATTTACAGGAGAGCAAAATAGGTTGTAGTAAGACTTGACAGTGCTATTTAAAGATTTTGTTTCTTAATGTGAGTCTAATTCTAAAGTAAAATCAAATGAAAAGCTAATAAAATCACTTTAGGTTTTAAAAGGTCCGATTATATCTCTTATATTTGACATTGCTTTTCCAAGCAAAGAAGAAAAAATTGATGATATTAAATAAAAACTTACTGCAAATGTTTGCTCTATAATTTAAGAAATTATTAATTATAAAACTGCAGAATAAAACAAAAGCTAATCTAATGAAATTCTTTCTGTAAAAACTATTAATTTGATTGAAAAAATTACATTTTTCAATATGAAATTATTTCAGAATTACAAAAAATAATAAGATACAGTAAAATTTATTTATTAAAATATTTACTTTATTAAAAAAACATACAAAATGATCGATTCCAATGAATTATTAAAACAATTTAAATTAACAAAGCTTTAATAAAAAAAATAAACGCAAAAATTGAGAGAAAATGCATTCATAAGCTATTGTTTATTTTATATTTTCAATTGTAAATTGAAAAAAGTTTAACCACAATTCTAAGGAAAAGATAGATTTTTTTTGTTGAGTTAATTTTATTTTAGAAGGATTAATTATATTTAATTTAGAAATTTGATTATTATTTATTTATATTTAAATAGGAGTATTTATACTAAATTATTGAGGTTTTAAGTGAAGAAGATCTGATTTAATTCTCAGATAAACTTTAAAGAGTTTCACAATTTTCAGATATTCTTAAACTATTAATGAAAATTGTTGAAGAAAAAGGAGAGATTAGCGCTATACCATCATATAAGAGAGTTAGATAATTTATTAAATAAATTTTAGAAGGATTTATGGAAGATTAAGATTTAAAAGTTCAAAAATATTTTGATTTCTTAATTGAGTGTTTCTTATCTCCTATTATATAAATAAATATTCCCAAATTTTCTGAAAGAAAAAATATCTGCTAACAATTAATAGATATGTACAAAATAAATGAATAAAATGATTAATCTGGAAGTTAGCTTTCCTCTCTTATTGCTTTATTCACATTTTGGCTTTAAGGATCAACTCTAAACATTCCTACTGATGCCTTTAACGATATTATTCAACTAATTTCCAAAGAATATCCTGGAATTTAAAAAATTATTCAACCTAATGAGGATTAAAATAAAAATACTGCTAAAATTACTTAAAAGTTAAAAAAATTCTAAAGCTTCTTTAATTTGTTTGATATTTTAATTAATGATCCTTGTATTGGCTAAATTAAAATAGAATAAAATAGCAAATAGCTTTATGGAGTATCTTATAGTTTTAGTGATTTTATTATAGATTCTATGAGAGTAAAATATAAAAATATGTCAAGTCTTGAGGATTTCAATGTCATTTTACAATCTTCATACTTTGAAAACATATCAAAATAGATGAAGATACCTACTTTTTAATTAGTAGGATTGCTTCACCTTGTTCTAAAAAACCCTAAAACTTTAGAAGCAAATTCTTGCATCAAAATGATTTTCCAATAATTTAGAGTAAGCAAGCAATTACTTATTTTATATTTTTCCTTTCATTTTTCTTAGTTTTCGTTGAACTTTTATTTATTTATTTATTTATTTATTTATTTATTTATTTATTTATTTACATTTTTTCCAAAAGATTAATGAAAATAGAATTCAAACATTTTTGCACATTTATGATCTTCTCATATCAGTAGACGAAAGAGATTTAAATAATGCTCTAAATTATTTGTAATTTAACTAATTGAATATTTCGGTTTCTTATGGTTAGAATTAAGCTGTATAGCTTGACACAGAATCATTTGCTTTGCTTTTAATGTTCTAAAGAAATAAATTTAGAACTAATTTAAAAGCAAACTCTAGAATTATGAGACTATTCTCTTTAATATTCAATTGTGAAACAACAAAATTAGATTAATTATCTAAAATGTTTATTAGTATAAAGTTTTCATCTTCTCACTTGTAATAGTAAGCTACTTTGGCTGAGGAGTTTTAAGGAAATATTTAATCTTTAATGTCTCTTGAATAAGAGGGTCCTATAGGTTAAAAAACCTTAAGTTAGATTTTGAAGATATTTACTCTTTAAAATAGTATAAACTAACAAATAAAATCGCTTTAAAGTAAAGAAATTATAATCTTCTCAAAGCTGCTCTCAACAAGAAATATTCCTTTAGTTTACCCTGAAATCTAGGCTTAACAGTTCAAAGATTCGGTCTAAGATTTATCTACTTTATTAAATGTTGATGAATATTATATTCAAAATTTTTTAATTCTCTTTACTTGTGCTAATTCTTCTAAGTTTATGAAGTACTTACTTTTCATCTTTTTTAATGGCTATTTTTTATAAAAATTTTATAATATTAATAAATTAAAAAGAGCTTTTTAAGTTTTTGGAATTTCCATTGAAGAAAACGAGGAGTCATTTATCGAAGCATAGGCTTAATTTGTCAATCAAATAGAAACTAAATAAGGTATAATAAAGGAAATACAACAAAATCTTCTAAGATCTAAAATACCATTAAATATGTTAGAATAACTACTCCTATTCAACTCTTTACCTTCAGACTCTGAAACTCTTTATTACATATTAAACACTTTTTACGAAAATATAAGTGAATCAGTTAAACTACTTATAAATTTCCATTATAGTATACCAGCAATAGAAGATAAATCATTATAGTCTGAAATTAAGAAATCAATTTTATAAGGTAACCCAAAAGCCAATATTGGTGGGCTGGAAACTTTAATTTAAATATTTAACAACGGATCATAAAAAGAAGAAAATATAGCTTTGTTTTTGCAATATCTTCATGATTAGAAAAAAATTTTACCTCTTCTTTTAGGTTCACTGTTTACTTATTTGAATGGAGACGGGGAGTAAATATAAATCTAAACAGATGAAAATCTAGGAGAGAAAAAGCTTGGTTACTTCCAGTAGAAATTTAATATTTCAGTTGAATAGTACTTGTCTCGTAAATTAGATCTCAAAACTGAATTTTTTACTGCACTCCCAAGTGTTTTTGTTAATGACACATATACATTTGCTTCAGAATTTATAAAGTTTTACAGATAAGAAGATTATTAAATCTAAAGAGAATATATTTAAAATTAAGGTAAAAAAAATAATAGTTCTAATTAAGTAAACGACTCACAATCAGCAAATAGCAATTTAAAATAAAGCAATTTAGAAAATTTGGTTAATAGGGTTACTGTTTAAGACAAAGAATTGGAATAGTTTATTAGATTATTTTCTAAAAATTCTATCAACTCTTCTTTCTTCAGCAGAGAGCTTTCTCTTCCAATAGATTTAGTTGAATTAATATAAACTATATGTTTTATCAAAAATGCAGATGAAGAGAAAAGATAAAAGTCTTATGATGCTCTTTAGTAAAATAACTCCTGCTTAAAAATATTCTCATAAATAGGAATAGATATGAATGAGTTCATAACGTGTGTTAAATTTTTTTATCAAGATTTTGAAGTAAGCGAATCATAAATACTGCAAAAAGGATTGAAGCTTCCTTCCAAATTCCCGTTTACTGTTTTATAAAATTTATTGCTTTTAGATGTTTACTTACCTCCATTTGATGATCCTGCATAAAACAGAAAGAAATTATCTTAATTTATGAAATCAAACTAGCTCGTAAATGACATGGGAATCAATTTGAAGTGGCTCTAATTATTATATGTTCTTTACGGTGACTTCACTGTTTTAAAGACATTTGCCGAAGGTGAAGTTTAGATGGTTACAAGCAAAAAGGAAACTAAAGAAATTAATATCCTAACAGGACTTTTTGGGTAAAAAAAAATAAAAATTATTTAATAAATTATTTGTTTATTTGTGAATCTAAATATAAAAAAGTGTTCTCAATAAGAAAAAGACAGAAATTTAAGCAGGTGATTTCTTTAAGCAAATATATTAGAAGTTCAAAGTGTAAAATAAACTATTTGGATAGTATGATAAAAATTAGATCAAACAAAGATAGCAGGGAAGGAAAGAAGAAGCAGTTCTCTCTTCTGACTAGCTATAAAAAGGAAATACTTTCGAATATGCTATATATCAACTGTGTAAAGAAATGTACATAAGCCCTGTTTGGGTACTTTTAATGTCTGGTGACTATGGAATGTGGGATGAATTATGCGGTACATATTATGGATATTACAAATATGAGAAATTAACCAAATCTCATAATAATCCCATTCAAATACTTATTCTTATCCTTAGAATGAAAAAATGTCCAACTATAATCAAAGAATTCTTAATCTAAAACGAACTAGCCATTCTTTCTCCAAATATATTTGAAAATACTGAAAAAGACTAAACAGTAAAAGACCTTGAAGAAAAGAGTGAGAAGTTAATTAGTGAATAAAACTATATTTTATAAAATATTTTACAACTTAACATTGAGAGGTAAAAATTTATTTTTATTAAAATACATTTTTAAGAATTTTTAAATAAATTAGTTTTAATGAGCTAGCAGAGTAAGTTTAATTCCCAACAAAAGTATTAAATTTAGTGGCATCTTATGAATACAATGATAATCCTTAAGACTATAAGGATATTAAATTTTAAGAATCTGAAGTTGATAACATTTTAGTTTAGGCTTCTAAAAAAATATTTATTGCAAATAGATCAAAGGCAGCTAAACAACAGAAAAATAGTGTGTAAATAAATTTCTTTTAAAAATTATAAGTCAAAATAAAAAAATTTTAATTTTTTTGTGAGTTTTTTTTATTCTTTACATTAATTTATAACTAAAATTATTAAAAAGAATGGCAATAAATATAAATCCCATAAACCATGGTAAAACTGTTTACAGTGAAGTGAAAAATATATTCAAGAAAGTTGATTGGGATTTTTGTGATTATGATGACAAAGTTTAACCTGAAAAGATTGATTTCCCAAATAAGTAATCTAAAGAATAATTCGGGCGTAATGAGTTAATGCAAGTAGTTTGGATAAGTACGCTTACAAATTTATAAACTTCTTACTATGGCTACTAAAATAACAGTGATAGAGATAGTGACCACTATAAATTAGTATCATATGAAATCGATCTTTTCTTATCAATAATTGAATACTATTACTTCTTTTGCCCAAAAAATAATTAGATTAGCAAATATAAAATCTTTTATTTGATTGTAATTTTCCTTTTATTTTTTCAAATATTTTAAATCTAATTATTTATCTTATAGGCTCTTGCTTGTGGATTTAATTTCGAATTAAAAGATGTATTCAGCTGCAATCCTTATGATTCTATTTACAACCAACTTTTCAGAAAATAAAATATTCATAAACTTGATGAATAAGAGTAATATAAAGCCCTTAAAGAATTTTTCAAAGTAAATGTCTTGAAAAACTTAAATTAAGTAATCTCTATAAGAGAATCAAAGGATTTGGAAATAGTTTAAAATGAAGGAGATTTCTATTTTAGAATCTTCTATAATAGTGTTTATAAGAGAATTGCTTCTTAGCACGATGGATAAATATCTCAAAGTATTTTTGATATGTACATCAATAACTTTGATGATTTAATTAGGTATAAATTAATGAAATTTATTTTCATTTTTAATGCATTTTTCATAATTTAATTAGACCTTAGTATCCCTCAGAAAAGTAATTAAAGTCTATACATGAGTTATATCTTTCCCAATCAGATGAAAAAGAATTGCTAGAGTTGTTAAAAGCAGAAGAATAGGATTACTTAAAATCTACTTCTATTTAAAATTTCACATTTTTAATTGATTTTTATAAAGAAAACTATGAATCTATGATAGAAAATGATTATTTCATATAAAAATATGAAAAAGTAAGTTTAAATTTCTTAAATAATTTTATTCTTTTTTTTGATAATATTCTGAATTAATTCAATTTTTAGAAATTAAAATAATCGAATCTAATCTTAAAATTTTTTTAGGAATTAAAATATATTGTTGGCGTCCTAACTCTCAATGCTGCCTTTATTTCTGCCAAGGGAGACATTGATGTAGATGAGTTTGTTGATTCTCTTTCACTTGTTTCTTAATACATGGTGAGCAATAAAAGAGCTCTCACTTAAGTCCTTTTACTATTTATTGATGGACATGATTTTAATCTCTCATCAATAACTGATGTCTTGCAGATAAGATCTCAGACTCTAAAAACATTTTCTTGCATTTATTTGAGCAATAATTCTACAACTCTTGATGATGATTTTGATTTTCTTCTATCTCAAACTTCATATTCTTAAACGAATAAATGGTAACTATAGAAAGAAAACAATTTTCTTAAAAAATAAAAAAATAAAAATCTCAAAAATTGCTTAAAGAAAGCAATCACTTTTAAAAAAAGAAAAACATTTTATCAAACTAAATTTTATTAAAAAAATGATTTAGTCTGAAAAAAATAATTACTTTATTAATTAATTATCTTTTTAAAATTAGGGTTATTAAGAATATTATAAATTTGTATCTAGGAGATATGGCTTAAATAATGAGCTTGGTTTCTTATTCTTATAATTTTAGTGATCCTGCTTGCAAGAGTTATCAAGAATTATATAAGTTTTTATATGCAATTGATAGTGTATTAATTTTTTTTTTCTTCAGTTATTTATTTAATTTAAAACAAATAAAAAAAGAATTATTTGCATGCAATACCTCACCAACAAGGGAATATAAATATATTAAATTTGTAATACTTATCATCTGAGATTGAAGAATAAGAAGAATTATAAAATGAAATTATTTTCTAAATATGTGATTCAGTAATTTATTCAAATGGTTTTTCATTAGAACCTTAAGTTAGATTAAGTGTTGAAGAAGAATAGCAAGATCCAACTGCTAAATTTAAGAAACTATATTACGAATCTGCAAATATAATAAGATCTATTTGCAGAAATGATTGGAGATTTATAAATAATATCCATTAAGATGAGCTTAAAAGGTATTTATTTTTTTCAATTTAAATTAATTGTTTTTATTTTTTTAAATGTAAAAAATATTAGATAAGCTTTTTGCTAGCTTTTTGATCTTAGTGAAGATAATTGTGATCTTGTGTAGGCTCTTTCTTTGATAAAACCTGATATAACTAAACTTAAAGGAGATCCTTAATTAAATGAATTATTCTCTGAAGAAAATGTAATAATAAATTAGCATTTATTTTTGTTGATTTTCACTAATCAAAATTAAATTCTAATAAAGATTAATAGGTTCGTAAGCAAGCTAAAATAATTTGGTATTTGTAAGTAAGATTAAACTGAGGAAGAGGAGTAATGCTTAATTTTAACATTCGTAGCAAACGAGTCTTTCCCTCATCTTGCTAACTATTTAAATAAAATAACTAATAGTAAATTGGTAAAAGCATTTATTTATTTTTATGGTTTTATACTTTATCTAATAATTCTTTATCTATCTTAAATAATATTAGTCTAATAGCTAGGCAGTGGGGATTGCATAAAAATAAGAGCTATCTCATATATTATTATCTATATTGATGGTTAAGAATTGTACAAAGATTGATTGGTAAGAGCTTTATGGTTTAATTAAAAGTGACAAATATAACGAGAAATATGGTGAAGAAATAACATTAAATGAGCTTTAGATATTTACCAGTAAATGCTTATCAGGATTTGATGTTTTTTCCGCTATTTTTGAGTAAGACGTAAATTCTAATAGACATACTGAAGATACAACTGAAATAGACTCAATATAAAGTGGTACTACAACTCGAACTGAAAAAAGACTTTTAGACACTTCTAAGTAATTTTTTTTAAATCAGCTTTTTAAATAAAAATTAATTAATTAATTAATTAACTTTATTTAAACAAATAGATTTTAACAATTCAAATATTTTGACTTAGATGTATTCTAAAAAATATAAGTGTTATTTGATGAAAATATTAACTCTAAATCATACATCTCTTTGTATTATTTATAAAAAACAAAAAAAATTTTAGAATAAAAGCTTAATCCTTCTAATCTACTATCTGCTAATTTAAATAAGCAGACATATTAATAGCTTTCCTCTCTAATTACAGGTGAAGCTTTCTTCCAAAAAGCTAAAAATAATCCTGTATTGAAAAAAATTAAATATGTTTCTAAGATCTTTTTGAGCAAAAATTAAGATTAATTCACAAAACTGATAGAAAAATTCACTAAAAGTGATAAAAATGAAACTGGTGATTACCTCAACCACATTATTTCATTTGCTTTGAAGCTCATGTATAATACTATTAGTAAGCAAAAAGTCTCAAACGATTAGCAAATTAGCAATTTTCATCTCTAAATTGATAGCTTAATAGACATACTCCAAGCTTTATTTAGCAAGCCATTGGCTTAAAAACAAAGTGGAAATGATCAGCAAATAAATAACAATAAATTAGAAGTTTAATTTATTAATATAGTATGCAGCTTCATTTTAAACAATAGCAAAGAAGATTTAACCAAAAATTTTAATTAACTTCATAAGGTAATAAATAAATTAATTAATTTATTAAAAATTATTTAAAAATATTTTACAAATAAATTAAATGACTAGTTCTTCTTTGACTGCTTAAATGAAAAATTTAGTTAAGTAGCTTAATTCTTTTAGCATGACAAAGAATAAATACAAGCAGTTTATAAAATTCTATAAAAACTTCTTGATAGACCTCTTTTAAATTTAGAAGATGAAAATTTAATCGAAGACGTTTTGGATCTTTTACAGTCCTTTGATAAAGAACTAATTGACAAAAAATTAGTCACTTATTTAATTAACATGGTTGTTCAAAGTGACTTTAAAAGCCTTTTAGGAATTATTGAATATTCAAACTTAGTATCTTAAAGTGAATTTAAAATTATTAAGTAATCTATTCATAAAATTAGTAGCCTCTCAATATTTGGTAATAGAGGAGCTCTTAAGCATTTCACCAAACCAAGACCTGTAATTTCAGACTAAATGAAAGAAATTACTAAGAGAATATAAGAAGGAAAAGTAACTATTTACCTATTTATTTCAATAAAATTAATTAATATTTACAATAAATAAATAGATAACAACAGCTGACGTATTCTTTTCTATAGACAGCAGCGGAGATGGAAATGGATCAATTTCTATGGAAGAGTTTTGTAACTTCTTAAGAAGGACAGGTAATATTTTTCTTATCAATTCATTAATTTATATTCTTTAAATTCAATTTTAAAATTGTAATTAAAAATTTTTATTTCTTAATTTAACAGGAATATAAATGAGTGAGCATAGAGTTAACGAATTATTTGCTACTATTAAAAAAAATAGAAGAGCAGGTAGCAGGCAGACTGATGGTAACGATCTCAATTATGAGGAGTTTGAAGAAGCATATTAGTATATAAATACGAAAAAAACTGATATGTCTTTAGAAAAATTAGGAATTTCTCCTGCTTTGCTAGCACTTTCATTAGGAACACTAATCATTATTCTTATATTGCTTCTGGTCTTCATATTCTTGGGAATAAAAGCCTTTGCTTTAGGTGGCACTTTTGGAAGTATAATAAATTCAATTATTCCAGCAGTTTCTATTTCAGGAACAGCCTCTTCTTCAAGCAATAAAAAAGATTCCTTAAAAGAAGATAACATCAAAGGAGTAATGAAGGAAACCTACTAAATTCTGCATTCTAATCAACTATGATTTTAATATAAAATTAATCAATTAATTTAGTTAGTTATTTAGTTTGTTTTAATTAATAAACACTGTAAATTCTCATATATTACCAATAAAACTTTAAAGGTTTTTTCTAACGTTAGTATTTTTTTCTCTAAATGTTTTAATAATAATTTTTAAAACTTAAAATTATGAAATTAGAGGTTTTAAGATATTAATTAAGTAATAATTTTAAAAGAAAGAAACTAACAAATTACAAATTAATTAATTGATATTTAAAAATTTATATAATTTAATTTTTTATTTGAATAAAAATGTTTATATTTTATTATAAAAAATAATGATAACTACTTTAATTAGTATTTTGATTGATTTATTTATTTATTTATTAATTAAGTTACTATAATATGAGTATATATATGTTTGCTATAACTATTTATAAAAAGTAATAAACTAACAAATTTAAAATATAATTAATTGATATTTAAATATTTATATAATTTAATTTTTTATTTGAATAAAAATGTTTATATTTTATTATAAAAAATAATGATAACTACTTTAATTAGTATTTTGACTTATTTATTTATTAATTAAATTATTTTTATATGAATATATATATACATTTGTTATAAATATTTATAAAAAGTAATAAACTAACATATTTAAAATATAATTAATTAATTTTTAAATTTTGCTATAATTTAATTTTTTATTTGAATAAAAATATTTATATTTTATAATAAAACAATAATTATAATTAGTTAAATCAGGATTTATTTTGCTATATTTATTAATTTGGTTATTTTAATTTGAATATATATACATTTGTTATAACTATTTTTAAAAAGTAATAAACTTTTAAAAAATAATCATAAATATTTAAATAAAATTTTTTATATTTTATTATAAAACAGTAATGATAGTATATTGTTTTTATTTATTAATTAAATACTTTAATATGAATAAATTTTTATATATTGGTTATAACTATTTATAAAAAGTAAGAAACTCACAAATTAAAAATTTATTAGTTAATATTTAAATTTAACTTGAATTTAATTTTTTATTTAAGGAAAATTTTTAATATTTTATTATAAGACAATAATGAAAACTACTTTAATTAGTATTTAACTCTATTTATTAATTTGGTTACTTTAATATGAATATACATTTGTTATAATTATTTATAATAAGTAAGAAACTAACAAATTAAAAATTTAATAGTTGGTATTTAAATTTTACTATAATTAAATTTAACTATTTTTATTTATTCAATTATTTTATTATTTAGAAAGTAAGTAGGATTTTGTAATTATAAATATTCTTAGTATTTTTATTTAGAGTTAGTTTGAAAAATATTATTTTCAAATTGCATTCATTAGAATACCTTGATTAATCTTTCTTTGTCGTTTTCTGCTGCAAATTAGCCTTTAACAAACATTTCATCACTAAAATTTTCATCCCAAATCCAATAATCTCTGGGAAACCATACATTGGAGTTCTCCATTATATCAAAATACTCTATATTTTTTATTTCTTCTCTAACAACTGGCCATTCTCTTGTGTATTTAGGGAGGGCATTAATAAATATCTTCTTGGATTCTTAATACTTATATGGTATAACTTGAGTGAGTCCTCCATCAAGACATTTTTTACCTTTGTATTCATTGAAGATCTTTGGCCTTGTCAAAAAGGGAATCATTGCTGAGCTGATTAAAGCCTCAGTAAAATCGTATTTATCCTCGAAATGGTCAATAAGCTTTTTCTTTAAAGAGAAAAGACCTTCTACTTAAGAAACATAACAATGGAATATTCCATTCACATGAGGGAATTTTTATTCTTCCATCAAATCCCATTATTCATAGCAATATTTTTCTATGAGTGCACCACTTGTAAAGAAGCCATAATATTTGCGATTTTCTTTTTCAAAGAATTTACGAATTCTATTCAAGTAAAAATGTTTTAGGTCTAAATCAGTATAAAGTGTAGTGTGGAAATAAACTCCAATAGCTGTACCAGCAGAAATAGCTCCTATTTTATATTCTCTTAATTTCTCCTTTCCTACAAACTCTGTCAATTTATACAAATAACCCATTTAGTATGTTAAAGCACCTGCAGATCCACTTAAGAGGAGTTCCTTAATCCCTTCTCCTGAATTTTCACATTGCTATGTTTAAGAAATCATGCTAGGAATATTTTCTATTGTTTCCCTTTTCTCTGTTTGGCTACTTTCCTTTTAAGCGATTTTTTCCATTTTAAAAAAGTAAATATGTAGGTATTTTAGTGAATTGTTTTATTCTATTTATTAATTGTGAAATTAACAGAAATATATCCTATTTATATCAGAAATAATCAAAGCAAATTATTGATTGGTTTGTTTTTAGATTTTTTGAAAGTAAATAAGAATATATTGGAAATTTAAATTATTTATTTCTAAAACTCTATCTAAAACATATTTATTTTTTATTACATTTTAATTCAAAATAATACAATTTCTAGATATTTCTACTTTATTCCAACATTTTGTTAATTTAAATAATTTCAAAAAACTAAGTAAAAATAGTTAAATCATTCACTCTTTTAAAATACATAATTAACAGGTGAAAGAATGCTTAACTTTCATGATGTTTTTAATTGAATCCAATAATTGTGTCATTTTATTATTTAATGACTCAATTATTTTCTTTAAAATAAAAATTTAAATAATCAATCAATCATATTAAAATATTTTTTTCATTTTAATTAAAAATCATTTGAAATGCTATTTTGATATGCATTTAAAAAAAATATTATTAAAAATTTAAAATCTAAATTAAGAGTATAATTTTTCAAAAAAGATATTCATTTGTAGATTATCTTTAAATAAATATCTAATAACAAAGATGAAATTACAAATTTAGAGTTTAAAAAAAATTTTTTTATGGATCATTAATAATTTTTTGTTATTTTTAATTTTTTGATTTAATGAGATATTTTTATTACTTGTTTGAGAATTTGTGATATTCATAATATTCAAAGAATATTTAGATGTAAAGATAGATTAATATTTTTATTTTTACCTTATTTATTTATTTTATAAAAAAATTAGAATTTAATAAGACTGTTATTGCCTTCAAATATATTTTTTATAATAATTTAAACAGAAATTAAATAAAACAAAAATAAATTTTATAAATTAGAAAAAATAAAAATTATTTTTTTTATGAAAATAAAAAACATTGATATTTTTATTCAATTATAATTTTAAAAATAATTTAGAGACAATGAACATTCCAAATTAACTTTTGATGATATATTTTGCAGAAGAAATTAATAAATTTCTCAAAAAAATTTTTTGTAAATCATTCAAAAAAACAAAGCAATTCGTTCAATTTATCAAATATTAATTTATTTGATTTTTCATAAATATTGAATGAATCTTCCTAAATTAATTAGAAAAAGATTATTTGTGAATTATTGATTTAATTTTTTAAATAATATTTAATCACTAATATTAAATGTAATATAGATCTTTTCATAAGTTTCTTTATACATAATAGAAGTTATTCAAATTTTTCCTATAAGCATATTTAAAATTAAGGTATTGATTGCATAGTATTAAAAAAATATTTGTTATAGTTAATAAAAGAATATTGTTATTAATGCTTTTAAAAGTATGATGAAATCTAAATGGTTATATGTGACTGTATGTAGATATCATTATTTATCTTATTTTTTAATAATTTAAAGTTTATTTTTAATTTAAATAGCTAAAAAAATTAACTTAAAAAAACATAGGTCAAAGTAGAAAATAAAGAATAATATATTCAAAAATGGATGAATTTGATATTAATCATAGTCCTCATAATAAACCAGTGAGGACAGATTTTTCTTTAAATGAAGTAGGTGTTTTAGATAATGATAGCTAGTACTAAGATGAGGCTAATTAATAACCGGTTGTAGATTAATTGAAGCTAGATGATGTTCAAATCAATACCTAAGAAAATGGAACATCCTTGCCAATTAGATAAGACAGTGAAAACTAATAGCTTTAAAAATAGGAAAGCAATGGATAATAAAATAATACAGGTGATAAAAAGGATTAAGATAAGTAAGAAACAATAGGCTAGTAATAAAATAAATCGCAGCCAGAAGATCTCAGATTTGATGACATGGATTACGATTAGAATGTCCACTTCATGTTTAGAATTATATTTATCCATTTGGTCAAACTTTCTGTAAAAATTAAAAAGGCTATTGTGAAGGGATGCAATTTAGGCTTGTAGCATCTCCCAAAGATAAAAGAAAATCATAAAGTTGAAAAAGTTACAGATGATTTTTATGATGATATCTTGATGTTGAAAGCAACTAATAAACTGTAGGTAAAAATAATATACAAACTTAATTAATAGATTTAAAACCTCTAATTTTGTTTATAATAATATAAGCAGTGATCTTGATCATTTGATTACATTTATTATAAATCAATTCTTTCTTCTAACAATTATCTGAAAGAATAATTAATTATTTTTGATCTAAATTGTTATATTTAAATAAAATTTTCCTATCATCAAAGTAATCTTAGTATTCTTCAAATTTTCCAGAAGAATTTTGGATAATGTAAGAAATATGTGAGAAAAATTAAATTTAAAGTCAATTAAATACTACTAAGTATCTTAATCAAATATCTAAAATAAGAAAATTCAATATAAAAGTTAATTAATAAATATTTTCTAATAAAAATAAATAGGTTTATTTTTGTATTAAATCTATTTCAATTTTAAATTAAAACTTTTTATTTATTTTTTTCAATGGAGAAGATCATTTTTTGTGGTTTTTTAATTCAAAATCTCTCAATTTTCTTCATTTATTTAATTGGCTTCATAATTTTGATTAGTTTTGTTTCAGATTATTTATTAACTATTATCACAAAAAATGTTTTATCATCCATCATTTTATTTAGATTTTTTTTTTGTAATTACAAATATACTAATTTTTTTGTTTTAATAAAAAAAGCCTTTTTAAATATTTAAGAAATCAATTAAGCTATATAAGGCTGAAATTTTTTAAACATTTGTCATGTGCTTCTTAGATGCAGGATTTAAACTTTTTAATTCAGTGGCTTTAAACTATTGCATATAGTATATGATATATGAAGACCATAGATCAGCTTATATTTGGGGTGGTATTGTGCTAGCATCATTGGTTTTATCTACTACTTTCAGACACGGTTCTTGGGCAGTAGGTTAAAATATATTGTGCCGTGTTAGACTTTTGTATGTTAATGCTTTGTATAAAAAAATTAGCAAACTCAGCTCATACTCAATTAAAGAAGCTAACTTGGGTAAAGTAATAAACTTGATTTCTAGTGATCTCAATTCCACAGAATTGAAGGGTTTCTTCATATTTAATATGATTGTTGCTCCATTCATCTTTATTGGTGCTCTTATAATTTTATATTTCCGTCTTGGACCATATGGTAAATTTAATTTAAATAAATTGATTGCTGACAAATTTTAAAAAAATAAGGTCTTTTAAGTGTATTGTTTTTATCCTTTGTGTTTCCCATGCAAAACTATTTTGGAAAAAAAGCTGCTCTGTACACTTAGAAAAGAACTGTGAAGAGTGATGAGAGAGTAAAATTAATTAATGAAGCCATTGAAGGAATAAGATTGATAAAAATGTATGGCTGGGAAAAGGCATTCAGATAAATGGTTGAAAAGATTCGTAGTGACGAAATTTCAATGGCTATCAAGTCAATCTGCATTCAATGTATTGAAAAGACTTTCTCTAAGTGCTTTGTGCTTTTTGTTGCAACAATAATATTCTGTATTATTCATTACACTGGGTATGAACTGAATAGCGCAAAAATATTTTCAACTATCGAAATGCTTTAATATATCCGTGTTAATGTTATGCTTTTCACAGGAATGGGTATCTCTTATCTTTTCGAGTTGCGTATCTTTTATAATAGATTTATAGACATCATAACTATTAAAGAAACTGAAATGACAGCTCTCAACATGGAAAGTAATACAGCTCAATAATAGTTAAGTGATGATTTAGCAGCTAAATTTAGTAATTTCAATGCTTACTGGAGATCTAGAGTTAATACAGATAAAAAGGAAAATAATTAACAAGTCGTAATTTTGTAAACTGAGGGAGATTAAAAGATGTTAGCAACAGAAAATAATGAATTAATAGAAAATTAAATGAAGCCTGCTTTGAAGAACATCAACTTATCTATTAAAAAGGGTGAGTTACTCGGTATAGTAGGTAAAATAGGAAGTGGAAAAACAACATTTTTGCAATGTTTCCTTAGAGAAATACCTTCCTATGATGGTTCTTTTTTAACATAAAATAACAGCTCAGTTGCCTATGTAGAGCAAGAACCTTATATTTTCTCAAGTACTGTGAGAGAAAACATTCTATTTGGAAAATCATATGAAGAATCATGGTACAATTAGGTAGTAAAATAATGTTGCTTACTTCCTGATTTTAAAGAAATGGGTAAAGGAGATTAAACTGAAATAGGAGAAAGAGGTATAAATATTAGTGGAGGTTAGAAGGCTAGAATCAGTTTAGCTAGAGCTGTATACAGTAAGGCAGATATATATCTCTTAGATGATCCTCTTAGTGCTGTTGATTCAAAAGTTGCTAAAAAGCTTTTCCATAATTGCATTTAAGGAATTTTAAAAAATAGGACTGTGATTTTAGTAACTCACTAGATTCATTATACTAAAAACTGCGACAGAATTATTATATTTGAAGAAAATGAGATTAAAGACGAAGGTACCTTTTAGCAAATGGAAGAAGAACTTAAAAAATTAGCAGCTGGTTAACTGAAATTCGAAACACAATCTCAAAAAAGTATATCAAATTCTAACAGCTAAAGAGATTTGATTGATTAAATAAATGAAAAAAACGCAGAATTAAAAAATAAAGAAAAAGCAGAAGCTTAAAATAAACTTTAACCTAAATAAGTCAAAGATAATACAAAAGTTACATTAAGAACTTATTAAAGATTCTTTGGTATTGTAAACAGAAAGATATTTGGTTTTCCTCTTATTCTATTTGTACTATTTGTAAGTTCAGAAATAGCATTCACAGTTTTCAATAGAGGTTTGGGATATTACGATTCAACAAGCGATGAATCAAAAGGAAAGTTGTTTGGTTTCCTATTCGGCTTTTCTTCTTTATATTTGATCTTGAATTTCTTGAAATACATTTTGCTTTCTGTTGGTAAAAAAAATTACTTTTTTTGAAAAAATTTTTAAAACAAAACTTTTGAATTTAATCTGAAATTATTTTTTTGATATTGAAAAGGTATTTTGAAAGGAAGTTAAATCCTTCATGACGATATGTTTAAATCTTTAACTAGAGCACCTGTGTTATTTTTTGATTAAACTCCTGGTGGATATCTGATGAATAAATTTTCAAATGATATTGGTCTAATGGATAATGCACTAAATTATTCTGCTAATGATGGTCTTGATATCATGTTCTATTTCTTGAATTTGATGATTACTTGTTGTGTAATTAATCCTTTTGTCATTATCCCTGCAGTATGCACAATCATTTTGTTGCTATTTTTCTTAAATTATAGCAAGGATATAATTATAAGATCAAAAATTATTGACTTATAGTTTAAAAACCCAGTGTTTTAGTTCTTCCAATCAACTTTATCAGGTGTTATTCCCATAAAAATTTATAATTAAAAGTAAAATTTTGCTACAAAAATGTAACAACTTTGCAATAATAGCATTTAGACAAACATTATTTATTGGCTTGTTGGTAGATTCTTTGGAGTTTTCTGCTAATATATAGCTACAGCGGGTTCTGGTGCTGGTGTCTTTATTATTATAGGTTTATCTTCAGGTAATCCAGGGTTAGCAGGGTAGAGTTTAACATATTTTATGATGATGACAGATTCTATTTAATGGTGTTTGAGATAATTGTTAAATGTAGATTCAGTTATGTCCTCCTGTGAAAGAGGTTACTAAATGGTAGATTAGCCTTCTGAAGCTGAACTGATTAGCGAATACGATATAAAAAATGGTTTAGTTAATAAATAAGATTTGCTTGAAGATAATATTAAGGTAACAAAAACAGAGCTTGCAAAACCAAATGCAATTACTTAATGGCCTAAGCAAGGAAATTTAGAGTTCAAAAATGTTTTTATGAGATACTCCAAAGATCTTAACCCAGTATTAAAAGGTCTTAATTTTAATATCAAGTAAGGATAAAAGGTAGGATGTATTGGCAGAACAGGTGCTGGAAAATCTTCAATTCTATAAGTAAAAACAACAAACAAACTATAAATATACACATAAACTAATTAAAATTACATATTTTTTAATTATTAAAAGGCCCTTTTTAGAATGACAGAAGTAGAATAAGGATCTCAAATTATTTTTGATGACTAAGATACAGCTAAACTCGGTTTGCATACTCTTCGTTAAAAAATTTCTATTATTCCATAGGTTCCTTTTGTATTTGCTGGTACTATTCGTAGAAATTTGGATCCACTAGGCCATCACAGTGAGAAGGAATTATGGGATTCGCTCAAAATGGTCGAGTTAGATCAACATGTTTTAAAAAATTGTCCTCAATAACTTGATACTGATATGAGTAAAAAATTAGACATTTAAAAAAAATATCTTAACAATTTTGAAATAGAAATTCAAATATAAAAATAATATTTTTTTCAAATTTAATAGCTAATGTCTAGAGTGTATTTTCAGTTGGTTAAAAGTAGTTGATTTGCCTAGCAAGAGCAATTTTAAAGAAAAATAAAATGTTGGTTTTAGATGAAGCAACAGCTAATGTAGATATGGAGACAGATAAGTTGATTTAAAAAACAATACGTGAAAAATTTGAAGATAGCAGTGTTCTTACTATAGCACACAGATTAAATACTATTGCAGATTATGATAAAGTTATAGTAATGGATTAAGGTGTTGTAGCAGAATGTGACGAACCTTACAATTTATTAGCTGAAAGTGTTGAAGACACATTTATAACAAAAAACACTTTGTTTGCATAGATGGTTTTACATACAGGAAAAAACAATGCAATTAATATTTTCAGCAATGCTAAGAGTAAGTACTTGCAAATGCATAACATTGAAGAATTCTGAATGAATGAATGATTGATTGATGATATCTTAAAAATTAAAATAAAAAAAATTTATTTTTTTATTAGTTTTACATTAATATTATTAAATTATTTTTATTTCAAGTAAATTTAAGAATAATAATTTTTCTTGTTTATTTATAAGCAAATAAAAGCTGTTTTTATTTAATTTCTTTAATTTTAGTTTAGTCTAAGACAGATATTTATTTATTTTTAGATATTTCTTCACTATCTTAATACAAATAATTTTAATTTTTAATATTAAAAAATTTGTGTTCATTTATTATGAAATGTTTAATATGAATTTTTTTGAAATATTTATGAGATATTTAATATGAATATTTTTTTCACTCTTGAAAACTGAGAAATCAAGTTAATAAGAAAATATAAATGATTAATTTTATTTTAAATTATTTTTATTTATTTTAAACAAATTAATTATTGAGTTTTTTTTTTAAATAATTTTATACAGTAAAAAAAGTATTATTAGAATACTCAAATAAATAGTATAAGTGCTTACAAATATCAACTTCCAAATACTTTATTAATTTACTGATTATATAACTTATTTTTATTTATTTACATTAGCATCTGTTTCAAATTATTTTAACATATTTTTTGAGGAAAACTAAGTTTTCAAATAACGCCAAAAATAAATTAAATTTATAGCAATACTGAATTAAGTAGAAATTTTTGTGATAATTGAATCACTTCATTCGAGATTATAAGTTATAAATAGGGATTTAAAAAAAATAAAAAACGACAACTTTTATTAATTTAAAAAATTAAATTTTAGAAGAAACGGCTTTTTAGTTTAAGAGATTATAAAAACGAAGGCCATAATTTTTAGTAAAATGTTAAACTTTGAAATAAAAAAATATCCATAATCTTCTATTAATTACACGCCTTTCCCTTTTTGATTTTTGCGTATAGAAATTTTAAAAGATATTTATTTGATTTTATATCCTTCACACATTTATCAAGAAAGTTAAGCAACAAATTTCTGAATATGCTTCCAAAAATAAATATCAAAATTAAATTTGATAGAACTAAATATAAAATCTGCAAATAGTTGCTTTCCAAAGACTAAAATTTTGGTATTCATTAAATTAATTAAGAAAATTCATTCATTTATAAAGAAAATATATATAAAATTTGATAATAAATACTTAAAAAAGAAAATGTTTATTTTTAATCTAGTTTAATTTAAATAAACGATCAATATATCAAATTAATAACTTGATAACACCTAAATCTATTTAATTTTTATGGAATATGAAACCATTATTTTTTTCTTATTTTAAAATCTACTTCAATAAAATCTATCACAATTATGAAAACTTATTTTTACTTATAGTTTATTTAACCATTTTTAAAGTATTCAAAGTGATGCAAAAATTGTCCTTATTCATTCTCTACCACTATATTATCACTATGAAGCAATCTAAGATAATAATATCTTTATAAATTTAGAACAATATTTAAATTTCTAAGAATTATCTAATCAAGTGATGAGTAAAATCGGTACAGTGTAAAGAATGATGTGATTATTAATATATCACTTATAAACAATAAATTGCGTAATTTTTATCTGAAAAGTTAACCAACATGCGAAGATAATACGACACATATTTTTTGAAAACAAATTGCATTCAAAAAAAAAAAAAATTTATGATTATTTGGAATAGATGATAATAATTGACTAGTACTTTCATTGCTTTCTTGATAAAAAAGTAAAATTCCCAATTAAGCCAGCTTCTCTCTTTATAAGCTTAATTTCTAAAATAATATTAAGCTATAAATAGTTAAAAAAAAAAAAAATAGCAATCAAAGTTTTCTTAAAAAGAAAAAACTTCAAAGCAAATACATACATACAAAGATAATAGGGTAACTATCATTTAAATGATTAAAGCATCTAAATTCTCTCTCTAAGCTGGTCTTTTTGATGACTTAGGTGGTAAGTTTTCTGCTCCTGCCCAACAAAACGGTAAGGAGTAACTCAATTTCTTAAAGGGTGACCCCACATATTATGGTAATGTTGATGTGAAAATGCCTCAAGCTGGCTATGATATAGTTAAGAAATCTATTTTAAACCCAAAGAACCATTCTTACGCTGCCTCAAACGGTTCTATAGCTGCCCGTAATGCAATTGCAAAGCATTTCGGAGGATCTAATATGACTATCACTGGCAACGATGTGATTTTAACTCACGGTGCTAATATGGGACTTTTTATTTCTTTAATGTCTATTACTAACTCAGGCGATAATATACTTGTACCTGAACCAGGTTATCCCTTCTTCCATAAAAATGGACCTGTAATTAATTGATTATTTTATTTAATAAGATTTAGCTTTTACAAACTTCTTTTGGCTTGATGATAATTTAACTATACTTTTTTTGGTTACCAAATGTAGCCTTTAAAGAATACATATATAATGCATCAATTAATTTAAAAAAATAAATAGCTTCAATCAATAATACAAATTTGGCTATATTTTTTAAGCGCAATTTTAAAATTTAGGTGATCTAAAATTTTTCTTTAGTAAAATTTGAATAGAATTTATGATTAAAATTTTAGAAATAATAATAGAAATTCAGCACAAAAATTTCTATAAAATCGAAACCAACTTAAAATATAAAAAAAGAGCAAAAGTTTCGTCATAAATATACAAAAAAATTTTTTTGATTGCAATTAATCAAAAACTGGAAAACACAAAAGAATATTTTAACTAAATTTATTTATTAATAATTAATTATAGAGTGTTGGAGTTGAAGCAAGATCATACAAATTAAATCCTGAAAAGGGGTACTAAATTGATTTAGAACACTTGGCTACATTAGTAGATGAAAAGACTCGCTTTTTGTGGGTAGTTAATCCTTCTAACCCATTCGGTTCTATCTTTCCTAAAGAACACATTGAAGAAATATTTGCCTTCTGCCGCAAGCATAAGTTATTTATCATCAGTGATGAAGTTTATTGGAATGAATCTTTCAGTGACTATGAATTCATCTCATTAGGTCATGCTACCACTGATGTTCCTGTTATCGTAATTGGAGGTATGGAAAAAACTTTCCTTGTTCCTGGCTGGGGTATTTCTTGGATGATTTTCTTTGATTAGAATTAAAAATTAAAAGAAGTTAAAGGTGCCTGCTTAACAACTTGTTAATTGTGTCTCCATCCTTGCTCTTTCTTAATGTCAGCTCTCCCTGAATTGTTAGACACATTGACTGCTGATTTCACAAAGAACTTTATGAAGACTTTCGAAGAAAATTACAATTATCTTTATGAAGAATTTTCTAACATTAAAGGTATCAAGCCCATTCCTGCTCAAGGAACCTTCTATATTTCTGTCTTAGTTGATCTTCAATAATTTAAGAACTTTAAGAGTGATATTGATTTCCTACAAGCTCTTAATGAAGAAGAAAATATTTAAATATTACCTCTTAGTGTTTTCAAAGGAGACACTTAAGGATTCAGAATGATGTCCTGTGCTACCAAGAAAATATATGAAAGCTTCATTCCTCGTCTGGTAGAATTCTGTGAACGTCACAGTAAATCTAATTGAGATAGTTTATTAAGCAAGCTCATACTTAAAATAATTAATAAATTCCATTTTCAAGAGTCCTATCTTAAGTGATGAAGCTTTGATTAAATACTTTTAATAAATTTAATCAAATAATTTATCACTGCAAATAAAAATAAACAAATAACCAATCAATCAATAATTCATTCAATAAATAAATAAATAAAATACTGAATAACTAAATTTGTATTTATAATAATCTCATCAATCAACAAAAAAAAAACGATTAATCCAAATTTTAATAATTTAATAAACAAAAATAAATTATAACAAATATATTGTATATCTTTTATATGCTCATCTATAATTATTTTCTTTTCTATTTCTATTTGATTATAATTCATTTGATAATTTACATTTAATTGACAAATTAATTAAAAAATAAATAAATAAATATTTGTTTTCTTACTTAATTAATTGCTTTATTGATAAAAACTATTTTAAAGTTTAATACGAAACAATTAAAATTATTAATGTAATTAAAATATAATAATTTATGAATAGATTTTAATAATTGTTATTTAACTCAATTAGTAATATATATAGAAGGATCATTATTATCATTACTATTTACTTTCTTCTTTACTGTCAATGTTATTAGTTAAATTATTTTCTTTAGCCAAAGAATTATTGTTTACTAGTTTTTAAATGTTTGGCTAGCCAGATGTATTCTTTGATCCACTATTTGGGTTTTCCATTTTTATGATGTCAAAGAATTCTGTGACTTTACTTGATTTTTTTGCTTATCTATTTATTTTATCATTTTAAAATAAATTTATTCGAAATCAATCAATTAAAAAATAATAAATTTAAATATTATTTATTTATTTATTTAAATTAAAATTACTCTAGCAACTTAACAACTGTGATTCTGACATCTGTGCTAAATTGCTTTTCTGCAAACTCTGAAATATCTTGTGCTGAAATTTCTTGTGATATACTAAATATTTTGTATGTAGCACTTATGCAGCAATATATCATAAATTCTATGTCTACTAAAGCCAAGCTATCTAACTCATTGAAATCAAACAGATCGAACAAGACTAATCATAAAAAAATTAACAAAAGTTCTAAAATTTTTAAAGTAATTACATCTTATTTTATCTTCAAATTTTGTATCTGAAAATAGAGTGATTCCACTAAATAATTCTAATGAATCAATCAAACCATTGTTATCGGTATCCCAAATAACAAAAGCGCTTTCACTTGCACCAAATATATGTTCAAATTCACTTAAATCCATACTAAAATTATCACAAATACTCTTGAAGGAAGCATGAAAATCTCTAACCCTGCTCAAAGGTACTTTAAAATAATGTTAAATAAATAATAGTTCATTTTTTATTTAAATTAAAACAAAATTTCTTTGATAAAACTATCCATCTAATTGATAAAATTTGTAAATTTAAATACCATTTAGAAGAGAACTTGTATTTTTTCTATACGCATTATCCTTAATAACGTTAACTTAATTCCCCATATTTAATTTTTTTCAAAGTAGACTTTTTATTTATTTATTTACTTTCTTTAATATATAGATAGTCTGTCTTGAATTTAAATATTTTTTAATAATTTAAAATAATAAACAATTTGATTAATTTTTCAAATAGATATTAAGATAAAAAAGATAGGATTTTAATAGTTTGTTTTATAAATCATTTTGTTAATTTATTTAAATCTAATTTTGCAAAATAATAATTATTATTATTTGAAAATATTCTTTAAATATTTTAACATTTACTTCTTTTTAAATATAAAATATTCTATTTTAAATAAACTATTGATTATAAAATTAAATTATAAATTGATTAAAAAAATTTAAACGTTTTTATAATATTCATTTATTAGTTGATAATTAAAGATAAACATTTAATTTATAATTAATTTGTAGATAATCAGGAATAAAATATTAATCATCAAAAAATTAAGAAATTAAAATAATCAGAATCTGATATAAGATATTCAAAATAAAAGATAAGTTTAAATATGGTATATTTTCAAGCAGAAGAAAAGTTACCTCCGTAAAGTTAAGTTAAAGTATAAAAGGAAAATACATCTTAAAACAGTGAGAAGTAATTAAATTAAGATACGAAAAAAACTAGAAGATAAAAATTAATTGGATATACAAAATGGCAGAGAAGATTTAGAGAAAAAGATTAATTTAAAGAAGAGTATGATATACCTGATGGAGATATATTAAATGGAAGAGAACTTTATGTTAAAAGTTGTTGTGCTACTTGTCATAGTGTTGATGATGAATATAATAATGCCTTACCATTAGAAGTATTATATAGATTTAAAGGAATGTTTGTTAAATCTAAATACGCCTAGTGCAGTTATCATTGGAACAGGAATAGGCTATATTCTATTCTTTGGGACCCAAATCAATATTTTTAGACAGATTTTTACCTAGATCCAATTGAAGATTCTAAAGAAAGAGCTGATATAGCTGAATATTTAGTTCATTTAAAATACAGTACACATCCACCTCAATTTTGGCATGACAGATGAGAAAACCATATTATTCTTTATAAAAGCTTACTATTTGACTAATAAATTTTTATATGCTTGCATAATATTTATAATTAAAAAAGGAATTTTTAATCTAAATAAAAATTAATTTTACTTTAAAATATTTTCTCCAATTAGAGATATATAAAATTTAATTATTTTTTAAAAGAGTTTATTTTTAATGATAAAAATTTGCATCCAATCATAAGTTATTCTAATTAATATTTAAATGCAAAAGATTTCAATTTTAATTGAATTTAAAATTTATTAAAAATTGTTTGATATTTATTTACTTAACTTAATGACCATTTTTACTTTAAAAAGTAGATAAGATTTTATTTAATTAGGCAATTAAAAATCAGAAAATATTAATAATTTTTTAATTTAATCATTATACGAATCATCAAAAATAGATTTATATATTTTCATCCTTTCTAATATTAATATGTAAGTTAACTAAATTTCTCAATCTTATCTATTAAAAAATATATTACAGCGAATGTTTAAAGTTATAATTCTATTTGATTTTAATATATTTTTATTAAAATAAAATTAAAAAACTGTTATTAAAGTAATTTAATTTTAATAAATTCAATCACTAATTTTAATTTTTAGGATTAAATTGAATTGAATAAGGTCCATATGAATCCAAAATGGTATGGTGTGTCTTAATACATGAACCTTTTAGGTATGCTATATGTAGTCATGAATTAGGTTTACACCATTCAAAGTTTAAAAGTAAATTTTGGTTTTAATAAATGTGATAAAAGACATTTTTGAATAATTTTGAGTGTTATTAGTTGAAATAATTTGAGATTATATTGAAAATAAAAGAATATCATGTATTTATTGTATTTAATATTTATAATTTGCGATTATATTTATTTTTTTTTGATTAATTCATTTATACTAACTAATAATTACTCATTAAAAAAAATTATGAGTATAAATTAAATAAAACATTCATATTAATATCAGAAACAAAAATGTATTACTTTTTATGTTTAAAAATAAAGAAAATTTAATATTAATATGTTTATGATTAAAAAGAATAAAGTTTTTAAAAATCTTTAAAATTTTATATTATATGATTCTTTATTTTTACAAATGAGCTATCAAATATTATAAATAGATTTTGCTAAATTTAAATATTTTTTATAAATTAAATTTCAAATTTATATCATAAATAAAATAATTTGAATGTTTTAATCGCTAAAATAAACAATTAAAATATTGAAAATAAATAAGATTAAAATGAAACTATTTTAAATATAATCATAAAAAATAATACTTTTATAATGTATATCATTAAAAATAAATTAATTAAATATTTACTGTTTGTTTAAAATTAATTTACAATAATTTAATATAATATTGTTCAGATCATAATTTATAAAATATATTAAATATAAGGCTCTATTTTATCTACTAAAGGAATATTAGGAGATTCTTATAGTAAATATCAAATTCAACTTAGAGTATTGTATTATCTTAATAAAGATTGGGCTATTTGGTAATTACCTAAATTTTTATGAAGCAAAATTAAGTTATAAATTGCCTTTTAAAGTATTTTTTCGTCTGTTTCTTTAGATTTTGGGTTTAATGTGTAGCTTCCTTTCAAATTTTTACTTGAAAAAAGTTAAATACAATTTTCGAAGTTTTCAATAGCTTTTTCATTCATGCTAAGATGAATGAAGAATCTACCTAAATTATAATATATTTCCATTTATCTAGTCAATCCTCTAGTTTATTAGTAGGCTTACATGTAATGAACAGCTTTAGCAGCCATTTGCTCTTTTTCATAAGTTGTTCTTGCTGTTGTTAGTTAAGCATAGCATACACTTAAAGATAAATTACATAATGAATTTGCTTTATCATTTTTAAGTATTGTATGAAGAACATCAGTTGCTAAATCAAAGTTTCCTGTTTCTAAAAAACCACATGCAACAATTGGTAAAAATTTAGGTGAATCATCAGATTTTTTAACCATTCTTGATAAAAATGTTTTGTAGATATTGACATTAGATATATGTCTCATTATAATACATAAAATAACTTAAAGATACAGTCTATCTGAATTTCTGTTAATTAATAACTTTATGTATGTAAAAGCTTTATCATAGTTCTATTTATATTCATAAATAAAATTAAACTTAAAACAATGACAAAATATTAAATTAAAAAATAAATAAAAATGAACCTCTAATTTAAGAGTTGCTAGAAGCCCATATTTTGCAACAGTTTCTTGATAGCCAAAGAATCTTATATCTTTCCATACATGCAACTTATGTGCCAATGAACAAATTTTGGATATTTTTACATAGCAATCATACTTCACTAACACTTTAAGCATTTTAATTAAATATTAAATATATTCTTCATGACCAACTTTTAAAGAAAGAACTTCAACATTCTATAAATATTTTGCTGTCAGTTCTTCTGATTTTTTGAATTTTTTTTTCATTAATATTTCTTGTTCCTCCATTTGTCTTTTCTTTTTAATAAGAAGTGTTTAATTTGGATTATCAAATGTCTTTAGGTTATTAGGAGTTGTTAGTCTTCTCTGGAACCCTTTTTTTTAGCTTTCTATCAAAATACGATTGAGTACAGATTTTTTTAAATTCTATTAATTTATTAATATAATGATTAAATGTATTGATTTTTTTTAAATTTACATTATATTCCTTTTCAAGCTAAAGGGATTATTTTAAGGTCTAGAACTATTTATCAAGTTTATGCTTCGAAATCTCCTTCGTTGTATCTAAAATTATTTATCCTTTTTTATACTCAAGATACATGTTCTTGACTGAGTAGTGTTAAGCTAATTCATTCTTTTTGGCTTAAGTTTATTCAAAGAAATCTTTTTGTTAATACTTATTTATTTAGAAGATTTCATCATCTTTCTCATCATCCATTTAATTTTTTATTTTTTTTTCTACCCTGCTATTAAGTTTTTTCTTTTTCATAGGCTTAATTTCATTTTATTCTCTCATTTAATCATATTATCCTGAAATTTTAGAAGCTTATTTTTTCTAACTAACTCTTTTATGCTACTCTTCTTCATAATTAAAATCGCTATCATCATCACCTGCATCTTGATCTTCATTGTCATCATTATCTACACCTATTTCTTTCTTAGTCTAAATATAATTTTAATTAATTAATTAATTATTTTATTTAATTTGCATGTCTTACTTTCTTTTGATCTGATTTATCTAAATAAAATCTATCAAAAATATTTTTTTTGTCAACTTTAATTCGGTCTTAATAGTTTTCATCATCTTCATCATCATCATCGTTTTAATAGATGTACTCATCTTCATCATTATTTTCATCTTAATATGATGCAGTGTAGCTATATCTGTCAATGTCCTCTTCTTTAATATCTAAATTGATTTCGTCCGATTGTTTCCTAGTTTCGAAGTCGTTCTCTTCAATGTCATCCCTCTTTAGAAATATTTAGTTATATTTTTATTTTTAAATTTGAATAATTTACTAGTAAATTTTCAAGAATTTTTAAGGAATCCTAGTTACGTCCAAGACTCTAATATACTGAAGACAACTCGGTTCTTAAATCAATTGAATCTGGAAATTTTTAAATTATTTCTTCGATTTCTTTGATTGATTCTTCATTTTCGTGAAGTTTAAGTAATAATGTTCCATATTTTTCCCAAACTTATTGATAATTCATCTACAAAAATGGCAGTGATATTAATCTTTTGTAAATTTAGAGAGCTTTTTCTTCTTCCTTTGAAGATTCATACATTTCTGCAAGTTCTTCCATGATAGAGACAAAGTCATCATTTTCTTCCATTTCTCTTCTTAAAATTAAATTAAATCCTAATTCACACTATTTTTATTAGAAAGTTAAAATTGTCAACTCTAATATAAATTATATTTACTTCCTCCTTATTTTATAGTTTTGCATGTGAAACAGCATAAAATATTAAAATTGCTAAAGGAAGTTCATCTAAAATGGTTTCTCTAACGTTTTTATCTTTCATCTCACAGTATTCCTCTAAAAATTCGCACAATTCTTTATATTATTATTTCTTAAAAAATCTATTTAGAAAAAATAAGCAAGCATTAAAACTAAGCTAAAATATACTTTGTTAAATATTTCACATATCATGTGGATAATATTATAATTCTTATTCATGTCGTTTGGTTTAATCATTGTTTTAAGAAGCTTTATACTTTCATCACTCTTATCAAGTTTCAAATAGAGCTGTTAGAATATAATAAAACTTTATATTTTTCAAAATTATTAAAAATATAAATAGCTTTAAATTCTTTTTAAAATTATTTTAATCAAATTTAATACAACTCTTTACTTTTGCACAATTTTTTATAGCATCAAAATTCTTTTCGTCCATTTTAATAACTCTTTCAAAGCATTTGATTGCTTTTTTAAGTTCACCTGTTTGTTCGTAGCACTTAGCTCTCTCACACCAAAGAGATGTATTTAATGTGTCGCTTTTAAGAACTCTCCCAAAGCAATAGCCAGCACTATCATAACATTTTGCCTTTTTATATAACTAAGCGATACCCTCCCATTTTTTCGCATTTGCATTACTCTAATAAGCAGCCAAGAATTAATATTCAGCAGCTTCTTTCATCATACCTTATTCTTCAAAAATGTTTCCAAGCAAATCATAAGAATCTGTAAAACTAGGGTATTGTCTAATAATTTCTTTTGCTATTTCTATGGCCTAGAAATTTATACATGATGTTTAAAATATTATAAATTAAGTAAATAAAATGAAAAATTCTAAATTTAGGGTTTAAATTTTGATGATGCTTTATTTATTCATCTTGTTGATAAATGTAAAACACTTATATTAAATTAGCTCATACTTCGTCTATTTGATTTTAAAAGACATATTTTGAATTAGCATCACTAATGAGTTATGAAATTTATTGAGGGATCTTTTATTGCCTTTAGCCTTTAAATTAGCTCTTTAAGTCTTTGTGACGCTTTTCTTCATCTGAGAAGTCGCTGTAGATAATTAAATATTTTAAAATGAATCACATATAATTTATTTGAATGAAAAGTAAATGGCTAAAGATAAATAACCTCATTAAATCGCTATCATGTTCCTCGTCATCATCATCTTAATATTCACGTTTGGTATTATTACTCATTGTAAAATTTAAAATATTGAAATAAATAAATAAATTGGTAGATTTTCTTGAAAGTTATTAATTGATTTATTGATAATAGACGATAATTGATATTTCTATTTGTGTTTAATATATTTTTATGTATATCTTTGTTTTTATTGTAGATAATATAGTATGTTTTAATTTACTAAGGATAGCATATAAATAAGTATTTAACTAAGTTTTATAAACAATCAATTAAGTTTTCAATAATTAATTTTTGTATCTGAACATTATTGATTTTAGTGGTAGCTTGCTATAAATTTAAAGTAGATTTATTAAACAAACAAAAAAAATTATAAACTTATTCTAGCAAATTTAAAGATGAGTCAAGATTAAAGTATGTCGTTATTAGAATAGTAAGCATATACATATTATTTATTTGTTTTAAGAATCAAATTATTTGATGATAGTTAACAAAATATTTGATAAAAAAGATTGAGAATAGCAGTAGAAAATAAAAAGAAAGCTTAAAAAATGAAAGAACAACTTAAGTAAGACCTTGAATAGAGATTATAAAATTTAACACAACTTAGTCTCACATATTGTTAGTAAAAAAATGAGATCCAACAGATTCAAATATAAATAAACGAAAATAAATCAAATTATGCGCAATATGAAAAGAGATTGTAGGATTATAAAAAATATTCTTCAATTTATAAAGACAACAATGCACTATTAGAAGAAAGAAAGCAGTGCCTTGAGCTTTATTAAACCAAGTCATATGAGATATTTCATGAGTGTGATGACAAATTGTAAATTTATTCTTTATTTGATAAAAACCTAGAATTTACATTTTAAGGTTTTTTATACATAAATAGATATTAACTAAGTTAAGTATAGTTAATATCAACAATAATAATATCTCTTTTTATAAATAACATCAAGCAAAAAGATTGACGTATTGGAAACAGTGATAAATTCCAAAAGAAGACTTTGTTGTTATTAACTTTGCACTATATTTTTTAACTCTAAATTTACATGTTTCCTCTTTTTAAATATGATATCAAGAGTATTTAGGCAGTATGAACAAATTTCAAGTAATTTTTAGCTTATTTTAAACTATTTTTTTTGTTTGCAAAAACATTCATTTTACTAAAATATTAATTAGCTTTTGAAGAAAATATAAATGCTGCTCTTGGTTATTATGGTTTATTAGTTTAATAGATATCTATAATATATGACATAAATCTCAAACATAAAATAATATATAAAGGTTGCAGAACATAAATTCAGAAAGACAATTAAGAGTAAATTTTTTATTCCTTTATTTATGCTATAAATTATTTTTTTTTTAAATTTATATAAGGTTACATAATCTCTACATATTAAAGAAAGAAGATTCAAGAAAATTATAAAATTCCTTAACTTTTTTGATAATAGATATTTTCTAAATATTTGATGTTATTAATTTAGATAAGCAATATAAGCAATGTTGTGATATATTAGTCTTATTAAATATCTTAAGTTAATTCTTATAATATGGTGAGATTTAATAAGAAGTTTGAGTTCTTTGTTTTAAATTAGTTTGTAAAATATAATTTTTTAAGCAATCTCATATAATTCTTCATAAATATTCAAAAATCTGAGCTTTTTTTTCTTAAATTCTTATTAAATTTAACATTTTTTACAAAAAAAATATTCCTTTTTTTGTAATCTTTATTTTACTATTGTTGACAAATATTCTTGACAAAACTGTTTATTAAATAATCTAATTTGTATAAAAAAAATTGCAGCATTTAAAATGAAGCATAAATTCCTTATTTTAGATTAAAAGAAAAAGAAAAATTTAGTAAAATTTCTTGACTTTTCTTTATCAAATAGGTTTATAAATAATTCTTTTAATTTTCTTGGTTATTATGAGGTATATGAATTTAAATTGATTACATTTTAATGATTTGTTGTTTTAATACATAAAATTACTGATTTTTTAGTTATTGCTATTCTGCACTGTTTTCAATTTAATTTTTGCTTATATCTTTTTACAAAATAATAGCTAATTTTGATTAATTTTTCTTAATTTATAAATAAACTCATTTGATAAGTTAACATTATTAAGCTAACTAAAAAGTTATGAGTAGAAATAGCGAGAGGAATATTTTTTTGATAATTACAACCTTTTTGATGCTCTATCTTGGAATTTAGTTTGATGTTTTATATATAGCTGAATTATTTATATCTGATTCTTTTCATGATTAGGTAAAATTTTAGTGGTATAATTTAAAAATTTAGGAGTTTGATTATAATTTAATGATAAAGCATTTATGGGCTGGAATTCTTTTAGGAATAACATTCAATACATTTTTTATCCTCACTTTATACACTTACTTCAAAGTAGCTTTTACATCACCAGGAAGACCTGTATTTGATAAAGTAGATATATTATTTTATATTTATGTGATAAAATAAAATATTAAGCTTTTAACTGATTGAATTAAATTTTGATAAATATTATTGTAGGAGCTGATTGAAGAGGTAAAGAGAAGAGAGATAGTATACTAATAAAATGTAAATGCAAATGTAAATCAAAGCGTTTTAAGTAGTTAGAAATAGGATGATATAGAAATTCCTGAATATGGAGTTCCACCTCCTCTGCCTAATTAAGGAAGACCGTATTCTAGTTAACAATATTAATTAGCTCCTGCTCCTTAAATATCAAGAGAAAATAATCTAGCAGTGTAAATAAATGAGGAACAATAAATCAACCAATAACTATATGAGTGAATAAAATTAATTTGTTTGAAGTTTAATAATTTATTTTAACAATAAAATAAGAGTAAACGAACTAGAGGATGTTCATACTTCTAACCCAAAAAGATGCTTATATTGCGAATCTTACAAAGTTCCTAGAATTCATCATTGCAGAATTTGTGGATAGTAAAATGCTTATAGACAAAATATTTAATTATAATTAATTTTTTTAAAGTTGAAATAATATGTTTAACTTAATGATAACAACAAATAGAACAATTTGATTTAATATTTTTATCTTAAAAGCTGTATTTTTAGGAGAGATCATCACTGTGTGTGGATAGGAAATTGTGTAGGCATAAAAAACCATAAGTTTTTTTTACTATTCTTAATATATGCTGCAATAGCCTTGTTTTAGATAGCTATTCCAACTTTAATTGATTTTCTTAAACTAGGAATTAATATCATGAATGTAAAATTGATTGTAAAATTTATTATTTTAAATATTTGATTTGTATATTTTAGTCAAAAGAGGATATAGTTTCTTTTATTTTACTCTCTACATCAATGGTAATAAGTGGAGCTTTTACAATATCACTGCTTGGTCTTTTCTTTTTTTAGCTTTTTATAACATGTAAAAACGAAACCACTTTAGAAATACAAAACTGCATATCTTCAAATGTAAATAAATTATCACTCCAAAAAATACCAATAATAAAAATTTATTGCTAATTTAAAGTAAAGAGTAAATTATTCTAGAGGAAGAAAATATTTCAATCTGGCAGAAATATTTGGGGAAAAATTTAGTTATCGATGGTTTTTACCAGTAAATCCAAATAATAATTCTACTTTCAAAATTTATTGTGAAGGTTATGAAGTGCAAATAGTTTGAAATAAATTTAAAATAATTTAAAAATATAAAAATTAATATCAATTATCTGTAAATAAATAAATAAATTAAAAAGTTAATCAATTAAAAAATAAATAGCTATTTATTGTATTTTTAAAATTTAAATATTATTAATAATTTACCTAAACATTTCTTTAAAATAACATATAAATTTAATTTTAAAAAACATTTTATTTCATGAATTTAGTTAAATTAGATTTTTTTATTTTGAATAAAAACTTAGAAATTCTTCAATTTTAAGAAAATTTTTTTTTTTATAAATATTTCTTTACTATTAATTAATTTTTGTCTTTTAAAGAAGCCTTAAAAAAATTAATTATTTTAACCAATTTTTTAAATTTTTATTTTTACTATGAAAAAATTTATATCATTTTATTAAATTGTTGTTTTAAATCATTCTTATTTCATAGATTGATTTATTAAAAAATATTTCTAAAACATAAAAAATAGTTTTACTAATTGATTTCACTTATTTATTTATGTTTAATTAATTGTTTTTATGTTGAAGCCTCTTCATTAGAAATTTTACAACAGCAAAGACTTAAATTTGCTTACTGTACCATTAAATTAGCTCTCAGACAATTACACATATTTATTAAAGAATTAATGAACTCCTTCAATAGTTAATTCATTGAAGAATTTTTAATCACGAACAATAAATGCTCCAGCTGTTTCTAAGAAAGCAGGCTTACATAAATGATGATAATCTTTAGTTTCATTTTCATATTATCTAGGAACAACATAAATTTTTTATCCTCTTTCAGAAATAAATATATTGTGAGGAATTTGTTCATCTAATAATATATTAGTGTATGCACCTACTGCAAAAGCTAGACTACTAAATATATCTGAAATATCTTAGCCTTCTGATCCAACTGGACTGAAAACCAATCCTTTAACTATATATCCAACTAACTCTTCTACTCTAACTCCTACTGAATACTATTAAATTATTTTGCATATATAAATAATGATGTGTTTTCTAAAAGGCTATTTACCATATTAATTTCTTCCTAATCGTTCTACAAAGTGGAGCACAAAACAAGTTTTTTGTTTGCTTTTTCAATTGGGAATATCTTTTCTTATGGGAAAAGCTCATCTGCATAAAGAATCTAAAAATGCAAGTGATTTACAGAAGAAAAAGCTCCTAAACTATTAAAACCTAATCTATTGATTTTATTTAATTAAAATAAAATATTTAAACATTTGTATTTTTGATTTTAATGAATATGTAATTCTTAATAATTTATTTATTTATACTTTACTTTTACTTTATTTAAAAACATTTCTACAAAAACTATGGGTTTATTATTCAAACATATAATTAATATATACAATTTAACTAAATTTACCTCATATGTGGTGAATTGCTTAGTTTGAAAGTTGTTAAAACAAGAGAGAGAATGTCTTATCCTATAACTTATGGCAAACATTCTTCTGGGTAAACAGTAATGAGACTGTGGTTTTTGGCTATTGGGGATACGTTGGCTATAATTGGATGATTTATAAATTCATTTAGAGATTTATCACAGTTATTTTCAAATTCATCCAGATTTTTTTCATCTAATTGCTTATTTTATTCTTTGGTGAATATGATCTCATCATCCAAATTAACATAAAACAATATTTCTTCCTATGGACAACTGTTAAAATTGAATTTGCTTTCATCAAAATTTTTATAAACTTTTACTAAAGAATAAGAAAAAGAATTTGAAATAGGTTTTAGTAAAAATTCAAATCAAGATCTGATTCTTGATTGATAATTAAAGACTAAACTTACTTTCATTTTATTCTTCTTCACTATCAAAGTTGAATTCAGGAGCTCTTTTATTTTAAATAAGTCCTTCATTAAAAATAGCTATGAAACCTCCTTAAAGACTTCTTATTTTGTTTTCTTCGTATTTACTCTTAGGTGCTCCTTTTCCCTTTATCTTATACCAACTATTCCATTCTGATGAAAGAATGTCATCAAAATTAACTGTATTATCTACCATTTATATATTCAAAATTTGATT